AATATTAAGTAATACCTATGTATTAACCAATATTTATTAGCTTTATTATTACTTATAGTATCAATCTTTATTTTCAAAGTGTATTAGGGGGAAACCATGATTTTTTGTTATTTCACTTTACTTTACCATGGAAATATATATTTACTCATAGAAGAAGTATAGCATCTCTCAGCTGAACTAAGTATATTTGACTAAACTCGCCATTTCCCGGTCAAATTTAGTTAATTTAGCTTTAAATTAATGATCTAAGCCTAACTTTCAAGTATATAATGATTCTAAATAGATTCTCTCGAAGATTACCGGTCGGAAGCTCTAATGTTGTTGACAGCGGACTTGGTGAATATAGCGGCAAGGTTGAGGATATCCAAGGATATCCATGCGGATATCCACAATATATCCTCAATTATCCTCAAATATCCACACTAGTGATTAGTAATAGCCAATCATCGCCATCAAAAGTAAGAGATGTCAAGTACGCACCCGCAACTTACGAGTTACAGCATATTTGCCATAATTCTGATATTTTCAGCTCGTTCTATATGTAAGTTTCTCTCTCTCTCTGACATAGTGATCAAGTACACTATGTCTTACTCATAAGCATCTCAATCCCACTACTCCTTCTACGCTGATTTAGATCTAGGTCTAAATACCGACCTTCTTTATTTAGATAATATCTCTGAGCTTATTAGTAGCCAAACTCTATTAACATCTACGTCTCAAATTTCATCTCCGATTGCACCCCTCTCGCTTACGCGTGTTAGCCTCCCTCTTTAGCAGTATTAGGTCCTCTATTCCTCTGAGCCTAGTAGCGAGATAGAAGAATCTCGTAAGCGCTTTATAAGTTGGTGGTTAACTACAGAGTCTAGATTAACACCTAATATATAAGACTCTATCCGTTAGGATAGGAAAAAGACTTCAAGTGTCTGGGACAATTTTAATCAGGTTATATATGAGAAGACTGGCAAGCCAAAGGTTATGTGTATATCATGCCTCTATACCCTTATTCATCTAAGATATCGCCGTGCTAGGTCATCACCGATGAATGCATATATTAAGGCAGGCACCTGTACTCGGAAGCTAGTTACTTAGAGGGTTGATCAGCTACTAAGAAAGATGGTATATTACTCTATTATTAAGATTTTTAATATCTCTTTTGCTAATCTTGATAATTATCCTAAAGCTATCGATCCCAAAACACTAACCTTTCTCCTAGGAGCGTCTCGTTAAAGCGATCCTAGACTTTATCTCAGCGGCTTACCTACCCTTCCGAATCGTAGAGCATACCTAATTCAAGGACCTAGTAGAGGTCATTTAATAAGCTCAAAGCAAGATCGATATACCATCCGCGCGAAGCATACGACGTTATCTTGATTCTACAGTCAAAAATGACTAGAAGGAGATTCTTAGAAGACTTCTAGATAGGAGTCGCCTTTCACTAGCGCTTGATTACTAGACATCGCTATTTTAGCAAGCTTTTATAGCTATCATAGGCTACTTTCTTGATCAGGATTAGAATTATTGTGAAGTTCTTCTTAGATTTGAGCATCTTTATAGGTCTTATACTAGTGAAAATCTAAGTAAGACCGTTACTCAGCTCTTAAACAATCATAGAATCACTAATCGTGTCTTATCTGTGACAACAGATAACGTAACTAATAACAATACCTTAGTGATGAACATCTAAGAGACTATTCAGTCGCAGAGCCAACTAGATACCTTAATCTTCCGAGTTCCGTGTATTGCGCATGTGATCTAATTAAGCTTAAATGAGCTTCTTGGGAAGCTGAAAGTGACGCCACCTAATAAAGAGATTAAACTAGAGTGGCCTAACGAGCGAACACATTCATTCTAGACTAAACAATCTGGCTTAAGTCGGCAAATTGCAGATACCTTAAAGAAGGTCAGTCCTCTATCTCCCTTAGGCTTCTAAGTTTATTCTAATAAGAAAGTCTAAGATCCGAGGTCTTACGGTCTTTATTAATACGAGCCTATAACGCCGGGAGTCATTTATGGCTCTTTAAACTAATAAGCCTCGTTTGGTTCCTATTTAGGATGTCCAAACCCGATAGAACTCAACCTTCATAATACTCAATCGTGCTAAAAGGTTACAACCATTCTATGACCAGTATTGTATAGATTATCAGTATCTACACTTTAAACTTGATCAAGAAGAGTGGCGACAGATTGAATATCTTCTTCTTCTCACAAAGCCTTTCTTTGACTTCACCACTATATTATTAAAGACTAGGGATGTTACCACACACAATATCTATAGTATTTATAACAAGCTTTTCTCTTATCTAGATAAAGCTAAGTGTAAGTTGAAGAATAAAGGTGTTATCTAGAAGAAGTATATGCTCTAGGCTCTTTAGACTGCTAAGCGGAAGCTCTTAAAGTACTACACTGCGACTGATTATAAATCATATAGCGATATCTATACACTCGCGACAATCCTTTACCTATTAAAGAAACTTCGATATTTCGCATCGTCAGACTGGCAAGGTGATATTAACTATATTAATCACTATTATAGAGTTCTTAAGCGAGAGTTTTAACGATATAAAGAGATACTTCACCGTGATTCAGATAATACAGTCTTATAAGATACCACGAGAGAGGCCCCGGATAATGAATATGGTGATCTAGATGCTGCTTGTGCATCTCAAAACCAGCCCTAGGATGAGCTCTCAAAGCCTGAAGATAATGAGATCGCGAGGTATCTTACCCGCGGGATTGAGATTCAGAAGCTAAGAGCATTCTAGAAAGACTATGAGCTTGAGTTTCCTATCCTTGCGAGGATAGCACGGGATATTCTCTCGATCCCAGCTAGTGGTGCAGGCGTTGAGCGATTATTCAATTGCGCTCGCGATATCTGCCACTATCGTCGCGGTCAATTGAAACCAAGTACCATCCGAGGATTAATGCTCTATTAATTCGCCACTAATTTTGACGTTAAGCAGAAGGAGATAGAGGTTATTAAGGAGTATCTCTCTATTAGGGAAGCTGCGTTATTAGACCAAGCTCGGAAACTAATACTCCATCTTGAAACTCTTAAGCCAATTAGTGACAACGAAGAGGAGGATCAAGAGCCTAGCATACAGGACACACAACAGAAGAGGAGCTGCAATGATGATTCAGATGATGAGAGGAATAATGATCAAAGTAAGCAAGTGCAGCGTAAGCGATCAAAGAAACGATTATCTGAATCTCTTGATAAAGATGACGATGACCTTCCAGAAATGCTAATAGATGAGAGCATGCTAGGACGGTCAGGACGAATTCGAAAGCAGCCTAGGTTACCTGATGGATTTCAGATTGATTTAAGGTAGTTGATATTATATGGAGATAACGGAATTTTATTTACTAAATTGAAATCTTGAAAGTTAATGATTACACTATGATTACATTAAAAATACGTAGGAAACTGCATAAATTATACATACTTAAAAGAGTCGTGAGGCTAGGCATGTTTGGCCTATTTGATATCCACTGGATATCCTCAAATATCCAGAGGATATTAGGTGGTATACCATATCCACAAAATTGAGGATTGCGGATATTGGGTGATATACTATATCCGCAATCTGCGGAGAGGATATGTGGATATCCATGGATATTGAGGATGTTGCCGCAGTCTAATAACGAGAGATCGGAAGGAAACTACATGGGGAAGCTAACGTCTCTCGTCGGTGTTACATGATAGGTTAAATATCATGCACTATCAAAATCAGCGTTACCAGAACGTCGAGAGTGGGAGACGGAGGTGATATTTTGCCATATTCATACTGTGGCTCTCAAGTTTGTTTCGTTTGCATTTCTGTGGAAACTTCTAGCCACCATGAATTGTCGTACAGCCACGAGACATAAATCGTGAAGCTTTGAGGGGTGGGATACTAGTATTTCCACGGTTGTACCACCGGTCATGTGGGGCTTCGGGCCCATTCTGTTGCGTCTGTCATCAGGCCCGTCTAGTGGGAGTGAAACACGATCTCCATGGAACAGCATCTACAGCCTGCCTGTTTATATGGTAGTAGAATCTCTCTTAGTCTCATCAAGCGCTATGTTAGCGTCTAAGCCATATAACATTCTAGAACAGACGCTTTTTCGATAGAGTACCTCTATAGATGGATTTTATCAATTGCTCGTTGACGGGCTCGAACTAAAATCCGCTCTACCAACAAATGTATCCACCTACTTCAGATTCTATGGCTTGCCTCGACCTAACCGAGGTATATGCTTCTCTTTTGGGTCGACAAAATCAGAATTACGATTTTCCTAAAACTATACTTTTGTAATAATACTGGAATGGAAGTTTCAATCTTGCTCCAATTCATTCTGTAATGGATAGGAGCTCGTGAACAAGGTGATTGTTCAATCAAATGATTGTGAGTGATAAATAGCTGTATTGTATCGGGCTGCCTAACAGAATCGATGAATTAAGGAACTTCGTCGGATAGATATTTTCAGAGATATGCAAATTCGACCGCTTACGCTGGTTCATTGATCTTGAACATACAAAAAAAAGATATAACTGGGGCGCGTAAATGGCGAATTAAGGGAGAGTCATGAGTTGAGGGAGTGTTCATTAAAGCATCTCACTAAAGCGGATTGACAGGTTTTCTATATCCACAAATCTGTCAGACTTTTCAGTTGTATCACTATACCACCTTGAGCAGACAAGGTTTGGGCTAAATTTAAACTCAGGTCATCCACGCAAGGCAAAACAACAGTGAAAATGGAAGTGACGATCTTCGAGCAAGATCATTACAATCATAGAATCCAAAATTACTCTGCATATTTATGTAAAGAAGTAGGTCAATTTCTTTTGCTTTTGGGGGTTAAACTGAACCCCCCCCGGGGCCGATGGGTTTGCTGACTAAGACCCGACTGTCCAGCCACGGATTGGGGGTTTTGGGCGGGTATTGGCGATGTTTGCATTCCACAATTGGATCCATCAACTTCGCTATTCCAACAACGCCTCCTATGGCCAGAAATGAAAAATGTCTTCGCGGGACTCCAGCTCCTCTAGTGGGACACCCCAGTTCGCATTCGTGACAGGGAACATCCAATCTGAAGCTCGGAGCCATGCTATGAAGGAACACTGGAAGCGGCGACATCAGCGCAATAAAGAGGCGAAAGCATGTCACCAGAGAAATTTATCGCGAAATATGCCTCTCCGCTCAAAGGGCCGCTCTAATGAAGATGTTTCAACATCAGAAGATACAAACAGATCTTCAGGGTTGCCAGAGGTTGGGAATATGGACATAGTCGGGAATCAAGAGAAATCTCCCGGCATTCCCACCCAGCTATTATGTGGTGTGAGTTATGCGCTGTCGAGCTCGAGGCCTGATCCGTTCCAGACGTGTCCTGTTCAATTGACGACCCAGCACCAGAAACTCTTGCATCACTGTGCGTATGAAGACCTTGCTGCATGTGGAAATTTTACTGACGGCATGGTAGGGATAAGCACTCATGCGGCTATGATGTTTGAAGACTTGAGTGTCACTGAGTTCAATCCGATGAAGGATGTTTGGTTCCCGCTGGACCTCTCCAATGCTTCGTCTTTCAACTGCGTCATGGCGCATTCAGCTGCGCACTTGTATCATCTATACGCTGGAACTCCCGCACAACGAGGGTCGAAATCTTCTGATGCCTTGAAATATAAGATCGAGGCTGTCAGGATACTACGCTCTTGGCTTGTTGATCCTAATAAGGAGCTAAGCGATGACTCTTTTGCGGCTGTTGTTCGTCTGCTCACATTCGAGGTATGTCAACTAATAGCGATTTTTACTGTGGGACATTAGCTGATCCAAATTAACCCAGCGATACTGGGGTACAGTGGAAGATTGGCAAATCCACCGTGATGGCTTACAAAGAATGATCGATGCCAAAGGTGGGGTTGAAAAGCTCCACGGGAATTGGCGCTTGCAACTTGTGGTTTACCTGTTAGTATAGCCGGTCACAAGTATAAAGAATTTGCGATACTGATTACTTCCAGTGTCTCACTGATGTCACGACCGTCATGGCTCGAGTCCACGAATAACCTCGAACTAATCTCTCGTCCTCTTCTATCACCCAGCGCTATCCAACAGCCATTATCTTGTGATGTCCATAAGGTCCGCTGTCTTTGGTTGATATCATTTATTCAAGATATGAGAACGTTCATGGGATCATTTTACACTAGAGGGCTCTCTGCCTATCCTTTCACTCATGCCGCCGTCGGTCTGTTGCGTGATAATTTTCTGCTCTCTATTGAGTCTTCCACCTATGATTACCACAATACGGGGTGGGAAGACGAAATGCTTTGGTGTTTATTTTGCATCAGTGTCCTGATGCAGGAGTCAATTTCCGCCCTGTCCGATGGGGACTCAACAACATCCAACGGACCGAATACACTTCATGAATTGGAGATATCCTTAAGGCATTCTCATCATATGTGGGGGCGTTCAATCCACAACTTGCGCTCTATCTTATATGAAAGCCTAACAAGGCTCTTTGAGGAAGGGCAATACAAGGTGAATTATTTCATGGACCTAGTCCAGGTTCTTGGAACGTTGAGTTTGGAAGCGCGCCAGGGAGTCGAGAAATGTCTTCTCAATTTGCTTTACTGCCTTGGGAATACCGAAAACAACGCGCTATTAGCTGAAGATGGATGGTCGCCGGATTCGCTTTTGTCGTCAATGCACGGAAATTAGCGTCTACAGTCATCAAATTTCGGGTTTATTATATCACCCAGTATATTTTCTCTCGAAATGTAAATGGAATGCTGGGGCCGAAATGACGCACCGCTTTACGATTCTTCTGAATCCGGTAATACTAGTTGACCAATCATAAGGCGGTCGATGCCGATGTATGGGCCCAAGCTTGGGCCAACGCGAAGTTCGGAATTGAGACGATGTCAAACGTCAACAACTTGCATTATTGGTTGCTCTTATTACTTGTATATCTCCTTATCTATGAGCTAGACAACCATGGGTCTCACACAAGACGCTAATACCGAGGATCCACTAATGTTCTATTAACCTGTGGGAGCCTAATTTGGGCGAGTGTAGAAGTACCTGGATAAGGCTTGAGATCCCCGTCCATCATGAAATTTACATTTCGAGTGCATTTATATAGCTGCATCCAGTGCACCTGCATTTCAAGACTACATGCTGCAGATTGATGAGTCCCGATAACAGAGGTGAAGTGTAAGAGCCCGCCTGATGGCGTGAAAGTTGGAGACAACCTTAGCGCTGCCATTCTCATGAGCAACTTGGCACTGAACTTTATTCATGAGGTTCCCGGTAGCCAATACCTTGCCAGTTATGCGATTTAGCAAGGTCACTAGGTACCAACGATTGAACAAGAAAAATAATGGACCATGTGACTGACTATATGTGAAACACATGGTACCGATCCTACCATCTCTACCAAGCCACAAACAAGGTAGAGCTCTAGAGGAATATGTTCCAAGGATGCTTAGTTTTCTTAAGGGGTCTCTTTTCTTATGGGGTGTCTTGCTAATGATGGGGCTTCTGATTAGTCCATGAAAAGGGTTATATGAGTTTGGAACTTGAGTTCCTTTCGAAGATATCTTTAACGAAATATCCGCCTCTTTCACTATCTCTAAGCGCCGTAGGCCTTCCTGGTAGTACTAGAGCCTCAATCATATTCAGCGGAAATATAGATAATGACAATTACCAAGCAAAAGTAGAACAAGCCGAGTCTTACTTGGGTCTGCACAGAATTACATGCATGCTTAGCTTTTGAATACTTGTCATACAGTCAATTTGATAGATACAAGTCCACATGTGCGTAAATTATGGCCACAAAATACTAAATTTCAAAAGTAAACATTTTATGGCGCCAACGTACCCAAAGTGACTTATTTGTAGAAGTCAGAATGGTCACGCTTAATAGCATCGGCACCCTTCTCGGCAATCATGTAAACGGAGTTCTGAATCCGACAGTCGGGAATGACAGGGATACAAGATGCGTCGATCACACGAAGATTCTTGATGCCGTGAACCTTGAGACCGGCATCCACCACACCCTGCTGGATGTTCTTGGAGAGACGGGCAGTACCACAGGGATGGAATGAGGTCTGAGAGCGATCGAGCACAGTTCTTTTCATGAGCTTGTCGTCGTGCAGCGGCATCGGGAAGGGGTACTCGTCCTCGATGATGTCCTTGAAACCGTCGCTATGCAGGACATCATAGGCATACCGGATACCCTCGCGGATGGCAATGATATCGAGATCATTGTTGAAGTAGTTGAGATTGATATTTGCTTGCTGCAAGGGATCGCTGCTGTTGAGCGTAACTGTGCCGCCTTCAGAAACAGGGCGGACAAGATCCACCATCACCGTCATGTAGTTGCCCTTACTAGGGGTCGGATAGTGCCACTGGAAGGCACTGCCAAAAAGACAGACAAAGTCAAGTTCGAAATGCGGCTGGCCGTATGGACAGAATGGGTCCTTGTTGTCGTTGGAGGCTTTCGCTTCGCGGTAGAGAGGGTCCTTTTCCAAGTACTTGTCAATCCGGGGGAATCCAACCATTTCAAGGAACCCGGAGCCCAATGGACCACCATGATTGTTTTGGTAGGCTTGAATAGCTTGATTGTGATGTGGGGTTCCTTTACGTAAAACGTAATCGTCCATACCGAAGCCATCTTTAAGACGAAGAACGAAAGGAACACCGGGGTGATCTAGGAGATGCTGCCCGACATGAGGACTATCAACAATCACCGGGATACCGTGCTTTTTAAGCTCCTCAGAAGGCCCTATACCGCTTAGCATCAAGAGCTTAGGAGTCTCGAAGACACCTTCGGAGACAATGACTTCACGGTTGGCGAAGAGATTAAGCTCCTGGCCCGAGCTTAGGATGACAGTAACACCCTTGCAAGTCTTGTCATCGATAATGAGGTTTTTCGAATGCGCTTGAGGAAGAATAGTGATGTTTGGCTTGTCGGCAACACAAAGGAAGCTGCCAGAGCGACGACCCTTGTAAATAGTGTTGACACTATGAGTTAGGCCAGACATAGTGCCGTCGAAAATATTCTCGGTCACTGGATGACCAGTCGATTTCCATGCCTTTGTGAGAAGGTCTCTAAAAGGCTGCATCTCAGGGATAAGTTCCGAGTGAGCAATCGGGATCGGGCCGTTTTGGCCAATCTTCTTTAGCTCCGGCGAGTGTGCATTTGCGTCGTCATGGTAAGTGACGCTTTTCCGCAGGTAGGGAACAAGTGGATCCCATGTCCACTCTTTTCCACCGTACTCCTCCCACATATCAAAAGTGCCTTTGGATCCAGGCGCCCAGGTAAAGTAGTTCAAAGAGGAACTACCACCGAGGACCTTTCCACGCGTGTTGGGCTTCTCAACGCGCTCATAGTCGTCTCGCTTAACCATGGTTGTTTTGAAGGCCCAGTCATACTCACTATCACGAAGTTCCATCGCATTGGAAGGAACTCTGATGGCTTCAAGGTCCTTGGCGTTCTCGACACCAGCTTCAATAACTAGGATTCTAGCATTGGGATTCTCAGCCAGGCGACCGGCAACGACGTTGCCGGCTGTGCCTCCACCGACGACAATGAAGTCGAATCTGGAATTGTCCTTGACAACAGTCATGTTGAGGGGTGAACAGGTTTGAGAACTTGTAAGGAATTGAATTGTATGAAAAATATTTGGGAATGTATTGTTTCATCTACGGAGAAAGGAACTTCGAGACGCCTTTTATATCTGATGGGTTGAGCTTTTAGAAATAAGTAGAGCGAATTTCATGCAACAGCTAGCCCATGCATTCCTTTTGCTAACCCCTCATGTGGCGTCATTGATTTGAGTAGAGCAACAGACAAGCGGATCCACAGACGTGGGCAGTATCTCTTCATTTCCTACTGTTCTCATGGCCATTCTAGCGTTTGCCGTGTGGCGATGGCTTGCACCGAGCCGTCCAGATCATGTCAAGATGTCATGGTTCTGAATTCCATTGACTTGGTCCAGTAGAATGAGTAGAATGAAGAGAAAACCTCGCTTCTCTGTCCATGGGAGGGGTTTGGCGGAACGTGAAATTAGATAGATTGACAGATAGTGGAGCATAACAATTTCATCTTTATGCAGCTTAGGTGGAGCTAGACCAGGTGAGATGGGCTATTCGTTGCGCGTTGCGCCGGCCGTGAATTGACTGAATAATCAACTAAATCTAAATTTGAGACATCGCAAGGGTGAACTGTCAAGCCGGTGAAATCCGAGTGGTCAACTTGAGGAGACTGATGGTTAGACGGATTTGGGTCTGCTTAACGAAGGTGATCACAGGTCGCAAGAGAAAGTGGAGTCTGAAAACCAGTGGTCGGATGTTTGGGAGATCAAGTGTACAGCATTCAGCAGGAGTAGAAGACTTGACGTAAGGCGTGACTATCCCCATGCTAGCCTGAACAGATGAGGCAGTAGCTTCTGACCAGTCAGATATCGGCATGTAATTCAGGATCTTTCCACTACCCAACTTAAAACACAAAACATCGAGGAATAGACTTCAACATGTAGATCTTGCTTCACTTTGTGCAGAGCATTGAGTCGAATTCTGCCCACAGCTCATGATGTACCGTATAAAATTACCCCTAAAGAAAAATCCACCTTTGTGCCCTCTTTATTGGGTATGCGATCCCAGACAAGCTTCAAGAAGTACGAGTTGAACCTGTTTCAGTCGACGGCGCACAACCCAGACCCAATGGAGACCTGACCTAGACCCATCCCAAACCCAGTCATTGGGGCCCCGAAAATCCGGAGATAACTCACTCCGACCTAGTTTCTGCATAAATTGGCCTCTCAGCGGTCATAAAGCCGCTGAATCAGCAGGTTCATACATCTGGGCACATAATTGGTGTTTGCATAGTTCATAACCCAAATTGGGAGTCCCACATTTATTCCTGAAACGGAAACCTCAAACCAAACTTCAACTCAGATTAGGTTGGGCCTGGATCGGGCGGAAAACTAGAGGACAGACTTAATCTACTTCTGGATAGGGTAATTAGCCAATCGGTTGAAGATCGGAAGATCGGCCGGGGGCGGGCTAGTTCGGAAGGTGGGGTATATAGAAAATTCCTAGCTGCTTTAGGAAACGCTGTTCGACAAATCATAGTTGTGTGCCGTATTGTAGTGACATAATTGTACGAGTCATTAAAGCTCATATCCGAAACAAAACCCACATACAGCAAAACAGTACTTCTGACACGATAGTCCTATTAGATCCAACACCCAAAAAGCCAATTAACCCATTTCCTTTTGACAGAGGTGACCCGCTGGAATGTTAGCTTGAGTCATCCATTGAGGGGTAGCTGAAATGGTACGAAAGCAAGGGGTGGCATTTTTGTATGAGGTAGATATCTCGCTCGGCGAAATTGACCACTGATACGGGCGGAAGAACTGCAAAGTAATCAAGATGTTCTGAATGGTCCGCAAATGGATCGTGGAAGCGTCATTCATATTGGGAAAGAATGGCGGAACGATAAAGCAATTCACTGAGAGGTTCATTTGCTTAAATTAGAGAGCCCTGGCTGCTTTATTCTGATGCTTTTCCTTTCCCATCTTGTTTTTTCCAACATCTAACAATCTACCATGTCTGAGGATAAATACTACACTCTTGCGGAAGGTCAGCATTTTGGGGTAGGAGGAGGGATCAGCAATCCTACACATACTGATTCTAGAACAGGATGCCCTTTCGCCAGCAACAATACTGCGGTCTTGATGCGGAATCGCTCAGGGACTGGCGGCCTTGGGCTGCTCCAAGACACTCAGCTTATTGAAACACTCGCGCACTTCAATCGCGAGAGAATCCCCGAGCGGTATGAACAGGTTCATCTACTATACAATACTGATTTTAACTAAATGGTGCTGTAGCGTTGTTCATGCAAAGGCCGTTGGGTAGGTGAAATTGGTTGTTATAGTCGGTTTGCAACACGTTGCTGACTGTTGCTCCAATTCTAGCGCATACGGAGAATTCGAGGCGACCGAGGACTGCTCCGATCTCACTTGTGCGAGCTTCCTTAGCAAAGTCGGAAAGAAGACTCCTATTCTCCTTCGTGTTTCCACCGTCGGTCCGGAATCGGGCTCTGCAGACACTTCGCGGGATGTTCATGGATGGGCGATGAAGATGTACACCGACGAAGGAAACCTCGACTGGGTCTTCAACAATACGGTGAGTAAATTGATGCTTCTGCGCTTTTATACCAAGGTAAAGCGGCTAACTAAAATTCAATCAAGCCTGTGTTCTTTATTCGGGATCCCATCAAGTTTCCATCTGTCAATCGCTCCCACAAAAGGAATCCCCGATCCCATTTGCCCGATCCAAACATGGTAAGTCTCGAACTCTGACCATTAGACGATTCAACATTATACTAATATATGTAGTTCTGGGAGTAAGCCCTCTAGATACAACCATGATTTTCTGCATTAATAACATACTTTAGCTTCCACGTCGGGAACCCGGAAGGCATCCATCAACTCTTGATTCTCTTCAGTGACAGAGGAACCCCACAATCCATTCGATTCCTCAATTCATACAGTGGACATACTTACAAGTTCACAAAGGCGGTAAGGATAACATCCGTAGTGACAACCACCTATCGCTAACTAGTTAGGATGGCTCGTTCAATTATATCAAAATCCACATGAAGACGCGACAGGGCGTGAAGAATTTCACACAAGAGGAAGCAACTCGCGTCGCGGGAGAGGACCCTGATTACATGATCAGAGATATGTTCGATGCCATTCAAAGAAAAGACTTCCCGCAGTGGGATGTTTTTGTGCAAGTAATGAGCCCTTCCGAAGCCGAAACCTATCGCTGGAATATTTTCGACATGACCAAAGTCTGGCCGCACAAGGACTTCCCGTTGAAGAAGATTGGCAAAATGACCTTGAATCGCAATGTGAGCTATTGTTTCTTCCTGCAAATGATGCCTATTCTAACTCTTTAGCCCAACAACTATTTCACCGACATCGAACAGGCCGCTTTCTCGCCTTCCACTATGGTTCCCGGATTCGCAGCTTCCGCTGATCCAAGTAAGTTACATATCAAATGATACTTGAATGACCAGTGGTTGATTCCCGAATCTAGTTCTCCAAGCCCGTTTATTCGCGTACCCTGATGCAGCTCGATATCGTCTTGGTGTCAACTATCAACAACTCCCCACGAATGCTGCGAAAGTCCCTGTTTACTGTCCATTTGAACGGGATGGAGCAATGCGATTTGATAGCAATTATGGTGCTGACCCGAACTACGTTGGATCTACCCTGCAGCCAACACACTTTAAGACTGAGGAAAGTGGCGTTACCTCACAGTCGCTGAGCGTCCATACCGACCACGAGAAATGGGTTGGCGAGGTGTCAACGTACACCAGCCAAATTACCGACGAGGATTTTGTTCAACCTGCAGGTTTGTGGGAACTTCTTGGTCGCGAGCCAGGGCATCAGGACAGGGTCATTCATAACCTTGCGGGAAATATCAGTGGGGTCAAGTCACCGAAGTTGCGTGATGGTGTTTACGGTTCGTTCGCCTCGTATAGTGTTCAACATATGGCAATTACTTACTCTAAACTCTTTGCAGAACTCTTCGGTCGTGTCAATCGAGATCTCGGGGATAAGCTTAGAAAAGCGACGGAGGCCAAGGTTAAGAACTAAATGGCTCGCTGTATGTCCTGTATAATGAGGGAAGACTCTGCACAGGAAGAGAAAATTTGGTGTCTTAGGCATCTATCAAGAACTATCGCAAGTTACGCTCAGTTTACTGTATTTCCATGAGACTAAATTGCAACTACTGTACCACAAACCTCCCGACCTAGTCCCCAAGTCGTGCAAAGCAAATCCGGGAAATCACGCCACACAAAAGCCCTCAGCACCAGTAAAATGAGTTACTGTTTGACCCAGCATCTGGCGAAAAGATACTCGCCTCATAGTCTTGCCACTGCTGGACTAGGCCACAAAAATAACAAATACAGAATTTATGCATTTTCAAAAAGATGTTCTGATAATATAATCACTCTGAAGTGTCAATTTGATGCGTTTCGACATGCCTACTAAGTAGCAGCCAACTGCAAAGGCGACTGGTTGCTAATTTTCCTCCTATTCTCTAAACATAAGAGTGTTCACCCAAGGGAAATTAAGACGGAATCCAGCGAGATATAGAATTACATCAAACCCCCATAGGTCTGACCCTCGGCTTCCAATTCCTTGTCCTTCTCGTAATAATCTTTGAGGGCTTTCTCGTCCTTTTCCAGATAGTCTTTATAGGATTTTGGTTTATCCTTGTTGTTCGACACTCCATTCTTCTTATCAGCGTGACATTCTTCTTCCTCGTTGTGATGATGATGATGCTCGAAAATCCTCTCGAATAAAGGTTCCTTGCCCTTAGCAGGACGTTGGGAGTCTGCTAGGCATTCGTTAGTCCCGCAAAAAGTCATGGATTAAACAAGGCGGCGAACCTTCAGACATGTTGATACTTGATAAGAAACGACTTAGTCACTTTGCGATTTGAGAAGAGAGCGAGTGATACGACCGTGCGGAAAGATATATCACAGTAGACACGACACCCCTTCGCTTTTATACTTTTCTCCGGTCGGTCAAGCTGCGATGACGTGGATGACTCAAAAATGAGCCCGGTCCCAAGAATGATCTCTTGCAGAAAGACTAATCAGGGTCTTGGTAGGCTGCTGGGTTTCCAAGTGGTTAAAATCTGCAGATAGAGAATTGAATGAATGAGGGAGTAAAGAGCCTTGAGGCATGTGGACCATGTTTGATGAAAGATCGGTATATGGTATAAGATTCTCTAGTTTAGATATCCATGGCTCCCCGTGGAATTTAATAATACTCGACTAGATAATGCTGAGCACTCGTCATCTACTCTTTATACCTCATAATATTGTTCAATAAATTACAAAATATATATATATATATATATATATTTTGAATAAGAATGTTCAAGTAATGAATTATTTTTGAGATTGAAAACTGTAATAAACGGACGCAAGAACAATTAATTAGAGAAAGAACCAGCTAACTAAACGTTTCTTCCCCCGCGGTGCAAATGAAACTGGGGACAGAAGTTCTTGATCCACTTTTCTAAATCCGGTACTACTAATTGGCCAATCGAAGGACGTATCTGGCATATGGCCTTGGAAGCCGAGTGAGAAATGGGCGAGAAGGATGAGAGTGCAATAGATAAGGTAAGAAGCTAGGTGAGAACTCACCTTCGTCATGCAACTGGCGCACTGATCTTCCTAGGAAGTTCTTAAGGCATAACGCTGGCTCTAAGGGGCAATGCGCTAATACGGACTTAGGCTGGGGTTATCTGTCAGGTGAATTTCCAGAGGGTATCCACTATTTACTGTAGTTCATCATGTAGTCATATTTAGATCCCTATAAATTGCCAGAACCAGCTACAATAAAATACAGAGGTTTCGCACATTTCTATCGGCGGAGTCAAAATAGCATTCGACAGAATCTATTCTCGGGCAAACATTTGCCCAAGATTGAAAGTGACCAAATTTCTCTTGAGTGGGCCAATTTGTGGGATGATACCGCATATTTTCCTTGCACCACCCCTATCAATCTACGGGGGGTGGTCACCCATAGGTCAGATGCCGCAGTTCTAATATTGATTAGTTCAACATGAATACATCCCTGTTAAGCCAGATCGCATAGATTGAATTTGGAGCCTTGTTTACTTCGTAGTGCTTACTCCCCTACCCCTCTGTACTGCGTCCCACGATGCATTTGTCGCAACCTTACTATTGAATGTCCGAAGGGTGTAAAATTCTTTAGGATAATCAGCATTAGTTATGGCGTGTGTTGACACCTCGATCACCTCCGAACCTAGCCGACGCCATTACCTTGCAAGACCTATTCGGTAGCCTACAAACCGCCGTGTGTGATGTGATTAACAAGTGCTAATCTAACCCAAAGCTGAGCTGAATGGGAGACTCTTCTTCTAGGAAATACTTTCAGTGCAGAGCTACCGTCGCTGGTGATCTTCTTTCGCGCGCGGATATCGCAGACTATTGACGGCGGAGCCCTCCAAACGTGGCGGGCTCAGTATCTTGATAAAGATGTTTTTCACCCCGAACTCATCCAAGGAGTTATCTTTGGAGGTGCCGAGTCCAACGAAGTAACGTTATCAAAGCATCCCAAGTTATTTCTCGAAGCTGGACTCGTTTCACCAAGATCAAGAAAGCGCGACCTTGGCAGAGGCCTCACGCTTGACCTATCAGCCATAAGACCCGAATTCTCTCGAGCCTATGCCGTTGGATATCTTCAAGAACTTTGAGAGCATGAGCGGGAAATTAAACTCATCATAGGATGGCCATTCTGCGGATTCGGGTAACAATTGGACCTACTTTGTACACATAATGACCTATAAAAAGACCACTGGAAGGACAATTGTTGGGGATGTCAGGTGACATCCCACATTGGGATAGTCTCCCATGGAGTAGATAGCTAGATATCTCTCGCTCTCTCTCTCTCTCTCTCTCCTTCTCTCGTCCGTCCGCAATACAATATTCACATCTTCATATTACATCGCCCTTGTATGATCTCCACGAGGTTATGAGCCTCTCTCTTTTCGATTCCTCTGGATTTCAGCTAGTCTGGACCACTAGCAACACCTAACAAAACATATCAACTTCTTTCAAATAAGACCCACCCACCGTCATCATGGCCGAAACCTCTGAGGAGGTCCCCATCACTGACCCTGTCAACCTCACCGATGATGAAGAGAACCAGGCAACGAATTTGCCCGCTCCTATCTCGGTGAACCTGCAGAAGATCAGCATCTTGGAGGAAACCACTGATGACATTGAGGAGTGGATTGAGGAAGCAACCTTTGTGCTAAACCCCCTTTGTCTTCAACAGCTGCTGGATTACTCGATCCCACGACCGGAGAAAGGAGATGCTGACTATAAGAGATGGGTGTACTGGTCAGCGACTGTAGCAGGTTGGCTATATAGCCACCTTCACTCAAGTCTCAAGACCATCATCCGTCCATCCTTGCGTCAGAAACAGAAAAGCATAGGGATCAAGCTAAGTGAAAAAGCCGAGACCATCTACGCCGATACCCTTATGAAAGAGATTCTTAAGGTAATTCGTGGCGGCAACTTGGCTAATCAAATCATTAACGACATTACGAAATTCACGACGTTAAAGCGAAACAGTTTCGCTACCGTGAAGGAATACATTGTCGCCTTCCGGAAGCTGCTTGGCATTCTTGAAAGACAAGGCCATGCACCTACCCCGCTGTTTTCATTCACATACATCATCAATGAGCTCAAACAAGAATCTCAGAAGATCACTTTCATCAAAGAACGAATCACCTCAAAGTCGACTATCACTATGGAAGAGCTCGATGACTTCTGCCTGGAATTACAGATTGAATCTGAAGGAAAGGAAACCGGCAACGCATTAGCTGCTCGAGGCGGGCGTACCAATAACAAGAAGAAGAAGTCACCAAACACCAAGGGTAGCGACAACAAGACACAGACCCAAACACCTGCTACCTCCGAGTCACAGTCCCAGTCTGACAATAACTCCGGAAAGAAGTTCCGTGGTGCACCCCCGAAGGGTAAAGACATTCACCAATACGCTAAGGAGAAGCGTGAAGCAGAGAAGCAAGTGGATGACAACGGTAACTGCAGTTTCTGTGGACTTGGTCCCCACAATGCCAAGAATTGTTACCACCTTGCCGACAACATTGTTGGAGACTGGAAGTTTCACAGGGGTGTGTGGGCATATACTCTTGCGAAGAAGAAGCAAGACGGCTCTTGTGGAATGGCTATCACAGCGATGGCTACTGGCAACGTCGACCAAAGATGGCTGCTGGATTCAGGTTCCAGAGAAACAATGACAAGCCATTATGGAGATTTCTTCACTTATGACCCTGTCCCCGCCACACATGCATATGCATATCGAGCTGTCACTGGCGAGCGTGTCATCACAAAGGGCAAAGGCATGATCCTCGTCCAAGCCAAAGATCGTAACGGCATTATCAAAAGTGTGCTTGTTGCAGGCTGGTACAGCCCCACAATGGATGGTAGGATACTATCCACAGAACGTCTAAGGAAAGACTGGAATTTGTTTCACAACCTAAGACATGAATGCCTCGAAGAAGAAGACGGCACTTTATTCGGTCTTACAGACACTGCGCCAGGAGTCCCTTACCTTATTGGCCCATTAAACGACGATGGAGGACGTCAACCACTAGAAGACGATGACCTCTCCGACATTTATGATGGCTACGTTGATGATGAAGGCTACGAATCCTCACTTTACGGCATAGAGTCCAGTGACGAAGAAGACACTAATGATAATGATGGAATTGCATTCCGAGCGCTCTCCGCAATGGAAATTCACCGCCGTCTCGGACACGTCGGTAAGGCTAAGATGTCTGCAACAATCAAGGATGCCATTATGGTTGAAGACCTTGAAATGCCAAGTTGTTTAGATATCGACTGCGAAGCCTGCCTGCTTGCCAAATCGAGAAGGAAGGTCTCCCGAGAACCCCAGGTTCGAGTCCAGGATGCCGCTTGGAAGTTCCACATCGATACACAAACCATGTCTCCACCTGGCCCAAATGGAGAGAAGTACTGGGTTCCAATCGTTGACGATGCTACCAGGATGGGTAGAGGCATCTTCACAAAGACGAAGGAAGAGATATCTACCCGCATGATCGAATTCTGCGAGGAAATGAAGCTGCTGACAGGTAGATACCCCGGTATTTGGCGCCTCGACAACGGCACCGAATTCAAAAGATTCATTACGTGGGGAAAGAAACGTGGGTTCGTCTTTGAGCTCACTCCTCCGTACACTGCAGAACCAAACGGCACAGCCGAATGGTATGGTGGCTATATCAATGAGATTGGAAGGACCATGATTGTTGACTCAGGACTCGATGAAACGCTCTGGCCATTTGCTCACCAAGCTGCTATCTACATTGTGAACCGTCTTGCAAACAGCGAGACCGGTAAATCACCAATCACCCTCTGGCGTGAGCTTCTTCACATTCAAAATACCAAGCCAACTCTCAAGCATCTACGGCCATGGGGATCCACTGCCTATGTGCACATTCCGAAAGATAAGCGAGTGCAATCTCGGAAGGCCGCACCCCGCGCCTGGAAGGGCTACCTTATCGGCTATGAGGGGGATGGCGGTCATGTTTACCAGATCTGGGATCCCGTGAACCAGGAGATGAAGAGATCTCGTGATGTTACTTTCCACAAACCTAGTGACGAGCATGACGACGGTGAAACAGGGGCTGTATCACTTCCCCCTGGCCCTCCGAAGGCTCCCAACAATCCTGGAAATGCAGGAATTTATCAAACTTCATTCATTGGCTCGGGCGAGCAAGCAAAACCACAGTCAACAATTCAGCAAGACCGACCACAGGTCCGAGAAGCTACTCCGGCACAGCCTTCACAGACCATTCTGCCAGACAGCATCTCCAGTTACAAGACGACTCCCGGGATCATTCCCCGAAGAGAGATTCGACAAATTGAACAAGCACCGTCTTTGCACATACCCTCGAGCACACACCTATTCGACAGGTCCACAGCTGCTTCTCGTCCCCGGACTCGACCCACTTTGTTACGTGCGCATGCACCTTTGCAGAGAATTACCGAGGAGGTTATTCAACCTCAGCGGATGCGCGCTACAGAAGACAGTGGCGACGAGCAACGAAGAGCTATACTGAATGAACGCCTAAATCGACTACAGGAAGATATCGAGACCATGAGCAATGAATGGCAGGATATACGCCAAGAAACTGAGCGCATTGAGGAAAGGATTTCAAACAGATCTACATCTATTGAACCTACTCCTACCCCTGCTGTTGCTACTGCTCCTGCCTCACACCACACGCCAGATAGGCCTCGCTCTCCTCAGGAATACCGATTCCCATTCCTATCACCAGATCAGTTACGCCTTTATAGGGAAGAGAGTGAGCAGGTGAGCGAGCAGACAGATCAGCGAGCGAATCAGCAGACGGTGATCCACATGTCTATTGAGAAAGACTCATCTCCAGTGCCAGCACCAGTCTCACCATCATCATCATCGCATGATCAAGTTGCTTCTGTTACCAAAGAAGTTATCTCAGTCAGTTCTACACCAGATCCAACCCTCCCACCCCCTTCACGACGAGTATCACATCGCCGAACCAAGGGATGCCCTCCGGAGCGGTACTCCGACCCGAATCGACCCCTCCTTTCCGTCGAGCGTGCATCGATTGCCAGAATGCAGAAGAAGCGACCACGACTCGATCGTCACGAGAAAACAAGTGCGGAGGAAGGTGGTAACAACGGGGAGGAGGGTGTTGGACAGAGATCTGCGGGATCTGTTGATGATGCTGAAGCCGCGCCTGCTTCCTCGAGAACTGATTCCGAGGGACCAGCAGCCCTCGCTGTCACTGCTCCTGTCAAACCAATCATCATATTTAATGATAAGCCCCTTCATGGAAAGGATGTCATTATTCCCACTACATACAAACAAGCACAGAAATCCCCTCACTGGGAATTCTGGCACGCTGCTATGGCTCAACAAATCGAGGATCTGAATGCACAAAAGACATACACTCTGGTACTCAAACCAAAACGTGCGAGCGTTCTACCTGGCAAGTGGGTGTACACTGTGAAAACAAACACCGACGGATTTGTTAATACCTTCAAAGCACGCTGGGTTGTGTGTGGAAATTTCCAGCAAAAGAAAGATGACCGGGAAGATTGCTATGCCCCTGTGGTCTCCGAAGCACTGATCAAGATCGTGCTAAGCCTCATTGCTATCTACAATCTGAAATGGAGGCAGGTTGACTTCACTGCAGCATATTTGAATGCTTCCCGTGCTCACAGAGAGGTTGTGTACATGCAGCAGCCCTCTGGTTTCGAATATCATGACGACGAAGGAGGGATCAAGTCCTGGGTGTGCTCCCTAGACCAAGCTTTGTATGGTCTTAGGGATTCTGCATTCTTATGGAACGAAGAGCTAGACAAGACCCTTTGTGGTATGGGTTTCCAACCATTGGAAGATGACCCCTGTGTTTACAAGAAAGGTGTCGGAGCAAAGATGACCATTCTAATGCTTCATGTTGATGATTTCATTGTTGCTGCTCCTTCTGATGAAGAGATTGACGCCCTGATCGCTCAACTAAGCAAGCATTACCCCCTGAAAGACCTCGGTGAACCGAAACAGTACCTTGGCTGCTTGCTAGAGCGAGACTACGACGCCGGGACTATTCGGATGTCCCAGAAAGCCTATGTCCAAAAGATCCTGCACAAAGCAGACATGTTGCACTGCAAAGGAAGGAGTATCCCATTACCGGCAACATGGAACTGGTCCGAAGGCCACGAGGATGCAACGTCGACCCTCGAAGATAATGACGACTACTTATCAGTTGTGGGAAGTCTGAACTGGTTGGCAATGCGTACGCGCCCCGATATCAGGTTCTATGTTACAAAGCTACAACACAAATCTGCGAATACCACTATTCACGACCAAGAAGCCATGGTGCAGGTCCTTCGTTACCTCCGAGAGCATCCAGATCGTGCGATCACACTCGGAAAGAAGAAGGAGTTACAGTTCTATGCCTATGCCGACGCTTCACACGGAGACAACCTGAACTACAAGTCAACTGAGGGCGCAGTCTGGTTCTTTGGAGGTAGTCCAATCCAATGGTCAACCAGGAAACAGACTATTATGGCCCCGTCAACCACGGCCGCCGAATGGTGCGCACTTGATCAGCCTGCACGGGACGGCATGTGGCTTCGCAAACTTGCCATAGCCTTTGTTTTTCCCAGAGCAAGCGATCCGTTGGTGATCTACACAGATAACATCAACACTCAGCTACTCTTGAACAAGAAGACTGGTCGCAACTCGACAAGATGGCTTAACATGCGATATTTCTTTGTGAAAGATGCTGCTGCCAAGGGCTACATTGACCTCGAAAGGGTTGAGAGCAAGGCCAACGTGGCGGATGGTTTCACGAAGCCACTCGGAGAAGAAGCGTTCCCCGGATTCATCACACAGCTAGGGATGTGAGAACAGGGTGGAGCGAAAGGGAAGAAATGAAGTGGACAACATGATAGGATTTCCATTCTGAATGGAGCCCTCCTATTGGTTGAAAACCCACAGGATTTCAGAGTGCATTTGTTATTGAATTGAAAAGAAGATCGCTTGTTTTGCCTGGTCAACTGTGGAGGATCCGGAGGCATGAGAGCCTATGAGGGGGATGTTGGGGATGTCAGGTGACATCCCACATTGGGATAGTCTCCCATGGAGTAGATAGCTAGATATCTCTCGCTCTCTCTCTCTCTCTCTCTCCTTCTCTCGTCCGTCCGCAATACAATATTCACATCTTCATATTACATCGCCCTTGTATGATCTCCACGAACAATCAAGAGAGGCTACCTAGGCGATCTCAAGAAAATATTCGATTACCGCCCATAAATTTAATGAATAGAAAATATGGCCCAATTAGATCACAACACATGCATGACACTGTCATCTTCCCCTGTCGTATACCACCAAATCGGCTATACTCGCCGGTTCAATGCAGGCTCGCAAGTTTTCAGCCGCAAGCCACAAGGTCCTTGCGCTCGAAAATTATGACCTATCTGAGACTCAATATCGCCAAAAGAAACACTATTGCGGGGGATTGATAAGTGATTGCAGCTTTGTACTCAAATGCGACATTGCCCGAATTTCGCGCCACATTATCGGTGCACTTAGCTCGCTAAAAGCGCATGTAATGGCACAATCTCAAGCCCCGGTCCAGGTCAATCACGCCGTTGTATAGATCGTAGTACAGATTGGTACACATCTTTAGTTGCACGAATATTGGCTGCACGAATATAGCCCATCTTCTGCTTCGGGTTAAAATTCCCGCTGTTGCTTTCACTGAGATCGCTGTAGCAATGTACTGGTAGTCCACTTTGGGACTATGTGACCTCCGAGATATGAGAGGCGCGCATTGGTATCACGATATTGCGTCCTTTGTATCGCTTCTATGTCTGGATTATGATCGCAGAGCTCCTGCAATCGCCGGTGTGCTGGCATGTCTTCCGTATCGAGGATGTGGTAGGGACGCGCACTTCCGTAGTATCGGAGATATCTAGGTATGGAGGGAAGAACTTTTTGCTGCGATCGCCTGTAGCGACTTGTGTGCCACGATGGAAATTTAAGATTGAAGCCATGCTTCGCTTGGAAGTCAAGCATCTTCGGATGATATCAGTAAGGTTCTGCCCTTTTTTGTGATGATTTCTTGGTGATTTTACGACTTAATCGACTATAGCTCTCGTTGGACGTCATATTTCCTGCTGGTTCATTGTAAAATTAAACCATACCTTGATCTACTATGCTCATATTCTCCAAGCGGGGACACGGGTTTTAATGACGGCCAGAAGCCTTGGTTTTAACGATAGGGTAGAGTATGAAAATCTCATTTTGCGCGTGGAATCATAGTTGGATTAAGAGCTATATTATTAGACCGAATGATTAGGCGAGTCGTGGACCAACCGCTGGATGACGATGTACACTTTGCTGTAGACGAACGAGGCGTCAGCCTCGAACGGTTGCCTGCACAGCAGGCTACCTTCCCAGACTACTCAAACTACCAATAGTCATTCCAAGTGCTCGGCCTAATAAACTATAATATCCTACAGCTTATATTGCTATTTGCCCCCTAATCAATCCTACATGTTATCTGTATCAACGCGGAGGGAATATGACATGCATCCGAACAATTCTGCTTCATATGCCGCACAAAACGTTCTTTAATGTGCAATATGCTGTTAATTTGAGATATGGTTTGAAGTTGCTGCCTATTGGAGGGATTTTGCGGCATTTACGCTAGAAGGTATGTGATCTCATTGTAAAAATAAATCGGTCGGCTATGAAATGTGTAACGGATTTAGAGTCTTTTCACAGCGATTTATCCGGGGTTTTAATCTGTACCCATGTTCTCCTAACTCAGGCTCTTGGCATTTTAACAAGAGTTAGTCTCGTGCAATAAGTCCCAATCACAATCTGAATGGCCTCTTTGGGGCTCCTCCTCTCTCCCTCGGGCTGTTGAAAGATCTTTAGCGGGCTTCAAATTCTGAGTTTCGAATTCAGGAATTTTCCAAGAAGTGTCACAGGACTGATAAATCTCAACCCAAGATAGTCAGGAGAGGTGAAGATAGGGGATGGAGAATAGGTGTATACCATCCGGTATTATGGCGATCCTCTCTGCGAGTACGCAAGATTAGAAACTCAGTCGCCACAGACGTATCATGTGCAGATGATCCATGTGACAGGGGAGTCAACTTTGATAACAGAAAGACGAAGATCCTCGAGATCGTCACAATCTTCAGAGCAAAAAAGCTCACAAATACTTATTTCTTTCATCCAAGTAGAAATCAAGGGGTCTCATGATCCGATCTTCACATCAACAGGCGGATACAGTACTAGTAAGGACTAGATTTCCGATGCAACCTTGATATAATGGTGGAAGGATGTGAGGAATCCTAAAGACATTCTGAAACATGTGATTCTCTCCCCACCCTAGATCAGAAGTAGATAGGAGTCAAGGAGGTAAGCTTGTTAATTGTGAAAAGAACCGCAATATCACAATCTGGACCAGCACAGGCCCTACATAATGCACAACTTTGTTCCTAATTGCTACCACTGTGCTGGGTTATATTCGTCGTGATTCTTCCCCTCAAGGGTATTCCCATACACTAGTGGATATAGGACGATCACTTGCAGGGAACTAGGACGGGGGTACTCCGGATCAACTGAAAGATCAGTAAGTATTGTCTAGACTCCGCCCATGTACTAAACCATATAGACATTAGTGAATCTGTTTTGCATTCCCGACGGTCCGACCCCCCTCGCAGTGAATGAACAAGAGCCATGATTGGTTTGATCCAAGACCTTTCACGTGATTGAAGAGCCCCTCTCCGGAGGACAGTAACGAATCAAAAGACTTGGATCGGGGTGTGCAGCGGAGGGGCACGGGACGGCTGCACATGACTTGCGATGAAAGATGGAAGCGCGAAATGATTCACGCATTTTAGTTGGTTATCTTCAGATCTTCTGCTGATGCATTCTTCTTTGGTTTTGTTTTGGAATTGGAACAGTTGCCGGGTCTGGATGCTGAGTAAGCGCTTATCCAATGCGGTCAGGTGACTTTTTGCACCTTTGGCTGTTGTGATCCACCGAACCCCACGCAACTCCTCATCTACTCGCCTCGCCACGTGAGCAGTCCGTCTCGACTTGTCCACGATTCTCATATTCCAACGAATCACCCCTTTTTTTTATGTAAATTTGCCGTGATACGGTGGATTTTCAAATCGTTTGCATAACTCGCTATCCATTCTATCAATTTTCAAACTTTTCCATTTTCGCGAGTCAATTTCGAGATTCGGGTTTCGCAGACAACGTGACTTGCGTCTTGTTGAGCAGGTGACTTCCTGTCAGGTGATAGAGAGATCATCCCAAGGTACGGCTCCATCAAACCACCCCATCTCCATTCATATCCCCTGTCACCGCACGTCGCGTCGAGATACTCATCGCGAGTGGTGACCTTCGTGACGATGCCCCCCTTGTGTGACCACCGCTGCCTCCAAGCCATCATGACGCGTTTTTGAGGTGTTCAACCCCGCGAATGCGACATGTTGCGCTATTTGCGAGCGCAGATAGTATCACTGCCCTGTAGACCTTCTCCCACTGCATCGCCCGATCGCGAGGAGACTTCACCGGCGATGACCGGATCTGATGTGACTGGTCTTCGCCGAGATGCCTTACAAGCGCGTCGGGTCCACGCGTCTGTTTACTTCTCGCGGGGTGTCCACTGATCTACCCGAGGATGACTTGATCTGTCAAGAGTCGAATTATCTCATGCTGCACTGGCATTCCTTTTTCACTCCATTCTCTTATTCTCCGAGACTTGTTTCACTTGCCGCCGGCCTTTGTCAAATTCATGACTAACCACCACAGATAGGACAATCGCCTTCTGGGCTCAGCAATGTCTGATCCCACAATGAATAGCCCCGACGATGGTTCGCACAAGCGCAAGAGAACTGGCTCAGAGGATCTAGGTTCCGATCCCCAGCGCCTCAATCGCTCTTCTCACGGCAGTAACGGCAGCATGGGAGATAATCAGCACAACTTTGGCCACAGCCTCAGCCAATATGACCACGGGCTTCCCACTGCCTCTGAATTGAACATTGATCAACAGATTCTTCAGCATGTTGGCCCGCAGAATGGCCTCTCTGATGATAATGCTCTGACCGCCAATGCCAAAGCCGCCCTGGCAGCTCATGCCCCTCAGCACAAATACCCCCCTCCTCCCGATGCTGGTTTCGATGCAAACAACCTCACCCAAGGTCTTTCCTTCGGTGACGAGATCAACCAGTCTCCCATGGGTGGTGGTCACAACCACAACTCCACTGCCGCTGCCGTTTACGCCGCGCGCGAGGCCCAGAGCATGAACCAGAAACCTACCGTCGGTTCTCCTGAATGGCACCAGATCCGCAAGAACAACCACAAAGAAGGTAAGATTTCATTCAGTTTAGGCTCGACACTTTTCTTACTGACCATTTCACCAGTCGAGCGCCGCCGCCGTGAAGCCATCAACGAGGGTATCAATCAGATCGCCCGCCTCGTGCCAAACTGCGATAAAAACAAGGGTGCGATACTCCAACGGGCCATCGAATACATTCATCAGCTACAGGAAGAGAAAAAGCATATTGAGGAGCAGTTCGAAAAACACAGTCTTACCGCCACCCATGCGATCACCGAGATCAGTGGCTCAAACCAAAAGCTGAAGGGGAGGTCGCTCGCCGCAACGGCATTGCCATGAAGTGGTTGCAGCGTTGCCGGGATGCGGGCTTAGAGTATGATGATTACGAAGAGTCCAAGGACCTAGAGTCACTGGAGATGGAATAGGGTGTTATGCCCTTGTTCTGCACGTGCTACGACCCTTGCGTTTCTGGAGGTTAAGACTTGAACATACCCTCATTCTTTTTTTTCTTTTCAAATTTGTTCTGCACTTCACGCATCTTTCCCTTTTCTATCATGTTTCTTGACTCTTGGTGTGGCCTATCATTATCCCTTGATTTTGAGATGTGATGTGCTCGCACTCAATCTCGGTAGTCGATGGTTTCTCCACGCTACCCTTGCGATCTTGCGCGCAGACTTTGTTGTTTTCTTTTACCCCAATGACTATTCTCTGCTCACAGATTTGCGTTTTTTTTGTACGCTATTCGTGCCTTCTTTTTTTTGTTTTCAAGTTTCATCTTTAATGGATGGGTCGGCGAATCTACGGATGGGATGGGTTTTGCCTTGAAATGGAGCTGCGGTTTAATACAAATTTCGATTCAATGCATTATTGTGATCTGTGACCTGACGTAGATGTGGCTTAGGTACATATATATATAGAGTAGAATGATGCGATTAGATTTGATACGCACTAATCTAAGTCCGTCCTAGGTACTATTCTTTGATTGGATGGCTTTATTGGAAGTTCCAAGGTCTCAAAAGGTCGTGCGGAGATCAACAATGCGTGATCGGGGCTTATATTACTACCCCTCCTATGATGTAAAGTCCCCTCCCCCGACTATATCTATCTCTACTCCCGCTCCATTTCCCCTCAAATAATCACAACCCACCATGCCTTCTTATATAGTGAGCATCTCACCAAGAACCTTACAGCCTTAAAACCCCGCAATTTGCTAATGCCAATAGATCACACTCAAACAAGACACTTCCGCTGACGAGGTTGAGGCGTAGGTACACCCCCCAAGTTAAGATCTACCTTTCTAATTCACATTCTTCTATAGCGTCAAGAATGAAGTCAAGAAACAAGGCGGCACGATCGATCATGAGTATTCTCTGATCAAGGGTTTTTCGTAAGTCTTTCGGTATAGTCTGTTGCTCCCTAGACTTGACTAATACCGAAACATCTATAGTGTTACCTTTCCAGAGAGTGCAGTTCACACTCTCGAAAATCACGAGCACGTCGAGACTATCGAGGCTGATAGTGAGGTCAGGACACAGGATTGATACGGCTGTGCATCCATACAATTATTGCGTAAATCGGATATCCATCGCGATACTCCAGTTTGGTTGAATATAAGTTTTTTTTGGAACTTCTGCGAGAAAAACGTACAATATTGTCCTCGATCCACGGTAATCAGGGCTTTTGAATCCTTTAACATAGGGAAATAGTCTGTCCCTCTATCATGTCATCTCCCCTCTAGAACTTCCTCGGTGGTCTATGCTACCCCCTGCTCTTCATTTACCCTTCATAAGTCCACAAATCAAACGTCGGTAGTACATCATTCCCGTGAGGTGACTCATATCCTATAAATTACGCAACATGTTAGTACCAGCAGGTCATTATCACGAAAAGACGCGTTTGAGGGAGCCGTCAAAGGGACTATACACAATGCGCTGTATTACAACGCTTTCTACCTACACCATGGGTCCGATGTAGAGAGTCCACCATAGAATAAACATAGGAATAGCTCATATTTTGGGGGTTTAATGAAGTCGAAGTAAATAAACGTTGTTATAGAATAAAGTACAAGCTTCCGCTGTCTTCCAGCCAAAAAACTCTTGCAAAATAATCAACAGCCAACTAGCTAGCCCAAATTGATACAGCAGAAGATAATATGCAGCAAACCTGTGACTCAAGCTCACAGGTTAGACGAAGCGGTGACTTCAACACCAGAGGAAACCTGAACATCTTTGACAACAACTGTAGTCCCACTTGATCCAGTGACCCGCACATCAACAGTATCGGTACCGAACCCAGAAGAGTTCTCGAAGAAGTTGTACGTAGCACGGGTGGTGGCCTGCCACGAGCTACCCCCATCAGTGCTAACCTCCAACTTAGTAACAGCATCGTTGGCATTGACAACCTGCATGGAGAACCAGTACGCAGAAGTACCCTCCTTATTCTTAAGCTTCAGTGGGCCGTCAAGGTCACATGAAACGTAAGACCAGTCAATGTTAATAATGCCGGCAGAGACATCCGAGAGTTCGGCGAAGGCATTCTGGAAGAGATCGAGGTGGTTGCTCTCGCATTCGGGGCATTGGTCGACGATCTGGTATTGTTAGTGTGGTTCCGGTATGATGAGTATATTTGCGACTTACCATTGCTTTAACGGAGTTACCATTCGGCCCGGTGACGGAAACACAGCGCCCACAGTTTGCGGAGTCGTCCCAGCGTTCGAGGGACAACGCCGTGCCAAATAGTGTGCTTGGTAGACTGTATCCGGAGAACGAGCAGGTCCCGCCTGATACATTGCCACCGTAGAAGGTGGCTTTGCCGGAATTTCCTCCGGTGGATGAGCTTGTGGTTGCGACAGCTTTCACAGCGGCAGCGGCAGTGGTTGCAGCAGCTTTAGTGGTGGTGGTTTGTTTGGGGAGGGCTTGAATAACAGGGGCAGTGGTGGTCTCGGCAGTAGTCTCGGGAGCATCTTGAGTGGTAGAGGTCTGCTCGACGATAGGCTGAATGAGAGGGGCGGTGGTGGTCTCGACTGCAGCGACATTCTCAAGCGACGAAGTGGGAAGGAGAGCAACGGCCTCGGTGGAAGAGATCTCCGCCAAAGATGAGGAAGATGCAGAAGACGGGACTTGTTCAACCACGGAGGGAGTCTGAGACGCCACGACAACGGGGGTAGAAGACGGAGTCACGGTGGGTTCTGTGGATGTTTCAGCCACGGTGACCGGGGTAGGCGACGGAATCACGGTAGGATCAACGGGAGTCGCGGTTGTAGAAGGTTCCAAGTAAATGGTCTTATAGTATACGCTCGCGGTGTAGCCCTTTGGGCAGGTATCATCTCCGCGGGGGCCCAAAGGACCAGCGGAAACAGTAGCTGCGCTTAGAAGGGCGGCGACGGACGCCAGACAAAGGTACTTCATTGTCACAGAAGTTATGTTCAAAAATGAATGTGTGTGTCCTAGGACGATATATCGAAGATTTGAAGTATAGAAGATACGAACGAGTTGACTCGAATGATCGGACGTGCTGCTGCACTTAAAGAATGGACGTCTGGATCAGGGATTCCAGATACGAAATGAATACTGTTCCAGACAGAAAGAAAAGAATGGGTGAGAAAAGATGGAATGAAGATAATGGGAAAGTCGGGCGCTTATAGATCATAAATCACAAGTCTAGGCGCCGTTAATTAACGTGCATGAGTACCTAGTTTGAACTATCGAATTAATTAATTTACACCAACAATCGGAGATGAAACATGAAACATAACGTGGATCAGCAACCAGTATCGAGGCTCGGGAGTAACCGAAAAGGGCGTATGGCCCATTGTGTTAGACCGGGTTAGGGCTAGTGGATATTGTTTAAATTAAAGAGGAAATGACAGTGAGTCAAGGTGGAATGAGATTTCCTTTTAGCCTATTAGATGATTTTTAAGCCAGGGTTCAAAAGAAAACTAAGGATTCGCATGTTATTCCGATTACTTAGGGTTCAATATACCCCTACCGTGCATCCCACATAATCTCATTCAGCCTCAGCAACGCATCCGCACTGGCTTTCTTCGCCGACATAAAATCTTCCCGACTCTCTGTTCCGCGCGGGCCGCGAAGAATCTCAGAGAAGCAAAGGTCAACGAGAACACGCAGCTCGTCGTAGGTGAACGGTTCGCCATTTCCAGCAGCCAAGGCCTTGGCACCTTGTGATGCGAACGCCTCTTTCTCATCCTTTGAATAATCCAGGGACTTTTCAGCGCCTTCAAGGAACCAGTCTAGAAACTTCGCGCTGCGTGGTAGGGCGACAACCTCCTCAGACGCCTGTGCGTGTAGATCTGTTGCCGAAGTCGGCGCATCACCAGCTGGGTCGATGATGATGTTTTTCAGGTTTTGCTGGAGAACAAGTACATCGAGTTGTAGACGTAGGGCTCCGTTCTCGTTCATCGCTCCGATATACCGGGTACTTGCGACGAAGACGCGGTCGATAAATCGGGCCAGGCCTGATGTAATGAACCAGCGTTCAGCAGAACCCAGGTACGTAGAGATATTGGTATCGAATGCGATGAGATCATTATTTAGCGCGAGAATTGTGGGAGATGCAGCTGTTGGTTGGTTCATGATTATGTGCCACCAATTTTCTGTTGTATTTGGGGAAGGAGTTGCAGGCTCGGAGTTTCGCAATGTGGGTGGATTAGGTCCAGACATAGTTCTTGTCAACATGTGGATGATACCACACCGGATGTCCACATGCATTGTCAGAAGGGCGGTTGTACCAAGGCCGCGCAATGACTGAAGGGTTCCATCAAAAGCAACGGCGGTTTCGCGGTTAAGCGGCAAATGAACCGGGTTGTTGATGCTATCGCGCTTGGGCTTCGTAGATCCGAACAAAGTCCATCTGCGAGAGGGCCTGCCAGTCGCAGTCAGACTTGACGACTCGGCGTCCGCAGTATGCTCAACCACCTGGCGGATTTTTGCTAGGTGACTTCCAAGCCACTGCATGCTGTTGTACAAGAGAGAGAGCGAGACGACTGTCTTAGGATCCGAGATGATATCGTATGGTTCCAAGGGCACCTCGTTTGTTCGCTTGAGCAGGAGGTCGATTTCCGTATCGATCAAGGTTTGCTTTTTGCTCCCGGCGCCTTTCCAAAGTTCATCGACTGTATCATGGATATCGCCCGACTCGGCAAATAATGCTGCAGGCTTCAATCGGACCTCACCACCATGGTTGCGGGCAGACACTTTAGTGACCATTGCTTTGTACCATCCACAACACTTATCATAGTAGGTCACGATCTGATCAATGAGTAATTGTGTGAACGCTTGATCATGTGGAATACTCGAAAGCATCTTGCTGAATTCGCGAACAATGGACATAAACTTGACCGTGCCCTTGAAGATCGGCCTAGGAGAGACCTTCGACCAATGAGGATCCTCCATGAACGCATCAGCAGCAATGAAGCTGAGAGTACACAGATCTGTCACAGTCTCATCCAACTGCGGCAGGAAGACATTGACCATGAAGTCATCCAAAAAGGAGGTTAAGGTACCCAAGGAGATCTCCGAATCAACTGGAACGATATCCTTAAGACGCTGGATGAAAGATAAAGAGGGAGGAAGAAGAATTCCCATGTTGAATACACTTGGCTCGAGCAAGATCTTGTGCCCAGTCCCTGAATTGCCTTTGTTGGACTGTGCAGTATCATTTGTCGCAGCTTTGGACCTCGACTTGGAGACAAGCCCTGGCACCGAGGACTTGAGAATCTCATCGAGCTCGTCTTGCTCCGCTTTCATCTCCGAGTTGTGCTCAATATCAGACAGCTTGAACAGTTTCTATGAAGATGGTCAGCTCTCAAATCCAGACTGTGGTCACTTGGGATTTTACTGACCTTGTTCTTATCACGGGTGCTGGAGTATACATGATGCCGAGAGTCGACTTCTTCTGCTCTCGATGAAGAATCCCCGTCGGTCGCAAGGTAGTCATGCATGAGTGATCGGATCTAGCGAAGGAGGAGGTCAGTAAGAACATTCAGTGATGTCAGATCAAGTTTTGATTGTCTCACCTCACTCTGCAGAAGCTTCCACAGCTCTTTAAATCCGCCAGAAAGTGTCTCACTTTTAATAAGCCCTTCGCGCTCAACGATTGCCGCAACGACATCATGAAGAATGCGGTGGCCTTCCGCAATCGCCTCAAACTTAGCATACAGTGCCCATAAAAACTCAGAAAGAACATGTCCTCGTTTCTCAATGATTTCGGTGGGAAGGCTGGACTGTTTGTAGTTGTCCTGGGCTGAGAAACTTTTAGTGGGTGCCGGATAGCGGGCATCAACCTCTGCATTGGTCTTGTCCACCACAGCAAATAGTTCGACCGGGAGGCGCTGTTCAATTCTATGCACCGCAACATCCAGATGCCCCATCTTGTTCAGGGCCTCGATTAACAGCTGTATGTAAGAGAAAGTATCGGCCTCAGGGTTTCGAGAAGCATCCTCGACCATTGGCGTCAACGGGTCAAATTTAGCCAGAAAACTATAAACCGGTCGTTCCCAAGATCGATTACCAGACCAACTAGACGTAGTCGATTCGCCATCGGAGGTCGGGGTTTTCCACCGATCTGAACAATAGGGTGATTTGAGGTATAAGTGATCATGCAGCTCTTCGATCAAGATATCCGTAAGGGATGTTTCTTGATTGATGAAATAAGCTCGAATATCGGACAAAGCGCCAATTCCTTCCAATTCCGAGCGCCGCAGGACTCGGAGACCAGTGTGGAGGACATCCACCGCTGCAATGAAGCGCTTGTCTGAGATCTGCGATTCGAGTTTCTCGGGAAGAGATTGAATCTCTTCGATTTGAGTGAACAACTGAACAATATCGTCGTAATTCTGAGAAGATGTTGCCAATCCTTTCAGTTCAGGCTTCGTGGATATTAATCCGGATTTAGCTTGATCCAATGCATGTCTCAAGCTGCGCACTCGACTTTGCGAGGAAGAAATGTTGGACTGGATTTTGTGGTAAGTTCCGATGGAACTGTTGAATCCCTGATGGTGTTCTATGACACGAAGCATCAGTATCGACTTTTTCCGGGCCGTAAAGAGTACCTACCATTCACGATGGCCTTCAGCGTCTTTTGGATGTCATTGTACATGTGCATGAAGTCCTCTTCTCGGTCCGCCTTGCCCAATGTACTCGTATCCATCAGACTCAGAGCAACGTGTACTGGAACACACTCGGCATCTGTCATAAAGTCCCAATCGCGTTGGATCGATTGCAGGATCGCTACAAACATCCCATTTATTAGCCATTGAACATCGATAAGTATCCAGGAAGGAACACAGACTTTCAATGGCCTGAGCCTCCCCGGAAGTATTGCTCCTCTTGACCACCGGGAAAGCATTCCTCTCCTGGTCCCTACGGTCCGCATGGTGTCTCTGATCCCTCGGCCGCTCATCCAGGTTTTTCGTATCATGTTCCCGAGGTCTCGACCGAGACCGCGAGCTAGCCTGCGAAGGCTGCTGCCGATCGCGATCGTGATTTGGCTCATCGCGCCGACGCTCGGGGGACCGGGATTGACTCGGAGACAGAGCAGGTGGCTGGGACGAGTCTTCATAAAAGCCACCGTATCCGCCAGGGCGGCGATCCGATCGACCTCCGCTTGATGCTCCGGCAATTCGGCCACTGTATCCGCTCACCCCGAGACTGCTGCTGCTTTGTGCGTCATTTGCGTCGTACCGGCCGGGGCCGGAGTAGCCGTACCCATGTCCATATCCGTTTTGGCCACTCATCCCAGTGGATGTTCTCTATTCACGGGTGTTCGGGTTCGGGCTGGGTGCTGGTGGGCTGCGACAAGGGGCGAGCGTGGGGTCGCGGTTGGTGTGAAGGGGGGGTTTCAGATCCTGTGGCTTGCGCGCGACAATGAGCCAGGGCCTTTTAGCATTATTGGCTGGGTATTTTAGTGTACCGGGGCAATTTGGCGATGACTGCACGTATGATGGTGTTGGAATGGACAAGGGCGGAGTGTCGGGCTCCACTGGAGCTTCCCGCATTCCACTGGCCAGTTGTCTTTTATACTAAGTGTACATGAAGCTCGATCAATCTACACCTTGTGCAGGTACAATTAACTAATCACCAGGATATTTTGTGTTGACCTTGGGCAGCTCGTTGGCATTTTTGTTCGTAGAGGGGGTTTTCGGAATTTAGAATTATGTAGCCAACACTAGCATGCAAAATATATTCTGTACCACCACACAATGCAGTTCGATCTCATCGGGATCACTGCCACTCACTCAATCATTACATTTATACTGCCGTTGACTTATTTGGAGATGGGCCGAGTCTCACGCTCGAGCCACGACCGAGTTAGATCGTCATTTTGGAAGTAGTGTTCTGTCTTGGCCCAGATCTCAGCGTGGTAGTCGTTTACCCACTTGAGCTCAGCGTCGCTCAGTAGCGAAGGTTCGATTAGGTTACGACCGATAGGAGTCATGGTAACGTGTTCAAAGCCAAGCCATTGCTTATCGCCAAATTTGTGGGGAGTATCAACTTCGCGGCACATGACAATGTCTGCAGACAGCAGTGTTAGTTTTCCTTCAATCGCATTGAGGTTTGATACAACTTACTCTCGATTCGAATGCCAAATTTGCCATCCTCGTAGTATCCAGGTTCTATGGAATGTAAGCTTCAAGTTGCAGGTATCATACAAAGAAAGACGAACCATCTGAGATAACATTTCCGGCCGCGATGGGCACTTCGGTGTACTGAACCCGAGTTCCAATACCAATAGGGCCCTCGTGGACGTTCTAAATGGCTATTAGCAATGTGGCTAGCGCATAATTGAAGATTCTTTTACCAAATAGGAGCCAACTCCGTGGCCTGTTCCGTGGAGGAAGTCCAAGCCTTCTTTCCACAAGTGCTGGCGCGCCAATACATCAATGGCGAAGCCACTGGTGCCCTTGGGGAACACCGCCATGTCAATTCCAATGGTTCCCTTCAAGACCAAGGTAAAAGCACGCTTCTCAAACTCGGTGGGGGTACCGAAGTGGAACGTTCTCGTGGTGTCAGTAGTCCCGTCATAGTATTGACAACCAGAATCACAAAGGTAGATGGCATTAGGGTCAATGATAGAACAACTTCCCTTCTCGGGCTTGTAGTGAATAACAGCACCATTAGGTCCAGTCGAAGAGATAGTGTCGAAAGAAAGACCAGCAAAAAGTTCGTGCTTAGAGCGAATTTGCTCAAGCTTGTCAGCGCCGTCGACTTCATCCAGGACAGTCTTCTTGTTGACGAGTTCGTTTTCAAGCCAAGCAAAGTACTCGGTCAAGGCAGCACCGTCACGAATATGGCAAGCCCGCATGCCCTCGAGTTCGGTCTCGTTCTTGATGGCCTTGGAGTCTGCGACGGGGCTGCGGGTTTCTTCGACTTGCCCTTCGCCGCCTAGGCTGATGCTAAGAGCCCAAGATGCTTTGTTTGAGAGCAAGAACTTGGCGGCATTTTCACCCGCAGCTTGGCTTCGGGTAGCGAGAGCTTTGGCGTCGGCAAAAATGGAGTCGTATGGCTTGACGATAACATCTTGTCCGAGATGGGCCTTGACTTCTGGGGTCAACTTGTCATCCTCGACATAGATCTCAGCCGTGGTGGGTGTAATGACGACATATGAGAAAAACACAGGGTTGTACGGGATACTAATTGGGGTCAGTCAATTAACAATGAACCTTCTCGTGGCATGTTTATTCTTACTCGGTTCCTCTCAGGTTGAACAGCCAGGCGATTTCATCGAGCATGGCTATGATCCGTTAGTCAATCTGCGGGTGAGGATGTGATCGAGGTGGTCATACAGATAATGAATCCTGCCTTCTTCCTTGACTCAAGATCCTTACGCAGCTCGGATACTTTCTCCTGGAAAGTCTTTCCGGCATACTTCTCCGGGTGCACTCGGACCTTCTCACTGGGACGCGCGGGGCGCTCCTCACCCCAAACCAAATCGATTAGGTTTTCTTGGAGTCCAACAAGAGTTGAGCCTTTTTTCTTGAGAGTCTCTGCCAATTTCCGCGCGCCAGCTAATTTATATTAGTTTCACTATCCACATCGACGTATTCGCAGACAGCGATACTTACCCGCAGTGATCAGAGAAGGATCGACACCAACAGCCTTTCCTCCCTGGGCCTCCTCGGTCGTCCTGTTGTACCATTTAGTTTCCAGCCTATATCGCCCATAGTTGTTGTCTGCTCATACCATTCCTGCCATGTGGGCACACCCTCGACTCCGCCTTTTAGGAGCTGCCAGTTGTTATCCAGTTGCTTTGCGGCTTGGTTGAAGTATCGACCATCGGTGGAGAGGGCGGCCTTGCTCAGAGAAATAATCGCGGTACCAGCAGAGCCAGAGAATCCCGAAATGAATTCTACGCGGGGTATTAGCTGTGAGCGCGGGCCGACGAATGGAAGGGGGACGATTGCGGACCTCGGCGGGCGTCACATGGCGCAATGTACTCGGACTGGTGACTGTCTTCTGAAGGAACAACTGTATGAAGCAGTAAGCATAGGCTTAATAAACACGAAGCATAGATGATATCATACTGTATACGTCCACCTTGTGCTGCTGCATTAATTGCCTCAGCCTCGAAAGGCGTTCGGTGGTATCGACGGTGCCCATATCGACTGAATAGCGCGGACCGAAGGCAGAAAAGAATCTTGGGCGGGATACAGGCCTTGGCGATCGAAGAAATGTGCACAGACGAATTGAACGGGAGAAGAGCATGAAGTGTCTGTTTCCTTGACGTTCCAAGGTTGTAGGAAGCAAATCACGAGATAAGTACCTGATAACGCGTTAGTTCCGCAGTGTCGTGTGGCCTTCTTAGTGGGCGATCTCCGTCCTCATACGGCTACACACGGCCCACCTTGTGTTTGCATGCATTGGACAATGACTTTTACTAAAGTTGACAATGATATTACTATTCCAATTTGATTTCTACAAGGACACAACATAAATTCTGAGTACATATATTACACATGTGTGTGTATATAACCAAGTATTTACTTACCAATAAGTGTATAGGAATATATATATCAATGTGTGTGACCCTTCTATGTAGCTTTGTGGGCACCTATGAGGTAACTTAACAACGTGCACCTAGAACCCTGGATACATTGAGATCTGAACCTTCTAGCTAGGTGAAAGATTGACGGAAACGAAAAGATTTGTTTGCTATAACTAGCGAACACCGAATGAACTTGATTATACAGGTGCAAAGGGATATCGGAAGGGCAATTGCATGAGCAAACATCAATTTTGAGAATCTTAGATCGAAAGCTTATGCAGTTGTTCCGGTCTTGTTTCATATTATGCAGTCTGCCTTTAAAGACTCCAATCCAGTTGTATCAACAGACGCATGAATCTCGTATAGTTCGAAAATGTGAGATCAAACCGGGGAGCTAAGACATGAACCCCGCAATCACCGCCTGATAGACCGCCTTTATGCTCATTGGTTGATAAAAGCAAACATCCGGTTCTGCCTGTCTTTGTTCCCCCCGTGCTTTCTATATGTACTTTACTTCTCTTTTTCATATCTCTCACGCAGAAAGACAACATGGCAACGTGGATGTCTAACGAGGGTCTTGGAGCCAGAGAGTCAATCTCAGAAGCTCATATGGTATCAACCGTATCCACCCTTTCAACATATAACTTACTAACAAAGGATCAGCTAGTGACCGAGCTCTACAACCCAGCAAACCAGCGAGACCCCGCCAAGATTAATGAGATTCAGGCACGCCTTCAGCAACTTCAGAAAACTGAACATGCCTGGGTGATTGCCGATTCCCTTCTGCAAAGTGAACACTCGGCCCAGAATCGTTTCATGGGAGCTCTCACCTTTACAGTAAAGATCAATGTCTCATGGTAGGGCCAATCCCTCCGAACTTGCCCCTTCGATACCATCTTTGTCCAAATAACCAGTCGCTTATACAAAACAGGAACGGACTCGACGAAAGCAGCGCGACGGAAATCATGCAGCACCTGATCAATCGGTTCGTTCATATGGTCAACAAGGACGAACAAGGAATGGTTGTGCGGAAGCTTGCCTCAAGCTTAGTGGCGATTTTCAGACACCCTGTCACGCCCTGGAAACAAGCTGTGTGGCAGTTGGCTGCAAGCCTCGTGCATGGTGGGTACGTATCCGAAGAATTGGCCAGAGGCGTGGATTTCCAGGAACGTATACTGCCGGAGCTGAACCAAAATGGATCGGCTGCACTTCTGTTCTTTTCAATTGCACTTGCTGAAGAGGCACTTCGGTTGGATTCCGAGCCTCAGGAAGGGGCTGCAGACACCTCCGCTCTCCAGCGAGCTTTGTTGAACATCAAGGATGGGCTGCTTCTAGTCCAATTCGTTCTTAATGGCATGATGCAGCATGCGCAAACAGCTGGAGATGATGCGGTTGATGTGGCACTGGGTGCCGAAGCTATGAGCTCATGGAAGGTCAGTCATCAAATAAACATACTGGGTTTGGCACTGTTGAGAACATATTTACTGATAGATATTATTGCTAGACGTGGCTGGGTGTTCATGGAAATCGCCAGCGCTCTACTGCTGAAGATGTCAACGTATTGGCTGTCGTATGCGGGAAGACTGTCATCGGGACACTGCGGGTACCTAGCTTGAGTGAGACGGCAGCTTCCACTTTGACTCAAGCCTTTGAAAGCCGCCGCTGGGCCTTTGATGATGACTCGCTACATCTCATCGCTGGAATTCTCGCTGATTCAATCGTAACAGCGCATATTGTAGCAGTGAGCAATGGCGACGAAGGTGTTGAGAGTATGTCTTTCGTCGACCTTCTAATAGCCTATGTCTCACATCTGCACTTGGATGTGTTCAGCGACCCCATGTCGCCACAAAATGAAGCAATTCTTCTCCTTGTTCACAGGATATTCAAGACCCCGGGCTATGCATCTATTGACGATCTCGGGACCCCACGCGTCTTGGAGTTTTGGAACGATATCGCCGAGAGCCTTCCCGACCAACTTGAGCCCGATAGCCCAAGATATGGATTGATCAAATCCCATTTGGCTGAGGTGGTCATGAGTGTCTCCAACAAACTTTTATACCCCACAGCCGAGGATTTGGAGGATTGGAGTGACGAAGAGCGCAGTGAGTTCGGCGCTTTCCGCCACGAGGCCTGTGATTACTTGCTTTCAGCATACCCAATCATGGGCGTCGAGCTGGTGACCGTCTTCCAGAGAAGCGCAACGTCCCACCTTCAAGGTGAGGATTGGCGCAATTTCGAGACTGCCATGTTTTGTATAGCCCAGCTTTCGGAAGCTGTGGACGAGAATGGTCATGCAGACCAGTGTCTGGATGCCATATTTGGCAGCGATGCTTTTTCCAGGCTTTGTGCCGGTGGTGAGACTGGAATACCACTCAAAGCTCGTCAGACTTTGGTTGATTCATTTGGAAAGTATGAATCATACTTTGAGCGCCACAGTTCACTACTACCAGGTGTTCTCAACATTCTCTTTGAATCTCTCAACTTTGAACTTTGCGCTCAGGCAGCTTCTAGGTCCATCCTGACTCTCTCAAAATCCTGCGCTCGCGTCTTGACCTCGGATCTGCCCGCATTCTTAGACCAACTAGATCAATTTAGAAGCAAACCAACAGCCACTGCCTCTACAATGCCCAAGGTGCTGGAAGGTATTGCGACCATCATACAGAACCTGCATGCCGACGTGGAAAAAGTCCAAACACTTGAGAGAATTCTCGGCTTTTTTGTCCAGGAAGCTAATACAGCACGCGAGGAAGTTACTGGTCCTGCTCATGAACATGGTCGTCTACGCGCACACCTTGTCTTGAGCTGCATTGCCAGTATCGGAAAAGGCCTTCGCTCGGAAACCGAAACCGTCAACATCGACGATGTGCAAGATGAGAGTCCCTATCCTCCATCATTCTGGAATTCAGGGCCAGGCGCCGAATCTCAGCGTTTGATCATGGAAACGATGAGGCTTCTCATCGTCGAGTTCCCCGTGGACAACGGCATCATCGAAGCAGCTTGTGATATCTTGAAGGCTGGTTATACAGAGCGGGCAGGCCTCTTTGTATTCCCACCCTCGATGACAGTAGACTTTATCAAGAGCTTCCCCCTCGGTATCTCAGGCACAGATGTCATCATGGCGACTGCATCGTCATTCTTGGCATCTCACTCTTCCCACGCGATGAATATCCGCAATGAAGCCGAGGCACTGATTGAACACGTCGCTCGACTGTTTTCTTCAATGCTCCAGAACCCAGACATGTACGACCCCGAGACTGCCAATGCCGGCATTGACTTCTTAGCCCGTCTCTTGCCGAACTACTACCCTATCCTATTGACTCCCATGAAGTCCGACCAGAGTACCGAGTCCCCTCTCGTCGTGCTTCTCCACTTCACACTTCACGCATTAACACGTCCCGAGCCACTTCCATTGCGATCTGCATCCGCATTCTGGGTCGCATTGATCGATCTCCGCGGCACATCCCCCGAAGCAATGAACATCATCGACTCAGTCCATCAAGAATTCGTTCCCCGGCTATGCTACACAATCATCCAACAGATAGCAGGCCAATGTGCAAGATCAGACCTCGTCTCTTTGAGCGATGCCCTACGCCGTACCATTTTTAAGAAAATGGGACTAGCACGGCCGGCCCTAAAAGCCGCGCTTGAGACCTTGAATGCCCAGATCACAGATCCAAATGGTCAGCGAGTGCCGCTTCTATCAGCACAGGATAAATCCCGGTTCTTAGAGTCCCTTGTTATTGCTCGAGGTGCGCAGAAGCCGTCCTTAGACCTTGTTAGAGCCTTCTGGCTAAAGTGTCGCGGGATGAACTTCGATTATGCACAGTGATTAAACTTGCTATATGATGTGATGATTGGAGTTGATTGGTTCTGCAACTTCGGTTCGTTCATTTTTAGATATCCATTTGCATGAGATGCGCGGTTCGGCTTGATTTGATACATTGACATTTATATTTACGAGATTATTTTATATTTGTTGAAAGCATACACTTGCTTTTTTGGTTCAAATACTATGCGCACTCCCGATCTCTTTTTGTACCGTATAATACCGGACCATTGCATTACGATGAAGCTGTGTTTATTGTCTGGATAGCGAACTAGTACTCCGTACTCCATACCCTAGTGCTCAGGGTCCGGCCATTGGAATCCCTCTATTGATGTCATCCCCTTGAAAAGGCACCCACACCTTGAAAATGGACCCTTTGTCTCTATCCATTGGCATTGTAGGCATCCTACCTTTGATTACTAGCGCTATACTTACCTCCAAATAGTACGTACAAGATGTGAGGTCGGCGAGAAAGTCAATTGCGGACTTAATATTCGAGCTCAAAACGCTGCACTCCAGTGTGAGTGACCTGCGCGACCTCCTGAATGGCGATATTAAACGATAGTGCTGTGCAATTCCACGAAAGTTCGGTTCTCTTGACTTGCTCCGCTGCGTGCGAGGCAAAGCTGCAATCGCTTTGTAAGAGGCTGAATCAAGAAGGCAACGAGAAAAGAAGCCGCTTACTGTGGCCTTTCACCGAAAAGGAGCACCAAAAGACAATACAGGATATAGGAATTTTTACCAACTGGATGCAATTTGCTTCGTCGGTCGATGGCTGCCGGCTTCTATCGCAGACATCGAACGATGTTATGAAGTTGATAAGGCAGCAACTAGAACAGATCAATACAATCCAGGCGCTCGAGTCGGAAACTCCTTCAAATTTTGAAATTGGTTCAACAACAAAAGCACGCAATCCAGATCAATACTGAACAGAAGACTAGAAGGAGTATTCTGAACTATATATCAACCGTAAAGCACTATCAGTAACACCAGCTGATCCAAGCGTCCAGGCTTCTTGACTCTAGCTCTAGCGAGACTTCACCTGTCGCTTACTTCTACTTTGATCACCAGGATCAGTCTACTCAAAGTACGTCAGCGGTTCTATATTGCATTCTAAGACAACTCCTCGAGAAGCTACCGGCAATTCCGAGTCCGGTGGTCGAACTATATAACAAGAGCGGTCACCAGGGCCCAATGCCTCTCCACGAGAGCAAAGACTCCTCACTGGTCTTGTTTCGAGCCTTAAATGTGCTTGTGTAGTGTTTGATGGACTTGATGGATCTGAACATAGGAAGTCATTTATTCAAAGCATTCAGAATGTTGTTCAAAGCCGCCAAATCCGTTTGCTTGTCACGAGTCGGCCTCATATCCGAGACCTAATAGATTTGTTTCAGCAGCATCCGAGCCTAAAGATCGAGGCCCACGAGGAAGATCTCAAGACGTACCTCTACCAAGGGCTCGAGCAAGGAGAAATACATTACATCGCGGATCAAGGCTTTTTGGACAGACTGGTTCAGAAGCTGACAGAGGGGGCTGATGGAATGTAGGTCTCTCCCCCCACCAATCCACCGTACTTTTCCGTCAGCCTCGACATTACGTAGATTCCCTGACAAGAACATACTGGGTTTCTTCTTCCGGTTCTACGCCTCCGCACCATTCTCAAAGAGCCCACTCTCGGCGACATGGAAGATAGAATAGCAGACATGTCTCAGAGTTTCAGCGATGCATTTGCAGATACCATCTCCCACATTCAACGGCTTCCCAGGAGCTGCAGCCGGCTCGGTATGGATGCTCTCATGTGGCTTGCTCACACAACCCAGGCAATGACAGAATCAAAGCTCAGCGATACCTTGAGTATTCACAGTGAGCGGGCTGAGGTCAATGCCAAGTATCGCCCAGCTTCAAAGACCATCATCGCTTGCAACAATAGACGTGGAGGGTCATGTACGGCTTTCACATTATGCCATACAGGAATACTTCACGGAGCATTCGAGAGATCTCTTTCCACGAGCCAAAGCCATGATTGCAGTGACTTGCCTTCGCTACCTTGTGTTTAAGAACCTCCAGGATGGACCCTGGCAAACTGAGAGCGAAATCAAGTCTAGGATGGAAACATACCCCTTTCTCGCATAGGCCGCAGTGTTCTGGGCACGTTTTGCCCGCCGGACCGAACCCGACAGGGAAGTGTGGCCTGCACTGCTCGCCTTCTTCTCCTCTGCCGCTGCTACGGCCGTGGCAAATCAAGTGCGACAGTATTCAATGGGCCTCAAGCGTAATTATTGGAATGCGGACGAGTGCGGGAGCTTCTCAGCGCTCCACCATGCGTCACGCCACGGACTCAAGCGGGTGATTAATTGGGTACTTGAAAGTGGCATTTACAGCGTTAACGAACTAACACGGATGGGCACTACGCCTGTAATCCATGCCGCCGCGGACGGGCACGTGTTGACGACCCGAGGACTGCTAGCACGCGGCGCTAATCCACACCTTCGTAACTGGTATGGTGAAGCGTTGCACTGCGCTATCGAGTCGAACAATGCGGCCCCAGTGCGCGAGCTTGTCCGCTGGGGAATGGATCCCGAAGGTGGCGTCGGGCAAGACGGGCGCACCTATCTTTCATGCGCGATGGACGAGGACGCGGCCGAGGCGTTTGCGGCGCTAGTCGACCTTGGCGCCGAAATTGTGTTACACAGTGCGCGCGGGCCACACAGCCACATGTTTTTCACTGCAGTACTTTATAGCTGCGATGAGATCGTCGCACTGATGCTGGAGCGGGGATGGGCCGACATTGGAATGAGAGATCCCGTGGGGCTCACAGCAGTGCACTATGCCGCTGCGTCCGGGAATTGGAAAACTGTAATTAATCTCCTTGAGGCTGGGGCCGATATCGATGCGATGGATGAAGGCCAAACGGCTCTAGATTGTGTGGAGCTGGAAGGCAACAAGACTATGGCGAGATTGTTGCTAGACTTGGGGGCCACACCTTCGGGTCGAACACAGAGGTGACATTTGACCAGATTTTCTAGGCCTCATTCAGTTCCTCCATGATTTTGTCATAACTATATAGGAATATAGGTGTGCTAAATCCATTCTAAATAGGGTATAGTGAGATCAATAGCCTTAAAGGTTTGGGACGAACCCAGGGGTTTGGTGGATCACGCTAACGTTCTTTAGCTAGGAGCTACTCGACCCGTGGATCGATCACAACAAACATTGTTAAAGGGGGACCTTCGGGCCTACTTGTGAGTGAAAGCTCTTTTTTATTCGTAATATCCAAAGCACATCTTTGGCTGAGTCCATTTCACTAAATGGGCAATACCACCAGCATCGCCGCTGGGCGTGACTGTCTGTTATCCGCCGTTGGAGGTCATGCCGCTCATGTCGCGTTCCAAGATCACCTTCTTTACCAGGCTACAGCAGTCGAGACGTATAATCTGAATATTCCTGTTACCCCGGCAGCAATTACGTACCCTCAATCAGCGGACGAAATAGCTGCTGTGGTTAAGTGTGCCTCGGACTACGACTACAAAGTGCAGGCTCGCAGTGGAGGCCATAGTTTTGGCAATTATGGTATGGCTCTGATAAAAGTGGTAGATGAGCCGGCTGGCATCCAGATGACTGACTCGGACTTGGTTCTAGGCCTTGGAGGAGAAAATGGTGCTATCGTGGTCGATATGAAGCACTTCTCGCAATTCTCCATGGACGAGTCGACCTTTATCGCTACCATCGGTCCCGGAACAACCCTAGGCAACCTTGATCTCAAGCTTTATAATGCGGGCAACAGAGCAATGTCGCATGGTATTTGTCCGACCATTCGTACCGGCGGCCATCTGACGATGGGCGGATTGGGCCCCACAGCCCGTCAATGGGGTCTAGCACTTGACCATGTTGAGGAAGTCGAGGTGGTGTTAGCGAACTCGAGCATTGTGCGGGCGTCGGACACTCAGAACCAGGATGTTTTCTTTGCTATCAAAGGTGCTGCTGCTAGCTTTGGCATCGTCACGGAGTTCAAAGTGCGTACGGAGGAGGCCCCTGGCCTGGCTGTTCAATACTCGTTTCAGTTTAATCTGGGAACTCCTGCCGAGAAGGCGAAGCTTGTCAAAGATTGGCAGGCGTTCATAGCCCAGGAGAACCTCACATGGAAGTTTTACTCGAACCTGGTTATCTTCGACGGCCAGATCATCCTCGAGGGTATTTTCTTCGGCTCGAAGAAGGAGTACGACGCACTTGACTTGGAGAAAAAATTCCCCGCAAGCGAACCCGGAACTGTGCTAGTCCTGACAGATTGGCTAGGAATGATCGGCCATGGACTAGAAGATACTATTTTAAAACTGGTTGGAGATTCCCCGACCTGGTTTTATGCAAAGTCACTCGGATTCACCCCCCGCACGCTTATTCCTGACATTGCTATTGACGACTTCTTCGATTACATTCACAAAACCAACGCTGACACTTTGGCCTGGTTTGTCACGCTCAGTCTGGAGGGTGGAGCTATCAACGCCGTTCCTGCGGATGCCACAGCCTATGGACACCGCGACGTGCTTTTCTGGTTCCAAGTTTTCGTAGCCAACCCACTTGGCCCCATCTCGCAGGCCACATATAACTTTACCAACGGTCTTTATGATGTTCTGGCACAGGCAGTGCCAGAGAGTGCGGAGCATGCATATCTTGGATGCCCAGATCCTAAGATGCCCGGTGCCCAGCACGCATACTGGCGTAATAACCTCCCAAGATTGGAAGAGCTTAAGGCGGATTTAGATCCAAAGGACGTTTTCCATAATCCGCAAGGCGTTCAAGTTGCCTCATAATAGGACCTTGTATATAATATTTGGGGGGATCCACGCTTTGTACCGTGTATCCCCCGTCAGCAGGCCATCATCGGAGACTACGGAGACCACGGTTAAGTCTGGGTTACGGTGAAAAGGCCGAGCCTCTCGGACTTTTCGAGCGAGGATTGAAATATTCTGCGAATAGTCCGAGCCAATTTGGATATAAATAATACTAATTGTCAAGAGAGCTGCAATATAAATCTCGACTCCGTGTCTTGTTCAGGAGAAATTATTACTTTTTGTGTTCAATCAACTCTCGGAATGTCTACCTCACAAGTATCAATTGGCCGGGCTGCGCCCAATAGCCGCTCCGAAGGGCCTGATCGACTCGAAGTTGAAAAGCCAACCACAGAATTTCCAGAAGGCGGCGCTCGAGCTTGGATGGTGGTTTTAGGGGCATTTTGTGTGTCTTTCTCAACCTTTGGATACATGAACGCTTTTGGGTGGGCTCTATACTCCGCAAACCTTACGGTTCCATAAGAAAATTTAACTGATGCATGGCGCAGAGTCTACCAGGATTACTACACCGAACACTTTCTTTCCAATGAGACTTCATCCAGTATTTCTTGGATTGGTTCTGTGCAGGTCTGTTTTCTTTTCTCTGGTAGCCTTATAGGTGGGCCATTGTTCGACCGATATGGCGCTTCGGTAAGGACTTGAAATGTCTTTTTGTTAGGCGATCATTCACTGACATACTCTCATGTTAGATTATTCATGTACCTGCAATTGCCATCGTGCTATCAGTCATGATGACATCTCTGTGTAAAAATTATTATCAATTCATGCTTGCCCAAGGGGTCTTGGGTGGGAGTGCTTCTGGCATGCTCTTCGCCCCCGCCATGACCTGCGTTAGCCACTATTTCCATAATCGACGTGCAGCAGCCCTCGGTGTGACAGTCTCTGGATCTTCCATCGGGGGAATCATATTTCCCATTGCCCTGAGCAATATGCTGAGAAATCCATCCTTGGGATTCGAATGGTCTGTCCGAATTGTGGGGTTCATCATCTTGTTCATGATATTGATCGCAATGGTAACTATTAAAGGGAGACTTCCTCCTCGTCGCGGCAAAATCCTCTTGCCGGCAGCTTTCACTCGCGCTCCTTTCACTCTCACCACACTTGGTGTCTTCTGTATGATGTGGGGACTTTTCACACCATTTTTCTATCTTCCGCAATATGCCCAGTATTATGGCATGGAATCGCAGCTTTCATCTTACCTTTTGTCGATCCTCAATGCTGCCTCCATTTTTGGCAGAATATTGCCAGGTATGATTGCGGATAAGATTGGTCGCTTCAACATCTTGATCATCAACAGTGCCTGTACAGGGATTCTACTTTTGTGCTGGATCGCGATAACTTCAAATACGTCAATCATTGTCTTTGCAGGGCTTTATGGTTTCTTTTCCGGCGGAATCGTGTCGCTAATGTCTCCTTGCATTGCCCAAGTGACGCCAAGTTCGGATCAAATTGGCACTCATCTCGGCATGTCAATGGCCATTATTGGCCTTGCTGGTCTGACCGGAACTCCAATATGCGGTGCCTTGTTAGAAAGATACGGAACGTACACACAGGCTGCAGTTTTCAGCGGCGTGGTGATGTTGTTCGGAGTTGTCCTTGTTACCGCGGCGAGGTTTTATCTGCAGGCAAAGCTTCTGGAAATTGTGTAAACCCATCTCGAGCCTCCTCGAGCGGGTTTCAATTCAATTTGTATTATAAATGGGATCTGCTTTCATTAACTCCCACTGAGTGAAAGGACTTTGAAGTGACATCATCATTTTCGGGGCGATATGCTTGAGCAAGGCTCATTTGATTATACATGGAAGAAGCTGAAGTCAGTACTGTCATTAAAAAATCCCAAATCCTCTGAGAACTGTCCGATCTTCGTCAGTGGCTGCAACACGTCGAAATCTCAGGAACCAGTTACATACCATTGAGCCGAGTAGTTCAGTCGCGCCGTCGTGGAGCATACAGCTTGCATCCTCTGGTAAGTGAAGCCCACGTGAAATTCCATTATCGCTAGAGACAATCAATATTGATTTGGATGGTGCTTGTGAATATAACACTTACATTGAACCTAGCAGAGAGTGGTCTGACTGGATGGCTGCCCGTCGCGTCTGCAGTATTGTGCAGATGCGGATCACTCTATCTGCTGCCTCTTTGTCGGACGTTGCGCATGACTCTGGCCACAGCTTGGACTTGACTAATCCAATTACCATACTGAGGAGGTAATATTCGTTTAATCCGTGAAATGTCAAGTCGAGCCTCTTTTCTAAAATCGGTAGTACCTGCTCAACAGTGGTCACGAGAAATGTCGAGATTTGGGGCAAGATTGTCATTGTAGCTGATTGAATTGAACCTTTCGACTAATAAGTTATTCTCATCTCGTTGGTGCACCCAAAAAAGTGTGAAGAAATGGGATTGGCCTTTTGCTTACCTTGAGGTCCAAAGGTTGTGTAAATTTCATGGCAGATACTCAGTGCAGCAAGCACCAAGCCGGGCTTGCAAGCTTGTTCCGGTACGTTTCCATCCTGTATGAGCTTTTGGTAATGGTCAAGAGCCTTCAAAGATGCATCCAGTCTTGCACGTCGGCAGATTGTAGATTTGAATGATGGCGTGGCTTGGATTGCAAACTGTATATGCAACAAGAGTGCATACTGGTGCAAGTAAATATTCAGTAATCTCTTCACGTACAACATAGTCTGCTGCTGTCGCGGATTGTCTCGGAAATTGCTCCATTCTGGAATATCCTGGAGTGCTTTTTCTAGCCCCTCCCCAAGGTGTAAGACCCGGTCAAAATCATTTTGCTCCGTACATCCATTGACGAATGCACACACTTTCAACCTGATAGGCAGAGAGCGGTACATATGGACCTGGAAAGACGCTTCCGTGAATGTAGCGAGCGGCATACTTTCCAGGAAATCTTGGCCTGATTCCTGGAGCTTGTCATCGTCGATATTCAGCGGTGAAATTATGTTAAAATCTTCCGCTCTGATGCTTGGGGGCATCCCCCTTTCCACAGCGGCCTGGATATCGAGCTCAACGATTGTCATCCACAAGCGCCGACGCATCTCCCGGTCGTAGAGTGATGTTCTCTCTGTCGATGGATATTCACGGTGATATCCTGCTGCCATAGCCCACCGGACCAGTGCCCCGGTGTATGTCCAGAAAGAACCCTCCTGGATATAATTTGCACGCTTCGCAATTAGCAAGAGACAGTGAGTCGCCAAGGTGTCCCAGGATTGAGGAGGCTGATTAGTCGAGGAATTGAGCCATGACTCCGCAGCCTCAATCCAATCAAGTGCATGGTCATGGACGGTTTGTTGACTCATATTGTTGACGCATATTTTGGGGTGAAAGCTTGCAGCGGCTGCCGCTACCAAGAGGAACTGCACCAAAAAGGAAGCCGGCGTGCAAAGTGGACTGGTCCAGTGGCGATTGTAATCAGCTATGAAAACCGATATATTGAGCACTCGGTGTATGATCTCAAATCTGTCAATATAAGTTTGGACGAATGTATCCGCGACGGGTTTCAAGGGAATCAATTGCCTCAAGTTGTCTCCAAGCACAGTATCGTGCACTAGTGGACGAGGCTGATAATCATCATTGGCCAGAGGATAAATCTCGTCACGAAGGGTGTTGATCGCCGGGGTTTTTGGTCTTGATTTGAACGATGTAAGATTGAAGCTCGGCGAACTGTCACTAATATTGAGGAGATGTTCCATGTTTGTTAGATAACATGGTGTGGCATACCTGTTGGTAAAGGTTCAGGGGGTAGCTATACCCATAGAACTTGGTGATGGTCCCTTGTCCTTTCAAATGGGTCATTTTTCCATTGCAGTCAGAGGAGGCCCTAGGTTTTCCCGATGTCGCTGTGGATGAGACGGGAGTTGGTGAGGACGTTGTCACGACGCTAGTGCTCCCCGAATGGCCATCGTTCAACACTCCATTTACTGACGGAAATTTCGCTGGGTTACCACGGTAGGTGCAGCCGTCATTTCCTGCCTTTGAGCAGCGACTGCAGGATGGAAGCTCTCTTCCACATTTGAGCTTTCGCTGATAGCACTGAATACAGGCCAATGGGGGACGTCGCTTCTTGGCGCTTGGCTTGAACACACGCTGTGAGCTGATTGGCACACGGTCCATCGTTTGGCTTGAGATTGATTTTGACATTACTTGTAAGTTCGCATGAGAAATCGCCGAGCGGAAGTCTTTACGTCGGGTTATGGTAGCGTCGGTGATTTCGGCTCGGCAATTTCGGGCTCTCGGCAATTTACACCGATTTAAGGGGACTTCCCTTGACTCGCAGCAAATTTTGTCCCAATATCATGAATGATTACGATTCGTTGTGGGGTATCAGTAATTGGGTGAAGCGACATAGAGCGACGAACGGCCATGAATATTGGACGGTCAATTGTTAGATCGGTACCTATGACGCTATGTGTCTATTCTTCTTTCTTGGTCCAGAAACGTCAGAAATTCATCTTCTGCTCGTACTCCTCCGGCGACAAAGGTAACAAGTCCCTATGCTCCCCTCGCGTGACCTTCCTTGGGGTATCTTTAGTCTACTCCTCCACTGCAAGTATTGCAAGCCTTCTTGCAGCTCTTTGAAGACCAGCGCTTCTCATAGTCCCAATGCTGGTATTGGTAGTCTGTGGTTCGATGTATTGCGAAGGATCGGTCCAGAGAGTGTAGAATAGCACACTAAATTCTTGGATAAAGGCAGTCTTATCAAGAACTACTTTAAAGAAGTGATAGAGGAGCGGGCGGATAGGGAAGTTACGTCTAATCTGAGGTAGTGCCCGTCTAACTGAACCCGCCTCAAAAGTCATAGGACGCACTGATGGTTTAGCGGGCTCCTGTCCACTACGAGCAGGGTAAGAGACGTTTTGGCTCAATATTACAAAATAATTATAGAGAGAGAGAGAGATAGGGAGATCACATGCAGCAGCTTACTAGTTTGTAAGGTGAGCTCATGGCAATTTCAATGGCCCTATTGATTGCAGCTGTAAGGGGGCCGACCGTTAACGCATTTCAGTCTTGGCCGCTATTTCTAGAGACTAAGAAGGGATCTTCTTTACATTTATATATTTTGATAAGATGATATATTTCAATATCTTCATATTTGTTGAGACACATTTCACAATCAACTTCATGTAGATAAATCAGAAGGAAGAAAAGACGATACAATATTGTGCTGCGTGAATACATCTACAATAGCTTCGTCCCTGAGGTTGGCAGCTGCACGGTTGATCGTCATTTAAATCTGAACAAAGATGGGATCTAATTGCATGATCTGAGCGGGTCGATTGATACTAGTGCATCTAGCTCGATTTGAAGAACCTAAAATCTGACCGATCACTTCCACTCTATATTTAGTGTTGTAGATCACCTCCTCTACGGGCAAGTATCTATCTGCAATTCTCCACAACTAGCTACGGGGTAGATATTTTTCATCGAGATATTATCGTTAGTATTTAATAAAAAGAAATTCCCAGTACCCGCTGTCGATTCATCATTTCCCCTAACTCCAGTCTTTCATTCATCCAACTTCCATTCCACTCCTTCAGCTTTCCACAATGTACACCTCCAGCATCATCATCTTCGCCCTAAGCGCTCTGACTGCCTCTGCGGTCCCCGCGACACCCTCTCCTCTCCTCTCGCTGAAGGCTTACTGCCCCGGCAAGTACTTCGTCAACCCTCAGTGCTGCTCTACCAACCTTGGAGTTGCCGCATTGGACTGCAAGATTCCCTCCGGTGCTCCCTCCAGCCTTGAGGACTTCCAGAGTACCTGCTCTGCTGAGAAGCAAACAGCTTTGTGCTGCCTCATTCCTCTCGTATGTTTCAGTTCATCATGAGCGAATGTTAAACTATGATATCTAACCCAAATATATAGGGTGGTGCCGACCTTGTTTGCCGTGAGCCCCAGCAGATCTAAGGGTCTATTGGCGAAGACCTTTCCCACTTCTTCCAAGTGTTCGAATATCCGAACCCCATCCCTTATCTTCCCCAACAGTCAATATGAGAGAAGATCGGTGAATATCCTAGGCTAGGATAAAAATTTCATGTACATAGTAATCTATAAAGTGCACAAGCATAATCAGATCATTACCTATCATCCCCGGTCTTCCTCTTCCCGCTATTATGCTTACTTACCCTAATACTATATTTTCAGGCGAGTCGTTCTCGTTTTCGTATATCAGATGAGAGGATTTATACAAAAGTCTCACCACAGAGCGTGATCCTTATCCGGCTAAATGCCGAATGGGCATGAACCTTCATTTCCGTGCTCGCTCTTCCTAGAAGACTTTAGCTACTCGTATATTTTGGCCTTGGCTTGATTCAGGAGCATTTTCGTATTATCGTATTTGTCACGCCTCACGAACAATTGACTGCACATAAGCCGAGTATTCTGTACAGCCAATAGTCAATGCTCCCTCAGCACCTAAGCGGCACTCTAGGGTGAGTGCAGGTGATATAGGTGAGAAGTCTCGATACTAGGGTGAGGGAGGTGAGAACGGGGTGACAATTCTCACCCTGAGGGTAATAGGGGTTAACACACTCTGAACCTATGCCCGTCCTAATAAAAGACATGAATATAAGCCCCGGGGCCCTTCTCTTGCTCTGCTATGAGTTTCCCAGCCAATCAGGCCTAGTTATTCCGTGCTAAAGATATTACGATACACCGTACAGGGAGGGGCTGAGGGCGGTCTGAATATCATGCCAAAATACAGCGATCAGGCTGGTACCAATGTTGAGCCAAATGGGTGCATTAATCTTTGGCTACTATAGGCCCATAGCCCACTATGGGTTCGGCTGTGGGCTATGCAGAGCTCAAGACGTGAGCGTAGTGCAGTGCAGACGGGTCGATCCAGCATGGGAGCCACCAGCAACAACACCGACCACACACAGAGTGCTAGCGAGGGGATGGCCTCTAGGGGTACTATAGGAGAGGTATAGGGGTGTGTATTCTAAACTAGTAGCCACGCTTGCTATAGCACACATGCTGACATGCAGACCGTTCCGGTATGACAGGATGTCTTTCCCCAATACACTATGTATGGTCAACACTGAAACTTCTTTATCAGACATCTAACATTTTATTGTTTACAGGTAACTTTTGGGATTATGCTCTCTATTCTCTCTATTATATCTCCCTTTGCATCGGGCGAATAAGACTTCTAGCTCCATTTTTCTGGGTAATTGGTGTTTATCCTTGAAACTTTCCAAGGTTCAACTAAAGCCATATCAGTCGTCGGCAAAGAAAAAATCACACTCAAGATGACATGCCGAAAGTTATAGCGGTTAACAGGGGGGAGAAAGGCATTCGCGCCCTGTGGCTGACGGGAAGCCTAGTATGCAAGATTTTGCCATTGAGCATCCTATATGAGTAATTGTTTCTAGTTGTGACGACATTGGCTGTTGATAAATTGTGGTTATGCAGTTGGACATCACTTTATTTCTCACTGACGCGCAATTCAATGCTGCAACAGCGATCGCCTCATCCCATGTTCGTTTCTTTTAGGCCATATGAGCTGGTTGGCTCCCATTGGCCCATCTTTGACCACATACCCTCAATTCATTGGTAGTTCTGAGACAGCTCCGTTAAATGAGCTACGGATTCTTCACTTACGGAATTGAAGAAGTGCTGAACGCGCGTTCATGGAAAATATCCTCACTCACGAAGGCTGCGTATGGCTGCGGCCCCATCGGCCCCGTCGGCCCCGCGCAAACACCGGTTGTGCATCGTGGAGAAATAAAGAGTGTCTGTAGCTATGCAGATCCACTTAGTCAAATCGGCGGAGATTGACGGACTTAACGAGCCAGATTTGCCGAAGCTTCTTCGCAATAATGGCATTGTCGGCGTTAGTAAATAAAGCTGGAGAACCGAAAAACCCTCCCTGTCTAAGACTTCGCCCATTTTTGACATTACTACCACAATCCGCACGACCAGTATATGACAAAAGTTACCCGAATTTTACGGGCGATTCGGCCTACAGACTACATGAATCAATATCAACCTTTAACCTAGACCACGTGTACTCATATGTTTTTTCACTTCCGGGGGATATGCACAGCGCTTCTATCCATGGATGTCTTTAGAAAAGACATTGACTGGGATTGTTGGTTTCTTTATAGTCCCTTCAGATATTGAATTTGTGATGTAATTGACTTGGTGTGTTATTGGATTCACTCCTGGTAGCAGCTATATATCGTTGAAGGAAGGGGCAAGACCAGACAAAATTCGTTGAAGCGAGGCCGCGACAGCATGAGCAAAGTGTTGCCAGCCTTGACCACTAGAGAGTACTCGAATGGCTTCTTTCAATACGCGGTGGCCATGGTTTTTACCATTCAAAAAGCCAATACCGGCCATATGGGGTCTTCTCATCTCACCAGTGTCCACCCATTTCACCCAGTCAGTCTCATCGAGGGACTCATCATCAATCTTCAGCGATGGCCACATTGCGCTGTCTGGGTCTGGTGATATTTCAAATGTACGCCCATAGAACCAAATATATAGCGTTGCGAGGAGCACGTAAAGTGGATCACATGCCTCGAGCCATTTTTGGTTCCGAACCCGCCGGAATACTTGTGCCGCATACGTCAATGTTCTTCGGGATCTCTGAGGATCATGCCGTAGTCGTTTTTCCAATTCTGCCAGGCTGGTTTCTGTATCCTTCTTGGATGTCATCCAACCAGAAGAAACATACAAAAGCGTATAGGGGATATGATCCAAAATCCTGGATATAGAGTAAATCTTTTTCATAGCAGAGAACGTCCCGAATTCGGAAGAAGCTTCATCTGGTGCTAGTCGATATTTATGGAGCTTGCCTGCAATATTTGATATTGCCTGGTCTGCAAGCATCGTAGTCTGGTGAGAATGAGTAGTGCATATAACCTCAATGGCAGGATCTAACCCATTCATGGAGCCATCCGTAGGTGCTGGTTTCAGAAGTTGGAAGAGATATCGCTCTTTTGCGCACGCCGAAATCATGGTAAACAAAGATGCCGAGCTTCCTAATGATAACATAAGTTCTTTACCCGAGTTCATGGCACTGAGGACATCCAAAACACTTGGTGAGTGAGGCGGCACTGATAATGTTAATTGAAGCATCTAGATATAGCTGGGAATGCTACAAAAAACTTACAAGTATCTGCTTGCATCAAGTCCCCTGTTTCAGTAAGATCGGAGCTTTGCCAGAACTTATCATCGCAGGGCAGACAGGCATGTAGCTCCGAAATTGAGATCAGAGGAGCGAGATCGAAGAAAGTCCAATGTAAGTATTCAATGTCTTTTTCGGTGAAAAAATCAGTATCTGAAATGCAAGGTGCTGAGAGTAAGGACAATGAACTCACACCAAGTAAAATATATCACTCTAGCCCAAGATTCCCGTGCCACCCAGTCAGACGAGCTTTCCTTGACTGGATAGGATTTTTGAGGAGTCCACCCGCGGTGCAAAATAGATTGGGTCATAAACGGCCGACACATATTCACAAGAAGACTACGCAAATACTGTGCTTGAGCCAGGGCATGGTGTCTTCCACAGAATGATAAAGAGAATGTACATAAAATTGTTGCCTGAACCAACTGAAGATCATGTTGAGGTGGGCGGTCCAGCTTAATCTGGCAAATGGATTAGCTCAAAATTCTGCCTGGGGCAAAAGAAAGGAGGAGATGAGGAAAAAACCTACATGTCTAAGCAAAGCACGTCGTAGGGCCTCCAAGAGAGCAAGGCTGCATTGTCCCCGAGATGTGACTCTGGAGTATTGGGCGCCTATTGCAGCAACGGCGAGAAATAGACAAGAAGACCCCTGTCGATATTGAAAGGTGCTTTGGTGCAGAAGATGGAAGCCCGGATGAAAGAATTCAAAGTAAAGTTGCACAAAGGCATTGATTACTTCGCGGCGCGGAAAGTTGCCATTTTTTTCCGAATTTGAGGCCGGGACTGATTCATGATAGAGTCTTAAGAGTGCATCATAATCCGATTTGGACACTTCTGCTACATGACAATAGTCTTCAGAAACAAGTAGATCTGTATCATCTGGAGAGAACTGTGGGAAGCCAGGAATGGAGAGTTCGGGTTGGTAACCCTGAAATCTCATAGGTGTCGCAGGGTTTCGCTGTCTCATAGGCTCATCTGACAGTCTCTCAGGCGTACTTATAGTGCCACTATTCTTCATCCGCCGAGGTGTCGATGCAACCGGCTCGTCGGGGTAAAAGCTAGTGTTCTCTCCAAAAGAGAGAGCAGTGCGGTCACCGTAGAACATCACATCGCTGGTGTTGGTGGGGCAGATCTCAAAAGGTGAGACAAATGGGAATGCAAAACCTTGCGGTATCCAGGGAAATTCATACTGAGTTAGTGGATGATTTCCACCGACGATGGAGGCATGTGAGTCTGGGTAAGGTGAATAAAGGTGGCCAGATAGATCGCCTTCCTCGATCTGAGAGCATTCTAGATGCCCAATTTGGGGTTCACCCGTGTCGCTCTTGGATGTTTCAGAGGACTTTGCAATGTGACAAGGCAGGCCTCGGTGATTACAACGATCGCATGGTTCTGTTCCGCTACAACGTTGCTTGGAACGGGTACATTCACTACAAGCTTTTAGAGCCCGCCTAGTCAAGCCACCGTGCTGTTGATCATGCGTCACTGTGTGTCGCTTCAGAGTGTCTCTATTTGGACCACATTAGCGAAATACTGGAGATGGAGATTCTGGCCGTCACACTGTCTTGAAAAGCATTTACCGCAATGGTGGCATGTAAAAGGTTTCATTTGGAGGTGGCGGCGAACATGGCGGTTTAGATGCTCCCTTCGTTGGAATTTGATTCCACAGTGTTCACATCCGAACAGGAGTTGTTGAGGGAGAGCTGATTGCATGGGCATTGAATTTGGAATACGATTCTGGGAGGTCTTGGGTGTCAAGGATGATGCATGGAGTTAAACGAGAGTCGCGAGGACTATGGCATGTGACACTGGGATGGAATATCGATGGGACAGCTTCGGTGTACGTTGGAGGAACGTTTCAATTAATGTCGGTCATCACCCCATGTCTACATACGGAGTGCGGGTTTGAAGTCGGACTTCGGAGCTGGAAGCTCCGTACTTTTGTGAGGTCCTATTGGACACCTTACCTTAGTTCCCGCTTAGTCATGGTCACGGATTTAGCCCCCATTCCTAATTAAGTATGAAAGCGGTCGATCTCACGCACCTGCTTTCACTGAACTTTGAGTGCATTCCTCAACCTATCTTAATCGATCTCCTTTCAACTTGCCAATCATCCAAGTCGACATATATTCAAAACACCAGGTGCAAGCAAACCCCTATCTGGCACTATGAGCCAATGTTAGGTAGGGATAATATGATAACCACAGGTTGAAGACGGCAAAACTAATGGTACGACTGGATAGAATGGAGGTATTTCTTGCCGAAGGAGAGTAAACTACATACATGTATCTTCCTTGTAAGTCTGTGGGATTGCATGGCATTTGCTTCCATTTAGATCATCTGCAGGTCATCGGAAGGAGGAAGAGAGGATTTCAGTCGCGTCCCGGTATTGATTCTGAATAGCCTTATGTTGTAAGTTGTACCGTAACAGCCATGTGGAAAAGTGAAGTGCCAGGACCATCGTATTTGAAATCAGCAACGCGGCTTGAATGTGACCTGAAACCCAGGATCTTCATACTGCAACGTGAATCGATCCTTTCGAACTCCAATATCGCTTTTTGATCGCAAGCTCATTTTGAAGTTACGCAGGAGATATGCTAGCGCAATGATGACCTCAGCAGGCGCAAGACTGAGAGAAAAAGTTAACAAATCTCCTTTGTTGAAAGCAGATGGCTATAACACTCACTTTTGGCCAATGCACATCCTGGCGCCCTTTGAAAAGGCGCAGAAATACTGATCTAGTCCTTTGCTCTTAGGACCGATCCACCTGTCAGGTCGAAATTCACGGGCATCTGGGCCCCATATCGAAGTGTCTGTGTGCATAGTATAGGTAGAAATGGAGACGATAGTACCCGCTGGTACAACTTTGCCATCAACCATGAAGGGCTCCGTGAGAGAATTGGGTACAATGCGAGGAAGCCGACCTGGAACGGCCATTCCTAATCGAAGTGCTTCCTTGACAGTAGCATTCTGTGCAACCGTTTTGTTAAGATTGTTCGAGTGCGAAAGGAAGCACAACATGACATACCAAATACTCCAATTTTTCCAAGGCCTGAAGAGGAAGTTGGCCATTCTCGTTTACCGGGAGTGAATCAATTTCCTCTACCAACCGACGCTCAACCCCGCTGTTGCTTAAGATATGGATCAACCCAGTTGTCAAAGTAGATGCCGTAGTGTCGGCACCGGCAATCAGGATATCCATCGCCTCGGTCACCTGTTCCTCATACTTGACTGTCTCCAAGTTGTCAAATACCACTGGATGGTCGGGTTTAGATTCGGACTTCTGCCAGTGACGCAAAGAGTCTTCAGCAAACTTCGGCTTTAGTTAGCTAATAACACGCTACTCATTTTTTGCACAGCAAGGAATCGTACCTTCAACATGTCCAGCAAATTTCCAATGTCCGGACTTAATTTATACACAAGGGCTTGCGGAATGATATTGGTGAGGTGTCGAAGCCATGGCTTATACTGCAGGTCGGGGATGCTTTTTGAAGCGGCGTCGAAGCCCTCCAGAAACCAAGAGCGGAAACCATTCTGATCTTCTTCAATAAGGCCTCCACTTCTTCCAAATGCAAACTGGAGGATGACCTCAGTGGTCATTAGCCTGATAGGAGTGTCTGTCAGCAATGGGAAAACAAGATCATCATGTATTTTACCTGAAAGCATCATAAACATTGAGTGGTCCATTTCCTGCTAGAAGATGGATTTTCTCAACAAGCATGCTGATCTTTTGTTGAATGATGGGTTCCAACTTGAACAATCCAACACGAGAAAAAAGTGGATTCAGCATTCGACGGCGCTCTTTGTGTAGCACAGGGTCACACTCCGCAAATACAGTGTGTGGCGTGTTAAATCCGTCGTAGAATGCAGCGTATTTGGGAAAGGGGCTGGATTGATTGTAGATAACTTTGTATAAGTTAACGTCGCTGATATGGAGCTCATTGGGTCCGATGCGAAGGGCCTGGGTATCTAGTAAAGAGTCACTTTTGATTTCAAACTATCTGTCTGGTTGGAAAAACTTGGACTCACTGTATTCTTTGTGAAGTTTTTCGAAGATTTCTTCTGGGAAGTCGCTTTTGGTCATTTGGTACAGCCATGTCTCGGATCTGGTTGCCGCACGCGGTCCCAAAAATCCGCAGAGAGGGTGAAACTTTGCGTTGTAAAATGCAATGAGCTCTTTAAGAATCAAAGAGACAGCAAGGACGAAGCCAAGACCGACTGCAAGAGTCGTTCCCAGATCCTGCGGCGCGTAGACGCAGAGACTGCTCAATAGCCCGGAATGCAGCATGCCTAGGTACTGATCTTATATTCTGCAATGTCCAGGGATCGATTACGAAGGAAAACCAGCATTTGGGCCAAAAACTTGAGGAGCTTTCCTCAGTTTTATACCTTGCGTCTTGTCGAAAATAATATCAACGGATAAAATAGTGAGACTAAGTGGGTATCAAACTTTCGAAGGAAAAGAGAAACATGTTCAGTTACAAATCCTAGGACTAGTCAGAAGCGAGCAATTAGCAGCTTAGACCTTGAGAGTCCATTTTGCAACTTCCAGAATTGGTTTAGTGATGGAAACCCCCCCCCCCCTCCTTCCAGATCGGCCCCGTCGGCCCCGTCGGCTCCATCATCTAGCTATTGCGAGCGTTGTGGATTTTACGTTACCCCTGTATTCAAATTATTGACCTCTGGTTTATCTTGTACGCGTTGTGGATTGTACGTCACTCTCTACTTCAGATTATTGGAGGCTATTTCTGTCTCGGTCATAATGGTTCTGGCTCAAAATGGACCCGAGCAACGATTGACTTTTCCCACATTAGGGTGGATGAACGTTGTTACGGGACCAGAAAGGCCGCCAGGACCCCACGGAGTTCAGAATCCAAAGATAAAAATTGACATTAAAAGGGAACAGATCAGTCCTCGCAAGGCTGCCTAGGTATAAAGTATGCCAAATAATAGTGCTCTGGTCTCGTAGAGGCCAGAAATCCCAATGGACGGAAACAGATATCTAAACTATGGGCACAATAAGACAAGAGCTATCCTCCCCTCTATCAAAGCAATGGATGATGTGATCGCCAGCGTTTCTTCCATACAAAGGTTCGACACCAGGGAGAGGGAAAGGAATCACCGGATTCCCTGACACCGTGAGCTCCATAACACTGCCTTTCTGTAACTCAGAATTAGAATAATGGTAAAGTATTGTGGTATCGATAGGTGAAATACCTTCCAGTACATGCCGTATGGTCGCAGGGGAATTTCCACCGCTCGTTTCTCTCCTTTGGCCAGTGGTATTTCCTCTCTGTGCTCATAGATTGGCTCAAACAATGTGGAGGATTGGCTCTTCTGCGTCGAATGACTGACTCGAATTCGGCCAGCGGGCCCCCAGTGGAAAAGCATACCCACCTTTGAAAGCCCGAAGTGCCAATCATGAAGCAATTTGAGCAAGGTCAGAACGACTATGTTGTTAGGTCGAATAGTCATGACTCCGCGTCTGCAAAGTGTCTTTTCATCAACGCAACAAACTTGAACAAACAAATCCATGTCGGACTGAGAGGGGCAAGACACAACTAGTCGGGCCATAAAATGTCCAGTTGTTTCCATTTCCTTGGAAATGACATAACGAAATGTCACTTTTCCACTCGTCGAGTTGTAACGCGCCAATGATGGCCCTTGCTGCTGTGTGAAAGGGGACATTTCTCCGTTGGAAGACAGGTAAAGCTTCTCGTATCTAGTTCGAGCCAGTGGCCACTCCAGTTCAGCTCTGTTCACGGTGTCATCGAGTCCGGACAGGCCAAGATTGAGTATGCTTAGGCGAATTTTAGGTGTTGCCAGCCAGCCATTTTCGGTATGCCCTTTCAAATAGTGGTCAAAAAACCTCTTCAGATCACGACAACTTGAATCTGAGTAGTAATCCGGCCATTCTTGAGAATTGTTTACCCGCAGCCATTTGGGAGTACTATCCGGAATCATTCTGAAAGCACGGAAGGTCCCAGGTGTATGGACTGGGTTGGTCCAGGAAGCAACGACATAAACTGGTACGTTGATTTGATCTGGATTTGACATTTTGTCTTCCCAGTAGGGGTTCCAGAGGCCGCCTGTCTTCTTCAGTGTAGTAGACAGATCTTCAAGCTCGTTGTAACTTGCAAATTGCTCTAAAATAACATTATTATTGATACTGAAGAAGCCGAATACTTGGCTATGCAGCTCAAAGTCCACACAGTGGGGCCGTAATCTTACCAACGATTGAGTCGTGGAAGTTCGACGATGGAATACTTCCTTGGCATATTGTATCGCGATAGTGATCCTGAAGACCTTCCCTGAACAGATATCAGCACAGGCGAAGTCAATCTAAGAATTTCCTTTGAAGGGAGATCTTACCATGGCGCAAGTGCAGCGAGTCCTTTGGGCCTGAGACTGCCTATTTTCCACTGAGCCATAGCCAGCCAACTGTTTCCAGTCAATGCCACTTTTCCGTTGCACCAGGCTTGTTCGGATACCCAGGTGACAAATTCTGCACCATCTTGAGCTTCCTGGTGTCCAAGAATGAGGAGTTTGCCTTCCGAAGTGAACGCGCCTCGAGTGTCAACATTGATCACAGCGTAACCCTCGGCGCACCAAAATGCTGGATCAGGACCTTCCCATTTTTCAAGTCCGGACAGCCACTCCTTTGGAACACCTGCACGGAACGGGAAGTCATCCAAAAGTGTTGTGCCCATTTGCTTTCCATATGGACTCCTGTCATTGGGAATTGTTAGAATGTTACATATTTCTGGATGACATAGCGAGCATAACATACCACGCAACCAATGCTGGCACTCTATCTCTGTCATAGAGCTGTTGTTTCAAATCCCGTGGAAGGTTAGCGGGAAGGAAAATGTCGCAATAGATTTTGACTCCATCTGACAGGATCATCGGCACGCTCTCGTGCATGACGATATCAATTGGTAAGGCCCTGGCGCCTGACTTCACTTGTTGTCCCTTTTTGAACACCGTAATGCGCTGATGAAATCCCGGGAAGCGGGCTTTTGGGTTATCAGGTGAGAGGGCATCGCGAAATTCAAGGTATTGTTCTGCTTTCTTCCTTGTTTTCATACACTCCTTTAGGAAAAAGGCATGGGGTTTCTCTTCAGACATGGTGAAAGTCAGACAGTGGATATATTCAATTTGTTTGGATGAGGATCTATATATAAATAAAAAGGTGGACTTTGATGTACATAAATGGCTTGGACCCCATCCAGCTAGCATCGAGTGATCATTTACAGGACCGGCGGGACATGTGGGGTTCCGACGGGGCACCAAGAAATTATAGTGAGAATCTGCGGGGGTGGAAATGCCTCTCTCCTCATAATAAACTAAAATCTAGTATGACCAAGACGGTGGGTTTCTAGGTATCAATGGCCCGATGACCACTTGCATTATATGGCGACACTCATGTTCGATCATAGATACAATTTAACAAATCTAGGGATATAGGCACAATTAAGCGATTTGCTTCTCCACTCCTAGGCACTCGAACAGATCAAGGGGATTCTTACCATCTGGAACAATATCCCCAGCCATCCTCTGCAATTCGATCACTGTGAAGGGCAAGACCAAGACCGCATATAACCCATCAGAACCATTGACATCTGACCGCCTGAGGCGGCTACTCAGAGTACAGAAAACTTTGCCCCTGGCCTTCTCGAAGTGAATGCAGGCTACTTTTCGACCATGACAGACAAACAGCATCCTGCCGATGAGATTTTCAATCAAGCCGGGGCTGCGATGCAGGGTGGACAAGTACTTAGCTTTGACGCTATGCGACAGACCCTATTCTTAAACTTTTCCATCACCTACAGTGTGGAGTATACGGTGAAACTCGAAGGTTTCTCCCAGATCCTAGAAATGGAGTACCTCAGAAATACTTTTGTCTTCCATCCCTTCAGGCGACCAATATACCATCGCGCAGAAAGTTGGCTGGATGAAGAGGTGTTCAGACACTTGTTGCTAAGGCAACTTACCAGGCTGGAGGAGTTGGAAATGGACCAGGACACAAAGGGGACTAACAACAATATGTTCAAAACTATCAAACATCAAAGTGCGTAGGTGACAGACGATGAACTCAGACCATTCACGGTGTGCTGACACGATAATGGGCTGTTTCACAATCCAGATGACGAGGTTGATGAGGACGTTATGAGGATGTCCAATAATTCCCCACAAGCAGAAGGTATAGTTACAGAATCGCAGCGTACCTAGGTACCCAAGTATTCAGCTCGAAGCATACAGTGTTATAGGGTTTCGTTCCAAGTCAATTTACGGGACAACTTGATCACTTGAATCTGCGCCAAGCCCGCAATGTTATAGAACATTCCTAAAACGAAAGAAAAAGGCCATAAATAGTGTAGACGTAGTAACACTTTTCTTTCCACTCATATGACCAAAGCTGCGCCAAAAAAAGGCACCCAGGCTATATGTACCGGCGAAGAATATTTAGGTAGGTGAAGGTCCGCTAAGATTGCTGCTTTGCGTCATGTTAATGCTATTACTGTAGGGAAAGATAGCCGGAAACGAAGAAAGCGATTTATTATATGTAAATACGACCAGCATGCATATCACTCTATAATCGTATCCCGCGGAATTGAGAATGAACAAACTAATAAAGTCATCCTATACAATATTGTATTCCGCGATTCCCCGTCAGCGGGCCGTCGTCGGAGACTACGGAGACTACGGAGTAACCAAAATAACAACCGAAGTCCCGATTGGCTATTTATTCTCTAGTTATGGGTTAGTCACGGGCAAAAAAACGCCACTGGAGACTTCTGCTATCGGCACATCTTCCCCAGACTCTCGGTGACGGCTAGTTCGGCGCGGCTAGCCTATCAGCGTATAGATCGGAGATCTACACTGAGAACCTTTCGGTGAGTGAATTTGCTTCATTTGACTCATCCAGCATGTGACCTGATTTGAGTGAGATCTACCTCTGAATTATAGGATGTTTGGTGAGCGTAAAATTAAATGGTGATCATATGCAAACAGTCCTACTTTACTACAAATTGGTCCAAACTGACAAGATATAACTTGAAAATCGTATAATGTAATGTCACGTAAGACATCTGCTCATGGCTCATGTACATATAACTTTTTAGGCGCAATGATAAATGCTAGAGAAAAAAAAGAGAAAGCCCATCTACCACCCACGACCAGCAAGTTTGTCGCCCTCAGGCATCTGGCGGACATTGATACCAACCATAGCCTCACCAAGACCCTGGCTAACCTCCGCCAGCACCTTGGGATCCTTGTAGTGAGTAACAGCCTGGACGATAGCACGGGCACGCTTCTTAGCATCACCAGACTTGAAGATACCAGAGCCAACGAAGACACCATCGCAACCAAGTTGCATCATAAGCGCAGCATCAGCGGGTGTGGCAACACCACCAGCGGCAAAGTTAACAACAGGCAGACGACCAAGTTCAGCAGCCTGGCGCACAAGCTCATAAGGAGCCTCAATCTCACGGGCAAATGCACGAAGCTCAGGCTCGGCATCCGCACTGGCAAGAAGGATTCCACGGGCCTTGCTGATCTGCGCGTTGACAGTGCGCATGTGCTTGACGGCCTCGACGACATCACCGGTACCGGCTTCACCCTTGGTGCGGATCATAGCAGCGCCCTCGGAGATGCGACGGAGGGCCTCGCCGAGGTTGCGGCACCCACAGACGAAGGGGACCTTGTAGTCGTGCTTGGTGACGTGGTAGATGTCGTCGGCGGGAGTGAGGACTTCAGACTCATCGATGTAGTCGACGCCAATGGCTTCAAGGATCTGGAGGGAAACTGTTAGTTATGGCGTTCGTTTCTTTTTACCCCCGCCACACGGATCGCCCCATTGCCCCTCCCCCGCATGGAGAGAGTGCAAGCGCTAGACGTGCAATTGACGTACCTGGCATTCGACGAAGTGGCCAATGCGGGCCTTGGCCATCACAGGGATGGTTACTGCCTCCATAATCTCCTTGATCATGGTGGGGTCGGACATGCGTGCAACACCACCCTCGACACGGATATCGGCGGGGACACGCTCGAGGGCCATGACGGCAGCGGCACCAGCTTCTTCGGCGATGCGGGCCTGGGAGTTGTTAGTTTTTGCTTGCAATTGAATTGTCAATTCAGGGGACCTACCTGCTCTGCGTTCACGACGTCCATGATAACGCCACCCTTCAACATCTGGGCGAGGCCGGCCTTGACAGTGAAGTCATTGCTCTGGGTACCGTTTGCAGCCATTGTAAATTATGTATGGAGTTAAAATACTGAGAAGGGAAGAATAAATAGAAAAGAAGAATAAGAGAAGTAGAAGAGATAAAAAAGAAGAGAAGAAGAGAAGAGAAAGTGAGTCAATATGAAATACACTTTCTCAAGGTTGCCTCAGGCCAATCATGCCCGGTGTTCCCCTCGCCCAGCTCCGCATGTTTCCCGAGGAGTTGTCCGATTCTACCCCGGTGTACACCAGACCGCCTGCTCTCTGTGGAAGGTTCGCGGTAATTCTTAGTCACATGTCTAATCACGGCTTTAAGCTAAGCCTTGGCGCCTAGGGTCTGCTATGGCTGCCTATTTGGGTTGACGAGACAACGTTTTTGAGGTTATAGCGTGTAGATGGGGCATCTAATTAAGCGGGATTGCTAGCCTTGGAGTGGAGGGGTGTTCAATGGCTTTGATCACTCGTGACTCATAGGCTTATTGAACAAGATTCATAAGATGTATTTATTGGATAGCTTAGATATGCATAAATTCTTGCTGGGCTTTGTCATATACAGGATGATTATGTAGACGGCGAGACTGAGAAGAAACCCGGTATTTTTTCATTATACCTACAGACGCTAGCTATCTCCAATATGAGCGTATACACTTATGTACATGTAGTCACTAGCTCCCATATTACAGCATTGCCTAAAGACACTTTTTTTATAGTTTATAATCTCCTTTGTATAGATAATACCCAATGACCCGCATAGATCTGCATACAGTATAAGCTATTAAGAGCCAAGGGTACAAAAGTTCTAGAAAAAGAACTTCGGGAGCCTCAACGGCCCCAGGGTGTTACGTGCATATCCTTGGTGACGTCACACTGTATTATCCAGCTCCATCTCCAACTTCCAACCCTCTACTCCGTGCTACCAACTCAACCACTCAATTGCAAAAACAAACCAATCAACATGGCCTTCAGACTCTTCACTCACCAACCAACAACTCTCCTTCGCCTCGGCCTAGGCGTAGGAATTGGACTCTCAGCAGCAACCCTCCACCCGCTATCCCCCTTCCGCGCCGCACCAATGCTATGCGACTATGCCGCGCCGCATCCCCAACAATCAACCCTAAACAAAGACCCAGGGTGGGCCGTGAATTCCGAATCTGCACAAAAGAGCCGGCCACGGACCGGGCTGTTGAATCCACAGACTATGCGGCAGGTTAGCCTGGGAAGTGTGTTGGGGTTGGTAGCGGGTGTTGGGCTGAGGGCTTTCTCGAAGGCGCTGGTTGTTATCTTGGGTATGGGGGTTGTATTTGTTGAGGTATGTCAAGTCTCTTGGGCCTGGGCTGGGATATTTGGTTTTGATCAGTTGTGCTGATGGTTGTAGTTCGCTGCTTCCAAGGGATATAATATCCTTCCGCTCCAGCGGATGCAGAAATACGTCAAGAACGTCGATTTGAAGCGAGCTATGAGTCAAAACCGGCCGTTTAAGATTAGTTTTGGTGCTATGATGGCTATGGCTGCATTTGCGAATTTCTAGGATTGTTGATTGTCCAATGTACATATATCAAAGCATGTTGTTCTAGGCATAATTTAGGCTGGCGTTTTACGCCGGCGTCCAGTGATCGATCCAGTTTGAAATTGGTAAAAGTTCATTCGTACAGGGGTATCATGAGTCTTGATCTATGCCAGATAAGGGGGGAATCTCTACTACCCTAGCACCAGATCCTCCAGTACACCTTCCATTTCATCCTTTGAGAGCGGAACCCCCAAGATCTCCATGCCACTAGCGTCCATACGCGAAGTGATCATCTGGTGGTCATGGAACTCCTTTAACAAGGTACGGAACATCATCTCCGAAGATGCGACAAACTCCTCTGTTGCCTTCTGGTAGAGCATACGGAACTCGATACCAGTTTCCTCGCCGGGCTTGCCACTCTCCGCCGGAACCTCCTCGTCAGACTGGTGCCCGTCATCAAATAGAGCAACCAGCTCTGTTAGCAGGACGCGGTAGAGGTTGCGTGCGTTCTCGGGAAGACTCTTGAGCACGAAGCCGACACCGTCCTTTCCGCCGACACGACGGCCCTTGCGGCCTAAGAGGGAATTCACTTCTTCGACGATATCGGTCTCTGCTGAGAAGGGGAGGAAGGTGGTGCAGTCATGGAAGACGAGGTTGAATTGGTCGCGCAAGCTAATGTCCCACATGACGGGGAAATTGGGGGTGTCGGCCGTGACGAGCAGGCGGATGCGTGGTGTTGCCGCTAGACGGGCGAGGAGTGCTTGGTTGGCTGCGCGGCGAAGGGGCGGGGCGTCAATCGAGTTGATTAGAACGGTGACGGGTTCTTCGTCTTCCGCACGAGATTTGAGCACAGACTGCAGGAGTTCAAGGACTTCGGTTGGCTGTGCGCCCAGCTTGGATGGGGCGCTTTCGCCCATTACGGCTGCGACGATCGTGGCGAAGATTGTGCGGATCGAAATACCTGGTGTGTAACCATTGACGATTATGATGTGGGGAGTCGTAGTGGCTGATAGGCGGTGGTTATATATCCATTCTGCGAATTGGTCGACGAGTTTGCGCTTCGAGCCGTATCCGAACAGGCAGATGCTAAACCCTTCGTCGAACTCAAAGGCCCATTGTGGGAAGGACCGGTGGTGCAAAGACAGCAGATATTCCTTCTCTTCTCTGCACGGATCCTTATATTGCTCGAGCTTCTCAAAGTATTCTTCATGCGTTAACAGCGGCACTTTTTTCAAAGTGGCATTGGATGTCTTGTTCGGACCGGCGCGATTCTGGAAAAAGTATCGTTCGTGTGCAGGGAGTTCTCCTTCGGGCGTTGGGGAACGCTTGTTCATCGCGCCTTTTGGTCGTCCCGCACGGCGCTTGGGCTTTTTCGCGCCATTTTCTGAAGCCTCTTCTGGCTCAATGCTCTCGGCCACGGGGTTCTCTTTGTCGTGTTCATCGCTCTGAAGAATTTCCTCCGCCAAGCGCTCTGACCCATCCCACGCGGCGTCTTCATCCTGCTCAAACAGCACTCTTGCACTCTTCTTTCGTGCCGAACGGTCTGCGTTTTTCACTCGAGATGGGGTAGCCGCAGTTGCGGTCTTGGGTTTTGTAGGCGTGGCGAACAAGCGGCGAGCACTTGATTTATGAGTTGGTGTTTTCAGGCCAGATTTTTGCAACGGGGTCGCAGACACATCCTTGGCCTTCTTAGGCGTTGATAGGCCCTGCTGTGTTGGTGGAAGATCGTGGGAGGCATCGTTGTTCGGGGGTGCCTGGTTTGGCGCGCCGCCGTTCAGGGCGCCGTTGGACTGCTCTAAGGCTGTTCGGCGTCTTTTGGAGGAGATATTTTGCGGCTGGTCGCCGGCATCTGAGAGCTTACGCTTCATGATGATCTAGTCAGAATAGGGTGCACGGAGACGCGACAGGAAAAGGAATCAACAATACCATCAGATCCGGAGAATGTGCACAGGGTCGGGACGCAAGGGGGTATGAGCTTCACTAGGGAGCTGCAGGTCTGACACTGGAATGCACTTAAGGGCTTAATTGGAACCTGGGAAGATCCTGAATGGAATCTGTAGAATTTCAGGGTTGATGGCGCGGATGAGTTTCTCCGACTCCGTCAGATTTAAAGATCTCAGTATAGCGATAGCATGGACACTATCAACTTGAATTGCACAACTTTGAATTGCTTTTTTACTCCGAAGCTGCAATTGACTACTACGATATTCTTTATTATGTAGAAACCGTTTCTTAAGTGCTTGGACGAAAAAAAAGCCGCTCAGTCATGTGAGCAGGTACAAATAATGAGAGTAGTTTATGTTTCCAGCTACTATACTACCTAATAAATAACTCATAAGCCAAATCAAATCATTTTCAATCACAATTCCAACTGCCAAATATATCGCGTGCAACAGCATCACATTATTGTGGGCTCATACCGCGCAATTAGTTGCCGAGTCGGTATCTCCGACACCGGGTACTTTATCGTGACTCACGAAAGTACTCTCTTTCCTACTCAACACAATCTACGAGATCGTGTCTATAGGCCAGGAACAGCCGTAGAAAACACAGACAGATGGTTCCAACAACCCAATCTGCCACAATGGCGAATTCTCTCGCCCGCATGGTCAAGGGCCAGGTCCGATGCTACTCCGCACCATTGGACATGGCCATTCCGGCCTCCAAGCAGCGCTACATCCCCACGAGCGGCACCTACCCCCAAGGATTCCAAGTTTCCGGTACCCACGTCGGTGTCAAGGCATCCAACACCCGGTTTCCGGATCTGGCGCTGATCTCGTCGGAGACGCCTTGCTCCGCCGCCGCGGTGTTCACCACGAACAAGTTCCAGGCTGCTCCAGTGCAGGTTAGCAAGAAGACACTGGCCAGTCGGAAAGGAGATGGAATTCGAGCTGTCGTTATCAACTCCGGCTGTGCCAATGCCGTCACTGGAAAGGGTGGATTGGAGGATGCCGTTGCGATGGGAAGAAAGGTCGATGAGTGCAGCGGCGTCGAGAACGACAGCTCACTGGTCATGAGCACTGGTGTCATTGGACAACGGTAAGCCTCACACTACATCCGCACTCCATACACAAACTAATAAATTAACAACCCCAGTCTGCCCATCACCAAAATCCTCGACCGCATCCCAACCGCGCACAGCACCCTCGCCTCCACTCACGAAGCCTGGCTCACCACAGCCCGCGCAATCTGCACAACAGACACCTTCCCCAAGCTCCTCTCGCGGACATTCACCCTCCCCTCCTCAAACCGCACCTACAGCCTAGCAGGTATGACCAAAGGCGCCGGCATGATCCATCCCAACATGGCGACTCTCCTGGGCGTCCTGTGCACCGACGCCCCTGTCGAGTCCGCAGCCCTGCAGTCAATCCTCAAGCACGCCGTCAACCGCTCCTTCAATTCGATCTCTATTGACGGCGACACGAGCACGAACGATACTATCGCCGTGCTGGCCAACGGCGCCGCTGGCGGCGAGACCGTTCGCGAGCCTACCGCCGCTCCTAGCGCGGATTATACTGCTCTCAAGGGTGTGTTTACTGATTTCGCACAGGAGCTATCGCAGCTTGTTGTTCGGGACGGTGAGGGCGCGACTAAGTTCGTTACTGTTCGTGTGCGCAACTCGTCGGACTATGACTCTGGGCGGTTGATTGCTTCTACCATTGCTCGCTCGCCGCTTGTCAAGACTGCGCTGTACGGTAAAGATGCGAACTGGGGGCGCATTCTGTGCGCTGTTGGGTATACGCAGGGTGTTGCTGAGGGCGTTGTTGTTCCTGAGCGCACTTCAGTCAGTTTCCGGCCTGTTGACGGTAGTGAGACGCTGAAGCTCCTTGTTGATGGCGAGCCTGAGAGTGTCGATGAGGAGCGGGCTAGTGCTATTCTTCAGAATGAAGATCTTGAGATTGAGGTTGATCTTGGTGGTGGTGAGCAGGGTGCTGCTGGCTGTGGTGGTGAGGATGCTGTCTATTGGTTCTGTGACTTCAGTCACGAATATGTGACTATCAACGGTGATTACCGGACTTAAGAGATATATACTAGCATTCAGTTCCTAAAAGCAAGGATTTGATTTCGGATTTACAGTAGCTAACAACTTGGGCTTCTACATGATTTACACTCTTTCGCTCTTCCTCAGCGCCACTTTCGGGAGCTAGTCTATTATGGGCTAAGGCCGTTTATCTTAGTGTTTTACCTGTCGTATGCCCATGACGGGACTATACATCAACACCGTATAGAATCTGTTCTACATCACACCACAAAAGTGTTAGCACCCTCGATCAAGATTCTGCCGACAATCGCAATTTCACGTCTACGAACAGTATACCCCTATCAAAAGGCGGTATAGAGTGGGGTGCTAACACTTTTGCCGAGCCACTGTATAAGTATTCTCCTTTGACAAAGTTCGCTGCAAACTAAGGAAATTGGAACCGAACTGTGCCAAGAGAATCCAGCAAGGTCAGATATCTACAGTGGGGAACTGTCTGTATCGCAGATGGTACAGCCTGCAATCTGTAGCAAACATACTATCCTGAGAATCTTGTTTGATACACGGACATTTGGAAGCGTTAAAGCACCGCCTGGCAAGGGTGGTAGACTGCGAAGCTTCAATCTGACTTTGCTTAAAGCTCTCTGTAATAACCTGCTTGAGAAACCCAACTAGCCATGATGAGATGGTGAGTTTCCTGCGGGATGAATTTGGCATCTAAGCAACCAAGTCCAGCATCAGTCGCGCTCTTGCATCGTAAGGCTGGTCAGAAAAGACATTCCGGATTAATGCCAGAGAGCGTAATCTGGACCTCCGTGATGAATTATCCTACTTTATCGCAGAGTTTTATTCGTGCCACCTTGTGCATGTGGATGACTCTGGGTGTGATTAAAGAGTAGATGGATAGTGGATAACACTACGTGCTCATAGGAATGGAAGAAGAATGATGATGATAAAATTATCTAAGAAGGTGGCCTGGATACTCAATTGATACGAGCATGCCGGTACGGCAAACATCATGAAAAACGGAAGGTACATAATGCATCAGAATAGCATTCAAGTGTCCCAATCTCATCGCGATCAACGATATCAGATACTACCCGCGTATGCTCAAGATGGCATAGTTTTCTCGAGTGTTCCGAGGCTCAACTAAAGCGTGCGTGTTCAAAAAATTTTGTTGAGCGACTCCATGGCATTACGACATATGGCCTAAGCCTTAGTCTATTTAAGTTATAGACAACGCATCGTTTCATCACACCGAACGAATAGAGTAGATGTGCTCAGAAGCCAGTGTAAAGCCAGTGTATCGACCTCCATATTCTCCAGACCTAAATCCCATTAAGGTTTTCTTTGCTGAGCTGAAAGCCTTCATGAAGTTCGAAACTAATGTCACTAGTTGTCTGAAGCGGGGTTCTTGAATCTTCTGTAATGTTCTTGTTTGTGGTGAAAGGCAGCACTGGCAATTATATTGAGGGATGCGCTTGAAGTCACTACTGTACTACCGACAGGCTTGGGCTTATTATTGTAAAGTTAACCAGCTGGTATTTGAGTGAGTGCTTTTGTAAGAGTAAGTAGGCCTATCAACATGTCATATCATTCCACGTTCAGCCTAGAGAGTGACAACTCCACCACATACAATCAACAAGCCCAAGGAAACCCCACCGAAACTTTAGATGCATGTGGCACAATTTATCGATGGATATGTGTCGTAAAGCCAAGCCAAGCCAAATACGAAGGAAGCAGTAGAGTGGAAGAGCGGGGGGGAGCAGCACTACATTTCTTCTTGCTTTCCTTGCTTTCCTTGTTTTTCTTTTTTAGCTGGAGGGTTTAGCAACCAAAAGGACCATCTCATTTCCCACAGAATTAGCATGGCTTTGGAAATGAAGTCTCAATCGAGAAGCAAGAGTTTTCTTGATCAAGTCATAATGGGGATGCTTTTTATGCCAAATATCTGCCAGTAACTCCGCAGCAACCGTGCATCGCGTGGCAAGATCTTTCTCGGGAAATTCGTAGTGTGCGCGAATTCGACGTAAGGAGATATCACCAAACCCGTGTTTTTCTAAACGCTGTGCTGCGATCTTCAGGATGTAGCCTTGGTGACTGATTCGATGGGAGCGTGCCACGGCGTTCAGGTGCATCACTGCCTCATTACCGGGTGCTCCTTGGAGAATCATAATCTGGGAATCACGTCGATTCGTCACACGCACAATCTCCTGGATGGCCTTGTCCAGTCCTGCGGTGCTATCAAATCTCCAGGGGGCTAAGACAGCATTGAATATTTCCACCGAAAATGGGAGGCTTTCGGTGGGTCCTGAGAAGACCTGGATGTTTCCGAGCCTTTTATAGCAGCTAAGATCATTTGCTTGTCCAAGAGCAAGCAGTTTCTGCCCATCTATCAGTCCTTCGAATAGTGCTTCGAGATCTTTGCTGACCAGACGATCGGTAAAAACATTCATGTTGCTGATGAGGCTAGTGGGCGTCAGGACCACGGGTAGTGGATATGGCCCTAGCAGCGGCTCAGCCTCGACCCTTCGCGCGAGTACATAGTAATGAGCTTCTGGGTCCGTATACTGTGGACCAGCCGGACAGAAGAGATCGTTGACGGGCTCGGATTCAATCACAAATCCAGCGCTTTGAAGCAGTCGACACCATCCGTCTTCCGAATAAAACAACTCATTGGTGTAGTTACCCATCCACAGCTTCCCAATGACCCTTACGCAATCCCATGTGGGATCGTACGAGCACTTCTCTGTTTGCAAACTGGTGCTGGGAGTCACTCCAATGGCCAAGTAACCGCCGACTTTAATCCACTCGGAGAACTTGAAGACCAGGGAGTATAGCTCGCCGGGCGTGAGCTGGAATAAGGAGAGAATAGCACATGCTCCATCATAGAGCTTAGGGGGGCTGAAAGTCTTCATATCGGCTACTTCATAAGTGCCTGGGACTTGAGATTGGGCGATCTTCACCATAGCAGCGGAGATATCAATTCCATGAACATCGTGTCCTGCCCCTGCCAGGATCTCCGCCACTGGCTTTCCGGTGCCGCACCCAATATCTAGGAGTTGGCTTTTGGGGGGCAGTACCGTGACAATTCGATGCACAAATGTGCGAAGTGTGGGATTGTTGGCAAAAGCAACTTCGTAACCTGCTGCCAAGTCGTTGAAAAGTGTTTCTGGATCGACCGTCATGGCGGAATCGATTTGGCGATATTCAATTGAGTATTTGTAGGAAATAGAATGTAGTATGTATTTCAATTGACTCTGACGCGTGTAGAAATTGATTAGAATAACTCTGAGTCCACGGGTGGGGTTATGATTGAATATATATAGAATTCAAAACACTACCAAGCCGGTCAAAGAATACTTGAGTGATCTCTCTGCTATTATCACGAGACATCCCGCCATCATTCTTCTCATTGTCTTGCAACGCAAAGAAGCCCTCAGCTTGATCCACGGCATTGCCTCACCGCTAGTCCACTCGCAGTGACTAAAATTTTAGACTTTTAGTCGAGATGAACCTCTGCCTTCTGCTACAACACTTTTTGTCCCTTGCTGTCAAAAGAATTTTCTCCAAATCATTCTAATCACAAGGTTCGACGATTATAAGTTGCCTGTGCTTGAGGGAACAGGATTCTGGTTTATATATGAGTCACCTGTTTCCCCCTCACTTTACCTTAGTCAATAGTCTGTCGTTGACCATAAACGATAGATCAGAAGTTGCCTGATCTGCTGGAACAGGGTACAGTAGAGTTCGAAACCAGGCTATGCCTTCGACACTCATGCTTTCTTTCCCAGCGCCCCGCTACCGCGCTAAACAAAATTTGGTTCCAAGGTTGGGGCTACTCCTCACCACCCTTCATTGATGCATGTTTGGTAGTATGGTGTCTGTACATAGAGAGATCTATATAGTAGTGGTAGCCTGCATTTACCCAACTCGACTAAAATACGAATCCGTACCCACCCAAGTGTGTTGTGGTTTTATAATCCATCTTCGACGAGGGGTCCTGCCTGGTAAATGACTTACTGTAACCACACACAGTTAAAAAGGACACAGATTGAAGAATGTAACTCAATAACAGAAATCTGATATCAATTTCTATGGGAACCAGAATGGACATATAAAACTCTCGAACTAAGGAAAATTAATGAAATTGACACTTTTGTAGCACATGTTGACAAGGAGCAATATGTATTTTGATGTGCTGGATTCTCCAGGCATAGATCGGTTCCAGTTTGCCTGGTTTGCAGCGAGCTTTCTTGGAGGGATATTTACAGTACAAATTCTATACGGTGTTGATGTATAGTCCCGTCACATACGACAGGTAAATACTAAGATAACGGCCTAAGCCTATGATAGACTAGCTCCCGAAAGTGACGCGAAGAAAGAGCGAAAGAGTGGAAGTCGTGTAGAAGCCAAACGTGGCAGCTACTGTACAATGTACAGCAATCCGTTGATATCCACATGGGACGTTGAAGGGATTATGGAGTATGAGAACGAAGACAGATGATCATGGCGGATTGATATATGATTTTGGTTTTCTAGACACATATGGTTACAGGGCCCTACGCAGGGCGCTTTTCATCGATAGCCACCATCTATCGAGCCAAAAAAGAATGCCGCACTTTTCCCAGCGTTGGGAGAGTGTTACATTGTTACTTCTGTGTCAACGAAAAGGCTCCCAGAGCAAGGGCAGGTCGGTACAGTGGTCATACAGACCGAGCCGTCAGTGGCGTATTGCAACCGAGCCACAAAAGACGATGGCTATCCATTCACCTAAAAAGTAAAACGAAGCAGAAAAAAAGAGACAAAACTAAACACAGATGTTGCAAAGAATCAAAGTGCTGATCCTATGTCATGCTGCTCGTGAAAAGGCAGTCTCGTTTAGCTGCCGGGGACGAGGCCCTTGAGGCCAGCGCCGATGTCACCCTCGCGGGCGGCAATTTCGAAGTAACCGTAGATGATACTAGAGGGACTGTTAGCTGGAAAATACAGAAATGAACGCTGGTTGATGAACGTACGTCACGGCAAGAAGGATACCAGTACCGCTGCCGAGGGCACCGAGAAGGTCAGAGGCGACAGAAAGACCACCAATGCAAGCACCACCGAAGGCGGCAGCAGTGGGGATAACACGCTTCAGCTCCTTGTACATGCTTTGCTCACGGTGACCAGACATGACGAGACCCTGGTCCTTGAGCTGCTTAGCAACGTCACGGGGAGCGGAGCCGGAAACCTCAATCCAGGTCTTGGAAAAGAGGGCGCAAGCAACGAGCATGAAGGTGATGTACACCGCAGTGTGGATGGGATCGAGGAGAGCCTCCTTGAAGTTGAGAGGAGGAGACATGTAGTAGGCAATACCAGAGGCGGCGTAAAGCTGGGCAGATCCCTCACGGGGCTCCCAGACTCCGAGGAGCTGGACGAGGATGTTCTCGGAGAAGCGAGAGTACAGCATCTGACTGATGAGGAAGATGTTGGAGCAAAGAGCGGACTGCAGCATGATGGGCATGTTGGAGGTGTAGAACAGGCGGACGGGGTATGAACCGCGCATGCCACGCTGGCGGGAAGACTTGACGGGGATCTCAACGCGGAAGCCCTGCAGGTAGATGACAGCGGCGAAGACGACGAGGGTGGCCAAGAGGTTCATAACGTTGGGCAGGTTCTGGCGGTAGAACGCCTCGTACAGAGCGCGCTGCTTGTCGGGCCAGGTCAGGAGAAGGTGGAAGAGAGCAATGATGGCACCCTCGAACTCGGGGCCACGGCCGGTGTTGATGGTCGTGGGGGAGAAGGCCTTCCAGACGATAGACTCGCAAATGTTGGTAGCGATGAACAGAGAAATACCGCTGCCGAGACCGTAGCCCTTCTGGAGAAGCTCGTCGAGCAGAATAACAACAAGACCAGCAACAACGAGCTGGACAATCAGGAGAACACAGATACCAGCACCGAGGTCACTGGGCTGGCCGTAGAGACCAGTCAGGACGTAGACGCAGGCCTGGCCGAAGGAAAGAATGATGGCGAAGAGCTTCTGGGCGGTCTGGTAGAGCTCGCGGTCGGTCTTCAGGTCGAGGTTGACGTCGATGAGGTGGGTACCGGCGAGGAGCTAGGACACATGGTTAATTTTCTTGTAACTCAAATTTCAATTGATTCCTGGTTTATCGCATACCTGGAAGACCATGCCGGAGGAGATGATAGGGGTGATACCCAACTCCATGAGAGTACCACGGTTACTGGCCAGCATCATACGGAGCCAGTACAGGGGGTCAGAAGTGTCGGATGAGACGATACCGTAAAGAGGCATCTGGCTCATGACAAGGAAGATCATGAGGGTCAACTGAAACGTATTTGTTAGCATCCAGGCCGGTTTCGCGTAGACGGAGATTCGAGGCGACGTACACCAGTCCACATCAACTTCTGGTTGAAGGGAACCTTAGTCTCAGGAGCTGCCACCTCCGGGAGGAGGGGCGTAAAGGGCTTGATCAAGTCAAGGAAGCGTACTATAATACCCCATCAGTATTGGAAGATCCATTGAGGCAATTCGAGATGGATTGTCGCGATCGCGTGCGATGGGAGGATTCGGGGACTCACGGCCGCTCATTGTGGCTAACTTGCTCCCAATTCACTAAAGAAGTAGAGAAAGCTGGAGTCGAGAACCAGCTGAAGGAATGAAAGAATATATTAAGAGAAATAAGAGAATAAGGAAAAGGGGTGAGGTTGTCGAAGAGATTGGGGGGGAGGAGGGAAGAAGAAGACAGAAGAGGTTCGCTGGCCACTTTTCGCTTCCGCGCTAATTAAGGCCACTTGGTCTTCGCCGCAACCACCTTGACTACTCCTACTGACTCAACAATCAGAAAGGACAACAAGATATTTACTCTCTTTTGATACAAGTTCAATTTCAATTTTCCGGCACCTTTTGACTAGAAGAACTCAAAGTGCGATGGTTGTTGTGCACCCCCCAATAAAGCTATCCCCACACTCCAGAGGCCACGGTACTAACTACCTGATGTTGGGCTCAGGGTCTACGGGGTAATGTATAGTCCAAAAAAATAATGATTCACTTTTGCGCTGAATATCTCTGATATTCCGCTCCAATAACTATTAAAATCCCTGGGTCCTATAAATCTATGCCAGCATTGTATAAAGATACCTTATGAGATCAACGTATGGAAGCGCAAAAGGACAATCTAGCTTCAAGGACCGACGAGCCCCAAGCAATCGTCAATCACAACTTCAAGTTCGCCCAGCCGTGTCTTCAAACCCCGGTTCTCCTCTTTCAAAACACCCATCACACTCCAAGCCTCAGAAGCTGGCACGCCATAACAGTTGTTACAATTCGCCGCGTTGTTGCCAGTGAAAGAGCTTCCTAAACGCGTTGAGGCAAGACCCTTGATGACTCGATCATACGCGGACGAACGAGGAGGCGCCGGTCCATTCGTAACCGCGACCAAGTTCTTCTGGATTGTGGATGTTGGTGTCGGGCCAGTCGGCGTAGACAATGCGATCTGAGAAATATTGGGAGACAGGGCCGCCATGGTAGAGGTGGGAGACTCAATACCCTCACGCTGGGAGAAAACACTCTCCGCAATGCTTTCATCCCCAGACTCGAAGCCTGAATCGCTGGTGAATGTACTGTGGCTAGCACGTTTGCCGCCACGGCGAGGAGTTTGGAGCGCCATGGAGGGAACATCGTCATCCGGGGGTACTGTGCGCATGGTAGGACTGCGACTTCGGGACTCGGTCTTCCGCATACGTTTCTCCTGCTCTAACTCCTCGACCATGGCCTGCATGGCTTTCTCCTGATCCAGTACCTTGGCTGCCATGCCGTCCAGCTGCGTCTTTAGGTGGTCGACCCTTGAGCGAGTTTCTTCGAGCTCTCCTTGCTTTTCGTTCTTATCTAGCATTGCCTGGTGCATGGCGAAAGTACGCTGCTTGTAAGCATCTTGCATGCGTCGTAGCACTTGGTCGGCATGTTCTCGTAAGGCATCCAATGCCTCGTCATTGGTAGAGTCGGATTCGGGTAATGATAGAGCAGCAGTGATGTCGAGGTTAAGGAATTCGTCGTCCGCGAGTTCTGGAAAGTTGGGTTTGCTAGGTTGCCGACGCAAGCCAAAGAATGAGAACCGATTTGTCGCCGGTGTGGAGTGTTGTCGTGTATGTGAGACGGAAGCTTGTCGTGCATCGACCCCTGTTCTATCTGAAGCGTTGGACCCCATTTTCAGTCCCAACTCCACTGGATCAGATTTGCCTTGGAACCAGTCTGACAAGACCCTGGCTCTTGCTTCGAGCTTCTTCTTCGGGAAAGTTTGCGTCCAAGGGGTATTCTTCGGATGGTCTGATATTGTATCGCCAAGTTCTTCTTCGAAAAGCGGTGGTCTTGCAATGTACTCGGTGTTTGCTCGACGATGTGAAGGTGGATTGTTCAACCGTTTTGGTGAGGTCAACGGGACTGTCGATCTTGGTGTCAAGGCAACGGTCTCGTGAGACTCCGTACCATCGGAATGTAGGGTGACAGGAGCGTGTGAGAGATCGAAGGACATGATCTAAGGGGAATTATCAACCGTACAAGCTGATAGGATGAGAATGCCACGTCGGTTTAGGCCTCAATGTGGCGCTGTGCAACCTAGAGAGGGGGGATTCGTAGGGAGTAGCTAGGTATGATTGCAGGGCTGATCAACAAAGGATAAGGCAGATCCCTTCAAGTAGTCAAAATGATGGGAGAAAAGAGTACTCCGTAACAGGACTGGAGAATAGTGTATGTTTCACTCAAGTTAACGAATTGCTTAGTCTATTTTTTTCAAAACGGAAAATAAGAAAAAGCGTCTATGAAATCAAAGAGGCTGGGGGGATGAAATAGCGGTGGCTGAATAGAAAGAAAGCTCTCCACCTCCGCGAGCTCCATTTCTTTTCTAATATTATAACCGGCTATACGGGGCAAGTCGCCTCCCACTATACTACTTTGGCCAATTTGATCTATTATTGCTATCAATTACCTCGCGTCCGCTCCCGTTGTGCATGGTTTCAGCTGCACGAGGATCTGCGTCATTGCACGTTCTTCGTTCTCCGTCATGACTCCAAACGGTTTGAAGCATTTGTCCAATGCCCTGGCAACCCCAGATCAGCTCTCCAATTCATCGTCATCGCTTGATGGTGTCCCAGCCGACCTTGAAACCACCATTCGATGTGCAGGCGCTCAGCTCACACAAACTGCTGGCGTTCTCCTACATTTGTCTCAAAACATCATCGCCCAAGCGATCGTAATCTTCACGCGATTTTGGCTTGGCGCTGACGGAGGCAGTCTACGAATCTACTCAGTCAAGGTAAACCCAGCCCCTTAAAAACCATTTGTTGCCTGTTGGTCCGCTAACCGAGCCAGGATGTATCCGCTGCAGCTCTCTACCTAACAGCCAAGCTCTCCTTCCAACCTACCTCCCCCCGCTCCGTACTTAACGTATACACTTTCCTCCTATCCAAGGATGCCTCACCCTTGTGGTTCGTGAAACAGGGCGGCGCGCCTGAAACTCCTCCCTCGCCTGAGACGTACATTTTGTCCGAAGGCGGTTACCAGACCGCGCGGCAGGTCCTCCTCCGCACCGAAACGGTTATTCTGCGCACCCTCGGCTTCGATACTCACGTTGCTTTACCTCATACGATTGCATTGACATATCTGCAAACCATGGGCGTGACGAAGCCAGCCGTCGCCCAACGTGTGGTGCAACATCTCAATGCCGCCTTACTCTCGCCGCAACTTCTCTATCTCACCCACCAACCCAATGCCCTGGCTGTGGGCGCCATTTATCTCGCCTCGCGTGAGGAGGGTGTCAAACTTGTCGACGGCGATTGGTGGGAAGTCTTCGATGTTGATCGCGAAGAACTTGGCTTCTTGGTCGTGGGCATGAGGAGCATGGAAGGGTTTATGCGAGCGGAACTCAATTTGTGGAAGGACAAGTCTATTCCGATGGTTCCAGATGAGGTGGATGCCGAAATTGAGCGCCGCCGAATGATGGAAAATGGCGAGTGATTTGATTTTCGCTGTTATGAAAATTCTCAATTCCCATCACGAAAAGCCTGGGTGGGAGCTCCGCAGAAGCCTTACCAGATTGCATTAGGCATGGAACGGGCAGCTGCCATCAAACTCAACAACTTCACCAATCATGTGTCGGGCTCAACGGTCGTTGTGCGCATCCAAAAGGATTCCTCGTTTTGGACACCTAGCACTAGTCATGAGTTTCCCATGATCTTGCGGCGGTAAGAGCCGCCAAAAGATGCATTATTCGGGCAATCCTGGCAGTCTCCGAGGGACCTTGCGGCCTGTCAAGGCGAAATTACACGCCTTTTCACCGAAAATGCCCTTGTGACTGCAGCCTTCTGTTATAGATTAGTGCGACTATGCCATGGAATCATTGATGGTTATAACAGCTAGATTTTTTGAACAAAGTTGAGTTCACTGGAAAATTCCAATATTAGTGCCACATTCAATTGCCACCTTTTCTGCCATCCAATGTGAGGTTTACACTCACACCGGGAACCCCTGTTGCGAAAGTACAATCCGGCCACTGCTCGCCGCAGGATTGCATATAGGAGAAAAAGTAACTAACAAGACCCATCAACTCGGATATCTATCAATCTAATCAGCTCGCCCGCATTTTTCGCATGATGGAGAACGTAGCTCGCCAGCATGCAAACAATGAAGCCACTATATTCGAGCAACATCTTATTCAAAATCAAACGAGACATACGACCATTTCACTCAATAAAAGGATGAGTGTTGACGAAAACATGGGCATTCTTAGATGCAAAAGCATTTGGGTCAATGTTGCCCGCCTCGGTTGCTTCTCAGAGATCAGACTTTAGCTCACGGATCATTGCCTTCATAAGTAGGGAAGCAGTGATGGATGAGAGAATGCGTATAACCCTGCATTGACTTCGTGTGGACGATATATGCCGCTGTATTTTTGCCACCGGGCGGGAGTGCCGTCAACGGCGTCGATTTGGTGAATTAGGATTTGATGTGTTGTGGAGAATGATTTCTTCACTGAGGTCTTGGTCGCACACGCAGAGCTGATTTATGATATTTGCTGCTGCATTTGTGTACTGCACGATCTCTCGGCTCTGCTTCAATTCTAAGTTCTGTTCATCTGGTTCCTCGATCCCAATTAACTCCTGGCCGCTCAATATCGTGGGGCAAAGCTTTGAGTAATGTCGAAACCATTTCCAGCTCTCTCGATCATGTTTAAACCATAGATCATGTATGTGAGACTGTTTAGTACTCAATTAAGAAGAGCGGATGGTCCTGCCTCATGGGTATTGACCTTGCAAATCTGGTTATAGGGTCAAAGTCGTTACGTGCTGTTGTATCGCTGTAGAAGTCCTCGTCCAATGTACAAGTGAAGTGTGTGCCCCGTGGCGTGGGCAGATGCAACAATCTTGGATTGTATTAATTGATCAGATCTTCTGCAAGGTTAACACAGCGAGGCAGAATCTACTAAGTCCATGGCTTCTACGATGTATCACAGTATGCACGGTCTTGGTAACTCAACCGGTGGGACCCACCGGGCCCCACTCTACACCCCATTCCACACTTGCGAACAAGCCCATGTCAAATGAAGGGCGTCGGCAAGGAGGCACAAACTGATATAAATTACTGGTCAGCCCAGCGACCAAGCTAATATATCTTCCCAACTTTCGCAAGCAAGCACATCTTTTTTTTAGAGAATCTGTATATTTGCCTCGATCGCTTGAAAATGGGACATTTCGACCCAGAGCACGAACTGAAGAAACCCTGGATTGAAACCCCTTTGATAGAGTCGGCGACACTTTCAAAGGCTGCTGGATGGTAAGTTTGACCTTTTCTATCCAAAGCTCAGAACACTGAAGAGTAAATCCAGTCGAATCTTCCTCAAAATAGAGTCGCTCCAACCTTCTGGCTCATTTAAATCACGGTACGTTCGACATTCTATATTGCGGCGTGCCAAAATGGAAACTAGATCTGATAGTTTGATTCAGGGGCATTGGAAACCTGATCCTCAAATCTCTTTCCCATCCGTTGAACGCTGGCAGAGCCCTACATTTTTTCAGCTCGTCGGCAGGCAATGCGGGAATGGCAGCAGTTATCGCCGCCCGGGATCTCGACTGTCCCTGTACGGTGATTGTGCCCCTTAGTGCAAAGCCTATGATGATCCAAAAAATACTCGCTGCAGGGGCTTCGGATGTTATCCGCCATGGAGCTAGTTGGTTTGAAGCCGACGCGTATCTGCGGGAAAAGTATATCGAAAACCAAGACAGCAACTCAGATTCTCCCACCAGGAACATTTATGTCCCGCCATTCAACCACCAAGACATCTGGCAAGGCGCGGGGACTATGGTTGATGAGATAGTCAAGCAATTACCTCCAAGGCACTACGGCAAAACCGATACTTCTGATTCGTTCCCGGCAGATGTAATTGTTTGCAGCGTTGGTGGTGGCGGGCTTTTTAACGGAATTGTCGAGGGCGTTGAGAGGCATTTACCAGGCCATAAACCGGCAACATTTCCCAACGAAGAGGCTCAGAAAGTTCGGATTCTCGCTGTTGAAACAGCCGGGGCGGATGCGCTGGCGCATTCACTACGCAACGGTTCTCTGCACACCCTACCTGCAATTACGTCACAGGCAATTACCCTGGGGGCCCTCCGCGTGGCACCACAGACGCTGAAAAACGCGCAATTTCCTCCGCCTGGTATCGAAGTCACCAGTATTGTGGGTACCGACGCTGATGCGGCGAGGGGAGTTGTGCGTTTGTGCGATGAGTTGCGTTTAGAGGTCGAGCTAGCTTGCGGGATAAGTGTTCAAGTTGGCTTAGATAGGCTAAAGGAAGTCATAACAGACTTAACACCGGAAACTCGAGTCGTCATCGTTGTTTGCGGAGGAAACGACGTTACTCCTGAGATGATTACAGACTACCGCCAGAAGCTTGAGAATGGTTGGCGATGAAAGACGATTGGAGTCGATTGTTCATGTTCTTCTAAATAGAGTCTATAGGTTCCTCTCCTGTCAATTAACACAGTTCTTTCCCCCACTCTTCAACCACTCGATACTTCTCCCCCACAGCAGAGCTTTCGAGTAATTCGTTATTCATCCATGTAGCAATCACACCGAAGAGATCGTCACTTCCAGGATCTAGACGACCCTCACGAGCAATATTTCAAAAGCCATCCAAATAAATTAGCTGAAGACTTCAAGATCCGAAAGCTTCTTGATCCGCAATAATTAAGTATATCCTCGTGGAAAGTTTGTGTAATTGTATTGCAAGCCTCTCAATAATGGCATCTCGGCTCTCGCGCCACACTTCATGGCTTTCTTCTTTCGCTTCAGGAAGTTGTGTTTTGAAATCAGAACGTGCATGGTCATTATAATCCGGGCTACGGGATCGCGGTATCATCCAGTTATCATCAACCTCGGGATATAATGGGCCCGCAATTCGGGAAGAATTTCGTATACACGCCGCCAGCCCGGATAGAAAATATCATGCATTGCAGAATCACAACGAAAGACTTATAGCATGCCGCAAATTTGGAAGATATGAAGTTCAAGCCGAATGACACTATAAAACGAAGATCGTTGCCTTCTGGGGCAGGGCTAGACAGCAGGGACATACTGCACACAAGCCACAAGCCGGTGAGTCAGCAATTGGGTGGGTGACCACCAGCGAATCCTTACTGTTGTATATTTTTGTTTTTGCACTTCTCGCGGATGCGTGTGAGTAATAACGGGTGAGAAGTCTAGAGACTAGGATGAGAAGAGAGCGCGGGGTACAATTCTTACCTAGGAGTAATAAAACGCGGCTAATTCACGAAGACTCGGGAGATTCTCGGGGATTTGTAACGCCAATTCATTCCGGCTGACTGCCATTGGCTGTGAGCACCCCAGCATCCTCGTCGGGTCGGTATTGAGTTGCTTCCACCCCGATCAATATTTAGGTAGCTTCCCCAACCCATCACCGTCCTTTAGCAATTTGCGGGGGGAAGAATGAAACCCCCGTGGACTTAGACTTCCACCACCCGAAGATATTACGATGAAACCCCGGGGAAGTAAAATATGACATTTGCCCTTCGACTATAAGAAGGCGCTATCAATCCTCACTTGGATGGGCGAATGATCTAAACAGCAGCTATGGCCCTGAAGACAGCAATTCTCGGTGTGGTGCTCGGTGTCACCGTCTCAACCGCATGGGGTCAAACCCTGACGGAGGACATGGTCGAGAAAATGGGAAACAATAGCCTTTTCACTCGTTGGAGACCGTACTCCCACTTTTTGGCCCCTGCAGGGTGGATGAATGTATGTCTCATTTCCAATTCCGAAACGTCCTGGATGGACTAAGTGGCACTAACCATTGAACCAGGACCCTTGTGCCCCTATGTACGACCCGGTTGAAGGCATTTATCATATGCACTACCAGTTTAACCCCAATCACGTCAACTGGGGTACTGTTTCCCTCTCCTAGCTGTCTAGCAAGATCCTGGCTAAATGTCTCGTCCATATAGGCAACATATCGTGGGGACACGCGACGTCCAGCGACCTCATAACTTGGACTGATGTTGACCACAACCCCGGCAATGGACTTGCAGGATGGCAAGACGGAGAAGCGAAGTCAATTGGTACAACCAACCTGACTACCGACCACCACGATCCATCGATGTACAACCATCTGGGCATTTTTTCCGGAACAGCCCAGCCCGTCAATATCTCTGGTGAAGTTGATGGAACAATTCTCGCCTTCTACACATCCGTTTCAAAGCTGCCAACCTCGTATACCTTACCCTATCTGCCTGGGACCGAAAGCCAAAGTTTGGCATACTCCACCGATGGTGGAGTGACATGGCAAGAATATGCCAACAACCCAGTCATCAGCAGCCCACCTGAAGGTTGGAACGTCACCGGCTGGCGGGATCCCTTCTACCTCCCGCTTCCCCAGTTGGACACACTACTAGGCAGCTCCGAGCCTCACTACTATGCCATACTTGGCTCCGGTATTAAGGGCTTTGGCCCTCGCATGCCCTTGTACAGTGCTCCCGCGTCTGATCTCACCAATTGGACTTTCCTTGGTACTCTATGGGAACCCACAGCGAACAGTACCTTGGGCTCGTTGGAGGAAACCGGATCGTATGGGTTCAACTTTGAAGTTTCCAACTTTTTCGCTATTGACGACCGCTACTTCGTCAGCATGGGTGCTGAAGGAGGCGAGGTCAGCTTCCATGACCGGAGGTGGTCTTTGTGGAATGAGGGAGAAATTTCCAGGCGTCCGAATGGTAGCATTGCCTTCAACCCTGTCTCAGGCGGTGCGACCGACTGGGGTATTCTGTATGCGGTAAGATTCAGATCATAACTAGAATATGCGATCTCCTCGAAACGATGGAATGCTAACATGACCTGCCAGATCACCTCGTTCAATGACACTAAGAACAACCGCCGTATTCAGTACGGCTGGGCAAGCGAGGACATGGACAACTTCGGCATCGTGCAGCAAGGCTACCAAGGGGCGCTGTCCTTGGCCCGGGAGCTCTTCATCAAAGAGACCAGCGGTGTGGCCCACAACCCTGCTGACGCCACCCCTGGCAACTCCCGCTATACGTCAAACTCCAATGGCACCTGGACTGCAAGCACTCTGGGCGTGCGCGCAGCCAGCGATGTAGTTGCGGGTCTTCGCCGTGGCTCTTGTCACACCAAGTCTCGTTGTAGCAAGAAGGTGTGCAGCAACACCAGCAACATCCGCCTGCCCAGCACTCTCAGTAATTCCTATGAATTGAAGCTGCATATTAAGAGCACCACGGGTGTCACAGGTGTGACGGTTGCTGCCTCGCCCGGTCGCGAAGAGTACACGAACATCTACTATGATCCCTCCAAAAAGTCCGTCGTCTTGGACCGCGCCTACTCCTCCCAGATCAAGATGTTCCCCAACACGACACTGGCTGGGCACTTTGAGCCCTACCAGATGGCAGGATACCATGGCGGTAAAACTATGACAGAACCGATCGAAATGAACATATTTGTTGACGGCTCCCTCGTCGAGGTCTTTGTGAATGACCGCTTCGCTCTCACTGGCCGCATCTATCCCAGCAGGGAGGACAGCAATGGCTTTGCTTTGTACAATGCACCCGGCGTCAGCGTCAAGTACGGAGACATTGAGATCTGGGATGGCCTGCTCAACGTCTGGCCCGACAGACCCCTGAACAGCAGCTCCGAGCTCGTCTTTGACACTCCTGCCGAAACTAACAACTACACTTGGTGGGTCGGGAACTAAAGAAGAGAAAGCAAAATTGTGTCTCCATGACATAATTTCTCAGTATTGTACAAAGCTGTCGGCCTTTGGTTGTACTCTCGGTCTTTTTGAACACTTCAGCCTATGCGTCAGAGGTGAAGGGATTAACAGATCTATACCAATTCTGGTTATCATGTATAAAACTGCTGGAGTTTCTATCACCTAGGGGTGATAGGGGTCAATTTACCTAGCCCGTTCCAAGCAAATATATAAATAAAATTCGAGCTCCGGGCCCTTCTTTGGTAAAGGGTATTGTGATTATCAAGCTCCATTATCTATGCCGACTTCAATGGCTGACAATCGGATCTATGCACCAATGCAAATAAAGGAGTCGTACAATCCCGACCCTATACTTTATGGTCAAATCCGGATGCCGCGATAGAGTTATGCTCTCTTGGAGGTGTGGAAACTTCCTTGCTGCTTGCGCTGCTTTGAAGAAGTGGCGTGTTTTGTGTGACCCGATCGATCGTCAAACAGGTTTGAAAAGCTTCTTTCTTGCCACTGAGCTTACAGCATCGACAATTCTTGCCAAATGTAAACAGACTTAGTATGAGGTTTGAACCATGAGTTATGACGCTTGTTACGTAGAGACGTAGAAAGGGATGTATATAAAAGGCCTGCTTCTGCTTCGTTTCAATTCACAAACGGATTACAACTCGAATTCAAAGATTACTTCTATGGAAAACTCACCTCAGTCCATTTTGGACAGCCTAGATGGCTCCCATATCTATATTCCTTCTTTGGAACGAATGTTTACACATTGGCCCTTGGGAGTAAGCTCCCATCGAAGGAGGCTTGAGTGTGCTGTTGATACTAGGATTGATCTGTCGGTTTCTGAAAACACGCTTAAAGACCGGGAAGTGCTAGTTCACAACTATGAACAGGCTATGCCAAGGGAGGAACGACATGTACGCATCCAAGATGAAGGCCTGTGACTTTGCCTTGTTTTCTGCTGCATTGTGGCCCCAAGCCACTTACGAACGACTCGAAACAATGGTACACTTCACGATGTGGGTGTTCATGTGGGACGACGAGATTGACGAAGCCACGGGGACACTGTTCAATCAGCTTAACGCGGCGGATAACTTGCGGAAAGACACACTACGCTATGTCCGACAATGTCTCAGAATAAACGAAGTAGAAGGTGAATTTGAAACTGATAATTTCATTATTCGCAGCTTTGATGTTATTGGTCAGGCGATTTCCGAGGTCTTTGATCGAGGCAGGGCTCCATTTTTATCAAAGTTCTACATCATGTCTCTTACATGTATTACATCAACGGCAGAAATTCTTCGATGAAGTTGAATATTTTATCCAACGCTGTAAAGAAGAGCAGTATATTCGAGTTTATCAACAACATATCACACTGGAGAAGTATAGCCAAATGAGAATCGGCACTGTTGCGGCGCCGATGTTGATAGCGTTGAATGAGTTCGTATTCTGCTTGAATGCTATCTTTTTTCAACGAGCTTAGCTTTTTACTTACATTTCCAGGTTTACCACCTAAGTATCTCTTCCAAAGGAGCTTGCAAACCATCCCCAAATGAGGGTTCTATCGGACCAGACCTCTCTCATTGGAGCGTAGTAAGTTGATACAAACTACCCTGTCAAGTAACGCTAATAACTCAGTATCAACGACATATTGTCCGTTGAGAAAGAAGTCGTACGTTTAGGCCGCGTTGATTGATTATTATGGCTAATGAAGAACAGGCCAAGGGAGCGCCATGCAGTCTCATTCCCCTGCTATTTGCTCGCCATGGAGATATCGAACGAGCAATGAATGAAGCAGTTGAGACATTCCAAAATTCCGTCAATTCTTTTGATTTCACCGCTAAGGATATGTACTCCGCAATCCGCCATGATTCGATTTCGCTCTCAGCTATGAATGGGTTTGTCCAATACTGCAAACTAATGTGCACGGGTCTTTTGTATTGGTCGTGTGTCCTGCTTCCAGCCATTTGAAGTTAAGAGCACCTAGCTAATGTTATCTTCTTAGACTGCGGAGTAAGAGATATGGCTTGGTCACAATTCCTCGAGACGCTGAGGATGGGTTTTACCTCTCCCTCGCCACAAAGGTATCTACAGATGATTCTGGAGAAACCAAGTCCAGTAATATTAGATCTGCTATCGGATTGACGCATATTGTTCCTGTTATATTCGTGTCGGTTCTTATGATTGTTGGTTGGGTAAGATACTGATCATTTAAGAGGGGAGATACTGTCAGGGGAATTACAGGCTGGAGTCCATACAGCGTATAGATTGCTGCAAGGGCTGCAAAGGTGTATAAAGGCATCATAATAGTTGACTGCCCACATGTAGGATTGAAAATAGTCTTACCTAAAAAGTGGGCGGTCCTGTTGCTCTTTGAATGATCAGATAAAAAGTTGGACTAACTTCAAAATTGAAGAATCAACATTGATTATCCTTATTCACCGTTTCATAATCCGGCTTGGCTTCAGATCAACAGAAACCCACAAATCTGTGGAACTTTACGGCCGATGGGATTTAACCAGAGCCGACATCGATAGGAATGCTACTTTAAAGGGCCAACCCCTTGAATGCAGAGAAGGTCATGTACTTAATAAGATAAATGACCTTGGGATTCATTGCGAGCAAAAATTGCTTGTCTTGCTCTATATAAGCTGTTTATACCCATATAAGCATGCACTACACCTGCTTCAGTCTCTGGTATCCATATTAGTCCACCTCGCCCTCAAGCCATGTGCTGCTGCCTTCGGCTTCCGGTCTCTTGTGAAAACACCCTTCTTATTACCGTCCACCCGCATAGTACCAATAGTAGTCTGGAAATCAGCAAAGTTCCAAACCTGCTCACCAGCCATAGATCCAATGCGATCAAACACCCGATGATACATATCAAGCATCTGAGTCTGGAACTCTTCGCTCCAAGGCAGACCAAGAACGGAATGGAACCCGGCAATAGTATCCGCACCGTACTCTGTCATGATAATCGGCCTATTGAACTTCTCTTCCCAGCCCCGAAGCTCCTTTTCAAGGGCTACTTCGGCTTCTGCCAGGTCCCCAGTCTCGGAATACCACCCGAAATACCGGTTCAGACAACTGACATCAAAGAGATCAGAGATACGGTCCTTCTCAAACGTTGCCATGCCGACATTGGCGAATGTAATCGGACGGGTTGGATCAAGCTTCCTGGACAGCTTAGCTAGCGGTTCGAAGTATTCGCGTGCTCCGTCTTCTTGGGATGCGGGCTCGTTGGCAATAGACCACATGACAACGCTAGGATGATTCTTGTCTCGGCTGATCAGCTCGCGAATTGCTTGCTTGTGAGCCGCCTGGGTATTGTTGTTGATACCCTCCGGAGTAAAGGTTTGTGATTCGCCCCCAGACAAGCCTAACAAAGCAATATTCAGGCCCACGGCGGGTGTTTCATCGATGACGACAATACCTTGTCGGTCGGCAAAATCCATGACCTCCTCGGCATAAGGGTAATGTGAGGTCCGGAAAGAGTTTGCCCCGATCCAATTCAGGAGCTGGAAATCGTGGACCATGTATGCTTGATCATGTCCTTTGCCGCGCACCGAGGTGTCTTCATGTTTGCCAAATCCGGTGAAGTAGAAGGGCTTATCATTGATGAGGAACTTTGTGCCGCTGACCTTGACGGTGCGCACACCCGTGGCAAGACTGTAAGTATCAACCACCTTGCCATGCGTATCCACGATGTTGGCTTGGAACTGATAGAGATAGGCGGCACCGGGTTGCCATAGCTTGACTGAGTCAATTTTAACAGTCCCATGAGCCCCAGAGGCATTTGCAACGGTCTTTCCATCTTCGTCAATCACTGAAATTTTGATCTGCCCATTCGTGTGGTTGGCAACTTTGACGTCATAGTTGATTAGACCATTTCTGCCGTCGACATCAGTGACAACAGTGATATCTTGGATATGTTGGCGAGGAAGAGAATAAAGCCAAATAGACCGGGCAAGACCAGCATAATTGTAAAAGTCATGGTGGTAGGTCTGTGTCCTCTTGCCAGTGAACTCCCCTACTGAGATCTCTCCGGGTGGAATTGTCTCATGGGTGAGCTCATTATTGACACCAATGGTCAACCGAAACTTCTCTCCGGCGGCAACAAAGTCGGTGATATCTGCTTCAAATGGCGTGTAACCACCGACATGCCCAGCTAGAAGATGGTCGTTCACATAGATACGACCTTCGTGCGTGGCAGACTCAGCTCGTACAAGATATCGCTCTTTAGACCAGCCTTTTGGGACGAATACATCGCGCTGATAGTAAACCCATCCCACGTGGTCGTGAATCTTCCGGTCGACAAAGATGTCATTGTAGGAGGCTGGCACCGGACATTCGAGGCCCTTGGGTAAAGGAGCTGTCCAAGGCTGGGCTGTGTCGTTGGGACCAGACGCGAGAGCGAATTTCCACAGACCATCGAGGCTCACAAGCTCTCGGAGAGGGTTTTGCTGAGGTTTGAGCTTGATCAAGGGTTGCTCAACCTTTGTCGGATCGTTTACTTGATACAGACTGGCTGTAGGGACACATAGAGAAGGAGGAACAATAGACAGCAGCGATAATCCTGCAAGGAGTTTCATGGCTGCTTGAAGAGGCAGCTGCTGTCCAGCAAAAATTGTTTGGGGTGTTTGTCTTCCAAAAGTGTTCCGAGTTGATTAGTTAGAGAATGATAGAGAGCTGTAAACAAGAGATTATATAGATCTTCAGAAAACCATCGGCGAACGAGGCATCTCCGCACCGGCAACTGACTCGCTTGGCATACTAGCTTTACCCAAGCATATTGGATAATTCCTGGAAGGATAGCGTGAGTTATTTAGTAACACAGACTGTCGTTGGTGGCCCGGGATATGTTGCCAAGATGCTAAGCCTGTATTTCGCGGGGGTGGAGCCGAAGAGCTCAGCATCTATGCGTCAGTCAGACTCTGTATCGGCAATTATCTTATCCTCCTCCACGTCGGTTATTGATCGACTTAGATTACTAGGTATTCTGGGATTGTGGAGGCGGAACTTTTAGACCCTTTGTAGCGAAGTATAACGAGTGATTAATGGACCCTGACTGGAGTGTAGCGGTTCGTTGTTGATTTATGCTGCAAATTGGGTGTATTAAGAGCCTTTATTATACTTGACTGGTTTAAACAATAATTAACTTGGGTTGATATCTGGGGCTCAGGAGAGATGTTAGGACTGGGGAGCGATCAACAAACAGGAGCGGTATCGACAACATGCATAGTGTCTAACAAGTCTGAATATGTCTCATGTTGAATTCTTCTCGCTGTATGTTCAGTCGCTAGGTGCTATTCAAAATATGTTTTATGTAAAAACATTGAAGGTATAGAATGGTATAGTTGTCGGGGGTGAGGTGGGTTAAGGTTAGAAAGCAAACATAGCAAACAGCCCTGTATCTCCAGAACACTTTGCGTTGAATTAGGCGTTGAAGAGATCAAATACATTGATTCATACATACATACATCCCTACGTACATGTGTAGGCTATAAATTTAGTAAGTAAGCCAGGCTTCGGACATCATATGCCAAACAAATAGGTGCTTCCTACCCGAGCAGGATTGCCTTGCAGATGAATTTAGGCTTTGAATATAGGTTTTTATGGTTATTATTGGCCTCAACTGCTTCAATAATTTCATTAATGGGGCTTCCATTTCAATGGATACGTACATTTATGTATTGTAGTCAACAACATCTGATGCGATTCAAAGATATTCACCAGACTTCAGAATGACGCGGATCATGTGCTCCACCTGCTTATCGTTAAATGATTCCCCCCCACCGAGTTCCCGTATTCCACACTTTCTTCTCACAACATCACTATGAATATTTTACATTCTACACTCTCAACCTGGCGGGATCGCCTGGCGCCAGTGTCGCGCACTTCAACCTTCCGAAACACCGGTCAAATCACCCCCGAGGAGTTCGTTCTCGCTGGAGATTATCTCGTCTACAAGTTCCCCACATGGTCTTGGGCCGATGCATCGAGTCCAGCAAAACGTGTCTCTTACCTCCCACCCGGGAAGCAGTTCCTAGTCACCCGCGGCGTGCCGTGCCACCGAAGATTGAACGATAACTTCGCCGGAGATGCAGGGCTAGAAGATGAGATAGTGAGGGACTTCCTCTCGGGCGGTGATGGGGGCGAGAGCGCCGCGGCTGGCGATGGAGAGGATGGGTGGTTGCGGACTGCTGGAGGTCGCGATACTGCCGGTGACCAGGATAAGCAGGAAGCTCGGATTCGCGACGTTCGGACTGTGGATGAATCCGGCAACTTGGGCGAACAGGAGGATGACGATGACGATGACATCCCCGATATGGAGGATGACGATGATGACGAGGAAGCCATTATTCGCGAACCGGCCGGGCAGTCGGGTACCACACAGTGCGTATACATATCGCACATTATCGTTCATTCCCTACCTAGGCGTCTTGCTAACGACTGACTTCCGTCTGCAGATCTCTCCGCACTTATACCCTTTACATTACATACTCTAACTTCTACCGCACACCTCGTCTCTACCTTTCCGGGTATCTATCGGCGTCAGAACCCCTTCCTCCGCACCTGATGATGGAAGATATTGTCGGCGACTACAAAGACAAGACCGTGACGCTAGAAGATTTCCCTTGGTTCGAGGGCAGTGTCAAGATGGCCAGCGTGCATCCCTGCCGCCATGCCTCTGTCATGAAGACCCTTCTGGATCGCGCCGATGCCGCGCTCAAGCTCCGCCGTGATAAACTTAAACAAACACAGTCACGCGAAGAAGCGAACCGACTTCTGCGCGCAGGTGGGAGTGGACTCGAAGGCTTGGTTGATGAAACGAGGAACCTTTCCCTCGCTGACCATCCACAGGGTCAGCATGGCGGAGATGAGTGGGAGATGTTGCAGCACGACGAGGAAGAACAAGTTGCTATCCGGGTGGACCAGTACCTGGTTGTGTTCCTCAAATTCATTGCCAGTGTGACACCGGGCATTGAGCATGACTTTACTATGGGCGTATAGTTTTATTTTCGAGGCTTGTTGCTACAAACCCTTGCTTTCTATTCCCCTATATTTCTCGGGCAGAATGTATTTTGTGATTTCCTCCCCTATCCCAATTTCCCGATATGTGATATGCATGACATGACATGACATGAGTTTGGCGTTGATTAGCTTACGGGAAACTGAATTTTCAATTATTTTCGCTTCCTCTACTCAGTAGATTGCCTCTGTTGCGTACATCGTCGCGTTTATATTGTGGACTTGGATGGACGTCAGGGGTGTCATTTGCTAACGTGTTTTGGAATCATGCAGTCCGCCCAATAGATTACCTCCTCTCTTCCCCATTATTAACCCACCGGCACTAGCCCCATAATCATCTCCAGGGAAAAGAAGAAAATAAAAGAAAGTCCGCCATTTTCCAAAGAAGTAATGTCCCTGCGTACGAGTGCGACGGGCGAACATCAGCGCCTAGGTCCAGCGTGTGACGAGTGCCGACGCCGCAAGCTGCGCTGCGACGGGCAGCAACCGCAATGTGGGGTTTGTCGGGATACAGACAATGTGTGTGAAATCACACATCGAGGGACTCGAGGACCAAAGAAAGGTCATCTGAAGGCGCTCAAAGGTCGAGTCGAGCAATTGGAAGCTATTCTAGAGGACCGACAACCACTCAATACCACGGAGCCGTGCAAGCCCACGGCGGCGCCTTCTGTTCCGGAGATTCAGCCTCAGCCTTTTGGCTTCCTATCTAACCCAGCTTCTGATTCTGATGGATTGTCTTCATTGTTCCCCTTGCCGCTTACTAGTAATTATATCCCTCTCACTGGTGTTTTGCGGACTGAATTGTAAGCAACATCCCTATAGAAAATGTATATGACCACACTAACAAACCTGCCAGAGATCAGCTCTACTTGGATCGTGTCCACCAATCAATTCCCATTCTCCACCAGAGACGTTATCTGTCCTGGTCCAAATCTACTACTAAGACAGCATCGCGAACGTGTTTGCAATATGCTATGTGGACTTTGGCTTCCCTTCTGTCAACTCAGTTCCGCGATATGGTCGATCCACTTTATCAAAAGACAAAGCAGATGCTGGAGCGTCTCAGTCTCGAGGCCAATAACGATAGCAACGTGACTACGGAGTTTGCACAAGCATGGGTGCTTGTAGTAATATTTGAATCAATGCGAACATACCATCGACAGGCGTGGATGAGCGTTGGCCGGGCTTTCCGCTTAGTCCAAGCCATGCGGTATCATGAGATCGACAGCCCGTTGGAAAGAAAAGAGCCGCCCCCGTCTCTGACAGGTGACTTGATTGAGGTTGAAGAGAGACGCCGGGTGTTCTGGATGGCCTATTTCCTTGATCATATGATCAGTATACGCGATGACTGGCCCATCACATTGAACGAGCATGTGGTAAGAAGCCCGCACGAAAACAGATCTCACCGAGAAAGAGACTCATCTGACTGTTCCCAGATCTGCACTCGACTTCCAGCTCCAGACACAGAATTTCAAAATGGGCACCATCAGCTGGGACCTTTCCTATCGGAAGCCATAACAGACCCTGATCTCAAAGTTCGATCGTCGTTCAACGAATGTATCATCTTAGCTACTATCTGCGGGCGTAGTTTGCTCCAAAGTCAGCAATACCACATATCCAAGGTCTACGGAGGTATGGCGTTAGACTGGACAGGGCAGCATCTGTGGCTGGAAAACCTCCTAACGACAAGACTTCCGGTCTTGTCGCACTCCGCGGATGCCTACAGCCCTCTGATGCTATTTGCCAGCATCCTTGGTCAAGCTACCGTGATATACTTTTGCAAAACCATGATGAACTCTACAATCACCTTCGACGACGAAATACAAGCCACTGGTGAGCTGTTTAATCATCAAAACCGAGCCCTTGAAGCTTCTACAAACATAATCTGTCTCGCCTCGAGACTACGTGATCTACCATGTGCCAAGGTAGGCCATTCACATCCGCACTAAACCATAGCCTGCTAACTATTTGCGGTAGATCCATCCACTGATGCCCATGCCACTCTTTTTGTGCGCTGAGTTTCTCTACGCCAACATGCATACTGGCGAGCCATTTCAAAGCCGTCTCAGGGAGCTATTCCTTATTCTCAGAGAACTAAAAAATGTCAATAATTACCAGGAAAGCTATTTGGAATTGCTACCCCGGTCGTGTATATCTAAAACGAGTGAGCTGTTTAGAGAGAGCGCTGAAGGCACTGCCGCACAATAGTGTATAATAATGAGACTTTTTACCGCTCTATAAAGATAGAACTACAATTGAATAAATTATTTGACAAATAAAGAAATGAAATGAATAGCTACATATACATATTAAATGTATTGAATATGAATAGAGACTGGTCAAGAGTCTCGGGGAAATAGTCGGAGAAAAGTTTCACTGTAGGCTCCAACCCGCGACAATAAACTATTTCCCGAGTAACTAGCTTGGGGGCCAAAAATTCGAGTTGAATAATCAATAATATAGCTATCTTGGAAATTAATTTGAAATCCAGCGCAGACTTTCTCTCCCTGAGACAACCATGTAGAAGCTTTACTTTCTATCGCACTAACTTACCAATCAGCTAGCTCAATGCAATGCCATCATCTTACAGTGCAATGTGCTCTATGTCGGCATCACGGGGACCGATTGACCGTGATGCCGATAGTATCTACTTGCTTCACAAACATCTCCTCGCAGAACCAAAGTGTTTGTGCCATTAATATAAGATGGTGCCGCCCTTTGCTCGTCGATGCTCTCTCCATCCATATTCATACTTGTCTGGTGATACTCTTACACATATCTTGCACTCGTGGGTGAATCTCAAGAAGAGATCATACAGCCCCAAATTCCTCCCAGATCGCAAGATGAGTCTCATTGGACGAGCAAACACCGCTCTCAATTTAAATCCCGTCACGGGCGTTGACGAAGCGCTCTCTGTGCACGGGTCCGATTGGCTCTGGGCCATCACAGCCATCTATGTTCTTTCATTCGTGGGTATTCCTCTACTCTCTGTACCCTGAGCACCAATCCTAACATGATTGTACCTTACCCTTACCCACGTCACTCACACATACACATTGAATGCAGATTATCCTCCTAGTGCTCTCCTTCGCAGCAAAAGAAAGCGAGAGAGTCTTCCACTATCTCTTCACCTTCGCTCTCCTAGTTGGTGCCATGACCTACTACGCCCAAGCATCCGATCTTGGCTGGAGTGCCGTCCAGCAAGTCGATAACTCGGGCAATGGCGTCGTCCGCCAAATGTTCTATACCAAATACATAAACTGGCTCGCTGCCTTTCCATCGCTCATTCTCGGACTAGGACTCGTATCTGGCGTTTCCTGGACCACTATAGTCTGCAACATCGCTATCGCGTGGTATTGGGTGATAAGCTACCTCGCAGCAGCATACACCACCACAGGCTACAAGTGGGGGTTTTTTGCGTTTGGGACATTTGCGTGGCTCATTCTCGCCATGAGTACCATCAATGAGAGTCGTGAGGCTGCGGCCTTGGTTGGTGTTGAACGAGACTATACTTTGCTGGCGGGGTGGTTGAATTTGTTGTGGGTGCTATATCCCATCGCTTTTGGTTTGACTGATGGCGGCAATGTACTTGGTGTTACCGGTGGCTTTATCTTCTTTGGTGTACTTGACGTGTTGATGGTGCCTGTTTTGAGCTTTGCTGTGTTGTTCTTCGCCCGTGGCTGGGATTATGAAAAGCTGAACATTGCTTTCAGTCATGGTCGTCCGAGCCGAGGTGAGACTGGGGTGAAGGATTCTACCGCCAACATTTCTGCGGGTGCCTAGAAATTATGCGGAAAGCTTGGGCTGCGGGGAATGAGGATTGATCAAGAATGGTTCTTGGGCCACTTCTATTCATTTTTCGGCTAGGATGGAGGCTATTGCCTTGATGAGCCATAGATTAGCTAATTTGGCTACATATAATTGTTGGACTAGATAAACACACTTTCTCTTAGAACTATTGCAAGATGTGAAAGAATGAGATAATCCACTTCTTACCTAGCTACAATGTTGCGACTTTTACAAGGAAATGATTACTAGAAGAAGAGCCATACATTCTCACTGAGTATAATAGGAAAACAAAAACAAAATGCAAAAGTAACCACAGAAAAACGCCTGAGTGCAAAGCACGCCTGGCACCGAAGCCCCTCAACAATGATAAATAAGAGTAAGTAATCGAACAGATAGGTAAATAGAGAATCCGGCCCTGATACACGAGCACAGATGGTACATGATATCCGGTGAGTACACCAGCCTCGAAGCAGCATTATAAAAAGTAAACAAGGAAGAATATAGTGAAAGGGTGTACACGATCAAGTAACAAGACAACAAAAGCAAGAATGATTCACAAGTCCGATCAATCGTCGATCAATCATAAGCATAGACAAGATAGACGATACCACCCTGTCGCGGACAGGCGGCTCGACACTCGCGCGGTTCGTTTACGCCATATCATTCGCCAGATGGAATTCTAGTGGAAGAAAGCCAGGATGACGGGAACTGCCACGGCTAGAACGGATGCAGGGGCGAGGGATGAGCCTGCGTTGAAGACGGGCATGGTGGAGTGAGAGGGCGAGGCGGAAGGAGCAGAAGCAGGTTGGGGGATGAGAGGAGTGGATGGCTTGACGATGGGAACGGCGGGAGCGTAGGCGGCGGGAGTCGTGTGGGGGACATAGATGGGTGTGGTGTAGGTTGGCACCATGGGAGCGGGAGCGGCAGGCTTGTTGGTAGGAACAATGACGGGAGCGGCAGGGTAGTTGGTAGGAACAATGACGGGAGCGGCAGGGTAGTTGGTGGGAACGATGACAGGAGCCCAGGTTTGGACGGAAGCAGTGGTGGTGGGGACAATCACCACTGGAGGCTCGGGGCAAGGGTAGCCGTCGTGGTGTTCATGTTCGCCTTCACCAGCGTTGACAAATGGTCCGCCAGGGATGCCAACATTGACGCCTGCGCCGGCGGATTTGTCGTCACCAGCAAGAGGACCACAGGGGCCGCGGTGAGAGCTGTGGACACCTTCTCCGACATTGACGGAGGGGCCGCCGGGGATGCCGACATTGACGCCGCTGCCGGCAGAGAACTCGCTGTTGCCGCCTTCGTTGGTGGTCTCAGAGTGGTTGATGATGTCGGGCACTGGGAGACCGGGTATCTGCGGAGCAGGAGCTGAGAGAACGGTAGCAGGGCCGAGAGTGAGGAAGAGGCACATGAGGCCAGAGAAGTTGATAGTGGTGGAGACCATTTTTGCGGTAGTTTTGATGATAACAAATAAAAGTGTATAGAGAGTGTGCTTGATGTAACGAATCCGAAGATAGAGCGATTGAGTTGAAAGAGATTGAAAGATTGTTTTAGAGAGTGAGAAAGAGAAGAGCGAATGGCTGTCAAGAGACTGTAAAAGACTGTGATTGATGAGGATGAAGAACAAAGATGGAGGCGTGAAGATGCATCCTTATGTAGTTTTCGAGGCTTGTGCCATCTATACACTGGGGGAGTATCGTGGGGAGAGCCAAGGGCCGTATGCAAGAACAGATAGGAACAGATAGGGAGGTTTCTGCAAGGCGCGAACTAGTCCTTAGTGGCACTGAGATCTAAGAAAAGCCACAAGGGCAATGATCTGCAAGGCACAAGGCCCCGGATGGTGCCGAATGGAAGGAATGAGACACATTGAGTCTTAGAGGACTTTGGAACCTAGATTATGGAAATTGGGGCAGGCAACATGGTTCACTAGCACGGCGCTGCAGCTCAAAGACCCATAGATGGCCTTAGCGAATGTAAAAAGCTTATGCGCAAGCCAGAGTCCGAGCATCCGTGCTGTCGAAGATCATGTGGGAGATGATTGGCGGAATTCATCATCTAGCGTGAATTAGAGTGCTCACTATAGAGAAAAGTCAACACGTGGGACCGAATGGGAAGCAAGGTTGCAATGATGCAAGGAGCGTCAATAAGGCTCCTAAGGATTAAAATTCTCCTGTAGGAGAACTTTGAAAGGGACCAATCAAGATAGGAGAATGAAACCAATCCCATCCATCACATGCAAGGAACTTCAACATCTACTGACAAGAGACCGAATCGCAAAGTTACTAGGGCTAGGGTATCTGTCAAACCAGGTAACCCTAGAAACAGAGAGAAACCTGACCGGAAAAGTCAAACAACTGGAACAATTGAAAAAAATTGAGGTTATATTGCACATATCAGGATAAATCATAATCTCATGAGGTATTTCGCCAGGAAATAAGAAAAAACAAGGAAACTGTGACATCTCTGGGATATGCAGATGATATGGGGCCAGAAAAGAAACATATGGGGATCCAACAACACATTGTATAGATCACAAAAAAGGTCAAAGCGTATATTGAGCGTTCATTTAGATTCAACTCAGATTTGAAATACCAAATGCTGTGCCAAAATTAGTGGATTTCCTGAACTTGATCCCAGGCTCCCTGTCGCCTGTGGGAAACTCAGTCTCGGGATCAGACTCATTGGGATCTGCCGATGCATCCGAGCTGCCGAGTATATTCTTCGCCTGCACAAGGAGTTTTTGATCTAGGAGTTTTTGATCTAACTCATTCAAAAAATCTTTATCGTGCTCTTCATCATTGATAAGACCAAGAGGCCCCTTCAGAGCGGGATCATCTGGCTGATCAGGCAGATCCGGAAAGTAGGAGATCTGGTTCTCGGAGGGTTGATTGACATTGGTTGCCACGGGCGCAATAGGGGCCTCCTCGCTCTGGTCGGCAACCTCAAGGGGAGAACCTTCTTTAGTGGAGCGTTGGCTATCAACGTCCTCGATGACTTCCATCGGGGTGTGTCCTGCATTACGGAGTAATCTCTCATCGGGTGGGCCTAATTCTGACAGCTTGAGCTTGAAACTGTTTCGATGCTCCATTCCGGGCCTTGCAGGTGTCGCAGGGGCGGTTTCAGAGTGTACAGTTTCCAGGGGCGACGGGGAGGGCGGCGTGATCACTCGAGCGACCACACCAGGTGGCAATGCAGTCGATTTGAGTGTGATGCCGTCTAGGGTGCTGTCGAGCTTTTCGATTGGCACGGGCAAGCTGACGGGTGCTCCAGATGGATCTACGAGCTGTCCTTGGGGTGAAAGGGCCCGATCAAGGGACGGCGGTTTCCCACTTTCAGACATCGGCGACAGATGCCCTTGATCTGGAGATTCATGATCGAAGAATACCCTTGTTGGTTGGCTGTTTGGACTTGAACCCTCCCACACCTGGGCTGTGAGACCACTTCTATTGTTGAGTTGTGCTGCGCCGAGCACGAGTCTGGCCGCATCTGGCCCCAATTTATGGTTTCTTTTGTTCCCCTGGTCCTTCACCATCGCCTCCAGCTCGGTGATTTTTGATCGAAGCAATGCGCGCTCTTTTTCCCATAATCGTCTCTCCTGTGCAAATAATGTCCTCTCCGTCTCGAAGTTCACTCGTTGGCTTTGAAGTAGTGCGCGCGATTGGTCAATGTAGGAGGTGTCCATGGCGAAAGAGTTTAGCAGCGCGGAGTCGTGGAATGCGGTTCGGCCGTATCCTGAGATAATCGGAGGGAAAGCAGCAGAGACCGATTTTGTGCGGCGGGCAGGGGTTTCGGAAGGAGAGAAGCGCACTTCTTTGTAGAGGCTTCCGTGGCCATCTGGAAGCTTTGTGGACTTCATAGCGGTGGAGATGTTTTTCCGTAGATAATGAAAATAGCGATTGCGATAAGGGCGTTTGATATATCCTCAATATTTTACCAAGCGAACACAGTGCCAACATGCACAGATTTGTAGGCTTTTTCAAAGATCCAGGCTACAAACAACCAGTGGAGCTAGAGAAGCGGTCAAACACGAATAATCACTCAATTCGGTCCAGCTGCAGCTTATGCGGGCCGGAAGTGTGTACGACGTTCCCGATACGCATGTGAAGCCTGACCCCGGCGGGTTTGGGGGTGAACTGGTTGGGCTTATATTGGGTAGCCTTCAGGTACAAGTCTCAGGGACCAAAGAAGAAGTGAAAGGGACATGTGGAGGAGTCAAGAGAGAGTGGAGTAATTTACAACCTCGGGAGTTTTGTGTTGTTAAGTAAACTGAGTCATCCCCACACACACCCGTGGACACACACACTAGACTCTGGGGAAATGGAGAAAATGGAGAAGAGAAGAGGTTACATGAATTAAATCATTGTTCCAAGGTTTAATCCTAGAATGAATAATCACTCAAAACTGTCAAATGAAACATGAACAGAAAACTAGAATCTAGAAACATGTCAGTCCGTGAACAATTGAATGACGTCAAAATATATTTCTTCTCCAAGTAGATAAAGAACACTAATGTGCAACCACATCATATATTGTATAATCGATGAAGATCTGATATCACTTATCTACTTAGGTATATGATCTTGTAGATCGTACCTCTAGTTCTTTGTTTGGTCTCTACATACAACTCCACGAGATATATATCCTGGAATCGAACCATATAAAACAAGAAAAACGCACCAGTGAGATTAGAAAAAAATCAGAACGCCCTTATTTCCCGCCATTTGCGCCAAACATGCACAAATTCTTCCAATGACATACAGTTGACCGGGATAATCCCCCTTTCAGACCAATCGGCGTTGGAACGTCATAGCGCAGGACAACTCCCATTAAAACACGAGACCAACCCCCCTCAGAAAAGATATCAGCCGTGCGCAATAGCAATGCAGATGCACCAAAAGAGAAAAGCAAAAGAATCATAAAACAGATGACGTACACCGAAACCGGCTTGGCGTGACCAATTTCTTCGAATCGGCAGAAGAACAACCCTTGATAACCCGCCGATCATCCAATGATCGAGGCGGCGACCGACTCCTCCAAACAAACTGCTGAGCCTCTTCAAGAAGATGCTGGTCCCCATTCGGTAACGGAATAAAACTCACATCCTTACAAAGCGCCCCGAAACGCGTCGCAAGATCAAATACCCCTCGCGCCGTGAGATCCCGACCCCCAACATTAGCAGAAGGGTAATAGAAGCGCGGATCGAGATACAGCAGTGCACTATGCCAGCAGGGCAATTTCTGCGAGAGAGTCCGGCCAGCGTGCTCGTATTCTCGGAGCGTGCGCTTCGGCACGCCGTTCTGCGTATGCACGAAGAAGAAGACTTCGAAGCCCACGCTGTGGATTCGGGCGCGTGCTGTCGCGCTCAGCGTATCCAGGAATTCATCTAGGCGGTCTAGATTGAAGGAGTTGCGGAAGAAGATGGTATGCGTTGAGTAAAGGTAGTCTTCTGCTTCGTCGTGGATTTGGCGATTCACTGCTAGAAGTTTGCGAGTGGTGCCGTCGTCCCCTTCCCAGCGAGGATTCATTTTTAGGGCTCTGTATTGGCCACGAGATGTAAATGTTTTGCCGCGATCGTCTACTACGATCATTGGTTTCTCCAGGTACTCGTTTGGTACGGAGAGGGCATATTCGTAGATTTTGAGACGTAGCTCTGCTGGAAGTTGGAGGAGAGGCGATGTTATTGTGTCACAGTTTGGTTTTTGTGTTGATGCCATCTCAATTGAAATTTGTTTGTAGCTTGAACACAGCTATCAATTCCGGTCATAAAGAAAGAGAACCGTACCACTCGGGAAGTATGAGTCGCCACCGTCAGAAAATTTTCGACTCGAAAATGAGAACCGGCAACGCAAACTCTTCAAAGCTTGGACTTTATTTGTTTCAAGATGTCTTGTGGAATTGATCGGGATCTGATCACGGAAATTTATCAAGGGATAACTTCGCGAACAAATGGGATAATATACCAACGTTGGAAACGTAAGAATCAGACCACATCCACGTCCCATAGCTGCCTTATATACCACACCGGCTGATCGCGATCCCAACATACCATACACCGTAGGTAAGACCCTATTACTACAATGAGCACTTCGCCGAGATCAGGGACGCCGTAAGGGTCGGCAAACTTCAATCTGATGCGCCTTCTCCACTCGATTACTTACTCGAGTCGGGTGTGTTCCTAAAATCAAACATAGGTCAAATCAGCATTTGCTCATACCGATGACGTCTGTCTAGTAAAAATTTGTAGTATCTTGCATGATCGATGAAGATCGTCCCCTCCACGATCATTTTTGCGGGTATGCCGGTAGTTGAAGTGGAGATGTGATGAGAAGATGAGAACTCCACTAGGAGCTTTACATCCACTTTGTGATATAATTGTACTGTACTCGCGTAGCTCAAGATCGCCATTCTGAAAGTATGATTTGCAATTCCAGGCATAGCAACCAATAGTTACTGTCACACACTGGCCACCCTTGGACCGATCCCCTACTGCAGTGTACCCTGATGAGGGGAGTTGAACTGCAGCTCGGGGTTGCACAACGGCTTTGGAGATATGCTCAAATTGACGATTGTCTGGTAAATCACATTTTGTGCTTGGTTCTTGGGGGCCGAAAGAAATCCAATGTTCGGCGTTCATTTCGATTTTATAGTTGGCCGAAGCCGAGGGGTGTCCGAAGACATAAATTGCAAAGCAAAGAAGCGAGACAACAGAGTAGATTTCTATGAAACATACCTGCAAAGTACTTGCATCAAACATATACTCAAAAGATAAAGTTGCACAAGGATCGTCAAGCTCTAACCTTACCATACCCTGCATTCCCGATTTGATTTGCACAGTCGTCATCATGCATTTCTAGCGAGGGTTTTCCAGACACAAAAGAGAAGTGCAGCTAAGGCAACCGCCCTGAGAGAACGTATCCCCAATCCGGCATCAAAGCCAATCGCCTAAAGCTCAAGATGCAATGCAATGTATTCGCCGTGAAGAAAAAATAAAGCCGAACAAAATAAACCCCCAAAAAAACCAGGTCTCAGACTCTATCATCGCTGTCTATACACACCCATCGACCAAGCCGCCCGCAGAACGGCCAATCCCCAGGCCATGCCAATACTGTCACGCAAGACATTCAGCTTGCTACCCTTGACCTCCCTCCATCCTACAGGCACCTCAGCCACAGGGATATGCGCAAATTCAGCGAGCATGAGCATTTCCACATCGAAGATCCAGCCCTCGGAGTGCATATACGGCACAATATAAGGCAGCGCCCCACGCGAGAAAAGCTTGAAACCACACTGCGTATCCTTCACAGTAGCAGTCTTAGGCGGCGTCATCAGCCACAAGATCAAATGGAAAGAATGCATCAAGAAATTGCGAAGCTTAGATCGCTAGTAATCGTTAGCCTTGCACATTCCAAAAACCCCATCAGAAAGAGAAAAAATAAAATAAAATCTCACCTTAACGACAGCTTCGCTACCAACCATGTGTGCGCGCGAGCCAACAGCCACCGCACGACCCTTCTTATCCTCAACATCCCTCGCAGCCCCAACAAGCTTCCCAAGATCATCGAATTTACTCGCGCCATCCGCATCTGCAAAAACAACATATTGCCCCCGCACATGACGCATGCCATGCGTGACGGCGCCACCCTTCCCGCGATTCCGCGTCAGTGTAACGACGCGGATCGTCCCAGGTGGGATATGGACGCCCTCGGCAGCCTGCGGCGTCCACGGGCCAGCGGTTCCCTTGGGATGGAGGGAGAGCTGGTGATCGCGCGCGAAGCGGAAGGCGACGTCTTCCGTGGCGTCTGTGGAGCCATCTGAGACGAGAATGATTTCCCACCCGCGGTCTGGCGAGTCTGTGGACTCTGTTGTGTCTGGTTTGCGTTTGCGCATCGAGCGCGTCTCGATCGAGGGCTGGGTTGCTGTGCCATACATTCGTTCCAGGTAGTTTACTGCCTCTTCCAGCATGCCGCTTAGGCGGTCTTCTTCGTTGTAGGCGGGAATTACGACGGACATGAAGAGGTCGGCTGGGGCGATTGCGGGTTTGGGGGTTGTTGCGTTGAATTGGTCGAGCCAGCTCGGGAGGGGTTCGGGGGTTGTGACTGTTCCATCTTTGGAGAGGGTTCTGTAGGTCTTTTCTTCTAGGAGGGGGTCTCGAGGGACTGGAGCGACGAAGAATATAAACACGAAGAACTGTGTAAGATATCACGTTAGTGTTTTGCAATTGGGATGATGACGGTACCGCGATCTGGCTTTATGAGCGGGGAAATATGTGAACTTACCAGAACCAATGATCCGAGAAGGGTGGCTATAACAGCCGCAAGTAGAATCTCAATTGGGACTTGAACAACGGTATTGACGCATTCGCGACATACTTCGCCCCAACTTGCCATTGTGAATTCAAACGCGGAGAAGGGAGAAACGCGAATGCCCGAAGGAGAGAGGCAAACACTTCAGCCAATGAATTGCTGATTCATAGAATTGAGAGACAAAACTTGAGCTCCATCTATGTCTATACCTAGGTATATAGTAAAGAGAAATAAAAGAAAGAGGGGAGGGGAATGTTGAAGTAATCGCCAGCTTGGCCTTTCGGCAACGCGCAAGCTCCCGAAATAAACAGCAACTCCACACCCGGGGCCACTACCTTTGATTTCTGATGCTTACTCGTCAATAGTCTTATTTTAGACACTTTTAAAACTGTCGTTTATTGATTTTTGCACGTATTCATGTTGCGTTTATACGCGTGTACATTGGATCAAATCGGACTTTGTCGCATTATTGTCGCATTGTCTGCATTCGAAACAAGGAATCTAGGACGTTACTACAATTGACAAGGTTTGATTTTTTCTCAAGCAATTATCACTGAGGTTATCTCTTAGGGGCAAGGCCGTTCCTCAGACAAGTGCTTGATTATGCTAGGAAAATCCCTGATGCTTCTAGCTGGCCAAAGACAGTGAGAAATCCATTGCCTTGGTCCCCGAGAGACGGCACAAGGAGCATCGTCCCAACTATTCAGAACAGGAAGGGATTATACTTACGACAGCAACAAGGTCGAAAGCAAAAGGCGAAAAGGCAAAGCAAGAGACAATAAAACCACCTGGGGATGGGGAAGGAGTTTATCAAATTATACATATTTACCTACACAAAAGCAACTACGAGTCCTGTAATGGTTATTATTGTGATTCCTTTAATTTTCTTCTCATCTTAGATAAACTCCACTGTGACTTGTTCCTTGGCACATTACCACAAACATACCTATCTCAACCCCATCAGAATCCAGCACTGCTTCTTTGTAACAACTCTGAACCATGATCAGGTCAACACAAGACTGATCCAGAAACAAATGAGCCAAAGGTTCCCATCCAAACAAGAGAGCTCAGATAACCTTAGAAAGAAAAATTTATCCTAATTCATGGGTACTGAGGAAAGCTATGGAAAGATCTTGAGGGTATCCTTGAGCCTGGAAGGTATTGAGCCAGGAAGGCATTGAACCAGGGAGAAATTGAGTCAGGCAGGCAGCCAGGTAGGCAGGCAGAAACCCTAAGCCCAGGATAGCCAATCCAATGGATTCACGGCAAGACTTCGGAATGAAGCCCGGAACAGTCCAGTCTCGGGAGTATTCCAGATGGGCGGTTCAGATGGTTTGATACTCCTGTCTGTCATGTAGTCGTGGCTGACTCTTGATTTCTACCTGATATCAAGAACGAAAGGAACTCCATTCTGGGGCTTCGTACGGGAAACGAAAGGGCCTGTGGTGGACACTTACTCACAGATCGAGTGAAGTGGAGTGGCCATGGGGAGAAAAAAAGGATGAAACTTCTGAATTTCCACCAGCTCTGAATGATTCCCGTCAAGAGTCGGGTACTCAGTACTTAGTCAGACTCACGGCAATGGTCAGAGCCGGTGGTTACGACCATCTTTCAGGCTTCTTGCATTTCTTGATCTGCTTGCGCTGGCTGGGTTACCACTGAGTACAAATTGCCACTGAGATAGTTGGTAGATTCAGCAATCGGCGCATAGTTGTGTGCTAACCAAGTCGGCGTGAATATTCGTGTTGTCGGGTCGTACGTGATCCAGCGAGTGAACTGCGAGAAGTGGTGGTCAGTTCGGTTTGATAAAACGTAATGAAACATTGAAGGGCAAGACAGACAGTTGCAATCCGCACTCCCAGCCAGAGACATCGATGTAATCTAGAAATCACTGTAGAAGGCTGTTCGATCGATGGTCTCTCGTCCTCACAAGGAGCCCCCTCGAAGAATTTCTCCGGGTAATAAAGCCTGCTCCAAGCCTGTCCTCTGATCAAAAAATCCTCCGGTAATTGCTTTACTGCTGTATCTTCCAGCAGCGGAAATAATTCATTTTCAATTTTGGATAGGTCGGTATCCGGTGTAAACAAGCCGTTCAGGTACGATGCAACTGCCATCCACGGAACCAGCGGCTCAAGACGTTGGATCGCAGCCGGATTGAGTGTGAGACACCACACGAATGCCATAGAGATATGCACGCCCGGGTACATGTTTGGGTCACCTGATTGACCAAGCATGACGATCAAAGTGTGGAATGCGAGAGAGCTCGCTCGAAACGCAAGCTGAGATGAGATATCTGTATATGTAGCTTTAATCGGCGTCGCACCAGATGCCCACTCCATCGACAATCTGTAATCTTCTGCTGACGCGGTGCAGTTCTTAAATGGGAAGTCTTTGGCCATAACTCCATCTTCGTGTCCATATTGAAATATCGCGGCGATATTACAAGATACTATCTGAACACCCTGGAGTCCTTGCCGGCCCAAATGGTTGATATCCCTTTGTAAAGTCGAAAGGAACCAACTACTCCGAGAAACGAACTCCTCGGCCGGGGCCTGGGTGATAAGCGCACCATGGGCAGCCACAAAAGAAGTAATCAGATTTTGCTTCTTAGTGGGCACGTTCATATGCGGGGTGATCACTTGGACCATGCTATCTCGCGCATTGGGAAAAGGGCGTATACTGATCAATGCCTTTGTGTAGTGGAAGATTTGCTGAAGAACATCTGAGCGAGCCAGCACGGCAAGATGATGTTGGATGCGTCCGGTTTCTGGAGTGTGTTCTGCATCTTGGTTATACCAATACCTGGACACTCCAGCCCAGAGATCACGGTCTCTCTTATCGAATTCTTCAGCGGCCATTCGGTAGCGGGCCAAATCGCCCAAACATTCAATCCACGTCACTTTGAAACCAGAGACACTCTCCAGCAGGAGTGTCATCATCGAGTAAGAGAAATATATAAAATCGAGCATATACTCTATCGAGCCTGGAAGCTTCTGGCGCATCAGTTCCAAGAAGGAATGAATTGCGTACCGCCACATTCGCGCTGGCATGGCGTACTTTTCAGCAAGATGTTTCAAGACTGGTCCGGCTGATGGATGTTGAGATGCTAGAAGAAAGTCGTGATGTTCGTAGAGAAGCGTTTTGTGCGCCGACCCAAGGGCCTGCCATTGGAGTGTCGATAATTCGGCCTTTGATTCCATCTGCTGTTTGTCGATTTCAATGCATTTTTTCTCCACCATGACTAGACCCTTGTAGATCCCCTTCACTTCGTTGATCAGTTGTTCTTCTGTGATGGAATGGGTCTCAAGTTGTTTAAACATCTGATAGGGCTGTGCTTCCTGAGCAACCGCCTCCGCCATATCCACATCTTCGTTTTCTATTAGTTCTTTGATTTGAGGTTGTGTATGATGAAGCTCATTTTGGTTTTCAGAGCTTTGGTTGTCTCTTTGACTGTCCACGGTATTGGCATGACCGACAACAGGGCTTGTGAATGATCGTTGCAGTTCCGGACGCGTCGCGAAATCTTGGTGGGTTTTTATTTCCCGTCTGGGTATACAATCATTCTTTATCTTCATCTGGTGGCAGGCCGATGCTGACAGTTGTCGCGGAAGTCGGGAGACGCGGAAGCTATCCCTACGGCGTTTGCCGATATTGTTTATAGTGGTGCGAATGGGACTTTTAATTGCTCCCTTACCGTGACTACTGATGGACTCTAGAGTGCCACCAGTAGAATGTGGACGATGGGATAGCGGTGGGCTAACCGAATAACAGGTTCGGGTGGTCGCCTCCTTGCGACGAAATAATGGCTCCATTTCACTTCATCTGGTAAACTTCAGCCAATGCTAAAAGAGAGAAAAAGAAAAAGAAAAGAAAAGAAAAGAAAAGAACAGGTTATAGGCTCACATTTCCTCAGATTCATTTAATTTTGGACACCAAACTTATATAGATTACAAAAGAAAGAGGGGAAACATTGGCAGTAGTTTAATAATTTATAAACAAATTGCCTAACCCGCCAAGGCAACCTGCGCTACCCGGGCGTTTGGACTTCCATGAGATCTTACCTGCTTTACACTTCCACGTTTCTTTACTTTAGTTGCCTCGTCGCATTATCATATTACTTATTACTTTCTTCTCCTTTTTCTCTGCACCTGTGTCATGGAACATTCGAACCTTTTTGAGCCCCTAGCTTCTCCAGATGTTCTATGCGTTGTGCTCAGGGGCGAAGCAAAATTGATCAGCGGGATCAGATCTATACGCCTCACTGCTTTACTCAAAGTCTGTGGGCCTACAAAGAAAAGCAGAGAGCCAAAAATATACATGGATTTATTTATTTATTTATCCAAACACAGCTGGTTTGCTAAAAGTCATAAGAGCCTCACTCAACTGACCATGTCTACAATGTAAAGTTCAAATCAAAATTGAAACTCGGCATTGCCCAACGGGCCTTGAGTTACGTCCCCAAACTACCTGGTTCAACTGAACATGCGCAAGCTCCCGATTCAGCAAAGGGTAAGCCTATGGGTCAAGGAGCCCTAGAGGAAGCTCTACCCTTGCGCAGCGCTAGGACATTTGTTTGACTGGTCACCGCTCTTTGGCTCCCATCGCCGAAATTCAATCACACCGATTCTTTTTCACACAAGTTTCAGCGTTCACTTATGGCGATTTTGACCAAAGAGCTTCAAATCTGGCCTTGGCTTGTGAAGTGGGGACTGAGATGGGGCGTACAAGGACTCGCTCTCGCATTGAGCATTGGGTATCATGCCTTATGCACTATGTATTATTCAATCCAATTTCTCCTATTATAATCCATATTAAGATAAATCCTCGAACAGGCTTTTGATTGGCATTTTCGGTGAAGCATGTGGACACCTCATTAGCCGCCTTACAATAAAAGCGCGAGTCGTTGGTTTTCCTCGGATGTCCGGTGATGTGCAATCATGCGACTTGGAATCAGGCCCATGTACCGGGTTCCCAAGGGATGTCCACGAGTATTTGACCACATGGTCAGGTTCAAATTGTCGGGAATGTTCAGGTGATTTGGATTTACTGGGATTCGATCGACAGCTATCCTGCTACCTAGTATCCCCCTACCGATGGAGTACTCCGTAGGCAGCATCTCGAAATGGTCTATTCAACATTGAGTAATTTTTATAATTAGAAACAAATACAGCGGTGGAACTGAGTCGACTTAGGCTGCAGCACTTTATTAAGTGGCTTGGCATGACGTCCCGATATTATTCTGCCGAAGGAGGCTGTAGCCTAAGCGCCCGTACATTTCAAGCTTACACACATGTACCTTTGTACTATAACTAACTAGAAAATATAAACAAAGGAATAAGCCAGCTACGTCGAGCCGTCCAACCCTTGTGCTACCAAATCTAATCCGCCCAGGTCGCATTTTACAGAAGGCAACCAACTCCACCAAGATCTAGCCCCATTGAAATCTAGGAGATGTAAGGAGTGATGATTTGATATCGAAGCTACCCAAAACGCAATGACCAATGCATATCAAATCCACATACCCGGGTGAAGAGGAGAACCCGCTCTAGTACTGCTCTGTAATATAAGCTTGCATGTATATGCGAGGGCTAGCGCGCGGGGGAAAGCAGTTTTACCCGGGTTTCTGGACTGCAGGGATCTTACAGGGATTAACTTGGCTTTGATTATGTGATTGATAGTCATCTCCGGGGCTAGCGAATATTTCATAATGCACAACTTGGGTAAATTCGCTCTCGGTTCTTTCGAGAATGGCGGGTGTGACCTTTAGAGTATGAGGCAACTTTTCACATGTAACTTGCATAGGGGCTTGATAAGACCTCACATTGTACAGAGTATACCGTGACAAAAATCAAGGTTCTTGCTTTGCCTGGCATGATTAGCATCGTACAGAGTGGAAATTCTAGGCATAGCCAAGGAGGATTACGAGCATGTATCGTGGGATTTACTTGAAATGTTCCACAAGGGGGTTTCCCAGCCACCGGGTATTGTCAAATGTATTAGACTACTGAATTGTACGGAGTATGTGGGCATATTTTGTTTGCACTCCCTAGGAAGACCAACACAAGAGTAATGATAAAATTCTCAAATAATTAAGAGCAAAAATAATGAAGTTAACGATCTCCACATGCTCAACTATCGCGACGTCATACCAAAAAGCAAATCAATGAACTTCAACTTCTCCAGCCACCAATATCCAAGCAACACAAAATATACCCAGAGTAAACAAAATTAACGAATTCAACCGAATGAACTTCCTGCGCCTTACCACGCGACACCTCAAATCAACACATCCCACCAGACCAATGACCATGTCAACATTTAAAATCCCAGGATCAAATTTCCAAATCAACAGCATCCCAGATCTAAGCAAAGAAGACCTCCTCTCCTTCCCAGCCTTCAAAACCTGGATATCTACACTCCAACAATCCCTCGCCAGACAAAATCACCCCTCTCACGAATTCCACACAGACCCATATGTCCTGCGGAAAATCGACATCCAATCCATTGACCGCTTCGGCGGCGCGCGCCTCGGCTTCGTCAAATTGAAGGCTGATGTATCCAATAGCGGGGGCGAGACCCTGCCCGGAAGTGTATTCTTGCGTGGTGGCAGTGTCGGCATGCTGGTGAGTGTGCCCAACCACCCGAATTCGTCCCTTGATTCGATGGGATTTGGCTTCCCATCGCAGAGCTGTTTTCTATCATTCGTGCGAAAAGCAACTAACATCCACTTAGCTGATATTGCAACCCGATGATGTTGCTAATCCGACGGAAAATGATAAGCGCGCTATCCTGACTATCCAGCCCCGCATCCCGGCGGGCTCTCTGGCTTTCCCGGAGATTCCGGCCGGCATGCTGGATGATAGTGGGAGTTTTGCTGGCGGTGCAGCTAAGGAGATTCAGGAGGAGACTGGGTTGGTCGTTGAGCAGGGGGATTTGATTGATATGACTTCTTTGGCGGCGCAGGCGGCGCAGGAGCCTGGACAGGGGGAACGGCTTCAGCATGCTGTTTATCCTTCGGCCGGGGGGAGCGATGAGTTTATTCCGCTGTTTTTGTGCTTGAAGAAAATGCCGCGGACAAGTATTGAGGAGTTGCAGGGGAAGTTAACGGGGCTTAGGGATGAGGGGGAGAAGATTACGCTTAAGGTTGTTCCCTTGGGGGACTTGTGGAAGGAGGGATTTAGGGATGGGAAGACTTTAGCTGCCTGGGCTTTGTATCAGGGGTTGAAGCAGGAGGGATTGATTGAGTGAGTAGGCAATGAGTAGGTATGGTGAAAATGATTAGATGTTTTAATGTAGATATGCGTGTGTGCATATTGGAGATCTGCTTTATGTGCGAATAACGAAAATGACCCGCCAGTCGGCGCTGATCATTGGCACAACGAATGCTCACAGCTTCCACTTCTTCGCCAATTCAATGCCCTCCGCAAGAGTACCGATCCGAGCATCGATGGCATAGCCTTCTTTTTCAAGTCTCTCCAATTCATCAAACAGCGAGCTTAAAGGCACAGTAAAGCACTCAATGAACTCGTTCTCCTCAAGCTGAGGCTTCGGGTTCTGGTTCGCAGGAAGAGACATATCAACCTTAACATGAACCATATGCAAATTGGTGTTACACATCCCCGGATCTATCAGAGACACCAACAACCGTCAGCTCAACCCGACCAACCGAAAGCCTCAGACACAACTCACCATTAAACATAACGGGGCTCGTCTGCTCCGCTTCACCAACATAACCGGTTTCCTCAAGCAGTTCCCGCACAGCACACTGCTCAGGCGTCTCACCTGCATCAATCAACCCCGCCGGAACCTCAATAACCACCTTATCAATAGGCGGCCGATATTGCTTTTGCAAAAGTAACTCCGAACCACCCTCCTTGCTGAGGATAGCGACGATTCCGACGCCATCGAGCTCCACACCGGCTGGTCGTGTCTGGTAAACGCAGTTAGCATCAAATTGGGAAAGTGAGGCTCGATAATGGAGATGCGGGCATTCTGGTGGTTGCTTTGTGGGGAACATGGTTTGGCCTCGATGCATCAGGCATCCAGTTGTGCGAACTTGGTCACGTCCGAGCTTATGTCAGTCGTGTCAGAGCGGATAGGATATATCTCACCGTGCGCTCGGCTGATTCCCATGTTCGCTGGACGCCCAGAGGGTCAGTGTATGTTGTTTTCACCAAGCGTGTCCAGCGGGCTTCGTCGGGGTTCTGTTGGAGAGGCTGGTCAATAATTGCCGGGCTTTCAGATGAAATATCTTGGCTGTATCAATCTCAAGATCGGGTTATTCAAGGAAGTTTAGCATACCAATGGGCCCCGCGAGACAGTCTTGGAGTCAAGTTTCGAGGTTGACATGCTGGATTGAACTGGAAAAGTATCCTAGAGCTTTGAGACAGTACTACTAAGTAGATCGTCCAAACTTGTCATCAATCGATGTGTCGTCAATGTGTATGAGGGGTGATCGCGGGGTCAACTCTTATCTCTTATCTGCTTCGTTGTGCTCATTTGCTCCCCGCAATCTTCGCATTGCGATCGGCTACAATATTTATTCTCAGTATACCGAGTAATTACACAAATAGACTGATGGAGAAATTGCTAATTGGTATCTCATTGCGCAAAATAATCTGTCCATTGGGAGACAGAACTCCACATCAACCAAAAATTGTCGCTCTTTGGTCAAAAGAAGTAAAATTCACTCCTTCCGGGTTGGCATGGAGATGAATAAGAAAGATCAATAATCAATAACATACAGAGTGTGGCAAAGCAAAAGAAAAAGCTCCATAACGACCATACGCTCGCTATCATAACATCATGGGCGTAGAAGGATCAGCAGAAAGACGTTCAAAGACTCGAGTTGACCTCGGCAGTGGTTCCATTCTCGATAGCCCGCAAACAGTCCTCGAACTCAGACCAATGCCACATGACAACCTTTGCACCAAGCTCAGTCAAAACCTGAGCCATCTTCTTCTGCATCTCTTCGCCGACGTAGCTACCGACATAGGCAATGACCGGGATACCGGCGCGAACCGCAGAGAGTGCACCGGACTTGCTGTCCTCAATGGTTACAGTTTCCGCGGCAGTCTTGCCAACCTTCTCAAGGGCGTACAGATAGATAGCGGGATCAGGCTTGGAAGTTGGCTTGGGCAGAGAGCTAGCAGCGCTAAAAACCTTGTCGTGGTCGAAGTACTTAGCCTGGTCGACCTTCTCGATAGAAGCCCGCACGCGGCGCAAAGCGGAAGAAGAGACAACAGCGAGACCGTACTTCTTCGACGCGAATAACTTTTCCAGTTCCTCGCTGGCGCCCTCGCAGGGCTTGGCCTTGGCCTCCAATTTGGCGATGACCTTATCTTCCTCCTTGGTGACGTATTCCTCTAGCTTGTCTGCCGGGATCTCGAACCCGAACTTCTGCTGCAGCGACATCATCATGCCGCGGAAATTCTGGCCGACGAAGTCTATGATCAGCTGGCTGCCAGTGTAGCGCTCGGAGATGTAATTGGCTTCTAAAATCTCATTGGCCAGGTCGGCGCAAGCCTCGAAGGCTAGCTCCTCGGAGAGGACTAGAGTGTTGTCGCAATCGAAGAAGATTTCTGTGATCTGCATTTTGTTAGCGTTGGTGATGCTTTCTTGGGATATTCTGCGATCTTCGAACCTTGGCCATGGTGACAATGCGGAAAGTAGATCCGGAAGTTTTGTTTATGTGATCGGAGAGAATGTGACTGCTGCGAGAGTGCAGAGAAGTATGCTTGATCTATTGTGGTTTATTGGAAAGTGGATGCAATGGTAGAAAATGATAACGAAGAGCGCAAGTAAAATTGGGAACTCGGAAGTATTTAAGTCGAGGCAAGTGCAAGTGCCAACTAAAGAGCATGACGCCGCGATGTCCAATCGAAACTGGGCCAGAACGGGAGGGGATCACTGACGTGGGGGTATATGTACTAGATACTTTACTTCAGGCTGTAGTTTACATAATTAATGTAAGTATCCAGTACATATAGTCTGGAAACATGGCCAGATTTTCAGCCAATCAAGATACAATACAGTAATCCTCTAGTCTTTTTCCGGTTTAGCGTTTCTTTTTTTACTCCGAACACAATATTCCCAAATGCCTTGGTTTCACTTATTCACTAATTCTCACCGGATTCTTCCATCGCCTTCCATTTTCTTGAATTTCAAGTTTAAAAGTGTCCTGAAAAAGAACATTGTAATCTTGGGATATTCTCAGTGCTCTCCTCTGCTCAAGTGACTACAAATTATGCATGCATTTCAAAGTTACCTCCTCACCTGATGTCCAAAGTGTACAAGAAGTCTAGGCGGGCCACGGACTGCAAAATAGGTTTCTAATTGGGTAAGAGTACCATTTTTCACTAGGCCCGAACTCATCCTGCACGGTCATGCCTCCGCCTACTCTATATTCCCAGTGGAATCCGATTTGCAATGAAGCCCGGGGTACGGAATGGTTAGGAGTCATATACAAGCATGTGCATACAGAAGCCCAAGTTTCGCCCGTTGGTCAATTTGCCCGTGGTGTCTTGAACAAGCTAGTGCGGTAAGATCTTCATGTAGGTAATATCAGCACTCGGACTCAAAAGGTTGCTTGGCGCGGACTAAGAGAGAGCGTTAGGTTGTAGATCAAATATGTAATATATTACCCTCGGCCCCGGGGTAGCACTATTCCGACTTCGGTGAGCCTTGAGGGATTTGACAGTTTTATATCTCATTCTTTTATGGCCAGGGTCTCAAGTTTCCGCTAACTTCCCGTGCTGGGATTGTCCTCAAATCCCGCATATTGTGGCTAAACGGAAACTGTCATTGAATGAATGTTGACCCTAGAGCTTTGACTTCACCCTCAAACTTGCCTATTTGCAATCTCTAGGCAGATTTACACAACCAGGAACCGTGTAGTAACGATGTAGTGCAGCCGTTGTATACACACCAACCCGGGTCCACTTTGTCCAACACTGATTGGCCAGGTTCAAATCGCGAACGCATCTTCTGTTCCACAACCGTCCCTCTTCGCATTCGATGAAAAGCACCAAAAAAAAAAAAACAAACCACAAAACCTTTCATCAAGACAAATTGAAAAATTCGATTGAATCACTACATTCGTCTTGGGCCAACCAACTAATCTGTATAGGCTGCCCGCAGAGCCTGTACAACCCGGAGCACGACCCGGCAGAACATCAAATTGCCTATACTTGGCAGCACCAATCGAAAAGAAGTGTAACATGGGGTCATCGGCAGCGTTCCCGACACTGGAGTCGTTGCATTTCCCGTCTGCTCAGCAATCAATTTCGCAAACGCTCTCGTCTCTGCGTCGATCAGCACTCTCCGTCTCTAACCGACTTCAGTCCATTGAAACCGATGCCACTTTCGTGGAAGAAGTCGCTGATCACTATGGTCTACCACTGGTCGCTAATGAGCGCTGCGGGAGCTGGTATATCTCACCGACGACTAAAACCGGTAGTGCTTATTTCAAAAGCACCGATGGCCACTCCGGTGTGTGGAACTTTAGCCTTCGGAGGCTGAATTTTCAGTTGCTTCCGCTTGTCAGGGATCATGGAGGGTAGGTCGATCTTCTTTAATCTGTGATTTCTATTGGGATTGGGCTGTGGGATGCAGTGGCTCATGCTAGTATTTGTAAATTGAACCATGAACAACGGCTACCCCACAGCATGATATCCTCAATGATTGACAAGAAATTTGAAAGCTGACCGTGGTACCTCCTTCAGCTGTGTGATTGTGGATTCAACCCGTCGAGGAAAATGTATGTACTCCAATTTGCAGCATCCACGCAACATGAATCACTCTCCTGGATGGGCGCCATGCATAAGAACCGCCCAAAAAACCCACTACTAACCTGCCCCAGTAATGCCAGACGCATTGTCAAAGACAATCCCAATCTGGAGTGCCGTGCTAAACCGAGCTCTGTTCCCATCCGAAACTGCATACCACCCAGTCAGCCTTCCACCAAACTACTTAGGCAAATCAGAAGAAGCGCAAATCGAAAGCCGAATCGAAGGATTCGTGCATTCACTCAAGGTAAACAACCCCCCAGCCTCACCTCCAGGTAAAGCACCCAAAACTAACCCAACACACAGAGCCTGAAACTCGATCTAGACAACCTACGCCAACAACTCGGCAAACCAATCAAAGTAGCCTGGGCCAATAGAACATATTTCCACCCGGAAGTGGAAAAAAGCGATGAATACTGCCTACTGGTTCTCTGCTCTGCGTCGAGGCGCGTGCACGGCGCTGAGATGTCGGAGGGTGGATATATCCAAGGCGCAGGTGACGATAGTGAGGGGTGGGCTTACGGGCTGACGCCGCCGGTTTTCTGGGCGAATCGAGGTATTTTGAAGAATACGCCTGAGGAAGAATTGCCGGAGCTTATCAAGCGGCTGGTTGGTGAGCATAGGCTGCTGGATGTTGCTCAGGATGCGACGCGCATTGCGCCGACGGGGAATTTGTTCATTGCTTCGACGAGGTCGGTTGATGCGGCGAGCAAGTATGATATTGTGATTGACTGCAATGGTCCGGCCGTGGAGGGTGATGTGAAGAGGCTTGGGCTGGGGTGTGATTCTGGGAAGATGGGGAGTCGGGATCTACGGAAGTCGTTGGACAAGGTTCGGGACTTTGTCGGTGCGCGACTTGGGGAAGACTCCAGCTTGTCTTTATTGGTTTTTTGTGAGAGTGGGAAGGATCTTTCAGCAGGAACGCTCTTGGCGATCGTGTGTTTGTTTTATAACGATGAAGGTATGTATGCAATGCCCTTGCGGGTGATGTATTCAAGCGCTAGATCAAACAAGGAGGATTAACAGCTAAACAATTCTCACAGGTGGCTTCGATGTCTCGCTGAGCAAGCGTTCAATCAGCAAGCAGTTCATTCGACAGCGTCTAGCCTGGCTAGTATCGTCGAAACATGACGTGAATCCGTCTCGAGCCACGCTGCAATCTGTCAACTCCTTTTTGATGCAGCCACCAGATTATTGACTTCGAGTGATTTGATGTTATGTATGTGGTTATGCCCAGGTTGGCTTCGAAACGCCGCGGTCATTAAACTCATGGTCAATGACTGCTTCATTCATTGTTGACGGCCTCGACAATAGCACCTGCACTTCCCTGGTCCAGATCGTTCAGCACAGCCATGTCCTCCACGTCCAAGTCAAAGTCGAAGACGTCTGCGTTGGCGACAATTCGCTCCGGGGTATCTGACTTGGGCAAAGGCACCCATCCCTTTTGCAGCGCATAGCGGATCAAGACCTGCTGGGTCGAGTGGCCATTCTTCTTCGCAATCTCCACCAATGTGGGGTCATTGGCTTTGTAATTCCGCACGATAGGTGAATAGGCCTCAACGATAATACCATTCCTCTGGCAGTAATCATCAATAACGCGCTGTTGGCACCATGGGTGGAGCTGCGAAATTAGAAAGTCAGAACCCATGACCAAAGATAACCAATTCAAACAAAATGCCTTACCTCAATTTGATTTACATGAGGCGGGAATACCTGGGCATATGAGCGCATCTCTTCGATATGCCCAACACCAAAGTTACTAACACCAATGCTCTTCGCCTTGCCTTCCGCATGAAGCTTCTCAAGCGCTTGCCACAACATCTTGCGCCCAGCAGAGCCGGAGCTGGAAGAGTGAATCAAGAATAAATCGACATATCCATCTGGGCCACTGATCTTGTGCACAGAAGCAAGCAGTTTATCATAGGTAGCTTCAATCGAGGCCGCGGGGCTGAGGATCTTAGTAGTGATGAAGACCTCCTCCCTGGGCATGCCGGAATCGCGTAGCGCCTCTCCAACTTCTGCTTCATTGGCGTAAAACTGCGCGGTATCGATGTGTCGGTATCCCGCGTCCAATGCCTTCCGGACAGACTGCTTGCACTGGTTGGGCGGGGAGCGGTAGACGCCGAATCCGAGGCGCGGAATGCGCTCGCTCGACTTGGGGAGGGGAAGGGTGTCGGTGATCTTGAAGACGTGCATTTTGTTCTTGCGATTGGATATTTGCGAAGCGGAAAAAATTGTTGGAGCTGTGAGTCTTTCAAAGATCCCCTCGCCCCGCTTTGCGAAAATGACCTCATTTTCGATGACTAACAAGCACCCTAAGAGCAATTCGATCTACAAATGCCGCCATTCTGGTCAATTTGTGGATTAATATATACATGGCTAATTCTACTTCTTTTATTTTTCAAACAAAAACATACTTCCGTTGTAGCCGGTCTTTGGAAGGCCCTCCATCAACTGGCTTCTTGGGCACTGCAACACCGGGCTTATCGGCAGCAGCTATGCTTCTTGGTGGCCTGACAATGAAACACCACTAGCAGAACAATACCCTGGCTATTTGATTCTCTACCAAGTGTTATTATTGGTGCAAATGCTCACAGTTGTGTCAATAAACTTTCAGAATACTCCAACCGAGGCGCAGATTGTACTAGTAAGTGAGCACACCAGATTTACAGTTGATGTAAGGGCTTTGGAAGAACTGTTCAATGGTCACAATATTCCAATTGATGTACATATTTCAACGATGTAATGCATGACTTGCAATTCTCTTTCCCAAGTGAGTTTATTTGTTCCACTTCACATTCGTCACCGATATAATACCATATCGGAGGGGGACAACGACAACTGAGATCGTTGCTGCAACTCACCGTGACGAGGAATAAGTCATCTTGGATGAAGCATATGAATGAGATCTTAGTTGTCTCACGAATATGAGGAGGGCATACTTGTCTCTTCTACTGGTGTCAACGAGGACATGGATAAAAAAAGGGTTGAAATGTTGAGGCAAGGAGAGCAGTGGACTAACAATTGTGTGGCTAGTGTCCAACTTGGGTCGCCGAAGAAGTATTGACCCATACTAGGGAACATTTTACGTCCTCCGGTTCTCCTACAGATTCCTCTTCTCAAACAAAAGTAAAATAGATTGGTCTTGCTCTACCGTGCAGTTGCCTCATTACATCTGATGGACTCAAAGGAGCACCATAACTGCTCTGAGCAAAGAAGCGGTAGAGAATCGCTTGTTAGGCCAGACTGAGACGCGAAATAAGGCGCAATTAGGCCAAGGAAACACCAAGGAAGGTAGATCGAGTGCTGAAGTGGAGTCCCCACGGTATCTAAACCTCGACAGATACCTCCAACCTAGCTGGCGTTAAGGTGAACCTCTAGTAAGCCCACTCCCGTCGGATTATCAAAGGCTCTCACCACCTGATATTAATTTTAGCCATTAGTCGGCAAATGCACTATCAAGGAACAGAAGTGAATGAGATAAAGAGGATCACTTACTTCATACCGTGGATCCGCCTGTTTCAGGAGCCTCTCAAACTCCCTCCTCGATCTCTGCTTCGCGCCTAAAACAACCATCATCGTCATATCAACCTGGCGCAGATGATGCTCTATATGACGGGCCGTCGAGCCATTTTCCGGCAAAATGACCTCATTCAACAAAAGCGGAGTACCCGGAGCACATTTCTCCAGGGCCGGGACGATTGCGCGTGTGATCTTGATTGCATCAATATCATTGTAATTGTGTAGACATTGTCGAAGAAGAAATGCACTGGCGTCGTGAACAGGTTGAGGCTCGAAGAAGTTGTGACGCTGGAAGGTTACGCGGCCCCCTAGGCTTGATAAACTTTCTTCTCTGGCTTGGGAGAGCATTTGCTCCGAGAGGTCTTGGACGATGAAACGGAGAGATGGGTATTCCTGTGCGCTCATTGTTTCTGGTTACTAGTGTACCATAGGCGGAGAGGTAATTAACGTACTCGAGCGAGGGCGATGGATATGTGGCCTGAGCCACCACCGATGTCAACTACTTTGCCCGCTTTCAACGATTCCCATGGGAAGCTGTCGTGCACAAGCCTTGTAACCTGGCCGTCCACTACACCGCAATAGTTAGATTGAAACTCGTTAAAAACTGAAGTGGGAAAAAGTTGGTGCATGGGAAGCAACTGGCGAGAACGGACTCACACTGTGACCATGCAACCATTGCTTGTGTGAATCTGGCTCCCTTTTGTGGATTCTGCTCATAATATGCGTATGCGGGTAACTCGAACCTAGCACAGAACGCAGAATTCTCATTGTTTGAGACGTATGAGGAACGGTCGATTTGTGTTGATAGCTCAGACGCCGCTTTGAACATCTCGTCCATCCTATTGAAACCACCTTCAGCGTTAAACTTCAGATTTATCCAGCTTCTTTGCCTCTGAGCGACATAGACCTACTGCATGTGTACCATAGCATGAAAATCCTTATCACTCGCCATAACAGCAGACATAGCTGTATGCCTAAACACACCGCTCCCAGTTCCAACTTCCTCAAATATCCGTCGCGTAGCTAAAAAGCGCAGCAGTCTCGTTGTTCGATCCTCATCCATTTTTGCTTTGTCTGCAAGCACCGCCGCATCAATGCTTCCCTGTAGCGGAATATCTCTGAAGAAGCCTCGCTCAACTGCAACCTGCAACACCGCGAGGTCATAATGGGAGAAAGCATAAGTGCGCAACGTGTTCTTCGGGCCATTTACGAGACGGAGCAGGTCTAGAGCAGTGTCGTTGAGGCTTGCTCGCAAAGATTCGTATTCTGGTGTTTGGGGCACGTCTCCAGAAGAGGCGCTGAAGTTGGGCTCCGTGTAGTTAGATGCGTTGAAGCAGGAAGATACTCGTGTAGATAGTTCGGAGATTTGTTTGGCGAGTAAGATTATGGCTGATGTGTCGTTGTTGGATAATGGAGGCTCATTGGCTAGCGATTGATTGTTGTATGACGAAGCCGCCTTGGATAAGTACTTGAGGTTAGGACTGGCCATGTTGGATTGGACAATTGTGGATGTATTGATGTATAGATTATACCGTCTGGCTCAAGTCACCTTATATATACCTATGGATGTACACAGCCATTGGGTTGATTCCTCCACCTGTGCATTTTGCACCAATTTATAAGCACAAGGTAACATCGCGACCATTTCGGGGTTATCGGCACCGCGTAGGCCGAATAGCTGACGATATCATCCTGGTGAATCCTTCTCGGCCGTGGAGGTCGGTCTATGCTGGGGTCTGGATGCAAAAGGACTTGTGCGTCCGCATCAGCAGGAGGGCACAGTGACAGGGCCCCTAGAGTGGTTCGGACTGTATGGACAAGGGTGGTGGTGGAATGGATGCTAAGTCGTAGCGTGTCGAACTTTACCGCTCAGCTAATAACGGTGTCAAGACACTATTCCTAGCTGATACAATATCTTTCATCCCCGACACACCCCGTAAGCGCGGACAGACTTGCATGTGCATGCTGCAAGATACGTAGTGTCTTACATTGGTCTAGCTACCTGTCTGTGTTAGCCTATCCAAGGACTTTTCTCGTGGCCATGCCGAAAGCGTTCGTATCTTCTAACACCGACCTAGCAAACGCATTTCTTCCTGTTCCACATCCAGAATAGGGTGATTGGAGGGACTAGGACATTTTGTCTGGTAAGTACTAACAATGATAATAGTAATATATTATATGCGACTTTCGTAAGTTACCTTAGTGAGCAGCTTCCACTTGGAAGTCGGTGCAGAGCGTTAACGCCGAGGGATCAATTTCGGATATTCGGATAGGTGCGGGTCTCCCGTCGCCAGCATGGATATCGGATGCAAGTCCAGGAAATTTGGCCCCAGTTCTAACCACAATAGGCCAAAGCAGAGTGTGGTCCGAGATTTGTACGATGTAGAGTTTACCTTTTCCTCCTGAGGATCCCAATTAGGATAGTGGATCTGCGACGTCGGTGGGCCGGCAGCGTGACACGGGCCCTCGAACTAACAACATCTAACGAGTTGCAGCATATCCGTAGCCGCTAGTACTAAGTGAACCAATTGAATGATTTGATTGAGGAACTATCCTGGAGATCGCTTGAGAGCGTCTCTCTTATCCTCAGGGGCCAGTATTACGTGTTGCAACGTGTTACAACGCGAGTGTTCCGAGTTGATCATACGAAAACATATGGCGGAGTGGGTAGTCGCAAAATACCCTCTCTCAGCTCGACAAAATCTAAATGGGCATTCCGTACTATCTACTAAAACGACATGTGAACGCCATGAGGACTTGGAATCCGCACAATCTTTGAAGCAGTTGCGATTGGATCAGTGGGTGGCCAGATCGGGGTTTATCTGGTGCATCGAACTTTTATGTTGTTGTTGCGCAACTCAGTGAGGCAACGAGGAAGCTCCTTTAAGTAACGGGTGAGTCGCTTGAGACTAAGCCTTATTAGTCCAAAATGGGATAGCGCATTCGGGCGAGGAGAACCCCACTTCACACCATCCGACCCCAAATCGGAGCCTCATGCTGCTTAACGTACAAAGCTTGGTAGCAGGACAAAATAGCAAAACGACCCTATCGGGCTCTGTATGTTTACATTCTCAAACAGATTCCCGCCGATTACCTCTAGGCGGAACGTAATAAACACGATGGCGTCTATGGGTCCCTCCAGAAAGCCTCAATCGCAAACGCAAGTGACCTCGTCCCAGATGAAGCGAGCAACGTGCAACTTATGCCGTGAAATCAAGGTGCGCTGCGACCTGGAAAAGCCGCAGTGCCATTGCTGTCGCAAATCAGGCCAGACGTGCGTGTATTCCTCGGGCAAGACAGACAATGACGAGATCATGTCGGCGCTGAATCTGCTTCACTCCCGTCTGCGTAAGTATGCTCCAGATGCTGCCTCGCTAGTGGATCTCTCGGTGTCAGTCGTTTTTTGTTGGCTTTGTGCTTACAACAGCAGTACAAGCGGAAACGACACTCCAGGAACAATGCCTACAATTCACGACTCAGTCTATGAAGCCGAATTCTGCCTTATCCCCAAGCTACATGTCGCAGAATTCCCAGTTTGCGTATGACCTACTGTCACAAGGTGATGAAATGGAGTACTCAAATATGGTATTCCCAGAGTTTGACCCGAGGTACGCTCTTCTATGATTCACTCCAGAGCTATACCTGTGCTGATAGCCTCTCTAGCGACTACCATCAGCCACCCGCCATGATCGATGTTGTGAACAGCTCTGGCACAGATGGGACTCCTTCAGAACTAGATTTGAATACGGCCAACCTGAAAGACAATCCCCAAGGCCCCACATTCAACCAACTGTTCGAGCAACCCACTCCCTTTAGCGGGTTGGAGCAGCAGTAAGTACCCCACTATGACAAAACCGTGAACATCCCGTCTCATTATGCGCCATACAGATACCAGCCGTATTTCGATATAGTGCAGAAACACATAATGCTAATAGGCCAGCAGGAATTTTTGCAATCCGTCGTCCCAATGGAGACGCACCAATGCATGGCCCTAAAAAATGCCGTAGCTCTATCTGGCTCCACTGCGTGTGAAGAAACAGCGCTAGCCATGGAGCCGTACATAGCAGCCCGATTCCATCTAGAACGAGCCGAGAATCTAGCCGATAGCCCTTCTTTCTTACCTTGAGACGGTTCAAGCTTTGGTTCTTGTCTCGAGGTTTGAGTTTACTCATATCAGCGGACAGAAAGGGCTTCTATCTAGTCTTGATAAGCTTTCTATTAGGATTATTGCTTATCTCGATGCTCCCAGGGGTTCAACCACCAGTCACTCTACAAAACCCGAGGGGCTCGTTCCTTACTTGTTCTACCCCAGGAACATTATTCAAAGGGGCAGGAGGAATATTACTCCTTTCTTAGTTTTCCCCATAACAATCCCTAAGAAATAGGAACTTCCACCCACCCACCACCCATTTCCTCAACTCCGCCACGCACTCTGACAACGAGCAACAACTCTGGCCCATTGAAAGAGTCACGAATCATTTAAGATGCAAAAATATTGACCGACGCAGGGATCGAACCTGCAATCTCTTGATTCGTAGTCAAGCGCCTTGCCATTGGGCCAGCCGGCCTTGTTGAAATCTTTGGTGCAAATTTGCATTATGGGGCTGCAGACTTTTTAGGGTTACCACATCCACCTATGCTCCACCTAACCACATTCGGTCAATTTCATTCTCCCATTTAATACAGTAACAGTATAAAATGTTAAGTAACTAGTTGCTCAATAAGTTTACATGGTTCATTGGCAAATAAAGTGAAGAAAAATGAAAAAGACAAGTGGTAGCCATGTCAGTAGAGAACATATACAATAAGCAAAAAAAGAATCTCTCCCTCGGGGAATCGAACCCCGGTCTCCCGCGCTTATCGGTGTTAATGACAAGCGGAAATCATCACCACTAGACCAAGGAAGATATAATGGTCGAGTTACTGCTCGGCCACTTGGCTGGTTGATATGAAAATCTGGTAATGTATGTTTCATGACCAGCCGCGGGATGAACAAATGTATCAAGTGAGAATCTATATCCCCACTGTTATATAAATCCTAAGAATTAATGTTTTTATTTTTTGGCTTGAGTGATTTATATGTCGCTAATATTGTAAAATGAAGTAGGGGGCTTCTTTGAAAGAAAAAAAAATAGAATTTAACGAGTGATAACCTAGCAGAAGTAAGTATGTGTACTCCGTATAGCTCAGAGCCTTTCAATATGAACTTATGCAAAGTTCGAGATCAATTATTTCAATATCATAATATACAGCAATTTATTGTATGCAACCATTCTAGGAGGCGCTATAAACAACTGTCTCAGTATACCAATTGTGCCTGTTTCATGCCACAGGACTAGGAAGTACAATCCCCACACGTTATGACCGAAGGTATTAATCACGTAGTCTACTTTAGTGATATTATCAATATAATGTATTGTCCCCTCGATAATGAATTATCGCAAAAATACGATTTGAGGATTTGGCCCTGATAAGCTACCAACTGGACAGGTACAAATGTACATGTCTGCGTATGCGTGTCCTACTACATGAAATCTCTTGGCCCCCACTGTAGCCTTTCGAAGAACAGTAGCGAAATATGCATTGTGACACAAGATCGGCACCTGCAAGGGCTATTATTTGATCCAATTACAATAGAACAAAACTAGAATTGCATGAATAATTGCGCCACTGTTGCTGGCCAGAGTAAATGACTCAGCAACCCCGGACGCTTACATCATCTCACTTTCCCTGCTTTCCCGATTGCGGTCTTTTCCTAGTCATTGCAACTCTCCTAAACCTCTTGTTGCTTTGTATTTGTTAGAAAACTACCTTTCAATCATCCTTTATATCGAAGTTATCCTAATACGCAGAGTACCAACCACCAACGCAGCCTGAAATCTCACTCATAAGCTCTCACACGACATAGCTACGCCTACACCCGGACCCTCGATACCGCCCTCAATCGCATGGTTGACTAGAGACATCCTTCGATTTTAATCTCACCGGTGTGTTGCCAGAATGACGGGCCCAGACCGGGCTTTGCTCAATCGACGCTCCTCAACGCAACATTACCAGACCTTCGATACCCCGCCGCCCAAGTCGCGTGGTCGACCGAATTCGGGCCAGTCCGAGTCCTCGGCCGATGGATCCCACGATCTCCACCATGAACCCGTTGATCCCCCAGGGACATCGTCGCCTCTGCCAAAAAGGCAGATGGCTGTGCTGGCCATGATCGCCTTGGCCGAACAAACGGCATTGAACTCCATTAGTCCATATCTCCCCGATATGGCTTCGACGTTCCCCGAGGTGGAACCGTCTCAGGTCGGTGTATATGTGGGGACCATTGCTTCGGCTTTTGCCTTGGCTCAGTTTGCCACGAACTATTTCTGGGGTTGGTTATCGGACCGCATTGGTCGCAAGCCGGTTATCTTGCTAGGAACTTTGTTGACGGCACTGTGTTTCGTTGCGTTTGGGTTTTGTAGGACGCTCGGACAGGCTATCGCGGTGCAGGCCTTGATGGGTGTGGTCAACGGCAACCAGGGCCTGGTTTCCACTTGCCTCGGAGAAATCACCGACCGAAGCAACCAATCCCAGGCTTTTACTTATCTTCCCGTGCTATATGGCATCGGAGGTATCACGGGCCCTCTCTTGGGAGGACTTTTGATTTTTGAGACAAATCCTTTCACCGGTAACAAGAACCCATACCCATATCTTGCACCGAATATTCTATCAGCGGTTGTCCTTCTGGTGGACTTTGCCTTAACGGCCCTCTTCTTGGAAGAGAGCCTGGAAGACGCAGAAAGTCTTCCTAGGATTGGGAGAAAGGTGCGCAGCCTATTCGCCTGGTTATGGCAGTTTACCGGTGATTCGCGTCATCCAACCTATGTTGCGGCCGCACCCGGGCCATATCCGCCCGGCCACCACGACTCAGAGGTTGAAGATCATGACAGTGATCTAGACTCTGCATCTGAGGTGTCAAGCTTACTTGGTCACCATGAGGAGCTTAGTTGGGATGAAATCTTCACTCGGGACACAGTCTTGCTTCTCTTGACATACCTGATCTTCGCGTTCTGCAATGTCTCGTTCAACTCGCTGTTCCCCATTTTTGCGCAAGCCAAGCCTCCCGCTGGACGGTCACTTACACCGTCTGAGATTGGCCTTTCCCAAGGGTTTGCCGGTATTGTGACTATCATCTTTCAAATTTGTATCTTCAATCGCCTGCGCGATAAGATGGGCAACCGATGGTCCTATCGCGCAGGGCTCTTTGGCTTTGTTGTCTCGTTCATTTTGATGCCCTTCATTGGTTATAAGAGCCGGTCAACCGATGATCTGACCGGCAAGTCGGTACTCATGGCCATTGAATTGTGCCTCGTGTTGCTGGTCAAGACCATTGCCTCTGTGGGTGGTTTGACCAGCGCCTTGCTCTTGGTAAGCAATGTTTATAGTTCCTACAAGTCTCTCACAACTAACCCACATATCCAGATCACCAATTCCGCACCAAATCATGCCGTCCTTGGCGCCCTCAACGGTCTTGCACAGACCCTTTCCGCGGCCGGACGTGCTGTAGGCCCATTCCTATCCGGAGGACTTTTCTCCCTCACCTCTAAGATCCAACCCAAGGGAGAGGCTCTGGCATTTGGAGTCTTCGGCGCTGTCTCGTTCATCGGGTTCGTCATGAGTTTCGGTATTCGCGGCCGGTCCCTCGAAGCAGAAGGCTGGGGCGAGGATAGTGAGGATGGCGACAAGTCGGACGACGAAGAGACGAATGGTGCTTGATATGTGATTTACAAACCCGTTCAAAAAGCTGATTTAACGATATGACGAGTTTTTGCTACCTTTCAGCCTTTTCGCATTTGAAATATATATTGGTCCGTTTTGTGATAGATCGTTGTTGCATTGTTTGCTGAGCTAAATTCTGTTTGATCTACCTTGAACCCTGAGAGATGTCATGTATAGAATATCATTACTCTAGATTTACGCTTTTCCCAACTTTCCTTTGAATTCTAATTCCTGTAGACAAATTCATACCTCAAGCATTTCCAGGTGGAGATGCGATTCTAAAGGCACCAGCGTACGAGGTAATAAAACTTAGAAGATAGGAACCAACCATGACCGACGGTGTGTCCAGGTCAATAACGTGGTGCCCAGTCTGCGGGATCTTGGCAATTTCGCAGTGTTTTACTGAATAGGATAATCAAATTATAAGACAGAAACAACGGCTGCAAGGGGAAAATAAGGGCAATATATGAAGCTATGAATATCAATTGTGAACATCGTCATCGGCTGACATCACCTCACTTCATCAACAGACTAACAGCCCAGGGAACACTTAGTCCCCGCAGGTCTCCGTAGTGTTGTCCAACACCCAAGAACACAATAGGAATACCAGTAGCGTGGACCATGCTAACCAGTGTTCCAACCATGTCGCCAACAGTGTCACATTTGCTAATAATGAATCCATCCAAGTTCCGGCCCTGACCAAAGGCCTGGTTGAAGTTGCGGGCCTGCATCACACTATCTGTGCCGACCAGCGCCTCACCAACCATGAATATCTTATCCGGGTTAGCGAATTTGGCGAACTTCTCCAGTGAAGACATCAGTCGCTGGTCGTTGTGTCGGCGGCCGGCAGTATCGATCAAGACAACATCGAACTTATTGGCAGCCGCGTAGTCCACAGCATCCTTAGCGACGTTCGCTGCGTCCTTGCCGTAGCCTTTCTGGTAGATTTCCACGTCACCGGCATTCTCACGAGAACTCAGTTCCTTCAAGCGGTCTGCGTGCACGCGGAGTTGCTCCACGGCTCCGGAACGAAAGGTATCGCACGCTGCGATGAGGACACGGTACTTGTTCTGCAGGAGGAAGTAGCAGATCTTGCTCAGGTTGGTCGACTTGCCAACACCGTTGACGCCAACAATGGACATCACATAAGGCCGAGGCGCTTGCGCTTTGGTGGTGGGGGCGACCACGGCGTTTATCTCGCGCAGCAGGTCCAGGGAAGAAGTAGGCGTCAGGATCTTGCGCAGTGATGATTCCATCGCCACGCGCAATGCCGCATCGATACTTTGGAAGTTACCTGTCTTCTTGCCGACCATTTCACGCTGCACTCCTTCGCAAAGGCGGACGGCGGCTTCACGCGCAACGTTCTTCTTCAGAAGATGCTCTTCCATTGCCTTCAGAGGCTTGTCAAGATCGGACTCCGTCAATACCTTTCCGCCAACAATGTTACGGAAGAAGCCGCCAATCGCATTGAACCCAGTGCCAACAACACCAGATGAAGCAGCCCCTTTGGACTTCTCTGCATCTGCCTGTTCCAAAATCGAATGGACTTCCTCACCCAACTCCTTCAACACAAACTGGCCCTTGCCCGTTCGTCGACCCCAATCATCTGCGGAGACAGCTTCCACCGCTGGAGCGGCAACCTCTCCTTCCTCCGCGGGAGCAGAATAATCGAGGATCTCCCCATCATCCTCATCTGCCATCCCGCTAGCATCCCACTTGCGCATCTTCTTGGCAGTGTTCTTGGCGGGCTTTCCTTTTCTGGCGTTTTCATCGCCAGACGAAGCGTGCGGGCTTGCATTCGCAGCCTTGCGCGCTCGTCGGGATACTCGACCTCCAGGTCCGGCCTTGGCAGTGAGCAGATGACCCTGGGGGGTCGAAGATCTAGAAATTTCTGGTGTGGCTGGTGGCGTACCCTCGTCAGAGGTCGCCCCGGCGTGCGCAGCTCTAGGCTGCGCTTTCACCAGGCCGGGGACTGGTGGTGGCGGAGGTCCTCCGTTGTCCGATGAAACAAGCGGGTCTTTCTTTTCGCTTGCCTCTAGAACATGTTCACCTACGAACCCTGTGTTATCTTCCAGCTCTCGGACTTGCTGATCAAAGTATGGGTCGAATCGATAGGTCAGGATTCTGACGCGGTTTCCTTTCACTTGGTCTTTGTAGAGATCGATGAAGATGGTCGAGATATTCTCGAGAAGTTTATCGATCCAGCCGAGGTGAAGCAGTGATTGATAGACGGCCTGTATGAACTTAGAGTTAGTTCTCCGGAATGATAATGGTGCACATGCGCATGCGACAGACATACCACGAAGATCAAATCGAATTCCTTCACTCTCTTCCACTTCAATGTATATTTCTCCTTCTTGAATGCCGGTGAGATGCCACCGGCTGTGGTATTTTGCGGTACAACCTTCTCCTCGATAAAGACGTCGTTGATCAGGCTGTTAATGACATGTGCGCCCACTGGAGCATACGACTTGGACCAAAGGACCACCCCTGAAGTGGTCAAAATCTCAAAAGCCTCTAACATTGTGAATCCAGTTAACGTGAATGCGAAAGAGAAAACAAATAAAACTTTAAACGCGAGAAAGAAGACGAGGTCGGACTTGGTGGCGGAACGGGGCGAGGTGGGAGCTCGGAAGCGGATTGGATCTTCAGCCACGTATAAACACCCGCTTTCCATTATTCTTCTATCCTCTGCTCCCGCTTTCCCCGTCACACGCTCACTTCCTCGCCACCAAATCTTCTCGTCTTTTTTCTATCTAGGTGCATTATGTATCGGGGTTCGTTCGCTCCCCCGCCCGCGCAATCGCCCCCCCTTCATCACCCAGTCCCACAACATGTCTCGACAGTCCCTATGATGCGCTCACCTCCACCGCCAGTTCCCCAACAACCCCCAAGTGCTGGATATGGCGGGAATCCATATCAGCCATCGCCGGCTCAGGGCGGCAGTGGAAGTTACGCGCCTGGGCCTGGGTTCGGTGGCTTCATCAACGAACCCACGGCACAGATGGGTTTCCAGGTTGGCAAGAGTGCAATGGCTGCTGGACAAGAGTACATGGAATCAAACGTATGCACTCATAGCTGATATTCCTGGGGGATGTATAGCTAACTCGTATTCTACAGTTCAATCGCTACGTCTCTATACCCGCCCTCAAGCACTATTTTAACGTCTCCAACTCCTACGTCCTGAACAAGCTGTTGCTTGTCCTCTTCCCCCTGGCGGCACAAGCCATGGTCCCGACAGCAAGCCCGAATGGCATCTGCCTCCACCGGACCAGACGGCCAGATCATCCAACAAAATTACTCGTCCATGTTCCTTCCTCCGCGCGACGATCTCAATTCGCCCGATATGTACATCCCCGTCATGGCTCTGGTTACATATATTTTGTTATCGGTGCTATTGGCTGGATTCCGGGGCAACTTCCACCCTGAGCTTCTGGGTTCGATCACTACTACAGCCATCGCGGTGATTCTCTTCGAGATTATGTGTTTGAAGCTGGCAACCTACATTCTGAGCATCAACAATGACTCGCAATTGCTTGATCTCGTGGCTTATTCAGGGTATAAGTTTGTGGGAATCATCGTCACTATGGTGGCGGCTGAGATTTTGAATCCCGGCCAGGGAACCGGAGGCTGGGTTGGTTGGACCGTCTTTGCGTATACCTTCTTGGCCAACGCATTCTTCTTGGTACGTAATCGACTCCGAATCTAGCTCCAAGGCAATGGGGCAGTTGCTAATCTTTGAGCTTTAGCTGCGCTCTTTGAAGTATGTGTTGCTGCCTGATTCAGCTGACTCCGCCATGCATGCTGGCTCAATGCGCCCCGTGGCTCGGTCCCAGCGCAACCGTCGCACCCAATTTTTGTTCGTCTACTCCTATGTCGTGCAGTTCATTTTCATGTGGGTTCTCAGTCGGGAGGGACCGTCCGCGGCATCTAAGGCCTCTGCGTCGCCATAAGTTCAGTATGCAAAGCAAGGAGGATCTCCGGTGATATAGACTATTAGCTTGGAAGGAAGGCATAACATGAAGGACGGCGAGTGGATTGCTCTGGGTCATTTGGTATTACGGCCGAGGTAACGATATAGCACGACTTATTGTAATCAAAATATTTGCGTTTGTATGTCACGAAGAGTTGCATGATGCGTACCTACGTAGATATAGTAGTAGACCGAGTACATATTACTTGAATTACACTTGAAACTACTGAAATGATGATTGGAGTGATAAATGTCTTGCATTGAAACTAGTGATAGAGTTATTGACCCGTCATCTGAAATCCTATAATCTTCTGAAGGTTAGCGACTAGTCAAGACCAACATGTCAAGTAATCATGTGTAAGGTATGGAATGTCCTCAGAGATCTTGGTAGTTATGGTAATTTCACAGCCAAGGCTCAATTACTATCTAGGCGTGATAAAGTTTATAATCATCGGACAGGGGGGAGTGTTTGGTGATGACTTGGGCGTGAACGTACCATATGAAAGGTCAAGAGCTGTTCGAGACACTGGAGTACAAGTCCAGTCGCGAGTCTAAATCCTAAATCTTTGTGAAAGTCAGCGCGAGGTTTCTCGAAGCATTGACAACACAACAAGAATGTGATGATCCATATCAGAATATGTAAGAAAATTGAATATCATACGACAATGCTGTATAGAGAGCCCCGGCGAGGGCCTCACAGACATTGGGTCAATCGCAAATTACCGCATCATATGAGGATGAGGATTGAAGGATAGGAGATTTTTGAGCATACCTTAGTGAACTGTAGCAGAGCATGTGATGTCAATTTCAATGTCGAGAATCATAGACCCCTCATAAAAGTCTGAAGCTGAAGCTTAGAGCTGAATAGCTTGTAAAGATCATCATCAGCTGTCGGCGAAAAAAAAACGCAATAAAAGCAACGGGATCGGAAAATAGTTGTTGCGAAATCTTACATCAGCAGAGCCCTAGAACTGCGAGTGGCCAGTTAAGCGAGAAATCGGTGCGAGTTGTGGGCACATCCGAATTTCGAGACCAACTCTTGACAATTGAACTCTTTCGACAACTCATTCGACTCCATACCCAAGTCGACCGTGAGTATCATTCTCATCATTCCTATCGAAATCGCGACGCTGAATTTTTCATCCAGAATTTCGCCATGGCCGATATCGATGTCAAGGTCGCTTCCTGGAAGCTGGTTGAGGTTGGCCGCCTGGTGCTGATCCGCGCCGGTCCTTACGAGGGCAAGCTTGCCGCTATTGTCGAGATCGTGGACCACCGCCGTGTATGTGGAATCGCCCTGTGATACGGAATCTGCGAAATATACTTGAGAAAATCGGAATTTCGGAAGATTCAACAAAAGCCGGAATATGTATATTGATGTGCGATTTTTTCTCTCTACAGGTCCTCGTTGACGGTCCCTCCACCGTTGAGAACAACGCCGTGCCCCGTCACGTTCTCGCTCTCTCCCACGCCACCCTCACCCACTTCACCATCCCCAAGCTTCCCCGTGCTGCCGGTACCGGTCCCGTTAAGAAGCTCTGGGCTAAGAACGAGATTGACGGCAAGTGGGCCAAGAGCGCTTACGCTCAGAAGACCGACCGTGCTGAGCGCCGCAAGAACCTCTCCGACTTCGAGCGCTTCAAGGTTCTGCGCCTCCGCAAGCAGGTACGTTGAAACGGGACCATCGGAGAAAGGCTAGACTCAGGGGCATATATCTTCATGCGCTGAGACTCAATCTTATCTGAATGGATATTCCTCTGGGGATATATCGAATATATATAAATGGCAAACACTAACTGGTTTTACAGGCTCGCTACGAGGTCCAGAAGTCTTTCGCCAAGGTTCGCGCTGCCACCAAGGCATAGATGATTATGAGGTTTCGGTGCATGGGTTGAAGGAGGTGTCCTGGAAGGGTTTCCATTGCTGGAAGGACTCTGGCAAAATCGCTGTATGCATTAATCAATCAACAGCAAAAATGATTCAAAATCCTTGATATCCCGGCAAAGGGGCCTTTTTTGTCATTGATTTTCTCTCCCGTCCAGACTCTGGATATCATTTTTATTATATCTCTACGGGGATAGAATCTGGCTCTACCAAAAAGAATAGAATGAGAGCAGATGCGTAAATAATGATCTTGTCTTATTATCTCAAAGAGGTTCTAGAATCTATAAACACAAATTAGCGCCAATTTATATATCTATATAAAAAAAAGATATATAAATAATAGATATCTATAGATTGATACATAGTAGAAATGGTGATGGTAGATTCCATATAGGGCAATGTGTGGCCCCGGGGGGAACTCGCTAATGATTTTCGGGTTGAATTGCGCACAGCTACACCTTCAACTTCAACAAAATCCATCCCCATCCACCACAGCTTGATATTTATCTCTCAGGTACGTATGGCCATTGAATTCAATGAATTCTCGCCTTTTCGACGTCAATTTTCGCCGTTTTCCGAGTGTTGTGCGATTCGTGGGGAGGGGGTTTATCCGACTCAACCCATACCGCCTCAAACCCTGACGGCATTGCGAAACCAACACTAACCAACTTTTTTTTCTATCTCTTTAGGCCCCTTAAACACCATAAAAATGGCTGACCCCCGCGTTGAAGAAATCCACGATGACGATGTCGTCAAGAACGTCGAGAGCGACTCTGACTCTGGCTCCGAGGCTGGTGATGAGCCTAACATCCCCGCCGGTGCCTCCGTCGCTGTCCACTCCCGTGGTGAGAAGAAGGCCCGTAAGGCCATTGGCAAGCTCGGCCTGAAGCTCGTTCCTGGCATCACCCGTGTCACTCTCCGCCGCCCCAAGAACGTATGTTCTCCCCATGCGACCGACGTGACAAATTTCTACCCCGCCCACCACAATGTGACTGGTTTCAGCTGCAATACCCGCTCTATCAGTTTGCAGGACTACCAATGGGATAGAATGTCATGTTTTCTTTAATTTGCATAGATATAGAAGCTAATTGTTGGATTAAAGATCCTCTTCGTTGTCAACCAGCCCGAGGTCTACCGCTCCCCCAACTCCAACTGCTGGATGTATGTGGAACCCCAATTGAGCTTTCATTGGACTCATTGCTAATCACATTCACAGCATCTTCGGTGAGGCCAAGATTGAGGACCTGAACTCCCAGGCCCAGGCCTCCGCCGCTCAGCAGCTCGCTGCCTCTGAGGCTGCCGGCGACCACGCCGGTCACAACCACGACGAGGAGGAGATCCTCGGCAAGGGCAAGGCCCCTGTGGAGGATAAGAAGGAGGAGGAGGAGGATGATGGTGAGGAAGTTGACGAGGCTGGTCTTGAGTCCAAGGATATTGAGCTCGTCATGGCACAAGCAAGCGTTTCCCGCAAGAAGGCCGTCAAGGCTCTCCGGGAGAACGATAACGATATCGTTAACTCCATCATGGCTCTCAGCATATAATGAGTGATCGGTTTTACCGATTAGGTTCAGGGACTTGAGTGGTAACAGACCATATGTTCGGTTATAGCTCATAGTGTACACAATTCAGCCCAAAAACAATTGAACCCACGATTGACTCAACGAAGTTTCAAAAATGATGAATTCCAATTTAAATTTACAATAATGAAGTCTAATTATATCAAAATCAATGATTATCAATTCAATTGCTGTTTTCTATACTCCGTACATATGTATGTATCCTAATATGCACCTCGCGGACGGTGGAATTCGGGATGGGCATCACGTGATCAGAACAATCCAAACCTTTCCGGGTCGCTCCCTCGTTCGGCACCTCCCTGTACATCGAACTCCCTCTCTTCTCCCCACCTCCAACCTCTATCATACCCGTCACAATGGCTGCTGTATGTTCTGATCCTGTTCCTCGACTTGAAAAATACCCAACCTATCTGGACACCACTCACTAACCCCCCTTACCCGAAAACAGCGCAGCGCCGCTACTAAGATCGACTGGGCCAAGGTGTCGACCTCGCTCGGTCTCCGCGGTCAAACCGCCGCCTCCCTCCAGTCCTTCAAGAAGCGCAACGACGAGGCTCGCCGCAAGGTCACCGTCCTGGCCGAGCAGCCCCAGACCGTTGACTTCAGCCACTACCGCGGTATCCTGAAGAACAAGGCCATCGTCGACGAGATCGAGAACCACTTCAAGACCTTCAAGCCCGCCTCCTACGATGTCAACCGCCAGCTGAAGGCCATCGATGCCTTCGAGTCCCAGGCTGTTGAGAACGCCCAGGCTACCAAGGGCAAGGTCGAGGCCGAGCTGCAGAACCTGCAGAAGACCCTCGAGAACATTGAGACTGCCCGTCCCTTCGAGGACCTCACTGTCGTACGTACCTCTTTTGCAAAATTGCGGGCCAGCGTGGTTACTTACATGAGTGTTTTGTTTTTAGGACGAGGTTGCCGCCGCCCAACCCGAGATCGACGAGAAGACTGCTTCCCTCGTCTCCAAGGGCAAGTGGATGCCCCCTGGCTACAAGGTATGTGCAGATAGCTTTTCTTGGTCTTGTTCTGTATGTTTTATACTCATGCTCTTTTTCTTTGCAGGAGCGCTTCGGCGATCTGTCCGCCGTTTAAGCGTGGACTCTTGTGGCCTCAAATCCGCCTTGTTATCCCTAGCTTCATCACACTACGTGATCATGATTTTTGGAGCCAAGATTATGACTATTCAGCCAGTGTATGATCAGATACCTCCGATGGTGTGGTGGGGCTGGGATGTGTATAGAAACAATACATTGTCGTTTCTGCGTTCATCAATCAATTTCCTCGTAATCTCGTAGATCGGATGTTTATATGGCGATCATAGAACAGGCAAATAAGTGAATACGGCTGTAAAAATGATGATAACAAGCAAACAAACAACGAATTCAAGCAGAGAAGCTTTCTCCAGAGTCCACGGGTGTTGATCGTATAGGGAAATGCTAATAAATCCATGGATATCGTGGTTATATATAACGAGCTGGGGAAGAACATTCACCAACCTCCATACTCAATTTTTGATCCGACACCTAATAACCAAGGGGGATATTTGTTCTCGAATCCAACGAGAATAGCATGCAACTAAAAATCAACCTTGGAAGCCACCTACATATTGCCCGCAGAACTCCAAAACAAGCCAAAAGGTCACGCCAAGACAAGTAACTAACCTCACTTTACCCACTTCCCCTCCCCCTCCTCCAGCAATGGACCAGTCTCTCACCACCTGGGCATTACTTTGTTTTCATTCGAGACTACGGTGAAACGCTTCGTAAGCGGTTGCAAAGACGTTATGCGCTTGCAATACCCTACAGTCCCATTGACATGACCCATGTCTTCTCATTCTACATTCGACAGTATACCTTGATTCGACCAAGCTAGCCCGGAAACCACCATCTTGCCCTGAAAGCTACATGCACAAGCTACATGCTGTATTAAATCCATCACATATCGCAAATGGGCTCATCGGACCCGTTGCCAGTCTCGTGCTCGCGCCTGGAGTCCCTCCCCGTCGAAATCTTGCAGTTGATCTTCCTCCATTGCTTGGAAATTAACCTTCCGCGTGCTTCGCATCGTCTTGGCCGTGCACTGTCTTCGCAACTGCTTTATACTTGGCTTGTGCGACTGGCTTTTAGTAGTACCAATCCCGGCTCGCGGGAGGGGTTCTTTACCCCGGAATTCTTGCCGCCACCGTTGGACTTTTGGGCGTTGGCTTGGGAAGAACGACAACAATTGCAGACTGGCTTGTTGGAATGTCGCTGGTGCACTTTACCGTTATTGCGGAGGTGTCAACGTGAATATGTTGCACATGCTATTCGACGCAAATGCGCAACTTTGGTCTTTGGAAGCGAAGATCAAGCTCTTTTATCGAATCTAGACTCTAAGTTCGATAATTTGGACAATTGCGACTGGGCTCCAGATGGAAGCCGTGGGAAAGGCGACATTGTGATCCCTGCTCGATTTGAAGAAAGTTTGCGCACGCCGTCATCCAAGAGCGTCGACCGCAAAGTCGCAATTTGGTTCCATTTCGGCGCGTTACAAATCCGCGAACCAAATGAAATTTACTATGAGAATGACCTTTTCCGATTACCTTGCTCAGTGGCTATTGGACCAGGTCGTATCCCGGATAAGATATTGCGCTCGCCTTGGTCAGATGCGCAGTTCCAGTTCTTGCAGTTGCTATCTATGGATTTTTATCTTGACGAGGATGAAGTCAGTCCAGATCGCTCTCCGGAAATCACATATTGGCTCATTCGACAGCGCAAGATTGAGCCTTTTCGTCGATTACTGTGCATGGCCTTTCGCACTGCTAATTGTCGCATTCGTGCTCGTTGGCCATTGCAGCCTTTTCATTATTCCCTGGCTCGGCGCTGTGGGAGTGGATCTGAGGACCCTTTTATTAATTTCATTCTCAACGAGCGCTGGGCTGATATACCTGCTAATGCAAAGAAGGACTTGTTGCGATATATTGAGTCGCCTCCGCTGCGTGACAGACAGTGATATTCTGGTGTAAGGTTCGGTTCTCGTATTTATATATTCGATCTTAAACTACACTACAATTTAAGAAATTTAAGAAGCAAATGTGTATTTCATGTCCCGTTGATTAATTTATTCGGATTCATTATTCAACATCAACTGCGCGTCAGGGTATAAACAGAAAGCAATTGCAAAGAAAGACGCGCCGGCATAACAATCGTAAATCCCAAGGCCAGCCCTTTTATCTTCCATTCAGGAACTGGTTGTCTTCAAATGTGGCGGGCCTTGGTGTTAGACGGCTGATCGACGACCGCGCCGACGTTTTCCACAGTAGCCGCAGGTGAGGCAGGAGATGATCACATCGATGACGGTGACAACACCGCTGATGATAGCATGGCAAATAGAGCCGATGGCATTGACGATGGCCATGAGACAGCTTCCAATAGCGCGGAAGACACTTTGGATCTATAGATATATGTTAGCTTTGCAACATGGAAAGATGGGGAAGTATAGCGTGTAACGTACGCAAGAGACGACGGCACCCATGTTGAAGATGCAGAGAGCTTTGGCTTGTATGAAGGTTGATTTATTTTGGTTGGGATGTAGGGGCTTCTGAGCTGGAAGTGGCGTGTGTATGAACAGTAGGATCACTGAAAGGATGCATGATGGAGAAGAAGGGTGGACAAGAGGTTTAAATAAAAAAGAAGGGTAATGACGATCGTCTCAGACAAGGCAAATATTTCTTGGTCGACCAGCTTAGATACGTAACTGGCGTCTAAAAGGGGTGATTGATTGACAGTTCACGCAGTTAAGCTATTATCATTAGGGATCAGGTGCATACGCCAGTGACGTAGTTGGGGAGCTATGACAGGATTGCAGAGTTGGATAAAGAATGAGAAAAGGAATCTGAGAAACGGAATTCCAGAACCAGGAGACAGTTGTAATTTAATTAGAGCCAATAGTTACGCGAGGTACTAGGGTGTGGTTAACTTGATTAGAATCATTCCGTCATATTGAGACAGTTCCCGTTCATTCCTTGATTTTCAACTTAATTAAGGTACAGAAAATTTCTGCCTTGTGGAAATTAAATGTGAGCTGTTGAACTAGTAATTAGTACTAGCACTTGAAATGTGGCAACATGTTCCGGGATTTAATTTATTTTTCGAATGCTTTAGACCAACGGTTTTTTTCTTCTTTTACTTCTCATTCATTGTCTTTGACGTCATTTGATATCACACTATTCCTAATGGGCGGGGTACATCATGTGATATCAAAACCCTCCAGTGCCAAGCCCTAATGGCAAGCCGTTTGCTTTTCCGCCAATCAGAATCTTCGTTTGGCTTGTACACTTCAATGTCGTATGACTTCCTGTCCTTGACATGATATATTGACTAGATGTTCCCATTTTCAACCATGTTCATATCCTTTCAAGGCTGTCAGTATATTCCTTATTGCTATCTGCTCTCTTGTCACTCTCCGGTAATGAGGGATAAGTCGAAAGCCTAGGAGCAGATAATACATTCCAGTGTACTCCGTAGCAAGATAGCAGATATATACATCTAGTGGCATGTCATATATAGATATGTTCTCTCGGTCTCCAGTTGATCTGTTTATTATCTGGTGTGTTCATCTCTACTCTTATACTTAGTTTGACCATGCTACCTTGTATATAGACCAGATGCCTGCTATTTTGGGATATGGCGCAGTCACGTGAACCAATCGCAAAAGCGGCGTCCATCTGTAGCCAAGATAACGGAAGCCCCACTGGCAAACATTGTCCATTTTGCGGAAAGGCGCATAGTAGAAGCTAAGTATTTTGTATACTTCGATATACAATGCTCTATGGTTCTTTAACACGAAATTAGTCGCTTAAGCTTACATGCTGAGAATCCAGACCCTTGACGCGCTCTCCCCTCATGAACCCCACCGACACGCCTGGGACAAGGCTTGCTCCACCTGAGCCTGCATCTTTAGATTCAACAACAACTCCCAAGTCCAAACGTCGACCAGGTCGCACTTTCAAGAACCCAATTCGAAGCAGCTCGTCACGGTCATCCCGGACATCGCGGTCGAGATCTGGTCCCTATGACCGTCCCTCCAATTCGCCTCGACCGTCATGTCTACAAACTCCCAATCCCTCCAATACCAGGATGTTGTCAATGCTAGAGGCCCTCCCCGCCGAGGTGATCGAGCAGATTTTCCTACATTCACTGAATCTGAACTTCCCTCGGGCTTCACCATATCTCTCTCGCGTCCTCTCCCGTGAACACATGTACCGCTCCCTTATCCTTCTCGCTTTTTGGGATGATCCACCCGATTGCCCTGGCAGCGCAGCTATTGATCAAATGATGGTTGGACCGTTGGAATACGTACCTATTTCGGAGAATGATCGTATCCGCTTACAGAAAGAAATCTTGAAATGCAAGTGGTTAACGGCGGAACGCGTGCGCGAACAGGTTCCCACAATGCAGATCTTGACTCTCCATCGGCTTTGGATCAACGCCGGTATCAAGGTGAACGAGGATCAGCGAGAAGAATTTGAGAAATTGCTCGCTCGGGAGAAAGATACGCCTCACATTTTCCATGGTCAAGGACCGGCCAAGGATAAACTTACCGCTTTGCTTCTCTCCAAGCATGGCGACTTAATTAAGAGGTCGTACCCGGATATTGAGAAGCCAGGACCACATCAGTATCGGCTCCGTATCACGCCAATGGTGTACACTGAGGTCCGCTGTCCAAGTCTGAGAATTGTTGTTGACATGCCGGCGCTCACTTTGTTCGAATTCCCGGACTATCTTCTTCGAGGTCGTAGTGATGGTTTCCGCCCCGAGGACGTCGCATTACTCGAAGTGCTGCGGATAAGCTCATTTAACTGGCGCATCGGCGAAAACCGACCTACCTTGACCACACTTAACCGCAGGGCTCTGAATGAGGGAATCCAGAACGCAATCCGCACCCAGAACTTCAATGCCATGATCTCCCTCCTCAAGATTGACGAATTCGTCTTTCGCTTCGGGGCTGGAAACAGACGCAAAGGGTACTACACAATCCCCCGAGAGCACTTCTTTGCGGTTATACGTACTGGCCGTGACAAGCCCCAGCTCAATGCGGCTTTCTTCGAGGCTTTGCTGCGCGCCAGCGCTGAGTCTATACCCACAAGGTCGTCTGAGATGACTGAGTGGATTGTCGATAACATGAGCCTCGCGCAAAGCCAGCCGAGTGCTTACACCGAACTCAATTACAGGCTTGCGCGTTGGTTATCGGATTTCCAATTGCGCCTACCCGGGCAAATTGAGTGTCTTAACAACCATCTGGTTGGCCAGCTGTTTTTCAGTGGCCAGTTGGATGTTGCGGATGTAGAGGGTGATCGTTATAACGCTGAGGTTCTTTATCCCCAACGTGCGCCGCATGGAAATTGGCTTAAGGAAAGTTCATTCCCGGTTCGGGATCATTGGGTGAAGGGTTCGGGTTCTCCTCTCTTCAATTGAGACACGGCAGGGGGACCTGATAAGGATTTATTTTAGCGCTATACCCATAGACATCTTGATGCAAATCAGTCCGATATAGATGAGAAAGAGAAATGTACTAAGATTAAATGTTATGAGTACAAATGAAATCTTAAACAGTGCAATTTGCACTATATAGTACACAGAAATTGTGTTACAGGATTTTTAAATCGATGGGCAATGCAGTGCAATCACATATTGCCCAACAATCTCAGGATACCAGCAATCCACCCACCAAGAGTATACTGATATCCAGTCTCAACAACCCCCTTACACATCTCCCAAGCTTTATGTCCGTCGTTAGCACCATATTCACCCTCCCGCTTCTGGATAGGGTAGTCCACACGCGGGGGGATAGCAGTGCCAATGAGCGTAGGGAAGCGATCAGCACAAATAGCCTTGGTATTGCACAACCCACGCAGTCCCTCCTCACCCGCAAACCGCCCATACCCAGATCCACGCACACCCCCGAATGGAAGCTGCACGGCGTAATAGCTGCCGAAGTCGTTGATGGCTACCATTCCAGCGGAGATACGGGTTACACAGGCTTGGACGTCTGCCTTGTTGTGGCCGAAGACGCTTGCGCCCAGTGCGTAGGGCGTTGAGTTTGAGATGGCGATGGCGTCAGCGACGGACTCGGCACGCATTACGAGGAAAACCGGCGCGAAGAGTTCGGTTTGGGCAATGCGCATGTCCCGCGTCACGTCTACGAGGAGAGTGGGTGAGAAGTAGTGCCCATGCTCATGGACCGGGTGGTCGTGTTTAGTACCACCGGTGAGGAGGCGGGCGCCTTGGCTTACAGCTTCGTTGATTAGGTTTTCCAGGTTGGCAAAGGAGGCGGGGGAGATCATGGCGCCCATGTCTGGGGTTGTGCTGTCGAGGAGGATGGAGCCGAGACGGAGTTTTTGGATGCGGGGCGTGACGATCTCGATTAGGCGGTCGTAGGCGCCTGGGAGGGCGATGATACGCTCTACACCAATGCAATTTTGGCCGGCTGATTGGAAGACGCCGCGCATGAGGATCGAGGCGATGGAGGAGAGGTTGCGGAGAGTGCGGGAGTCGTCGAGGATCACGGCTGGATCTTTGCCGCCTAGCTCGACGCAGACAGGAATTAGAGCCTTGGCTGCCGATTCGCAGACTTTGTGGGCGACGGGTCGGGATCCAATGAATGTCAAATGCGCGATGTCCGGGTGAGAGGTGAAGGTGTCTGCCACTCCGGGGAGACAGACGAGCATTTGAACAAGGTCGCGCGAGTAACCGCAGCTAGAGAGCGCGCCGCGCACCATGTCGAGGAAGTAGGTTGTACACCATGCCGTTTGTTCGGATGGCTTGACGACGACTGCGTTACCGGTGAAGAGCGCGCTGATGACGGGGCCGATGAAGTTGTGCAAAGGGTAGTTCCAGGACACACAGGCACCCACCACACCGAGAGGCTCGTATGTGACCATGTTCTTTTTGTACATCATCAGGAAGTTGGTCGGCCGGCGTTCGGGCAGCAAGGCCTTCTCGCCATGGTCAATAGTCCACTTGAGCTTTTCCACTGTCACAAGGATCTCGCCGAATGAGGCGTCCACCTTTGTTTTTCCCGAATCGAGGCAGCATGCGGTAACGAGGTCATCTTGGTGGTCGAGAACGTATCTGCGAGATGTTAGCACAAGCCCCAGGTGGTCACCAATCCCGGCGGAGTGCGTGCAACAGCTCCAAGAACAGAAAAATTCAGACCCACGTACTTTAACAGTGTCCGAAGAACCTTTCTGCGCTCCACAAAAGTAGATGTGGCCCATTCGCGCTGAGCAGCACCCGCAGCCCGAACGGCCTCGTTGACATCTTCGACCGTGGCAGGCTTGATTCCGTTACCAAGGACTCTCCCATCGGCAGGACAGTAGCTCATAATCAACTGGTGGTTCCATTTCTATGATTGCCAGCCGTTAGCTTATGTAGATCACATACAATGCAAAGCGAAACCCCGGACTCGTACTCACCCCCCGAACTTGATCCTGCAACACCATCTTCCGCTGCCCCTGGACCTCCTCCCATGTCTTGCCTCCATCGCTCTTGCGGACTTCAGCTGGGATTGGCACATTGAACGCGACGGCTGCCTCTCTCCGACTCTGGATATAGAGGTACCCCACATACACGGCGAGTAGGGAGGCCAGCGCGACTCCGATATGCGGCACATACTCCTCGGATCCGGAAGGCGCGTAAGCCTCCAACAGAGAGCGCAGCGATGGCGGAATATGCGATGCCAGACAGTCCATGGCGGATTTGGTGTAATTGACCCCTGTGTTGCAGTTGACAGACGGAGAGCGGATTTAATGTTTTTCGCTGATAGGCGATAACACGCCACATCAAGTATACGATCGGGCGATCAGTATTTGCAGCGTGAAGTGATTCTTCGAGGAATGAAAATCCGTGTCTTTAAGCTAAAATTATAATAAATCGTACCCGAAAATATCGTAGAAGGATCGCTAACAATATATAGTACAAATATTGGGGGCCCAGTGTGATGTGTGATAGATCATGCAATCATCCCTCTTTCAAATACTTCTTCTTGGCTTCCTTTGAAAGATTAAGGTGTATACCCGTCACTCATTTCATCGGCGCTGGAAAGCTCGCTCTCCTCAGTTGCCTCTTCAGAGTCACTGTCCTTTCGCTTGCGCTTCAGCGGACGCTTAAGAGGACTCTTCGCTCCATTCTTTTTAACCGTAGTTTTCTTCGGCTTGGAGATTGGAGCTGGTCCGTTTCCCTTGCGCTTTCCAGTACGAGTCACCAGGTGATCAATGACACATCCGTCTTCCCATCCATCGCTAGATTCGCCGGTAATCGCCCGACATCGGGGACAGCTCTTTCCATGGCGGATGAAGAGCGAGTGTAGCGAGTATTTCAAGTGATCGGGGATGCGCACTTCCAGGTGGCTGAAGGCAGTGACTTCGTTTGCCTTGGCAGGAACCCATCCCAACCAGCGACAGAGTCGGAAAATGTGCGTGTCAACTGCGAAGCAGGGTCGCTGGAGACAAAAAGGACCACACAGGCGGCTGTCTTCGGGCCGATTCCTGGGTACTTGATTAGATTGGTCATGGCTTCTTCTGTAGAGAGGTTGTGGAGGTGGTTGAGAGAGAGAAAGTTCTGGTCTGCGCAGGCAATCTCGTATTCCTTGTCTTTTTCCGCTTTGTCGGGTACCAGCTTGGGAACGGTGTGGTCCTTGGATTCTGCGTCCAAGAACACATTTCGTCGGGCTTGATTGTCTTCATGGACTATGTCCAAGATGGCTTTCAGATTCTTGCTTTTGATGTCGGCTAAACCGCCGCTTTTGATAGCCTCAAACACGTCTTTGACCGTGGCCTGTCGTACGGCTTCCCAGTTCACACTTCCTTTACCGATGCCTTCTGAGAGAATGCCGAAGCGCTGCACCAACCCGTTGAAAGCCCTGGCTGAGTTCTTGCCCGTGGTAGCACCGCTGAGAAGAGTACGGATCAAAGCGTCCAAAACGGATGGAACCTCGCCGCAACCAGTGACAGTTAAAGAGGGCTCGGGAATAGTTGTGGGAGCAACAACTTCACCGTGGATGCTGGAAAGTAATCTATTGACCTCTTCGCACTCCTCGGAGGTGGGGCGAGTTAATTCAGGGAAAGGAGAGACGCCGGGCGTCAAGCCATAAGTGTTCTTCTTGGGCTTTCGTCCGGGGATGGTTTGGAGCTTTGTTTCTGTTTCGACCTTGGTGGTGGCTTTGTCCACTGTGTTTTGGAGATTGGTAGCCAGTTCGATTGTGTTTTCTTTCAGAGATCGGTTCTCCTTGTCCGACCCAGCAATTGAAGCTACAGGCTTTGTTTCTGTGGGCAGTGGAGTCGACACAGACCCCAGATTATGGGGGAGCTCACTGAGGAAACCTGGATCTTCTTGTTTAACTGCGCCATTGGAACTATTGAGTGATTGAGCTTCAATGACCGTAGTCATCTCGGGTTGGGGTGGAGAATCAGAGACTTTGCTAGTACCAGTAGAGCTAGGACGCTTCCGTTTGGTTTCTCTGATCACCTTGTCATGGTTTACTGCTTGTTTTATGGGAGTGCTGCTTTCAGCGACCAAAGCAGCAGGAGGAGCAGCCCGAACTGCAGAGCGAGTCACACGGCGTTGCATGATCAAACCGGACAGCTTGAGCAATCAGACATTCGATAATAGGTAGAAGAATGAAAAATCGATGAGAACTATAGCAAAAATTGCAGTTGAGAAGATCAATTGATACTCAACAGAATGAAACTTGATTCAACTTGATCCCATTCCAATGATCGCATGGTGGGCCAACGATGCAAGTGTGACTCTGTGATTGGTCAGTTCGCGGACATGTCAGGTGATCCAAGCTTACTTAAAAAACAGATATCAGATTACTAAGAACTAGCTAATACATAGACAGATATTCTTGAAGGTTAAACTCCAGGCCCCGGGGTCTATGCTATACTATATACCTACATATGTGGGTAGTAAAGAGAGAACCTATTAATTTGAGAAAGATCTCGATTAAATCTACCTAGGTAGGTATGTAATAAAATGACATAATAAAATAGCGGATTACTCTCTGGAAATTCACCTGACAGTGGTTATATCTAAACCCTACGGATTTATATTGCCAAAATGGGAATTAATGATCCCGACAATCAGATCTAATTTATTGCAACCCCTGCGTGCAGCCACACAGGATATAACCGTGATTAACTCGGTCCTAGCAAACATGGCCTGTAATATTAGCTGCTACCTCTATGAGTGTAGCCTCTTTGCTGCGTGTTGCTGGGTTAGTTTCTTACGCAGCTACTGGAAGCTCCAAATTCAGTCAAGCCTTTCCTCCGTTGACCAGCGAGAACTTGCATGATGGCGATTACGTATGATCAGAACCAGCTGCGTCGCAGTTGTCCGATATTGAACGAGATCCCAGTGACTCGCTTCTTGCCACGGTTTTTGAGGATCCGGATCCGAGCCGAGCAATGAAGAAAGGGCGGAGATTATTGGTGATACCTTTTCATCAACATTTGATTGTATTTATGTTCTGGCTCATAAAAGATGATCGAGAATGTACTCGAGACATCGGGTATTGGTATTTCCATGCATTTTCACATTTGGCAAACCAGCCATTCAGCATGTAAATTCTATGCTCTTTCAAACGAACGCCCAGACACCCGATGCAAATTGCCATAAAGGCAGATAAAAAAGAAATAAATCCATGTACTCGTAATCATGCATCATGATGGTCAGCCATGTTGTGGATGCTAATATCCATGCGGTCAGAGACCATGGGGTTGGGGTGGTCTTCAGTGTTGCCAGCTTTCTGCGCAGCGGCAGCAGTGATAGAGGACTGGTCTTCGTTGGCGGGGATGATCTTGCCGTTGGTGTCCATGGCGACGCCGTGGGCAGCGATCTGGAAGTCGGTTATGTTGGCGAAGCCGTGAGAAACGGCTTCCTTGGCCTTGTCGAGAGCCTTGACCTTGCGGCCTTCGCCACGAACGGCCTCGAGGTGCTCAAAGTAGCCTGCGGAAACAGGAGTAACGTAGCTACCGCAGAACACACCAACCTCAAAGTTGTTGGGTTCAGTCTGTCCGTTCTCACGGGCAACTTCCGCGCAGGCATCCTTGAGGTCGGGAAGAGTTTGGAAGACGACTGCCTCTGCGCCAATGTGCTTGGCGATGGCTTCCGCATTCCGGTTGTGAGCGACCAGCTCTTGGGGAGAGGCAAGGTCGATACCGTAAATATGAGCATGTGTGATCTCAGGAGCACAACTGGCAAGGTAAACCTTCTTGGCACCGGCTTCTCGGGCCATGCTGACAATCTCACGACTCGTGGTACCACGGACAATACTGTCATCAACCAGCAAGACGTTGCGGTCCTTGAACTCGGCCTTCATGGCATTGAGCTTGCGGCGAACGCCCTTTTGCCGTGTCTTTTGTTCCGGCATGATGAATGTGCGGAAGACATATCGGTTCTTGACGAAGCCCTGGCAAAAAGGCTTCTTCAGGATTTCTGCCACATTGGTCGCGGAGGTAGTGGCAGTCTCGGGAATAGGAATGACAACGTCAATGTCCTTAACGACCTCAGGGCCGAGGACTTCGAGAATCCGAGCGCCGAGGCGGTCACCCATGCGCTGCCGGCTACGGTAAACGCTGATTCCGTCGATGACAGAGTCGGGGCGGGCGAAGTAGACGTACTCGAAAATATCGGGAGCGTAGTTCTTCTTGGGCGCCACCTGGCGGAAAACCGGCTCAGTGCCCTTGGCAATCATGACAGCCTCACCGGGCTGAATGTCACGCAGGTTGGTAAACCCAAGCTGGTCCAGAGCCACGGACTCGGAGGACATCATGTAGTCCATACCAGGTCCATCAAGTGACTGGCGGGATCCCAGAATCAGGGGACGGATACCGTATGAGTCACGGAAACCTAAGATACCGAAGCCTGCGATCGCGGTTAGCATTCATGTAGATGAACAGGACGAGGACGACGATAAATTTACCAGCAAGCATAGCAGTGCAAGCCCATCCACCCTCGCAGCGCTGGTACATGCGGGTCAAGCTGGCGAAGATGTCCTCTTGGTTGACACGAGCCTTCTTGGTCTCACTCAGCTCGTCAGCGAAGACGTTGAGCATGAGCTCACTGTCACTATCGGTATTGATGTGACGGTGAGCTTCGAGATCCAAATGCCTCTTAAGTTCACCGGCATTGATCAAGTTACCGTTGTGTGCAAAGCAAATACCATAGGGGCTGTTGACATAGAAGGGCTGAGCTTCGGCATTGGCACTGGATCCTGCGGTCGGGTAGCGCAGGTGACCAATGCCCATGAAGCCAGGCAGGTTGGTCACCTTGGCACCATCATGGAATACCTTGGCAGCCATACCGTTGGCCTTCAGCTGGTAGAACCGACCCCCGGACGCACATGTTGCAATTCCGGCTGCATCCTGACCACGATCTGTGCAGAGCCTTTAGTCTCGCGATCGCACTTGTTTATCTTCTGGCCGAAACTCACGTTGGAGAAGGTAGAGTGCTTCGTGGAGATCCACGGCAGCCGAAGATGAGGGGTTCGCTTGAATTAACGCAATGATTCCACACATCTTGACGTGGGGTAGTCCTGAATCGAATGAAGAAAAAAAGGTTAGCACCAGTATCATCCATTGCATTCACATCATCAAGTAATAATTGAATTGTCTCAGATCAGACCAGGTGTTTCTCCGCAAAAAAATTAGGAAGTCTAACATCTATAAAAAAACCAAAATTCATCATAGAGACAGGGGAATAAGCAGTAAAAAAAAAGACGCAAGTGACATACCAAGACCAGATCACGGTTTAAAAAAGGAATGGGATGAGTATCAAAGAATGGTCATCACCAGGAAAGCCAGGAATGAATGACACCCCAGGAAGTCAGAGAAGAGAAAATCTCCATAGTTGAAATTTGTTTTCTGTGGTTTGGTTTGGTGGACCAAATTTTTTTTCTTCCGGCGTCGGAGCCAGTCAGAGCCAAGTCACGTGAATTACACTGAGGGGCCTGAGGTGTAAGGCAAAATATGGTCTGTGCGTGGGAGATCCACTACTTGTAACCCTATAAATCCCAAAGGGGAAATTTATACGGAGATAGATATTTGGATAATGCATGTATACATCTTCAAAGCTGATGGATAGTGTGACAGCGAACTAATGAAACGCCACAGCTTTATATATCTGTCTTTGAATGCCCACAGACATATATACCATCCCCGCTTTGTTGAGCAAATAGAAATAGAAGAGATGAGCCTGCTGTACATTGTATAGAATTGTAGTTTACTTACCAACTTCTTGCTGCCAATTTTGAGAGCCATCTGATCTTAGGCCTGGATTACCTTGAAATACCTCGTATCAATAGTATCGATAAGGAGAAAATTCGCCTTATCTGGTTTTTTTGAGAAGTTGGTGATCTGCAACCGAGCTCGTCCTTACCCAAGTCTTCTTCCATTTCCCGGTTACTTTGATTCTTCAAATCCCATCTTTTCATACTGATTCCTCCTGAATATGTTATTCTCCCAAAGAATGGCGTTTTCCATGGATCGACCCCGTTATTCGCCTCGTCGCTTGGAATTCGAAGAGTATACCCATAGCGGTATGACAGGAAACGAATTCGGGAAGATGACAACATTTCCTGTTGATGATGTATGCATGGATGACTGGCCCCCCGCTTCAAGCCCATCCGTGAAGCAGGGGGTCTCTCACAGATTCGTACGTCCCGGAAACAATGGCGGCATGGTAATTGATTTGACCGGCGACGACGACATCGTTGACGACATCGTCGAGGACAACATGATCAATTTCACCTCCGCGGATCTCTCTAGCTCCACCGCTCTTGCGATTCAACAAACTGCTTCTCTCAATATTTCTTCAATCATGAATCGCTTTGTCAGCGACAGCTCCCTTGTAGAGGTAAGTCTTGATATGACTCCGGGTTGATAGCCTTTGTTTGTCCTTCAATCGCTAACAAAATGGCAACATAGGCATTGCAAAGGATGGACGTGGACCTGCCGAATGCAACTGATCGCCGTACTCACGCTACCAGCCCCAATCAGGTAAGTCAGGCGTGGTGCTTCAACGTAGATCCTGTTGTTTGTTTCAATCGCTAACAATGGGACCAACAGCCAACAGCCGACTCCGATGTGGAAATATACAATACCCCCGAGGTCTCCTTCATTACTCAGCGGGTAAGTCGATTGTTGTGCTTGAAGACCAGCTATCTTAATTGCTTCAATTGCTAATTATGAGGCCAATTAGGAAATCCGCAACCTGACAAACAACACGGCCCCCATAGGCACTCGATCTTTTTCATCGATTATCGACTTATCTAGCGAGAAGCCTGGTTCGCCCAACAAGACCTCTCCCCGCAAGAACGTTGGAGAGGTTCGCAATGTCCCGGAAAAAGAGCCGTACACCCATGTCATGAATGGAATCGTGTACAAGCCCGGTATGTGCATTGAGTTCAAAGACGGATCCTTCATGAAGGTGACCGAGGTCATTCCCCAGCCAGAGAGCTTGTGCTTCGCTGGCTGGCGTCTTTATCGGACAACCGATAACCAATGTGACACTTTCCTGCCCAAACTCCGCAATGAGCTTGTTTGGCTCACTCAGAAGGACGGGCTCATAAGCTCCGATAACATTAAGCGAATTGTCAACATTCGTTTCACCAACTACCGTGTTCCCTTGCGTGAGAATCCTCCGATGTTGACTTGCCGTCTTAAGTTGACTATGCGCCAGGCCGGCGTGATCATTGTGTGGAGTCGGGCCCCTATTACTGCTGACGACAATGCCATTGAGTATCTTGAATACCACGATGCAGACCCTGGTTTCCGTAAGTGGTCCAATGAGCTTCGTGCTGAATGGCGAGGGGGAAACTGTGCCGTTCGGCGAAGAGGAGAAGTCCACCATGGCCTCGGAGAATGAGCGCAAGGGCATCATCGAACTCGAACCTGAGCGTACATACTCCTTCGGTGACGCCTATTGTGGCGGTGGTGGTGTGTCCTGCGGCGCAAAGCAGGCTGGTATCAAGATCAAATGGGCCACTGACCGGGATCAGCATGCTCTGGCCACTTATGAGCTCAACTTTCGGGATGTGGAGATTGAGCGCGCGGACTTTTACGATTTTCTGACCAATTCCCCGGACTTCCTGCGGGTAGATATTGCTCATTGCTCTCCGCCTTGCCAGACTTGGTCTCCCGCTCACACAGTCCAGAGCAAAAATGACGATGCTAACTCTGCCTGTGTCTTCAGTGGTGTAGACCTGGCCAGGGCGACCAAGTGCCGCATTCTGACCATCGAAGAGACCTCTGGTCTCGTCAATCGCCATGTACTGGTTTTCAATCGGATAGTGCTAAGCCTGCTGGAGCTTGGCTATGCTGTGCGGTGGTCAATTTTGAGTTGTGATCATTACGGAGTTCCCCAGGAGCGTAAGCGAGTAATGGTTATTGCTTCAGGGTAAGTTGAAAATGAAAGACGAGAGAGCTTTCAGAAATCAAGGTTAATTTGTGATATTCTTAGACCTGGTGAGGTTCTGCCTCATTATCCTGACCCCACTCATGGAGACCCTGGTTATGGCAGCAACCTTTCCCGCCGCGAAAACATTCGTACCACTATCGGCCAAATCCCCGAAGACGCTGATGACCACAATCTCGCCAGAGTCATCACTCGGTGGCAGAACAGCCACCGGGAGTCATTCTCCGCCGACAGTCTGGCCCGCACTATCACTTGCGGAGGGGGTGAGTTCAACTATCATCCCTCAGGCACCCGGGCCTACACCGACCGGGAGATGGCTATGCTGCAGACTTTCCCCATGGACTACCAGTTCTCGGGGAAATGCACCCGCAAGCAGATCGGTAATGCCGTACCTCCTCGCTTCGCCGAGGCCGTTTACGGGGAAGTGATCCGGTCTCTTCGGGAGACCGACAAGGAAGAGATCGAAGGAAAGTTCAAGTAGGGTGAAAAGAGGGGATGGTGAAGGGAGGAAACGCGATTCGTTTGGGGGACCTGGTGGCTGGGGAATGCAGATCCCCATGTGGGCAGAGGTCAGCCGAGGGCGCTGCGAATGTGACCGATCGGTGATAGCCGTTTGAATTCGAATTCGAATTTCTTTTTTCTTGACGTTTTGTTCCCAGCCCTAGAGATACTCCGATAATCGCTGTGTAGATCGTAGTCTTTAATCTATTGGGAGTTCCTACTAACTAGTTAACTGGTTGTAGTTATAGTTTGTATACCCTTGTTTCCCGTAATTCCGATGCTCGGCTCTTTGAGCAATTGTAAGTGTGAAAGCACAGAATCCGGTCAATTGAAAAGTCAATTGTGCAATTGTCCTATAAATGGGAATGAAAATATACGTTGTATTTTTCCCATAGAACAAAAGCCACAGAAAATGTACATCAAAAACAATATTTCCTTCGCTTAGGTATACTGCCATTTTCTACACTATCAAAATCGAAATTCCTCATGTCTTTTTACCTCTCTTGTAAGAGTGTCAAGTATTGATGAAAATAAGCTAACCAAGTTCGATAGTAGGGTGCGATCAGCAACCCCGGTGTATGGAGTAGCTGTAGTGAATGTTCCCCTTACCCGACAGTAACCGACCCTCGGCAGGATGAAGTCAGCATAACATTTGTCCTTCTCCGTACTTTTCTCCCTTTTTCCCCAAACATTCTGACTTTTTGAACTTCCCTCTTCTTTCTTTGAAATAATTTCCCTTCTCAATTCTTTATCTCATTGGGGTATCTTGAATTGATCCTATTCCCCTATTCCTTTCTCTCTCTCTTCCTTCATAATGTCACTGCCCGCAGTGAGACGCCTGACCCACTCGTCTCCCCGCACTTTATCCCGCATCTCCAGACTGCCCACTTTGGCTTCTTCCCTTAACATCGCCCCTAGAATTTCTTTTTCTGTTGCTCGCACTTCTCGCTTCTCAACAATGGCTGCCCGTCAATCTGCCGCTCCGGCGGTGACTTCCGATAAGGCATATGACACTGAAATCCAGGACATGGCTAGCTACATCCACGACTACAAAGTGGATTCTGACTTGGCGGTAAGTGGCTCGGCTCGGTAATACGGAACCTCAGTTGATTTTGAAATTCGTGACCAGTTCGATACTGCTCGTCTGGTCTTCCTTGACACTCTGGGTTGCGGTTTGGAAGCTTTGAAATTCAAGGAGTGTGCCAAGCTGCTCGGTCCTGTCGTGGACGGCACTGTTGTCCCCAATGGTACCCGTGTGTTTGGTACTCCTTACCAGCTAGACCCTGTGAATGGCGCTTTCAACATTGGTGCTATGATTCGCTGGCTCGATTACAATGACTGCTGGCTGGCTGCTGAGTGGGGTCACCCCTCCGACAACCTGGGCGGTATCTTGGCTGTGGCCGACTGGATTTCGCGTACCAACCGTGCTGGTGGAAACCTCGGCAACGGCAAGATCTTGAAGATCCGTGATGTTCTGGAGGCTATGATCAAGGCACACGAAATTCAGGGTGTCTTGGCTCTTGAGAACTCTTACAACAAGGTCGGCCTTGACCACGTTGTTCTGGTCAAGGTTGCGACAGCCGCTGTCGTTTCCAAGATGCTGGATCTTACTGAGCAACAGACTGCCGACGCTATCACCCAGGCTTGGGTGGATGGACAGTCTCTCCGTACTTACCGCCACTCGCCCAACACTATGTCCCGAAAATCATGGGCTGCTGGTGATGCCTGCCAACGCGCTGTGAACCTGGTCCTGAAGGTCCAAAAGGGCGAGGGTGGTCTTCGCACTGTTCTCACTGCTCCTACTTGGGGATTCTACGACGTTCTGTTCAAGGGCAAGAAGTTCCAATTCCAGCGCCCCTATGGCAGTTACGTCATGGAGAACGTTCTGTTCAAGGTCTCCTACCCGGGTAAGTAAACTAAGAAGACACCAACGATAAGCATCAGCTAATCCATTTTTAAAAGCCGAGTTCCACTCACAGACTGCCATTGAGGCCGCTGAGAAAGTCAATGCCAAGCTTGCCTCCATGGGCAAGAGTGCCAAGGACATCAAGGAGATCACCAACCGCACACACGAGGCTTGCATTCGCATCATCGATAAGCAGTTCAAGGAGATGGACAACTTCGCCGACCGTGACCACTGCGTGCAGGTTGGTACCTCAGAATTTGAACATTGTGCTTTAGCTAACTCTAATAGTACATGGTTGCCACCATGCTTGTTTTCGGCCGCTTGACCGCCGCCGACTACGCCGACGGTTCCGAGGCCGCCACCTCCCCTCTGCTTGAGGATCTCCGCAAGCGCATCCGTTGTGTTGAGGACACCAGCTTCACCACCGACTACCACGACCCCACCAAGCGCACCATTCCCAACGCGCTGACCGTCACCCTGAACGATGGCACTGTCCTGGATGAGATCGCCGTCGAGGCTCCTCTTGGTCACCGTCTCCGTCGCGAGGAGGCCAAGCCCGAGATTCTTTCCAAGTACAAGCGTCACCTTGAGGCGCATTTCGACCAGGCCCGCGTCGATGAGCTGATGAAGGTAGGCTGGGATCGTCCTCAGCTGGAGAACTACGATGTCGACCAATACGTCGACCTCTACGTGAAGGACAAGACTATCACTCCCTCCAACTAAACGAATAATTGGTCTGGTGCGCTTTCATGGTGTCACTACCTGTATGATGAACAGCCGTTTTTTATATACCGCAAAATTGTATAGAGTTTCTTGAATATTTTCCCACCCGGACAAGCTCCTCTCACCCCGATGCACCCGCCGTGCAAGTAATCCCCAGATCTGAAGGCGTATTTGCACAGAGCACATTACCCTTACCAGACGGCGCCAGAACAGTATAGGAACTAACCTTCACATCACAAGTCCCCTCAGATCCACAATCCAAATTCCCCGTAACAGCATCGTACTTCCCACTCGTCGTGCCGCTAATATTATCAAAAACAACACCCGTCAAATCCGCCTTCCCAGGGTTTTTAGCGCAGTAGGCACTATCCTCCCCATAACAACTCTGAATTTGAATCGCATAATCACATCCATCAACCACAACTCCACTAAACGTGACATTGCTCACAGTCGATACTCCATGCGATCCACCAGACGGATACGTCTTGATACCCACCGCTTTGGTCGAGTTGATCATCGTCGCCCCGGACACGTACACGTTCTTCACGAAATCGTCAGAGCTTTTGCCCAATGATCCAACGGATAACCCGTGACTTCCGGTGCAGGTTATGCCTGTCACAGTGATACCATCGGCACCGGGTTTGAACGCTACGCAGTCGTCGTCGTTGCGCACGTTCACGTTGCTGATTGTTACGTCTGTGCTGGCGCCGATATCGAACCCGTCGGTGTTTTTGGGCTCGTTGGTGCTCTTAGATGTTGCGTCCATCTTTAGGTCGCTGAATGTTACTTTTTTGGAGTTGCCTTTGACGGAGTTGAAGACGTTGGGTGGGTTCTTTTGCCGCAGGTTCGAGATCTCGATGTTTGATCCCCCTGTTATGTAGAGGAGAGTTGGGCGGGCATAACTGCTGTCTGCAGCAAATAGGTCCCATCTATATACATAGTGTTAGTGGGTTAAGGAGAGATAGGAAGATGGGATTATGTGGCATACGCATTCTGCCCATTGCCATCGATCACTCCCTTTCCAGTCACGGATCGGATTTTGATTCCGTCAATGTTCTTGATGTTGATCATTGCCGTGCGCCCCTCCCAGTAGTCTGTCGATGAACTGAACTTCAGCAGACCTTCGACTTGGAAGTCACAGCCAACACAACCGGCGAAATCTAGCACGCTGTTCAGGTAGTACGTTGTCCCCGTGGGAATGACGATCGTACCCCCGTTGCCGCATGATGAAATCGCCGACGTGATTGCCGGCACATCGTCTGTTGAGGATAATCCGCCTGCTTTGGGTGTGCAAGTTGAGGCGCGGGCACTAAGGGATTTCGTTGACTCCGGTAGTGCCAGAGCTGATGCGATGAGCGCGAACGCTGCGAGAGAAGTTTTCAGTGACATAATGCTTTGGGTGTGTCAATTTTCGTTCGCTTTTTACCTGCGAGTACGTTTATTTATGGCTTTTTGATTTCACATGCAACAATATAGCTCGATGTTTCAGACTCGAACCATCACGGAGAAATAGCCGGATGTGAAACGTCTGACCCCTGCCCCCTATTCGAGGAACATTTCCAGTACAGTGATGATCATTTCTTGATTCTAGAGGTACAGGAACAGGTTGCAGAAACTCTTTTGTTCATTGACCAATAGGTTCTTGGTCGCAGATTCTTCGGCATTGATTTCCCCGGATCTAGAAATGCACTGCATACATGCACTACGCGACATCTCGCTTAAAGCCACATTTTCTCGTGAAACAACCCTCGAGATAAAGTGACAGGCCAATAAAATACCAGTGGATATATCTGCCTAAATGAATGAACCCTGCATGATGTCGCCCGAAGGAAACTTGTTATTTATGGAAATATCTCGGAGTGGAGAATGTGTCTCAACCACATTGTATAGCTCCGGACCGATGTGGATTCCGTGATAAAATCAGTCCCTTGAAACGAATTTGCCGTGACTTAAACAAAAAGGGGACTCTTTGCGGAGCCCCGTCAGTCTTGCATATAATACCCATCGAACCGCACATCTCTCGACGATCATCTTCCGGAAAATCCTTACCAAATGCATCTTCACAAGTCCCTTCTCTCAGCCCTATACCTCGGCGCGGGCGTGCTTGGTGCACCGACCGAGTTGATTCGTCGTACGAGCAGGACTACTGCGCCCTCGGGCTGTTTGACGGTCGGATCCAGTGGGAAATACTCCACCATCAGCGCTGCTATCACTGCCCTTGGCTCTTCTTCAAATGCTGCTTGTATCTATATTGCCAGTGGCACATACACAGAGCAGATCACCGTTAACTACGCTGGTACTCTGACTATTTATGGTCAGACTACTGATACGGGGACATACAAGGACAACACTGTTACTATTACCCATACTATCTCTTCGTCGGAGGCGGGTTCTCTGGACAAAAGTGCTACCATCAATGTAGTCTCGGATGGATTCAAGATGTATAACATCAATGTTGTGAATGGCTATGGAAAGGGTTCACAGGCTGTTGCGTGAGTATTTTCTGACATCCCTGACTCTACTTTGATATTATAACAGTGGCTGACCATACCAGACTCGTCGGAAACGCGGACAAGCTCGGCTTCTATGGATGCCAATTTTCGGGATACCAAGATACTCTATACGCCAAGGCTGGAACACAATACTATTCCAATTGCATGATTGAGGGTCAGTTCTCTTGCACTCAAACACTTCCTATATGATATTGACAATTTCCAGGAGCTGTGGATTACATCTTTGGTGATGCCTCCGCCTGGTTCGGTGAATGCGACATCGTCTCCAACGGCCCAGGAGCCATCACCGCCAGCTCCCGCGAGACAACCACCGATACTGCTTGGTATGCGATCGACCACTGCAATGTCAAGGCTGCTTCCGGCACTAGCATCGATGGCGATGTTTATCTCGGTCGTCCATGGCGCGTTCTGTCTCGCGTTATTTACCAAAACTCTAACTTGGGTAGTCTGATCAATTCCGAGGGATGGACTACTATGGCAAACGGTGCTACACCGTTATATTATGAGTACAATAATTCCGGAGATGGGTCGAATACTTCAGCGCGCAAGTATGAGACTTCTATCTCGGCTGGGGTAACAAAGAAAACTGTTTTGGGAAGTGACTATGGTGATTGGATTGATGCGAGCTATTGAAGAAATAAGTGATATTTGGTCTTTTCCATCTACATATGTACACAAATATGCAGGTACGTATATAGCTATGAATAAATGTTTTCTTTAAGAGTTTCGCTATTACTTTTCGCCGATACTGATAAAGAGCATGTTATTAGGTTAGAAAATATTCAACGTGTTCATGTGTGCCCAAAAATTCAAACAAAATGAGACTTTGAGCCTCGAAGCGCCGCTAGTGGCTGTAGTTGGAGTAGTTGAAGCAGTCACAGAGGCAGACTGAACTGGTGCGGCGTTTGACATTGCTGCAGTTGGTGCTGAGGTCGTAGAAATAGCCACTTTGGTGCTAGTCGAGCTGGTGAACGATGAAATATCGATCATGTCGTTCTTGGTCGAAGTTGCGCTCTTGCTAATGGAGCTTACATCGCTTTCACCATCGCCGCATTGGACCACAGTTTCCCAACCGCCAGCAAAGGTCTTCTCCCAGTATGATGATTGGGTACCAAGAGCAAAGTAGCTGAAGAAATATGCTGAGCCAGGTTGCTCGTGTGCATTTTGGTAAAACTTGACTGCACACTCGTCGCTGCATGGGAAGTCGGTTTTGGCCCAATCGTCGCTCTCGGGATAGGTCAAGTAACAGTAATCAGACCTGCGCAGATATAAGCACATGCACTCTGAGCAAAACCACTATGTAGCGAACTTACCCGCTCTTGGCACAAGATTGGCCATATTTGTACTGGAAAACCTCGCCCACGGTGGCCATGGGAGCCTGATAGACATACTTATTCCCGCTGGAAAGACCGGCAAGATCGCCATCCTCGCCGCATGCAGACTTGACATTCTTGATATACTGCGACAATGAATCACTGCATGTCGTGCTGCACATAGCCTGCAAGTCCGAAGGTTGCGGGTCGAAGTCAGGATCCATAGACGCCACGATCTTCAGGAGGGTTTCATCGCAGTTGATACTGGCACTGTAGGCATCCTTGCAAGCCTGCGACGTGGTGTCTGCCAAGTCCTTGGTTGTATAGTCCCAACTAGGACCGGAAGTGTTGAGACTGAACGTAGCAGTCGCCAGGCCTATAGCAGCGGACAGGGTAAAGAGGCGAAATATCGTGCTGGTGGGGGCCATTTTCCTGAGAGTTTGAAAATGGTGACAAGAACAAGGTGAAGTAAGTTATTGTCGATAGTAAGAAATGAGAGACAAAAGGTGAGGAGGGCGTGTCTTTGACAGAAAATATCACAACCTGAGGTAGGCCGCGGCCTATAAATAACCAGAATTATTCAGACTCGAACAGTTACAAGCGAGCTTTCGGTCCTATTTTGGAGCCGCTATTTTCTTAGATGGCCCGCAAATTTCCAGGGGTAGTTTGCAGGGGTAAATTCGGAACTATGAGCCGCAAACCCTGTAGCGTAAAAGTCTGATGGATAATGTGGACACTGATGTATGGGAATTCCATAGGCCTGAAAGATCTTACTGTTACAATATAGTTCCATTCAGCCTTATACCTATCACATACGACCATAGGGTGTGGAAAACAGGGCTTCCCGTCCGCTCAGCCGTACTTAAGCCACACGCCGGTGAGTTAGTAGTTGGGTGGGTGACCACCAGCGAATCCTCACTGTTGTATGTTTTTTTTGTTCGTACTATGTTTAATGTGTGGTTTGCGTTTTCGCGATTAAAACAGACAATTGGGCCAAGACGCTATACATATGCTATAATCGTAAAGACATGTAAATTTTTGAACAAGGTGACGAGGGCACAGGTGCTTTCGTCGGTTTGATCCCAAAATATGTTTCTGAAGAAGAAAAAATGTGTCGGAATAGTCTAAAATCCCCCCAAAGTCCGTACGATCATGCAATTGTAACATTGACTTTCATTCTCTCTAGTTTCCCAAGTATCATTGCGAAGCTCGAATCCATCGTTCTCCATATCTTGCGTGTGTTCCAACACTTCAATGGCACTACAGTCGTTTTGAATGCCCCCGATCCAACGGCCAGCAGTATACGGGCGATTATGACTCCTGGCGAGGTCATGAAGGAGATGGATCGCCAGCTGCATTTTCGGTGGCAACGCGATCCGACGTAGTAGGTACATTGCGTTTTACACTCCTCCGCGCGTTGAATAGATGCCCGAATAGAGAAAGTGGCAAGAGGTGGCTGTGACTGGGAGCCAAATACTACTTCTAGTTACTTGTACTTTTTTGATCCTATGGTGTTACCAATACTGATCAGTTCGTGGAATGACAAAGGCAACAATATAAAACATGAAATAATTCCAAATAAAACGGGAAGACATGTGTAATCCTCAAAGTATTGTCGAGAGCACGAATGGAGCAACCCATCAACACCACAGTGAACAACCCAAGGCCACAAGCTTCGATCTAATGATCAATCCGAATCAAAACTTTGGAAAAGTGTTTCTTTTCCTTGAGGCGCCTGTACGCACTCTTCGCAGCAGCAAGCTCAAAAACCACATCATCTACCGCAGGCAAAATGCCCTTCTCGTCAATGAAGCGAACCAACTCTCGAAATTGGTTGCGACTAGCTGCAAGAATCCCACGAATAATACAGCTATGCAACAAAGCCGCAGACATTGGCACCGCCTCCGTGGTCTCACCAACTCCACCAACAACCAGAATGATTCCATCCACCCGCACAGCCGCCAAAGACTGCGGGAGAGTTTCATTGCCACCAACATCAATGACGAAATCAAAACCTCTTCCACCTGGAGTCAAAAGGCGAGCCTCCTCACCCCACTCCGAGTTGGTCCGATAATTGATAACATGAGTCGCACCCAGAGCTTTGAGGCGACTCGCTTTCTCCTCACTCGATGTGGTAGCTATAACTGTAGCACCAGCTGCGACAGCGAGCTGCAGAGAAGCAGTACTGACCCCGCCCGTACCTTGGACAAGTACCCATGAACAAGGTCCAGCTTCTCTGCCCTTCAAGCCGAACAGAGAGTTCCATGCAGTGGTCCATGTACAGGTTAAAGTCGCTGCATGAAGCAAATCTAGGGACGTTGGTGCATGGACAAGACCCGCTTCCGAGTAAACACCATGGGACCGAAGTGTGCCGTCAGATCCTTGGCCGAGGCAAGGTGGGACATCGGCAAACCCAGCAAGTGCATCGTCGCCACGAGATTCCACGAGTTTGGGCGAGACGTGCGTGACGACTCGATCCCCAGAACGAAATTCACGAACTGAGGATCCAACTTCTTCGACAATGCCGGCGCCGTCACAGCCCGGGACAATAGGTGGCGTGATTGGTCCATTTACACCCTGAAGAAGGTTAGCAGGAACATGGGCATTGTGAGGTCCGCCTAAACATACTATTGGTCCTGCGATGACTAGCTCGCGATAGTTCAAACTCGCAGCATGCATTCTAACAAGGACCTCATGAGGACCCAGTTCCTGGGAGGATGGTATGATCAGGTCTTTCTGGTACTCAAGAGAGGTTTCAAAGCCTTCTTGGCCGGTCAAGACCCATCGTCTGGCCATTTTTCAAGTCAAAGGAGGATTGCCTGGTCTCAGGGAGATGAAATGACTCAAAGTTGTGACGTCAGAAGGTAATTATTTTGCTCTGGGGGGGGGGGGGGGATGAGGATGCCATTTAAGTATTGTCGCGAGCGCGAGGAGGCCCCGGGGTCGTTGTTCGCTTTGATAATCTCATTTTCCTAATTGGGAAAATCAGATTGGGTGGAGCTTTAGCGGCTTACGTGATTGGTTCCTCAATAATTTGGCTCAGAGCTCTAATAACATCAGTTGAACTGCTCCCCTCCGAATTTGAAACCAAAATTAGTGAGCCTTTTCTTTTTGGGGGACATTGAGAGGCGATTTGTAATAAATCTTGACCGGGGCTTCGATTGGATAATGTAATGTTGATCGGGGACTTGTGTTCAAAGATCCATTCTTCTTTCAAAATTCAAGTTCAGCCGCTACATGATATAATTCCCTCCAGAGAGCTTGAAACCGCCCCATAAGACCTACACTAGACATGTACCTATCTTGCAGTAGACTAAGTGGTTTGCTCCAACCACGTAACTGCATTGCTCGCACCTCTCTTGCCAATGTGTTAACAAACCATGACCTTGTGGGCGACCCCTTATCTGCAGCAATGGCCCCAATCATGAGCTGAAAGGAAGTCAAATTCATATAGGAGCACCCTTTAATCGGAAATCGGGATATTGATTCTTTCATCTCTCCCGCAAGAAATGTTAAATGCGCTCCCGACTGGGAAGGCCAAAGGAGATAAAGCACTAGTTCAATCGCTCGCGCAGTGGCCTGAACGTATGCGTCACTGATAGCTCGAAGAGCCCGTACTTGGTAATGTAGATTGGCCAACGGCTCCTCGATTTCTTGAGCCACAAACGTCGATTCAAATTGGTGCTTGTGATGGGAATCGATCACTTTCTGAACCTGTATAACACTGTCGCATATTGCCTTTATGTTTGAAATTCTTTGATCATCGTAGTCGATCATTACCTTGAGAATGCGCTCGTGATACAGCCGTGGGAAACTGAAGATGGCGTTGACGGAATCCCTATCAGAATTGTTAGCCAAGCACAACTAATGACTAAAAGTGCACAAACTGGACAACAAGATCTTTAAGCCATGATGGTGGCGGTTCTGTAGTTCGAGATTGTCTGTCTTCGATAATATGCGCCAGTCCATCTATATGTATATTCCAAGCAAGGTCGTTGTTTTCCAAAGATGCCCCAAACGCCATTGTGATGACTGCTCCAAGGACACCGTCTGTCCGAGTTACTGTAGACATTATTCGGTGCTTGATGAGATTGACAGCTGCATATGAATGTCGAGTTGCTTTCAGTTGACATGAGTTATCTGGGGACCAATGTCGCACAGCTACAGCCATTGAAGCTTCGATCAGCGCGGGGTCCGAGGCAATCAGATTAAACCAGGCTGCTTCGCTTGTGCTACCTGGAGAGTGTCTGCCTTCCAGGAAGACAAGCTCTTGCAGCTTATGAACTGTAGACAATGAGCAGGTTTTGAGGATATTTGAAAATTATTTGCCTACAAGTTCCTGCATCGCGAGCTGGGTCGGGGCAGGTGGATATCGGCAAAGTGATATTCAACTTGCTTGTCGAGGTCGTGGGACTTTTGCTCTGCATAGATAGCTCGAGTCGATCCTTCCGCACAGGAAGATTGTCATTTTCTTTTGTCCTGGACAGCTTAGCGCATCTAATCTGCTGGCGTCTTTTCGCGAAATTAGTTTTCGTGATATGCGCCCTCATTCGTCTAGCAGTGGACTGAGAGAGACTCGACGCCCCCGTTGTATTCAAAAATATGAAGTTTGGTTGCTCCATTTCCGGGACCATGTCGAATGAATGAAAGAAGCCTCAAAATTCACTTATACACAAGCAGAAAGGAAGTGAGGCTGTAATTGGCCTTGGGCTTCTTTCCCAGTGTTGTCCCAAACTCGAGTCAGGGTTCTGATCCATGCCCCGGTGCGCAACATTTCTGACCAAGCTGCTTACCAAGCAGCATTGAGCGTAATGTCGGGTGATCTTACTTTATTGGTAATCTTCTACAAACCTCCAATCAGCCCTTCTCACGCACTTAATAAAGATTGTTTATATAGCGTTTTAGTTGTTTTTTTCTTACGTTACTACAACGAGAATTTGGCACCAGATATGAGGTCGTTTACTATGAAATAGCCGTGGGCGAAATTATCGGCTCGATTTGATATGGGTATGGAATTGATAACAATCGATTGCTCAGGTACTATTTCAACAAGAGAGAAAGCATCTCTTGAAGGCCCTCCAGTTCGAGATAAAGGCAAGGCTCAATGGCCTCGATTTCCATCAAGATGAAGGCGGTTTCGTCGGTCACCAAACCATCGATCCGTAGGTATCCCATCTTACCCGTTGATCCCTTCCCGAACCACATTCTGAGGGTGTCGAAGATAGTATTCACCATTGACAATGTTCTCTCCTCAATTGTATTGATAGGCTGGGGACAAAGCAGGCCACCGAATTGAGGCTGACAGCGGAATTCACCACTTTTAGGGGATTTCAACACAACGTGAGAAAGCCGATCCCCAACGAAAACAAAGGAATATTCGCCTGTGGCGATGGCTGGCTCGAATCGCTGTATGACTAACGAGCTTTGTAGATCACCCTTCGTGCATGAATCTAGATATGCGGTATCGTCATTCGATAGTGCTGAAATATCTGAAATGAGTCGGGTATTGTTGGAGGACGCAGATATAGACGGTTTGAGCACAACAGAGCCGGATAATTGAAACATCTGCAGTCGTTGGTGCAGCGCGGATGGGGACGAAAATTGCTCTGCATCGAGGATCTCGGTCGTGGGTATGTCGAACCCAGCTCGTTGCATATCAAGGAGATAACTCTTGTCCATGTTCCATTTGACTAGGTCGATATGGTTCATTACGCAGGGAGGATTTGCCCCATTTCGATCTATTTCTATTGCTTTTTTGGCTGTTTCCAGAAATTCTCGAAAGGCAACAGGATGTTGAATGTAATCTTCGGCCCAGAGGAAAGTCACTAGGTCACTATCCAGGATGGTGGTGATGATGTCCTCGTCTGTCCAGCGTTTGATGGTTACTGAGGCACCCCTTTTCGAGAGATGAGCTGGTAACATATCATTCGACCAATCGTCGTCAGAAACATATTTCTGGATTATGTGTGGTGGCACGGTAGTCAAAAAAAGGATTCGCTTCATTTTCCTATGTTGTGGATGGGGGGCATATCTTGGTCTTCGCACTAGAACACGAAACCCCAATGAGCGAAGCTGGAAAACTTTGCTCTTGCTGATTAATGGTATTATATTATACCCGCGAATTATTTATTACAGATTATACGTTCTTTGTACATATGTAACTAGAAATTTCCATGCTGGTACACAAGTGTGAATTCCTTTCGCAGGATGCCCAATGACTGCCCAGTTACCATTTATGTAGCCTACCCCATTCATTGCAATGGCTCCTCTCATATTCACTAACAACAGAATTATCTAATCATATTGACTCGACGTCAAGCCATTCTAAAAACGAATCAAAAACAAAATTTGGTAGGTTCTATAGACAGTTATGAGCGTGGAAAGCCCTTGCACAGTCCTCAGTGCCACAGTACCCCAAAAAGCAAGTTCGACACCAGTCCTCTACAATCGCGTCAATTCCACAAACCCAACACCACAGCGGCGCTGTCCCCAGCTGTTCTGCTTCCTGGGACAGGGATTGCCGGAGGTGCTTAGCACCGGAGCCAACCAAATAAGTCTCGATCGCTTGATCATTAACAAAAGCAGTGCTATTGAGCTTGGGAATCCACCGTGCCCAAGAACTGTTCCTTCTAAATGCCGCCGAGACGAGAAATTTCTTGGAAAACTCACGGTCGATGGCAATAAAAGCGCCTAGCCCGCGTACAATCTCATTTCCGTGACCCTTTTTTCCAGAATAGCGATGGATGAATTTCCGGAATGCAACTCCGATCTGCTCACTTCTTGCTGGCCAATCCTCCGCCTCGGCCACGTTCAAAATCCCCAAGGCCTCAATTAAAACTGGAGTAGCAATGGGCCTGGTTACCATAGAACGCCAGAATCTGATGGACTGTAGAATCAGTTCCCGCTTATGAAAAGCTAGGTGTTGCATCATTAGGCCATCGAAGTTGATTGCAATGCCGCTGACGCCCATTCCTTTGCCAAACGCAATCATGTCAGGCTGAAGGTTTCCCTCTTCGAAATACTCTGCTCTTTGAGAGGCCAAGGGCGCTCCGCATCGTATTGCGGTCATAGCCTCGTCCACGAGAAGACAAATACGTGCGTTATCGCAGCAGGATCGCAAGAGGCGAAAGAACTCGGGAGGAAATACAGTTCCATTTGAGGCATCCACCAGATCACAGATAACCGCCACACAGCCTTCATTTTTAGCGGCAATCAGCTTGGTCAATAATCTGTCCTCGGACGAGAAGTCACTTTGACTGATAAAAACCGACGAAGGGCCCGATCCGATAATTCTGTATTCCCATTCATTTGACGAATGGGCCTGTATTGCTGGTTATTTACTTGCAATCAGCCACGGAATAATGAAGAGACTTACTAGGGGCCCATAAGCACTGCCATAAATTCCCTCCACAATGGCCAACTTTGGCGCCGTGATATGTACATCGGTCCAGCCTAGTAGTTCCCGTACAAATTGATGAACTTTGTCTGGCTCGGGATCATCCTTAAGCAACGGCGACAATGTGGGATCCTCCACCACCAATGGGCAAGTTGATGCCGTGTTGAGAATGAGGCTTGCTATAGTTGTTGGTATGAGTACATCGCTCACATGTGCGTGAAACGTGATGGGCCAGTATCCCCCGAAAAAGGACTGGAAACGCTCAGTATATTCGTTCAGAAGAAGATGATACTGTTGTTCAACTTTGGCGGGATTTACGGTGTAGTCTTCCCATACTCGGCGAGTGCGGTCGTCGTTCATGAAGCCGCTGTTCGAGTATATGGTGCCCCAGGCATTGTGAAGATCGTGATCTAGAGGGGGTTCCACCGAGCTATCGCCATTGGAGGTTGAGCTTATGGTGACAGTCATGATGCAAACAGGGAGTAGATGTAACGATCTTGGCTACAGTCAGGGTGACAAAAAAAAAGAGGGAAAGCGAGGAACACATACTCTCGATAACCCACTCCCACGGTTTCATTGCCTGGATCTCGCTCGATGATCTTCACCCCATTTCGACCAGCTGAGCGACCCAAAAATACCAGGAGTGGATATCAGTTATGCGAAATGCAGCGATGATAATACGAGAAAGAGGAGTCAGTATAGGACATAGCCTAAACCTGTCAGGAGTTGTCACAATTTCAGTCTGCCACAACGGAGCTAGGATGTCTTTCATTCTCGTATGCACGCTAAGTCGCGGTCTAGAATTTGTGGTTGAACAATTCTGTGCGAACCGGGATGCCTTGGCAGCGAAAAGGGACGTTCGTAGGACTACTCCTTACTTTCGTTGATTTTGTCTGTTTGGAATCCTTTTCCTTTGTTTCCCACTGTCCCGATAGATTGATACACATAAAAAATTGAAACGATCCATACTTATTTTTCTGTCAACAATGGAGCTTCAAAATATGTCAAGTTCGGCGCCCCCTGAAATAACGAGTGGCGGCCGACTTTCCACAGCCAGGTAAAAAGATCGATCGCCAAAGCGCCCCATCGAGATCGGCAGGTTGAATGGTCACTTTGATTTGACGAGTCAGATTGACGGGATTTAGAACATGATGAGGAATTCTGAGCTTGTGTGCGGGGGTGAGTCTGCTAGTTTGTTACATCACCATAGTTGTACACCGTATGTTGGCCGCAGGAAGAAATTGAAGTCGGCATACAAATTACCGTGGGTAATTCGATAACCATGCACCCTGTATATTAGCGCGGGCTTTAACGCATTGTGTTATACGGAGTAGTACCCTTGATTGGTAATTTATTGACTTTTCCAAAATTCTCGGGATCCTCCTCCACTAAAGCTAACTACACTATCTCTGACTCAATGGGTACATTCGTCGGGGGAGCGAGACAAAAGAGAAAAGGAAAGAGAAAGAAAGAACATCTGAGTATTTTACAATATTGGATCTAAACCCTTCAAGATTCGTGCAAATTATTGGTATTCTCCCGGAAATAAGATTTTCTTACCGCTTGTAATCAAGGCACTACCTAACTACATACAGAGTAGGTACATTTTCCGGAAGTAAGGTTGACGGGTTACGGTGGGCGTAGAATCTCTTGGGTAGGTGTCTCAGGTAAGGACCTTCTCAATGAAACAGTATTCTGCGCTCCAACAACCCTCTGACCTCCTCCCCCTGTCGCTTGTTTCTCGAATACAAACGATGGCTCCGAGTTTGTTAGACTCCAATAGGTCGGCCATCGAAAGTTTTATAGACCATCAAACCACTGAGTCTGTTTGCTCGTCTGATGGCTTCATTGGACTTGAACTGGGCCACTACTGGGCCAGCACGAAAGAGACTAAAGTATCGGTGGCGCCTATCAGGGAATCGACTTTTTTGAAAGCCGCATGGATTCTAACCCTTCGTTGCTTCCACCCAGATGAGGTGATGAGCTTGAGCTATGTTGAAGAATCAATTCCGAGATCTAATCCCCCAGTCGCTTTCACCGTGCGAGTGAATCCAGATTGGGATGTATCGTCACTTCTCAAAGCTTTGGAGATGAAGGAATTCGGCACAGTGACAAGTTCACCACAGTCTTATGGCGCTCGACTTTCGGATCTCCCTCAGTCCCGCCACGTTTGCAATTCAGCACTCAGATATGTAACGATACCAGACCGACTGTTCACTCCATCGACTTTACTAGATGAAACACTAGAGGTAAGCGGATCTTTGCGATGCATTGGCTTTCATAATCTGATCCCTTGCCACCATTCACCATCTAGCTTGTTGTTGTCAAAAGCAATGACCGGATGAGCGCTAGCATCAGGAACTCGGAAAATGTCGCAAACTACATAAACGACAGCATGTTGTGGACATTTCAACAAGTCCTGCATCAAATTACCGCTCATCCTGTGAGCTTCAAGCTCGAAGCGATTGACTACTGCCCGGAGCCCCATCGAAAAATAATTAAGAACCTTACGCGGACGAAAGCGACATCTAGTTCTAGATGTCTGCACGATCTAATCGTGGAAAATTGCCACCAACATCCAACAAAACTTGCAGTTCGCTCATTTGATGGCGACTTGACTTATCAAGAGTTGGATAATTTGTCGCACCGACTGGCCCTTCACCTCAATCGATTGGGCGTACAGCCCGAGACTTTTGTTCTGAGTAGCTTCCAGAAGTCAACGTGGGCAATCGTAGCGCGATTGGCCATTTTGCGGGCAGGAGGAGCCTACATTTCGATTCACTCCAGCAATCCACCAGCCTATCTCAACTCAGTGATAAAGCGCACCGGTGCTAAGATTATGCTCAGTGACCTTGGCTTTGCAGAACAATTCCGTAACACAATTGAAATGGTCATTGCAGTCAGCCCTGAATGGCTATGGACGCTTCCATTGGGACCGCAATCAGCTCCAAGTCAAGTCATTCAGCCATCTAATGCTTGCACGGTCCTGTTCACCTCTGGGAGCACCGGCAGGCCAAAAGCCATCGTGCAAGAGCACCGGTCCTACGCCTCCGCTATTAGAGACTACGCGCACAACCTCGGTCTGGATGAGAACACCAGGTTCTTGCATTTCGACGATTACGCATTTGACATTAGCAACTTGGAATTTTTGGTTCCTCTTATTGTAGGAGGTTGCTGTTGTGTACCAGGTCCGATGAAGACTGTTCAGGATCTGGCCGACAACATCCAAATGCTCAACGCCAACATTGCTTTCCTCACACCTACCGTGGCCATTAAAGCAAAACCAGAAGCAATGAGCAATCTCAAAATTCTATGTGTTGGCGGAGAGCCTCTTCCGAAAGATCTTCTGAGCAATTGGGCTGAAAGCTCAACAAAGCTGATCAATCAATTTGGCATGGGCGAGGCAGCAGTTTGTTGTGCATACAATGACAATGTACATGACCCTACCAGTTCGCCTGCTACTATCGGGAGACCGTCTAGTGGTGCAATCTGGATTGTCGACCCAAAATGCCCAGCAAAGCTGATGCCAATTGGCGCCGTCGGGGAGATTGTGATTGAGGGGCCTCATCTTTCAAGGGGCTATCTTGACCAGGACCATCAAGCATCAGATCGCACTAAGCCAGCTGGCTTTCTTGCGGAGATACCGCGCTGGTTGAGCGAGCTTCATCCAGATCGACAATCTATCCGTTTGTATCAGTCAGGAGACCTGGCACGCTGGACTCCTGAGGGACGAATTGAGTACATTGGACGGAAAGACACAATTGTAAAGCTGGATGGGTGTCGAATTGATGTCATTGAGGTCGAGCACCTTGCAAGAAAATCTCTCACATCTAAAGACGCCATTGTAGTAGATCTTCTCGGTGTCATTGATGGTAAAGAAGATCCATGTCTTGCTGCATTCTTGTACCTCAGTGATCACCCAGAGAACTCCGAAACGGAAGAGCTCTGTCTCAAAGACGCAAGTCAAGATCATACGGCCTGTTCAAAAGTGGCACAGATCAAGGAAGTCCTTGCCATATCCCTCCCGCTCTACATGATCCCGACGTTGTTTTTGCTAGGTACGCGAGTCCCGCGAACACCTTCCAAAAAGACTGATCGCAGAATGATCCGACTGTTGGCACAAACTTTCTATGCCAAGGAGCGTGAGACACGCAGCAGCCCCACCTCCCATCTTGGAGGCACACAGCTTCTCCCTCCATGAGGCTTTCGTCTGACATGGAGAAAGAGTGAATACATGCTGCTCATGCCAATAGCAATTGACCAGTTATGATATTGCTATTAGATAAACTCTATATAAATGAATTTACATTGACATCACACACTTAGCTGCTCTACAGACTTCGGGCTGCGGGAGCCCAAGAAGAACAGAGCGACGCCACCTGCTATCAAGCATATGACCCCTAGAACGATCAGTAAACGGGACCCTTTGAGCTTTCAAAGCAACTCACCAAGACAACATTGCAGCTCGAAGTATCCGAAGGTTCCGACCACGATCTCCGCCAAAAGAGGACCGGTCATCAACCCAGTCATCCAGGTCATGCTAGTCACAGCTATGGCGCGAGAATAGCCCCCATTGGGACCAAATTTACCGGGTTCACGCGCTTCAAGTTTATCAATCACTTCTAAAGGGGTTCAACCTACCTTAGCTTGTGAACTGTATATGGCCTGGGCTCACTCACCAGTTGCCTCAATAGAGCCTGCCCCGTTCAGGAGGGACAACAAACATCCGATAGCTGCCATGCAACCCACGTAGACGATCTTTTCCAAAGCTTCATCTTTTGCCCATGAGAAGAGATTGTCACCAGGAATACCCAAGACTACGACAAAGGGCACCAAGGCAAAGAATCCCACCGCCGTCGGAGTTCGCGATCCTATCCGGTCTTTCATCCAGCCGACTGGAGCTGCCAACATCATGCCAGGGCCCTGGATTAAGGTGAATAGCAATCCCACATGAAGGGCTCTCCATCCAAATGCACTTCGCACATGTACTGCCAGAGTACTTTCGAAACAGCCAATCAGTACGGCGAAAACGTAAGCGCAGAAAATCCCCGCAGAGAAACGCGGTTCGCGGAGCAGGCAAATGTGGAAACGCCATCCCTTCAGCTCCGAAGGAATTGACCGATTGGACTGTTCTCCGGCGACGGTGGGCGAGCCATTTTGTAGCAAAGGCTCTCTCTCCTGGACCTCCACTGCTCGCCGAAGTTTGACAGTTTTTTCTATCATGAAGAGACGCATTATGATATCCACCAGGAGAAACGCAGCCGCGCCTGCCCACGCGCACCAGTACCCTCCCGCTTCAAACAATAGACCTGCGAGTACCGGCCCGGCGGTGGTGCCTGCAGCTGTGAGTGTGGAAGTGAGACCGGCGATCTTGCCCATGTGCTCTGTTCCAAGATTCTCAGCCATAGTTGCCATTCCTATAATCCACAATGCATTGCTAGTGATACATTGGAAGAGTCGACCAACAAACAGCCACACCACTGCATACACAGTCAGCTTGGGTATGAACGCGACCATTGATCACCAGCAAGGAATAAAAGAAACATACACTGGGTTGTGAGTGATAAGCAAGCCGTACTGATCAAAGCCAGTATAAGGAGGGTCAGTAAGAGCGTCTTTTTGTTGGAGATCGCGTCGGCTATCGCCCCAATGACTGGACTCGAGACTATAGAAACAAATGCTCCTTCCATAAGAAAGATGGATGTGTACCTCTGGGTAAGAGATGGGTCTAAACCGATTCGATGCTCCAGCAAAGTAGGTAGCAAAGGTATCATGAAGGCAAAAAGCAGTTCATCTAAGCGTCATCATAAGCGTTAGCTAAATTTGATGCTGAGCCCATCTCTGTCGTACGCGTTGTCACTTACCAGTGAACAATGCCAGACTCATCGTACTTATAATAAAAGTATCGGATGATCGCCAGCGATGACCCCATGGCGCGTCATGCTGCTCTTCGACGCGATTTCGAAACATTTTACTTCTATTGTACCTCACACACGAACTTCTGCAAGGCACATGCTGGGAAGATTAGAGCATAAAGAAAATTCGGCTTATCAATACGAGATCCAATCTTTCGGAAATTTATACCAAGATTATTTTAGGGGATGAGGAATGTAATAAATATTATTATGAATGGGGCGTAATCCTTACAGGATCGCCACGCCGAACACCTGTTCTTACTCGCCCCTTGTGAGCCGATGCACCAACCACAGGGCCAACGCTGCACTGAAGAATTTATTTGTCAGCCAGGAACAATGCAGGTCCCCAGATTCTACACGTACACAGTCCGTCGCCCTCCGATCGACATTTAAGTGGTCGGCAGCTTCGGGGATTCTCAACCAAATTCTCACCCCGCCTATAGCGCACTCAACCTTTCACCCCCTGATAGATTATATTTCTTTTCAAAACTGCTTCCACCACATACGACCATAGGGTGTGGAAAACAGGGCTTCCCGTCCGCTCAGCCGTACTTAAGCCACACGCCGGTGAGTTAGTAGTTGGGTGGGTGACCACCAGCGAATCCTCACTGTTGTATGTTTTTTTATTTTGCTTTTTGCTGTCCTTTATAGATCTTACGGGTGAATGAGAACTAATTCGTTTCGTCATGAAATTTCTATTTGTTTTTCTCCAAGGATGTCTTCGCTTTTCTGAATGCAACGCAACATTAAACCAAAATATATCGAAAAAAGCCCCTAAGTGGACCAAACTAATAACCATGAACAACATCCTCTAGTTCAAACCGCATGTACAACTTATGAGGGTCGGAATCAATGTGGAAATTAGAGATGCTAGCAAGTTGCTTTCGGCCTTGACCCCATACGCACAGAACAAAAGCCCCAACAACTTTGCCAAATCCAGTACCTACCAGAATCTGGAACTCGGGTGAGGAAGATTTCCATGTCTGCAGTGTGCTAGATGGATATTGAAGCCCTTGGGATTTATACCTTGTGGGGGACACATGAATTAGTATCCGCTTCGTCGATGTTAGTTGCGAATACTGACCGAGGCTGTCCAAAGGAAGATCTAGCTGATAAGCAGCTTAGGTGAGTTCCGAGATGTATGGATCCTTGCTTCTGTTGGATCGAAAGATATCGTCAAGGAAACCCACACCAGGTCCGGTACGCCCAATTTACCAAGTTGGTGGACTCTCGTCGCGCTGTGTAATAGAAATATTTCGATATGCAGAATCGTCGTTGCTGACGTTGAGAGCAGTAAGCAGTTTTGCATTTAGCTGCACAGGTTTACTATCGATAACATAGACTGGGTGCTCGGGCTTATATGTCAAAGTGAAGGCGGACTTTGGGCATGGGCAGTCTGATTCATGTGCATTTTCAATCCACCTCTGAAGGGCTTGTCCCTTGGTTTCCCAAGGAGAAAATTCGGCGACCATTCTGTCCGACGGTAAATTCAAAGTGCTATGAAAGACAGTGTGGGAATTGGAGTCGCCAAAAATGTCTGCTCTTAATGAAAGAATGCAAGGTCTAGAATCGGGAGCACTCTCCCGCTTTATATGCTCAAAACTGAGACAAAGCTACGGGAATGCCAATCTCTGTATGTCGCTGGCATATCTTATAGCGAAAGATGAGAATGAGATTGGAACTCAATTAGATGGGATAAAGAGGTAAAACTACCGTCAAAGAGCGAAGGAACAGGAACCTACAAAGAACAAAATGTCGCGGTCGGGACATGCATAGCAATGAAAGGATACGAAAATTAGCCTGGATCAGCTGCCGAACATGAATTGCATTATCTCTGCGTTTTTGGACACGATGTTGTGGAAGGCCAGTTCCTCCTGTATGTTACCATTTCAGTGATAACCATTCCCTAAATGGAAAACTAAGGTATATTGAGAGTGGATTTGAAAGCTGGGTTCTGAAGCCCATTAATTTGTGATAACCGGTAGTGACTGGTGTCGTTTAAAACAAACAGACAGAGGCAAGCTCTCGGGTTGACGCGGTGTATTGACGCGAAGAATAGCAGGGGGGAGTATGAAAACTCAACATTGCCCCCTTGTGGTAGTTGCAATGCACTACTTCTTCTTGGGCAAGATATCCACAAACACGTGTCCGAGAGGTCCTGCCTCTGAGCTCCATCCCCCATGCTCGATTCTGTACTTGTCGCTACTGTCCAACACCTCGACCAAATTGGCGTACTTTCCTCCTCTGTTCTCCCAATGAAGTTCACAGATCTTGTCATTCTCATGAAACAAGTCAAGGCGGCCCTCACTGCCCCGACGGCTCTGGGCACCAATCTCGCCAACACCATCGGGGGCGATCACAATTTCGTCGATTTCCTCCTCAGTGAGAGACTTGCGGCGATCATCGACGTTGTAGAACTCACCGCTGTCATATATTAGTAGAAATATGATGAATCTCCGGAAACAACAAATACCCTTCAATGACAGTGTTCTGGACCAGAACATCGCCCTTGTCGAGGTGACCCCGAATGTGGAATGAGACCCACTGAGAATTGTAGTTGTTCAGGTCGCTCATATTGTTCGTGTTGTAGATTTGAGTAAATGGTAGATTGAAGTTCACCAAGAGCTCCGGAGAGGAGGTTGGTTTAAATAATGGCAATTACCCCACAATATCAGTGATGTAATTCATTTGACCAAATCGGATGTTGTGGTGACAATCGTATGATGCCATTGGCCCACGCCAACTCGACCCATGGGACTACCCGAGTTCAACTTTGCGGGGAATCTCATGAAATCATTACATCCGTATGTATATATGTATGTACATAGTATGTGGATTGATTTACTTTGCGAGCATCTAGGGATTCATATAGCATTTTTATCATTGGAAGTAAAAGTTGATGAAAAATATTGCTAGTCAATTTATCATCTTACCAGTTTACTATATAGGCTGACGGACAACGCCATCTCCGCAACTCACGTTGACATAACGTACGATATCCATCCAATCACATTGTTCCAACTTGCTCCCGAGTTCGTAATACTATATTTGCCTCTCTTGGAACCGCATATATTTCGCCGTCTTGGAAGACTTCGTATGAGATATCGGTGTCATCGATCCTACTATATAAACCCACCCTAGTCAGATATTGTCATAGTCAAGAAGTCGGGCTCCCCTCAACAAAAGACCGGGCAAAAATTACATACGGTATCAGGCCGAAATGTTGCAAGGAAGTGAGCCACAGCAGTACCCGTGACCAGCATCGAAGGCACCCTCGAAGTTGATATTATGACATCCATCGCTGGTTCTCCAGACCTTGGCCTCGAAATTATAACCTCCGGCGGGGATTTCCTCAAAGCTACTCCTATGTAAGCGTATGTCAACAGGTTTATATGGGTAGCATTTCCGCTTACTAGACACCGCATTCAGTACTCGTACAGGCATTGAAGCCACCAACGAGGAAGCCGTTATACTTGGATCCAGTTGTATAATCAACCAAGTAAAGATTCTGGGAAATTTGACCACCCTCGCCTTGGTTGTAGGCATCGGCACTCAACTGACCGTACCAGGCAGCTGCTTGACCGGTCAAGGCGAAAGCACCGAAGACAGCGGAGAACTTCATATTGACTGAGTGGACCGATTTGCAAAAGAATCAATATTTTGGACAGCGCAAAACTTTATAAGGGTCAAAGAGAAGATTGAGGATTGATATTGAACAGAGCTTTCGGTATGTGGGATTTATGGCCTATTTATACCATGTTCCGTTACAAAAAGCCATTGTCTTACGGTCTCACATTATCAATCTACTAACTGCTTTCACACTTTTTATCAACAAGGGTGGTATCTTGAAGAGCCACTATGCAGTCTTAGCGATGCGGGCTGCAACTAGCGGAAGGAATTTATATTGATGCCGTGAGCGCTGTACTGGCAGCTGTTGGTTGTGTAACTAAGACAAATGTACGCCACAACACCTGCGCTATACTCCATTGTCTACGAATATGTATATGGTAAGTTATAATATAAACAAGATAAATGGGTAGATAAGCACAAAGACTTTGAAAACATGGTGTTCAATCTCTGAGAAGTAAAGGAAAAAATGGAAGATGCGATCATTGGTCGGTTTGGGTCAAGACATGCAGGGTTCTAGTCTTTATTAGCATGTTAGGGTACTTCCGGCGTATAGAACCGTAGTGCTTACTACATTAGGACTAACGACTCCCTAGGCCTTAACTCGCCAAACCCTTAATTTCGATCGAGGAGTTTCCTGTTACTTATGCCTGGATATGCTATAACCCTGTACCGGTCGGGATCACAAATAAACAACAGCGGTTATTTCGCAGCCCTTTCACAATATGAAAATTTCATAGTTATTTATTCTCAGGTTGGGTCAATTTGTTTAACCCTTTTTTAGAAAAGTCCGGTCAGTGGAAAATCTATCATTAGCCAATGCAGCGGGCAAAAAAGCTAGCAATGCACCAGCCATCGTAATTGCAATCTATGCTATGGGGTACAATCTTTTCTCAGGGTTCCGGTACAAAAAGCAGGAGAGGTGATCCATATTCTAAAAGTAGTTAGTGGCCGCAGCCTAAACCCAAAAGAAACATCACGCATGTAGCATGGTAGAAAGGCAATAGAACCCGACACAAATAATAGGCCGATGTTTGTTCGTTTATATTTCCACCAGTAGCGGCCAAGACTAATAAGCCTTCTGTCAAGCATTTGCCTAGAAAGTAACAAGGGTATATCTAAGGGTAACAATTCGTTCGTACTTGATAGAGTAAATACACGACCAGCTCGGCTCCCCACTGGAGAATGTATTAATCTTTGATAAAGTTTACGGATTCCTGGGCACTTGCGCAGTTATTGATTGTTACTTACATATTTACGTACTGACTACCAACCGCGCTCGCAATACTCGCCCTTCATAGGAGAAACAAAATAAATCAAAGGTAGCCGTCTACATTGACTCAAATCAGATCAAAAATAAGAACACCAAAACATACAACAGTGAGGATTCGCTGGTGGTCACCCACCCAACTACTAACTCACCGGCGTGTGGCTTAAGTACGGCTGAGCGGACGGGAAGCCCTGTTTTCCACACCCTATGGTCGTATGTGGTGGAACAAAAGGAGTTGCAATATATATAGACCTATTAGCGCTAGCTTATTATGTAGGTGTGACAATGGTAAGTATACTAGACAAGGTGACAATCACTTGAGCACCATACTTTAATATAATTGCACGAACTGCGTATTCTCTTGGCTGTGTGTTGCACTCGTCCTCCGATCCCGGGGGACGCGACCGAAAGAAGAAATACTGTATATTGATTTTACCATTAATATAAACACAATCTTTCCAAGACTTCTCGGCCCTTTTTATCTAGATCTGGAGATTTTTTCAGGAGGCGCAAATCCTTCAAGAAAGCCTGTGCGTCATCATGCTCAGATGTCAATTGGCCGGTCTATACTTGATCTCTGCGCATGAAGGCGCGTTCGCCCTACACTCCTTCAGGATAATCATTTCTGTGCAGTGGGGCTGCAAATCTACCCCCGGGCCGACATACCGCGTGAGAGCCCTGTCGATACTGGCTGATGGCGCTTGCCTCAATTCCGAGCCGAAGGTGATTGCATCAAATTAACATAATGATCGGACTGTCTTGGCCATTATTCTCTTCAGCCGGTTCTTGCTCAGTCAGTGCTGTTTATGTAGCAAAATAAACACTTTTCATTATATCAATCATGATAGTCACAGTGGTAATTCCCATTTAAAAAAAGTAGGTTCGTTTTCCTTCCAGCGATGAAAATCATTTGGTCACCATCAAGCAAAGTTGTTTCTTTTGTTTTTACAGGATGACTTCAAGTGCCACAGGCATAATCAAAGTGAAAGGTCTCGCAGGCGTTTCCTCATTCAGGAACTAGCTGATAAGTTCGACTTTTATACCATTTCGGAAAATACGCAGACACCGTCCAAGACCAGGCAGACATTGGGGGTGCTAGTAGTCAATTCCGGGTAATGAGCTTATGCTATCCAGTACCCCTGTCTGAAATGATTATTCAATAGCCACCGCGGTTGTCAATTCCTAGGTGTCCAAGATACCCTCATATAGCAAATTATTTTGGGCCATCTAGGTGATTGGACCTGAGGGTTTCGGCCTTTTGGTGGTTTTTTCAATAACGTTGGAAGTCAATAAATTGACATGGCGCCTGCGAGCTGGCAAGATTCCCTTGATATATATCTTTGTATCTATGCGAAAAATTTGTCGAATGAGCCACTCATAAAGTTGAGGTGACTTTTCAGTGGGTAGCATGAATTCCTCATGTTTTTGAATTAGCGATAACATCATATTGCTGCAGGCTCATCGAATTTAGATAGTGACTTCACAGCCGTCAATAGCTCTCTCATATCGCAAACAACACTTATGATCATTGATCAAGTACGGTGACTCGGGATCGCGGGATGGATAGTTCCAGTGCTTTGTGGTTTTCGGGGTACTGCAGTGCCGAGAAACAGTACTTGTCAAGGCCTAATTACAGCGTATCCTATCTAGTCATGGAAGAAACGAAAAAAATGGACGGAAATGACTTTCCATAAGGTAAACTGCTTGTTAAGAAAAAAGAAGTTGATCTGTGTTTTTACCGTCTTGAGCCCGCAGAGACTATAGTGGAGGACTTGGGAGTAAATGTTACACTGCGAGGTGATCCTTGTCACCCCATGGAAGACTCGGGAGTTAATATTACACTACGATGTGATCCTTGTCACCCTACGGAGGACTCGGAAGTCGATAGCAAATAAAGAATCTTGATCACCACGCATAAAGGCTTCTCTGATTAGTCGAGAAGGCTTTGGCGCATTTGTTTACTAGCTGTATCTTCAGTCTAATTATAAACGAAGGATATTATAAAAGATTCGCCAGATTTCTGTCGAAACATTTGAGTTCAAAATCTATAAGCTTTAATAAGATAAAACATACTCAAAATGCTCATTTACGTCGGTAACATCAACTACTCTCCTTATGCCTCCGACGAGGTGTTCACCGTCGTCTTCAGAGATAACATCCAGACCGAAGATAAGGTCTCTGTCATCTTTCAATGGACTAAAGATAGCTCCGGACGACAGAAGGCAAATTCTATTGCTCACGGCACTATCAATAAGGTGTCTATTAATGGTTCTGGGGAGAAAGAAATCGAATTGTTCTTTAATCAGAAGGATAAGACGTACTATTGGTAATAAGCACTATTCTGATAACGAACTTAGATTTTTTGCTAACGTTGTGTTGTAGGTATAAGGGAAAGGTGTCTGGTGACAAAATGACACTGGCTATGTGGAATAAAGGGGGAGAGGAGGTTGCGAAGAACATTCAGCTGCAACTTGATTTTATCTGATGAAAAGGATTAACCATGGAGTTTTTCTCGCTCTTGAGTCAGGATTGATCTGAAATAATGCGAGGATATTTACACGTAATTTTAGTGTCTCTTGTTGCAGTAGTAGAAGTAGGAAGTAAATTTCATTACCCCGACCCCTCGCAAAGTTGAAACCCTCAATTAAGGTACAGCTGTGACAGTAGTCTTCAAAATCATGGAAAGATCATGTTACTTGTAGTCGCAGTAGCAGCTCATCCTTTTTTCTGCCTAGTGGAGTGCAGCCTGACAGGCAGCCACTCTTGCAGATCTATATATATCCAGTGACCTGGGATCCCACTCCCAAAGCGATATACAGGCTACTACAGCTATAAATATCCTTTTACGTACCTGTAGAGTTATCCACTTCCTAAAACCAAACTTCCAAAGAGCCTCTTCATATGTACTGAGTGGCTGGTGCTATTTCAGCATGACACTTTAGTTGCAGCTATTTAAACAAAGCTCTAAACCTTACCCATTGGCTAGTGGAGACAAAATGCTGGTCGTGGGATGATTTATTTCGGACAAAGTGAGCCGGGCTCAAACTCTGGAATCTGACTTCTAGCTCTCAATGCCGCCCTGTACTTTCACTACATGACGCGCTCACCAATTACCAGGAAACGACCAAGCTGGGATGCGTATGTTACAAGATACCCCCGGAGTCTAATTCAATGAGATAATATCGAACACAGGCAGCAGCCTAGCCGAGTGGTGAACCAAGTATCGAGATTAAAACCTCTTGGGAATTCTGTAAACTTTTTATTTGAACCTTGATATTCACCTTCGAAACTCGACACCTCTGCTGAGCCGAGGTAGCGCCCAACCCCCTTTACCGAGAAATAACTACTCTGGCAAGCTTTATCGATTATGGCCCTACTCCAAATTAGATCTAAAAACCCTAGCCTGGCATTATATCAACCTATGAAAGGCTTCTAGCCCTCGATACAAAGCGCTCTTTTACTCGTTAAGGAAGATAAGGAATTAAGGGCGGAGAACAAGAAGAAGAAGAAGAAGAAGAAGAAGAAGAAGAAGCAAAAACGAACTAGATCTCGAAAGCAGCTATCTTCTTACGAGAGCTTCTCAGTTTAAGAAGTATCCAAATCAATTATACGGCCAGAGGAAGCAACTAAAACCCCTCCCCCCTGGGCCAAGAAGGCCTTCACCATCTTTACAGCAGCGAACAAGAGCATTGATTAAATGCGCAGCAACCTTGGAAGTGAAGACTTAAGGTACAAGAGAAATATATGTCTAGGTAGACCTAGATAGGTTGTTTTATTAAAACAATAGCGTTTTGATTAATATAAATGTCGGGATATACTAAACTGTTACAATTTCAAGGATCACCCATAAAATCTGAATGAAAGTGAAAGATCACCCGAGAAATTAAGATACAGAAAATAAATTACGTGAAAAAAAAGCATTCAATGGCCATCACAATTATTCGTCGTTCTGCGTACCTTCTGTATCGTGCAGATCCCCTATATCCTGCCCTATATCCCGCGAACTCTGTGCATCCCCATCCATTAATCCCTGAAGGTACACTTCCATCCAGTTATAGTCGTTCTCTGGTGTGTCATCAGAGACTATAGTCTCATCAGGAACAATTTTCTTCAGAACTTCTCCAATTTTGTCGTCCTCCGATCCAATCTCAGCAGTTTTGAGCGCTAGATTATCCCCAGAGTTCTCAAGCACCAGGCCAGCAAATTGAAAAGATGTGCTGGGTCCCATATCATTCAGAGATAACTTCCTCGGAGCCTCTGGTAAGGGCGCTTTCCACTCCTGATCCGCTTGTGAAGAGCTGACGGCTGCTGTCTGAGCTTTCGGCTTCTCCGCACTTTGCCCCGGACCTTTGATGAGATTCCAATGCTGGAACTTCCTAGCAGATTCAATTTTCTGCAAGGTTGCTTTTCGCTTCGCTTCATCTACCACTGGCCTAGCTTCAACATTTGGTTTTATCGGAATGTCCTTCATCTCAATGCCGAACAAGACGACACCCGATTTACCAACCCATTCCACTGGTATAAATTTCCTCTGCTCATGAGCACTTCTCTCAATCTCCTCGCGTATATGTATCACTAAGTCTGCGGCTATGTGTAGCCCGCGTAGGGTGTCCTCGAAGCTGTCCGGATCCGCGATTGCGGACCATGCCAGTGGGAATGCAACAGCCGCAAGAGGACCAATGAAGGGCACGAAGCCAACAGCAGTGGTCACAGTATTCTTGATAAATTGAGAAATCCAATCATTGGCTTGAGCAGGTTTCCATTGGATAGCTAGTCCATAATTAGCACTGGCCACGTCGGTCCAACTTAGATCAACCGAGGAAGTAAACTTTTGTGGAGCCTCTTTTGTGGATGCTAACCCTCGGTTGACCATGAGTATACTCCTGGAGGAGAAAGCGTTGGAAGACCTAAGGCATCGAGGCAGTGAGAGCAGGTTCACTAGTGCTCGTATGTTGATTGCCATAGTCTGTTTTACATCTGGTTGTAGACCAAGTGTAGCATCCAGATTCAGGGTCTGGTCATGGTTCACTACACGCCAATTATCCAATCTATCCTCCCAATAGGATAGGACTTGAACCTCTCGGGTGGTGGCGAAGTTCACTTGAAGGAATGTGCACGCTTCGGGATAATCTTCAGATGCCTGATGTGCGATAGGAATATATAGTCCACGGATATATGCCAAGCGCTATTAAGCGAATCAATAAGTGTCTTCCATTCCATGTATGACATAGATAGAAAACTTACATCTATGAGAACCCAATCTTCACCAGTTGCCAACATCGGCATTGGTATCATCATGAACCATGACTCCAGTGATGCTCCCTTTTCCTGATCTCTAAAGCTGTTTCCATTGGTACAGAGATCATGCACGGCATGCCTGTATTGATCATGATATGGTTTCTTACCATATAGAAATGAAATATTGGTCCAATTACCATAGACTGTGTTCCACCAGTCACCCTTCACTACCTCATAGTTTGAGCGTAGATGAAAGTGCCGATCCTTATCATAATCACTTTCGTAGGAACCATGGAATGCTGGTTTATTTCGGATGTACTCGACCATCATATGGGCGTAGAAATGCTCAGGTTTGTCGGCATCGTACGTGGATGTCTTCAAGGCGGAACGCTTGAAGAAGCACTCGCCTTCGGGATATGCGGCGGACATATTTACTGAATCTCAGAGTCACGTCAAATTTCGAAAAGAATTGTGCTTACGCTGCAAGACTGAGGTTCAGACAGATCTTACGGCGATTTAAATGTTGTTCACATACCCTAGAGGAATGAGTTGATTTCAAGTTTTTGCAACGTAGTCCATCTCAGTGTTTTAGGTGACAGGCCAATAGCAGGTAGGCCGACGATTAAGATTTTCCGATGTTGAGTGTTTCAATGTAACGCAGTGTAGGAATAAGATTCACTGTCCAATGACATATAGACCGACCACGAGATGATCGAGAGGCGTCGAATCAGATCTGTTCCACTCGCTTCCGGCTTCATGGAGACGCATGATCGTCAGGGAATTTCCGCCAATCTGGAAAACGTCGCTCTCAAATCCGACTTGGCTTGATTCTAGTCGAAGAACAGTGGCAATATCTTCTCGGCCTCTGTGACCGGCATGCGATTTTCGACCGACATTTTTCCCCTGAACTGCAGCATATCCTCAGGAGAAAGACCTACAGATAGCTTGCAAAGTCGTTTCCGATCCGCCTTCCCGGTACTGGTGCGGGGAATGCGTCGTACTGGGAGAAATCCAGATGGAATCATGTACGCCGGAAGCTGATCTTGGAGGGTAGCCTGCATTTCCGCCACAAGGGCTCGAAATTCGGCGCTAGGGCAGGCCAATAGTTGACTCTCATCTTGTGCCGAGGGTTTGACCCACGAGGGCTTGACCCACTCGTTGCCCCAAATGAATGCGACCAGAGCGGGCGATTTGCTTTCCGCTGTCACCAACTCCACAATCACGTCCTTGATGTTTGGACTGCACTGCAGGATCCGGTACTCAATCTCCCCCAGCTCAATGCGCTGACCTCGCAACTTGACCTGGGTGTCTCTCCGTCCCCTATACAGTAATGACCCGTCCATGATCGGGTCATACTGCACGAGATCCCCGGTTTTGTAAACGCGGCGTTGCCCTCGGATTTGACACAACCATGCTGGTGAATTCACAAAGACTGCAGTTGTTTTTTCTTCCTCGTCGATATACCCCCGACCAACAATCGGTCTTTCAACTACCAGTTCTCCAACTGCATCAATCGGCAATAAGTTTTCGTGGTTTTCCGGGTCAACAACCCAGCTGCACGCAGAGCAGCTTGTCCCAATATTACTAGGTTCTGACCCAGCGGTGACTTTTAGTCGTTGCACGCTAGCAATAGTACATTCGGATGGCCCATAGGCATTGATCAATTGGACCCGATGAGCCCATGTCAACATATCATCCTGTTTCATCGCCTCACCGCAGAGAATCAGAGTCTTGAGGGTGGTAAATTGCGATGGATGTAAAGTGCGGACCATTGAGGGTGTCTGGTAGAGATGAGTAATGCCAAATGAATTAGCACACCCAACAACATCAGTGGCTCGATCTGTTTCGTGGGGCACACAGACACATCCACCACTGACGAAGGGGAACAAGATCTGCGCGAAACTTGCGTCAAATGCATAAGACGCAAACTGAAACACGCGAGATTTGCGATCAAGAAACTGGGAATTAGGACCATTGAGGGCATTGGTGGCAAAGCTTCGATGCTCAATGACGGTGCCTTTGGGGGTACCAGTTGAGCCGGAGGTAAACACAGCGTACACGGGATTTGATGGAAGAGCTGGAGATTTCGGTGATGCCACAGTCGCAGTAGGCACCTTCGTATCAGCTTCAGAGTCCCACATTGTGATAACTTTCAAACCTGACAGGCCTTTAAGCTTTGGTTGTCAAAAGAAGACACTAGAACTGATGCCTTTAGCTGGCGACAGATGGCGCCGGTACGTTCCAGGGGATGAGAGGGATCCAGCAGGACAAACGCAGCACCTGATTTCATGACTCCTAACATCGCTACCGCCGTCCACTTGGACTTTTCAAAGTAGAGAGGAACGAAATCTTCCGGCCCAACCCGGTATTCTGCGAGGTGAAGTGCGAAAATGTCAGATAAATGCCCCATCTCTCTATAGCTCGGATCACCGTCCCATGCAGCGATAGCGGATCTGTCAGGTTGCGCCACTATGTGCTGCTCGATGAGATCATGAACGCACATCTCCACTGTTTGAGGAACTTCCTTATTCCAACGATGCAATTGAGTCATATCTGTTGGAGAAACGGTAGATAAGCCACCACTTATGGGTTCCTGAGGCGGTGCTACCTGAATGTACGCCAGGACACTTGCATATTGATTGAGAATCCTGTTCACCTGATCTTAACTGAGAAGACCAGGGTTGTAGTTGGCGCTGACGTCCACGGCCGCCTTAGAAATATTACATTCAAGTACAAAATCGTAGCTGTCTAGGCTGACGTTGAACCCACCTTGGGTCAACTTCCCAAATATACCAGGCAGAGGATCTTTCCGTGGCTGGATGACGAGGAGATTGCGGAGTTTCGCGGCGGAGGCACAGTATTCTCCTAGCTTGCTCAAATGCTGCCGTCCCATGTGGTCGAATGGATAGCTACGTACAGCCTGCTGCTGGATTTGGAGGCACATCTCTTCAATTGATTTGGTGGCATCGAAAGCGACGCGTGAAGGCATGATGGTAATTAACGGGCCAACAATCCGATCAACGCCTTCAACAGGTATATTTCGATCGGATGAAACCAACCCCATGATTACATCTCGGGAATTGGTGTACTGGGAGACAGTAATTGCCCAGGCAAGGTGAAGTACAGTTGCCAGAGTGATTCTTTTCGGGTTTGTTCCTCCCAGGGTGATCGATTTCACCACAGTCACCTGTGTATCTTTCGCTTTTTGCGATGAACCACCTAATACTGGGATGCTGGGAATGGTGCAACAACGATATCGTTCAAGTAACTTTGCCAGAATTTTTCCATATCCCAACGGCTCAATTGCGCCAGATAGTTGATAAATGGTGCAAAAGGTTTGTATGACAGAGTATGGCCCAAATAAGCTTTTTCAACTTGCCCCAAAACCAATGGCAACAACCAACCATCATATATTGAGTGATGCTTGGAAATGAAAGATCTAGATTGACGCTCCTCAAGAATCAATTTGATTAAAGTGCGACCAAGACCAAAAACACCCCGAGAGTCATCTTAATCGATTGCAGTGGGATTTCCCCAGGCTATGCTTTGTCGAATAACGACCTGAAGTAATCCTTGTTCAGTTGCAATGATCCTTGTTCGTAGGATTGGGTTGCGTGCGATTGTTTCCTTCCAGGCAGCCTTAAACCGAGAGATGTCAAGATCGACTGGGAGCTGCAACACAGCTTGACTGGTGTACATCTTGTTGTACTTTGCTGTTATCGCTATCATTCCTTCTTGCGCTGGTATACATGGATATGTGTCCTCAAACTCATCAGCTAGCACATCACACTGTGCTTGCGCTTGCTGGATTGCAGATTCCATCGTCATCGAGCCTGGGAGCAAGGTGAAAGGAGAGAATACTTCTAGTTGCGCTTGTTCTGTGGAACACACTTCGATCGACAGCGCTAAATCTGCTAGGCATGGGGCAGCGAATACGTGCTCAGTTTGTAGACGAAACCCTTTATCGCGAGCCCGAGCAGTTAAATTCATGGCGGAGATCGGGTCCCCCCCAAGATGAAAGAAATTGTCTTCCATTAAAAAGTTCTCAAGAACCAGGATCTCCTTAGTCAATTTATACAAGGCTTGTTCTATTTCTGTCGATGGAAAAATTTTGCCTGTCTCAGGTAACATGAATAATCCCAGCTCTCGCCTTGAAAGTGCAGAAGCTCGCGCGCAAATCAGCCTTTGGTAGGTTTTTCCAGAGGCAGTGAGGGAAAGAACAGCGAGTGGAACGAGTATTGAGGGAATCATATATCCGGGCAGGCATTTCCGTAAGATAGTAATAGCCAGCTCTGCCAGCTGCCTGAACTCAGCTGATGGTGCGGCAAAAATATCAGCATCATCGGACAATCCAGAATTGGTGCTCGAGTTTTGCAATAGTATAAATGCGACTAGAATAGGTTGGCTTTTGATATCTGCTGGCGTAATGATATCAACCATCACTTTCTCCGCGGTGCAGCCGAAGGCTTCTCGAACAGCGTGCTGCACTTCCTCCAGCTCTAGCCGTTGTCTGTTGAGCTTCATCTGGGCATCTTTTCGACCAAGATATCGTATCCGCTGACCATTGGTGTATTGCACCAAATCTTCAGTTCGATACAGTTTCCCGTAGGACCCACCACGAAAAGTAGGTAGCCATGATGGTAGATCGATGAAGGCCGCCTCTGCCTTTTCCGCATCACTAAGATATCCGCGTCCCACTATGGGACCCTCAATAAGAAGCTCGCCAGGAGCGCCAATAGGCTGTAGTTTGCCTGGGTCACTAGGATCAGTTATCCAATAAACGGCACCAGTTCCATACCCAATCAAATGGGCATCTTGAGGTCCCTCTACTTGTGACAGAACATCTGTAAAGGCTGAACACTCTGACGGGCCGTATGCGATCCTCCCGTTTCCATGGCTGAAGGGATGCAGAGACATCCTCCGCTGATGAGAGTGTCCAAAGTTTCTGATACCGACGCATTGAACGAATAAGAGGCAAACTGAAAAACGCAACTTGATGGTCCGAGGTCATATGGTTCAATATGTCCTTTGGCGGAGGATGCGTATGAGCAATGGGATATGACAGCACACTTCGGCTTTCCCGTGGAACCGGAGGTGAAGGCACCATAGAGAGCATTCTGGGGGCCTACAATTGTCTCTTCGGTGCTATTCTCATCATTGCCTTTAGAGTATGCCACAACCCAGTTCGACAGATCTTTGCCGACTGGGATCGTGATACAACCCAGACTGCGGGCTTTTCCCGTCAGGTGCTCTGAACATAGAATCATTTTAGCCTCGACCTGATTACACATTGTCTGAAGGAGTTGAAGAGGTAATGCCGAATCGAGGAGCACGAATGCCCCGCCGGCTTTCATTACCACCAACATTGCCAGGACTGTCCATTTCGACTTTTTAAAATACAAGGGCACAAACGTTTCAGGCTTCACGCCACGGATACGGAGATTTGATGCCAATTTGTTTGATGCACGTTCGAGCTCACGATATGTCATGCTCCCATCCCAAGAACAGACTGCGGTTGCATTGGGGCGAATTTCACACTGTCGTTGGATGAGGTTGTGAATTGTGGATTGCTCGGCCAAAGGGACGAGGTGGTTCCATTGACACAGGAGGTCACGGCTGGCCTGTGTGCAAATATTGAGGTTGTTGATTTTAGCTGACGGGTTCTCAATTATATGGAGCATGGCCTCTGCGAGTGTGTAACGGCCTGTTCACAGGATAAAATAGAAGACCAGAACCCAAATGAAATGGAAGCAGTCTCATCGTTGATATCAATATTGAGTGTGACTTTAGACTGAAGTACTCATCATCAACGGTGTGCACATAAGTTAACAGGCGAATCTCTCGCGACTTACATTCAGCTGTATGGGGTTTTGAGCATTTTTTGTGATGACGGAGTTGAAGAGATTCAATTGGTAATCGCCCACAGTTAATCTCTCGGAGTTTTGCAGTTTGCCGTTTCGAACCAATGCCAAAGGAATGTCCCCCGGTGACACTTGCACCGAACAATTTGCGACTCGGTTGTCGTTCTCCTGTGGAAGTTCATCTGCAACTCCGAAAACCAACCACTCGCACGCAGTGTAATTGTAGAGAATCACAAGCCAACCAGCATAAACAAAGTGAGCAGGCTGGATATCAATGCTCCGACAAAATTTCTATCTTGAGGTAAGAGATGTACCATCTCTCGCTTCTGGATTTCGGACCAACCCGAGCCTTCAGCCATGTCCACCTTGGATGAGCTCCTTAAGCGACAAAGACCGGGACCATCGCAAAGGTTCCAAGTGTAGCCTTGTATGTTCCTCGCACAGGATCTTTACAGCTGGCGGAAACCTATTCCAGCCACTCCACTGACTAGATCTAATTCTATCATATGCACCTCCAACACTCACAACACTTTAACCGCCGTTCTAGGTGGAGACATCTTAATTTATGCTGGTGCCCAGGTGATCTCATACAGTCAGGATCATTCAAGGAACTCCAGGGATCGCTCAATTGGCTACACGCCCAGCTTCATCTCACTAAAATCGTCATTGCCGGTAATCATGAGCACCTACTCGATTCAAAATGCGATGACTCATCCAATCGTGCAGTCTCCCGATCTGAGCGGGCTTGGCTCGACTGGGGCGATATCATCTAACTGGAAAATGAGGAAGCAACGATTTGCTGTCCGAATTTCCGTCAGCTTAGGGTACATGGAAGTCCTTACTCTACGCGCAACGTTAAATGGGCCTTTCAATATCCCCGAAGCCAAGACGTTTGTGATATATTGATATCAGATGGAATTGATATACTTATCACCCACGATCCCTCACTCGCTCATCTTGACCTACTAAAGCTTGGCTGTGCCCATCTGCTACGACACTATGGAGAGTGCAACCAAGACTGGATGTTATTTGATGGACTACAAAAGGCGTACGAGTGCACGATCGCTGATGGAGGAGGCCGGGAATCTTCTCTTTACAGTATGGAAGTTTGTTAAGGCATATTTGGCGCCGACTGTGGAATCAAAATGTTTGCCGGTGAAAGCATCCATCGTTGGTGGCCTGCGCGATAATGAACGGAGGCAAGCGTCAGAATCATTATTGGACCTGTTTCCCTACTACCTGTAGTTGCACTCGCTGAGATAGTGGCGGTATGTGATCATTATTACAAAATACCCCTTAGGAGCTTTCCTTTCCTACATTGTACACCGCCAAGCCGCCTACTAGCGGATCTTCGACGCCTGTCGACGGTCGCACATCGTGCTAGAAAAAAATAGTGCCGTCGATCATTGGGACCGAGCGATCGGTCATAGACTCAATGCACATTCTATATCACCCTAGGTAGCTGCCACCATTGAGTTATTCCTTGTGGCTAATATCTAATTTTAGCATGCCTTGTATCGGGGTTCAAACATTGATTTATTTTATCAAATAACATAGTTTATGCCCTTGTTAGGGTGGGTCATGATCGAATTGTTATGGTCCACAACACAGGTGGGGCATTCCTCAGCGTGGACAGGTCTCGGGAATAAAAGATGCAGGATCTGATCTCCCTTGCGTTAGATTGTCTAGCAGTATCGTGTTCTCCTTTTTGAGAGAAACTTAGGAGATCCGATAGCAATGAAACCTAGCCAGAAATGGCGTGCAGAGTGGAAATCCCAACGCGAGGTACAGGTGAAATATTTAACTAGTGTATCCACTAAAGATCATATCCAATAAGTTGGAGCGATCAAGTACTCACTCTCGGAATGCTTGCCAAACCGATAATCTCAAGTCGTGTTTGTTTCAACATATCTTCTTCATATGTGCATTTACACACCAAGTTTCCTCACGAAGCAGACCTCATCAACGCCCCTGCTTTGACCTGAAAATGAAGCTCGATCTCGATCCGCCTTTGACATCTAGTCAGGGATCTGAAGAAACTTCGCAATATCCCTCCACTACGACACCTGCATGCCACGAGAAAGACAATACACTAAAGAGCCCAAGCGAATGGAAAGACGCGATACATATTCTCTTTGGCCACTTTGGTTGTTTCAATTCCTGGGGTATGGTCAATAGCTTCGGAATCTTCCAGCAATACTACACAAACGAATTCCATTGGTCATCTTCAACCACGTCTTGGATCGGAAGTATTCAGATTTTCCTTCTATTTGCCGTCGGTGTTTTTGCCGGTCGTGCAGTGGATGCGGGTTACTTTCGATCGACTCTCTATCTGGGCATTTCCTTTCAATTGCTCGGTCTGTTTGCTGCTTCCGCCGCAAAGGAATACTGGCAGTTTTTACTAGCCCAAGGAGTTTCACTTGGGCTTGGCCATGGCCTTATCTTCGTTCCTGCGGTCGCTGCTGTGTCATCATATTTTCGTCGATGGAGAACACTTGCCGTGGGGCTTGCCTCCGGGGGGCTGCACTTGGTGGGCTGATATATCCAGCTATAGCTAGTCAACTGCTATATAGCGTAGGACTTGGTTGGGCTCTGCGAGTGATGGGCTTTGTCTTGTTTGCCACATACATCCCATCTCTTATCTGGGCTCGAACTGCATTTCCACCTCGTAAATCTAGCGCACTTGTGGAATGGTCCGTTTTTAAAGAGGTTCCTTATACATTAGGTGTCATAGGCTTCTTCCTCATATACTGGGGAATTTCTTTTGCCTTCTTTTACGCGGGCAGATTCGCGCAGGACATCCTTGCTGGATCTCGGGAAGATTGTCTTTACCTTCTAATGATCATCAACGGCTGTGGCTTTTTCGGTCGCATCTTTCCAAGTCTCCTCGCCGACATTAAGTTTGGATTACTGAATGTCTTGGCGTGTTTCACGCTCTTCAGCAGCATTGCTATGTATTCATGGCAACGCGTCGAATCCCTTGAGACTATGTACGTCTTCGTTGCATTCTACGGTTTCTTTGCGGGGGCTGTCCAGTCTCTTCTCTCGGCATTATCACCCTGTCTCACGGCTGATGTACGCAAACTCGGAACCCTGATGGGTATGATGATGACCATCGTCGGATTCTCGGCACTCACCGGAACACCTATTGCGGGCGCCTTGATTGAAAAAGCCGGGGGGAGCTACATATATGCTCAAAATTTCACTGCATCAGCCATGATGGCTGCAGCCCTTTGTATTGCCGGGGCCCGAATCTCTAAAACAGGATGGAAGCTTGCAGCGAAAGCTTAATTTCCAGAGAATGAATCATCTTTCGGTTACATTAGGGTCAGGGTTAGTTCTAGGATCGGACGATATCTTTATTCGCTTTCTTTTACTTGTATCTATCATCTTTAGACTCTCTAAACCATACACATACGATCTTGATGGAAATGATTACATACATAGTAGATATATTTTCTACCAAGGTCCAAGTGAGTTAGGTAGCTGGCACTACACTAATCACTGTGCCTGTTCCGATCCACTTATGAACTGACTGGCTGGTGTAAACGTTCAAACATGACCGTACGAGATTGTGCCCTTTGGGGATGGTAGATCCAGGTTCAGATTATGGGTCCGGGAATTTACCTTTTTCCTGTTTTCTACTTTGTATAGTATCTATTGGAATGCCAAAAGGCACCCACACAAAGTGCGGGTGCATCAGCCTTATATTGTCGTGTTTGATATTCTTAGAAAGGAAGAAAAAATGCGCTTCCTCGTTGTTCTTATACGAATTGTCAAGAGTTGTTTACTTTACGGCAGCATTGTGATGAAAGCTTTGAACGTGAGTGAAAACTGCCAAGAAATTATCACAGGTACGTGGACATGTCAGCATCTATCTTCGAAAGCCAAATAACTTTAGCTATGAGAAAAGAATCAGGGGTATTATACTTCAGACTCTGACTTTGATCTCGATACCAAGACCACTCACATTATAGCCAATCTGGCATAGCCAATCTTCTATGTGTTTCATACCCTGTCTGCTGTTATTCATTTTTTTGGCCCGCAGTTCCTTATTCGCGAAGTATTTTGAAGCCCGACAGTGTAGGACTCAGTCTTTCCACGGCACTCTGTAATGGGATGGCTTAGGCTGCTGTCAAAAAGCGAATGGGCCCGGGTCATAGAGGGTGGACCAGTATGATAACCCTCACCTCGCTCTCGCCTCACTCCTAAAAATTGCCAGTTGTCAAATTGCCGTGCCACTACTTCGTAAAACAAAGGGGTCGCTAGGGCTTCTCCTGTAATAGGTTAGTAGTCCCATTTTATGGAGCGAAAAAGCAAGAAAATCATTTTTTATCGTATTGGATATCTCAAAATCAAAGCTAGAAAAACTAAGAGAAAAAAAGAAAACAAGATCCGGGACTGAATCCGCCGGCGTTGAAGAATGTTAAACCACGCCGACCGAGGAGTGACAAACCCTCCTAACAAGGAAATTCGAGCGCCGATGTGCCCACAGTTTCCGGAAATTATCCTCGTGCCTCGTCTGGCGAATATGAAGCTTGGCAGATCGGGCACTTATAACGACGGTACTCGAACCAAGACTTAAGGCACTCCAAGTGGAAGGCGTGATTGCAGCGGTTCAGAACGAGGATTGAATCGGGTGTAGCGTGATGCGCCCCGCATGCGCAGAGTCGTGGAGGTGGATTATGTGCGTGGGCCAGAACGGTTGGGTCGGGATAGGTCAGATATGGAGAAGACGCTAGGGAGCAGAGACATATAGAGCTGAGTAGATTGATTTGTTAGTATCGCTCATTCTAGAAGGTTCAACCGATTTGGTGCTCGCTTGTTTATCTTTGTCTTTCAGCAACGAGGGGTATTGGCATTGGAAATGCGGGCGAAACGTGGTTTTGCCCAGAGGTGCGACCCGTGTCGACAAGACATCGCCGATCCCCATAGGGCGGAAGGGCCAGAGCCCAGCCCTGGTGGTCCCGCAATACATCATCGAGCCGCGCCAAGGAGTCAAGGATGGGGGCCGGAATCGGAGACCGGTGGAACAAGAGACAAATATATTCGACTCACCAAGTATCTTGGTCAAATTGCTGGACACAGGCCGGTACGTTTTGCTCTTCCAACCACCGGTCAACGGAAATTGGTTCGCCGAGTACATTCTGCATCGGTACCTGATAAAATGGCGGGAGCACCCGGGTCTCAGCCATTGCCTGCGTCGCTGCACGTCGTCGATGATGCCACATGATCATGCTAGAATATCAGTGAATCATGGATCAGCACGTCAGAACTTCGAGAACACTTCGCATGCATGAAGCGGGGGCCAAGACATGTCCGTGCAGGTACTCACATAGGAATCATGCTGATCAACGAAAACAGGGCAACGGCCCCAATCACAACCCCGATTATCTCCTCTCGCGGTATAGAGTCGTCCGCCATAAGTGGAGGATCATGGACACACTGGGTCCAAGCGAAGAAGATATGGATACGAGATAGACTGAAACGGAAAAAAAAAAACAAAAACAAAAAAACAGAACAAGGAAGAATTGAAGTATCGCCCAAGAAGGCTCCCAGGGTCCAATGGGAGTGAAAAAGTAGGACGGTGCAACCTGGATCGGATCACTCGGGTCAATTATTCAATGTAAATTGTGTTGGTGTATTCAGGTACCGTGTCCCCAATAATTTTACCCATTCTTTGAGGCAGAAATCTGAAATAGATCCAAAAATCAATCAGTTTGCCACATAACTTTCATCAAAAATCCCCCGGAGAAGTGGGCGGATTTGAAGCGGAGGAACTCTCAGACCTCGGCCCGCCAAGAAACCCCAAGAGCCAAGAACCAAGATGCCAAGATACCAAGAAAGGGAAATAAATGAACCAGGAATCGAGACGAGACCTGTTTTGCCAAGAATACCCCGCACCAATAAAAGTCCAATGTTTATCGCGTGGTAGTTTGCCGAGACAGCGCCTAGAAGTCGTTTGCGTCATCACCAAAGAAATCAAAAAGTAAGAGTAATGCGCCAAGGTGAGTCCGCTTAATACCGATTGTTGGTTATGAGTTTTGATTGGTGATACTTATCATAGAACCAGGTTGATTCCCCAGACTTCACTTATTCTGGGCCATTGCAACCGAACTTCTTCCGGACCAGATACCCGGTCATACTGCTTTCGCCATCGGAATAATTTAGATCTTTGATCTTATTTATACTCGGACATGTCCCACTGAAAACGAGGGAACTTAGAGAGAAGTTATACTAAATACAAAAGAAGTACTTGGGTAATTCTGCTTGGTGTATGGACTCTCATTCTCTTGCCGATACCTATTATATGACGCCCCCTTAGAGCCTCATAGAAAGTACCATTCAACACAACTAGAAGAAATCACCCTCCCCCTTTGCGATATGTCGCAGGAAAGAGAGAAAGGCTCTCCTGCCGACAACACTCAACAATTCCTCTCCCAACCCGCCCACAGTCTCTCTTATGAAGATACCATCAAAGAACTCGGAACCAACTCTGATGATGGGTTAACCTCCGCCGAGGTCAAAGAGCGATTGCAGAAATATGGCGAGAATATGCTGGAAGGAGACGAAGGTGTCTCTTTGGCGAAAATTGTCATTCGGCAAATCGCCAACGCCATGATGCTGGTAAGTCGAGACATGAAGAGAGTAATAACGTGTGAAAAGACTGCTGACCAAAATAGGTTCTCATTATTGCCATGGCTGTCAGTTTCGGTATTCAATCGTGGATCGAAGGAGGATTCATTGCCGCCGTCATCGCCTTGAACATCGTGGTCGGAGTGTATCAGGATTACGCAGCTGAGAAAACCATGGACTCTTTGCGATCCCTCAGTTCCCCAACTGGTGTGGTCTCGCGCGATGGAAAGACTGCTACAGTTGCAGCAAACGAAATTGTTCCTGGTGATATGGTCGAATTGAAAGTCGGAGACACTGTCCCTGCTGACGTCAGGTAAGTTCCCGGCGCCGGATCCAATATACCTTCCTGATATTCTTTTCCCTCCATGTATCTAACTCATCGACAGGTTGGTCGAAGCTTTCAACTTCGAGACAGATGAAGCATTGTTGACTGGCGAGTCTTTGCCAGTTCAGAAAGAAGCCGAAAGTATTTTCGACGTCGATACCGGCCCAGGCGACAGACTCAATATCGCCTACAGCTCCTCAACAGTGACTCGAGGCCGCGCCCGCGGTGTCGTCGTGGGGACTGGTATGCGAACTGAGATCGGAGCCATAGCGCAGGCACTCCGTGGAACTGACTCCAAACGCCGACCTGTCAAGCGTGGACCCGAAGGTGAAACAAAGAAGAGGTGGTATGTCCAGGCTTGGACTTTGACGACCACCGATGCTATTGGCCGGTTTTTGGGTACCAATGTTGGCACACCGTTGCAGCGCAAGCTGTCCAAGCTGGCTCTATTGCTCTTCGCCATTGCCGTTATCTTCGCGATCGTTGTGGCGGGCTCGAATGACTGGCGCGGTGATAGCGAGGTGATCATCTATGCGGTCGCTACTGGTCTTGCTATGATCCCGGCTTGTTTAGTGGTTGTTTTGACTATTACTATGGCCGTTGGAACAAAGCAAATGGTTAAACGCAATGTTATCGTTCGAAAGCTCGACTCTTTGGAAGCTCTTGGTGCCGTCACCAATATCTGCTCCGATAAGACTGGTACTCTGACTCAGGGTCGTATGGTTGCCAAGAGAGCTTGGATTCCATCGGTCGGAACATACTCGGTCGGTGCCTCCAACGAACCTCTAAACCCTCGCGATGGCGCTTTGAGCTTGTTACCCGAGCCCCCCATCAAGGCGGTGCAGGATAACCTTGGAAGTGAAGCAACTCCGGAGGAACTACTCAAAGACAATGATGCGCTCAAGGAGTATCTCGACGTTGCCTCCATGGCTAATTTGGCCCACATTCACGAAACCACCAACGATGGGTGGCAGGCTCGTGGCGAGCCAACCGACATCGCCATTCAGGTCTTCGCGTCTCGTTTTGACTGGGGTCTGGACCGCTGGACAAAAGGAGAGAAGCCCACCTGGTCGCAGAAGGCCGAGTATCCTTTCGACTCCAGCGTCAAGAAGATGTCTGTTATTTTTGCGAAGCGCGAGGATCACTCAGAGAAGAAACGCGAGATGATTTTCACCAAGGGCGCCGTCGAGCGCGTTCTGGAAGCTTGCACCACTATCAAATGGAAATCGGATGCCGACGCTGTCCCCATTGACGACGAAATCAAAGACGAGATCCTGAACAACATGGAGGCTTTGGCCAAAGAAGGGCTTCGAGTCCTTGCTTTGGCCGGTCGCGAGAATACCTCACCCGCGAAAGAAGGTGGAGATCCCCTTCCCCGAGAGGAGGTTGAGAAGGAATTGTCGTTCTATGGACTGATCGGTCTTTATGATCCTCCTCGCCCGGAAACTGCCGGCGCTATCGCTCAATGTTACAAGGCTGGCATTTCCGTGCATATGGTCACTGGTGATCACCCCGGCACAGCTCGTGCTATCGCTGCGCAAGTCGGAATTATCCCCTCGAACATGGATATGATTGCCAAGGATGTTGCCGATGCAATGGTCATGACGGCCTCTCAATTCGACAAATTGACTGAAGATGAAATTGACAACCTGCCCACTCTCCCACTGGTTATTGCTCGATGTGCGCCTAACACAAAGGTCCGCATGATCGATGCTTTGCATCGCCGTGGTCGCTTTGTGGCTATGACTGGTGACGGAGTGAACGACTCTCCCTCCCTGAAGCGAGCCGATGTTGGTATTGCCATGGGACAGAACGGCTCTGATGTGGCCAAGGATGCCTCCGAGCTGGTGCTCTCTGATGATAACTTTGCCTCCATCATCAACGGTATTGAGGAGGGTCGTCGTATCTTCGATAACATTCAGAAGTTTGTTCTCCATCTTCTTGCTGAGAACGTTGCTTTAGCTTTAACCTTACTTATCGGTTTGGCTTTCAAGGATGACAGCAACCAGTCTGTCTTCCCGATTGCACCTGTTGAGATTATTTGGATTATCATGATTACCTCCGGTCTCCCCGATATGGGTCTTGGAATGGAGATTGCTGCTCCAGAGGTGATGGATCGTCCACCACAAAGCGTGTGTCTCTCTAATAACTCCCCTCAGCCAGTTCATACTAACAAGATCAATAGAAACAAGGTATCTTTACTTGGGAAATCATCATCGACACTCTCGTATACGGCGTCTGGATGGCCGCCCTGTGTCTATCAGCCTTCGCACTTGTCATGTTCCGCTGGGGCGATGGAAACCTCGCCACGGGCTGCAACACACAATATAATGACCCCAACAAGCCCTACACTTGCGACACGGTCTTTCGCGCCCGAGCTACAACATTTACGTGCATGACCTGGTTCGCTCTCTTCCTCGCCTGGGAGATGATGAACCTCCGCCGCAGCTTCTTCCAAATGCAGCCTGACTCCAAGCGCCGCTTCACCCAGTGGATGCATGATATCTGGCGCAACAAGGTCCTCTTCTTTGGCATCATGACTGGTTTCGTTCTTGCCTTCCCCATCTTGTATATCCCTGTCATCAACCACAGTGTCTTCAAGCATAGCAGTATCTCCTGGGAGTGGGGTATTGTCTTTGTTGAGACGGTGTTATTTTTCCTTGGTATCGAGTCTTGGAAATGGTGCAAGCGCGTTTACTTCCGTCGCCAGGACCGAAAGGCTGCGGCGAGGGGTGATCAGCCTGGTGAGAGTCGCGTTTTCAGAGATTTCAGTCGCTATACCACCATAGATCGTTCTGATACCCAGGCTAGTGACATGAAGGTTGAGAAATCTATGGTTTAAATGTTGTGCGAAATCATTTTGGTCGAGCGTTGACCTGGTTAGATAGATTAACGATATATTTTGCATTCGGGGATACCCATCGATTTCCGCTATCATGAGACATTAGATAGATAGCAGATAGTTCATAGCATTCAATTATCGTTTCCACTGAATCCATGTTTCGATATCTTGGCCTTCATGGTGAACAAGATACAAATGATAACTAACTTGTCGATGATGGTCCTCAATCCATACCTGGATCAAGATTGATATCATCACTACGAGCCATGAAATTTATTTGCCGGATCAATTATATTGGTAACATCATAGAATCTTGCAACACATGATGATCATTGATCAATTAGTAAGTAATATCCATTCAAGTAACAACATAACAACTTTTGAGTACGAATATAATCATCATTAGGTTAGTAATGTATCCCACCTGGGCAGTGGCCTTAGAGACATTGAATGTCCGGTTGCCAATCAAACAACAACCGAGAAAACAAGCAGAATTTGCCCTTAGTACCTAGGTAGCATTGCGGGCTGAGCGGACAATAAAGTCGAGAGACAGTGAAAGAGGTTCAAGCTATACCTTTAGTCTTGGGCCTGTGAACCTCGTGCTTGTCCTCGGGGTAATCCATGTCTGTCCAGGTCTCCCGAAAACAGGCACCCTCTTGAGCGAAGTCACAGTCTCCTAAATCAGAGCAAACACAAAAAGCGCCATGATGATTGATAGCACATCCGTTACATTCAGGTGGCGAGCCAGGGGCAGTATAACTGTGACGCTACCGATCACAAGGCGCATAATGAGACGAAAAGGCTAGAGCAAACATTAGAAGCTGGCGTGGTGGTAACGAGAGTAGGATACAAGAATGGCTATCAACATAACTTGTCCAAGATCAGAGTCCCCGACTCGTCGTTAGAGTTGTGCAGCAGATCAAACACATATAGCAAGACCATGCCTGTACCTAGCGTCCCACAAAGGAGCCACCGGTGTGGGTCTTCAAGCTCTTTCTCAGCGACCGACTGTGCCACAACATGGCCACCAGCTAGCAAACTACCAATGAGCGGTAGGTGGATCAATGCTCAGGGAAAAGCAGTGTAAATCGAGTGACGCAGGGGGGTGGGTTGTATCCAATGCGCCATCGGCGTGGGCATACAGCCAATTCAAACAGAATGTAATGACTACTGTCCAAAATGCGCATAAAAGCGGCTCGTTCAGTCCGACTGCAGCATAAGAGCCGACCACGATCAAATATATGAACTCGCCCAGCGCGATGATATAGAATGTAGCGAACCAGTCACTTTCATGGCCGATATCCACTGCCGTTTACCATCTCATGCGAAGAAGTCTCTTGATAGCTGGTGAACAACATAAGATCCAAACAACGATCCGATCTCAAGCGTGATGGCAATAGCAGCAGCAGCGATTCTAACGCGTATCGAGACCGAGTCGAAATATAGGGGGATGTAAATACACAAGGTCAGGCTAGAAAGAGCAACTCAGAGGCGCTGTTGTGGACGATGGCGGTAGCTGAAGAAGGAGTAGAGTAGGTGGGCGAAGTTGCAGGAGACTCACGCGACCATGTACGATACCACGGTGGATCGCATGGCGCTGATGTCTTCAGCGGCAAGGTTGGGGGGGGGGGGGGGGGTTACCTTATACCACCAATGCGGCCATAACTCGAGGAATTGAAATCGCGCTGCAGAAGATCGTCGGTGTTGAAACCGTTCATCAACTCGCGCAGATCGCTCCACACATACCATGATGAGGCCAGAATTAGCTGTTGGGTGTTTTAGCCTTGTCGCGTCTTGGAGTGGATGACACAACGCGATATCGGAAGAGCCAACTCACAATGTGTTTCACCTACTTGAAACCAGAGATGTTTTCAGCAAGGGTATCAGCGAAATTTGAAAGGATCGCGACATAGAGCAGATCGAGAAATAGCTCGAATCGCCCAGCTTGTCACTTGCCGTCCTGACGGCGCACCAACTTTCCATCTTCGAACCATTGTAGGGCACGTGGTTGACTGAACAAGAAACGAGGATATGATTGTCCCTCTGATTCTAAGAGGGTCGACCTGTCTCAGTTGTATAGGGGGTGAAGTTGGAAGAAGGTAAGAGTTGGAGTCAAAGGAGAATCGAATCTGAAAAGCTTAAAGACGATCTTTTTTGGCCCCGCCGTTCATCGAATCCCATCTCGCACTTGACTAGATTACTCAATCATATACATAGATATGTATGTATATAGTATTTGGTATATAATTCAGACATATACTCCAGTTCATATGCACATAATTTTTACTCCCATTCCTAAGGAAAATATGGTGATGGGCATTTTCTTTCAAGAGATATGTTATACACCTCCGGGGCCGTTCTCATAACTTGAATACCTTCATATTACTTTGATCCAACCAAAACTGAATGGTCCGCGCTAGCCCATCGATCTCTGTTTCTGTGTTTCCTGCATGTAAACATACCCGCACCCGTTCCTTGCCTTCAGGAATGGTTGGCGGCATGATGGCACGCACGACAAATCCTCTTTCTTGGCAAAAGGCTGCAAGCTGCCGGGGTTGTGATGTTCGGAGAGAGATAATTGGGGAAGTGGGGAAGTGATCAACCTCGAACATGACTGATTTGTATGTTTGCAGGCCATCCAGTCGTTCTCGGAGGTGGGATATCAACCGTTGAAGTCGGCACTGTAACTATTATCGATATCAATAGCCGATTTTGAGAAAGACTTGGGAAAGTTTACTTACTGATTCGGTTTCTCCATTTTGCAGAAGCTCATAGGCTGCGCGAATCGATGCCAGGAACGGGAATCCCAAAGCTGTCGTGTAGATCAAACTCCGGGCATAGTTGATCAAATAATCCCTTGTCTCTGGCCCACAAAGAACCATAGCTAACTGAAGGTCATTCAATCGCTCCTTCTCAATATCTGCCCACGAAAACATACCTCCATGACTGGCGAGCGCCTTCCCGAAAGTGTGGACACGTATGAACATCCGATCCTGAACACCGAGCTCTTGAACAACACCCGCACCCTTCGGCCCAAACACACCAGTGGCGTGCGCCTCATCGACATAGAAATATCCGTTACCGTGGGGTAAAAGTTCATCCACAATTTGAATAAACTCCTTAATGGGAGCCACATCGCCATCCATGCTATAGATGGACTCAATGACGACGAACACATTTCGTGCGCCTCTTTCAATTTCCGGATCTTCACTCATCTGAACCAACAAAGTCTCTCTCAATCCAGTCGGCGAACTATGAGCAAACATTTTCCGAGGTCCGGCTCGTGATAGACGCATGCCCTCGTGGGCACTGGCGTGGATGAGCTCATCATACAGAATCACATCGCCTGGCTGAGGAATGCTGGATAGTACTCCAACGTTCGCATCATACCCGGAATTGAACAAAAGTGCTGTCGGGGCTTGATGGAAAGTCGCGACATAATTTTCGAGTTCTTCCGCATATGCCGAATTCCCGTCTAATAGCCGGGAACCGCCGCTGGCAAAAGGAAATGATGGTGGTGTGTTGTTTAGTAAGGAAAGAAATCGCTCCCGGTATGCGGAAGATGTTGATAGTGAAAGAAAGTCGTTGGAGGAGAAATCCACTGCTGTCCGGGGCAAAACTGTCAATCTCCGACGGGCAGATTTAGCTTCCCGCTGCGACAATGCCTCGGAGAATGAGTCAACGAGGGTTTTGGACGTTGAACAAGATGGTTTTCTCTGTGATGAACTCATGTTGGCCATTAATTCAAGATTGTTGAGTCATGAGATGAAAGAAGAAGTCTCAATGGCACATAAGTATATTTCGGTGTTTGTTCCTGGTGCCTGAGCGCGTCAATGATCATCCACTTTATGCTGTGAACCGAACCGTTGACAAAGATTAATGCGTCGCAATTTGCATCAATTCAAAAGAACCATGTTCTCATCAAGTCCCAATATTTTTTTTCAACTCCAAAAGCCAAAGTTCGTTGAGAAAAAGCCCAACGGGACAAGAATATAACCTCGGTGAAAGGGAGTTTGTGGAGTTTGACGGGGAAAACAATGATTCGTTCGGGTAACTCGTTGACTTCCCTTGTCTCCCGACGTCGATACTCCGTACTCAAATGTCAATATCAAAAGAATATTCAAATATTCATACTATTGATTCATTATGCCTGTAGGGGCAGCGTTATGGCGTAATTTACGCGCACATCAAGTCTACGGCGCTAACACTGACGTGGGGAAGACCATCGTCTCCACGGTGTTGTGTAATGCCGTTCAACGACAGAATCAACAAGCCGCTTTCCTCAAACCTGTGTCAACAGGTGCATTGAATGATGCTGATGACAGGTATGTACCATTGACTTGAAAAAACACCATGGAATGTTCAATTGCTGATCTCTCATCTCAGACATTTAAAGCGCTTCGGGGCGGGAACACTCACCAAGTGCCTCTACCAATTTGATGACCCAGTTAGCCCGCATTTGGCGGCAAAAGATAAAGTGGTATGTTGAATAGTGTTGATCATCATGATCGAAGATCTAATTCCAGTAGGTCCCACGCGATGAGGATCTCCTCGCCTCAATACACAAGACGCTGTCCGGTTGGGCCCGGTCGGACATTGACTTCGCCTTGGTCGAAACTGCTGGCGGCGTACACTCTCCAGGACCCAATGGAAACTCCCAGGCGGACTTGTATCGACCTCTCCGCTTGCCCATTGTCCTAGTGGCGGACTCTCGTCTAGGAGGTATTTCCTCTTCCATCTCTGCCTACGAGTCCCTCCTACTCCGCGGCTACGATGTCTCATCGGTTCTCTTGTTCCGGGACGAGTACTATCAAAACCATGAATACTTGCGCGATTACTTCCAGCGCAAGAGTATTCCTTTAGTATCATTGCCCGCACCACCTCCTCGACCATCGCAATTGGATCCCAACTCTCAATTAAGGGATGAGGAAGCTATGCTCAACTACTACCAAAAGTCCGCAAAAGAGTCGGAAATCCTCCGCCTCTTGGAGGATATGTCGGTTAAGAATACTGAGCGCGTCGAGCGCCTGGAAGAAATGGCGGATCGTGCCCGGGATCTGATCTGGTACCCCTTTACTCAACACCAAGGCATGAAGGCCAAGGACATCACCGTAATCGACTCCGCACATGATGATTACTTCCAGACATTCGGCCGTGGTCAATCTCAATCACAAAGCGAACTGCGCCCGACCTTTGACGGCTCTGCCTCCTGGTGGACCCAAGGCCTGGGCCATGGTAACCCCGAGCTGTCGCTTTCCGCTGCCTATGCCGCCGGTCGGTACGGCCATGTAATGTTTGCGGGCGCAGTTCACGAGCCCGCCCTCTCGCTAGCGACTGATCTGCTGAAGGCTATTGATAACCCGCGTTTCAGCAAGGTTTTCTACACCGACAACGGAAGTACTGGTATGGAAGTCGCTGTAAAGATGGGTCTTCGTGCATCTTGCGACCGGTATGGTTGGGACGCGACTCAGGAACAAATCAGTATCTTGGGACTCAAGGGCAGCTACCACGGTGATACTATCGGTGTCATGGACTGTTCGGAGCCTTCGACATATAACCAGAAGGTTGAGTGGTACCGTGGCCGCGGTCACTGGTTTGATTTCCCTCTCGTCAAGATGGTGGGCGGGTCTTGGAAAGTGGAGGTTCCAGAGGAGCTGCAGGCGGACCTTGGTGAAGATTCTGACTTTGCTTCTTTGGGCTCGGTCTTTGATCTCACAGAGCGCCTTGAATCTGCCACGGCCAAGCGCTACAAGGAGTACATTCACCGCACTGTTGAGGGTCTCGTCCAGCGCCAGGGGATGAAGTTCGGTGCTTTGATCTTGGAGCCTATCATCCTCGGCGCAGGTGGAATGTTGTTCTGGTTCGTATCCAATCGGTATTACCCCGTTTCTTCAATTTTATACTAATGACCATGTACAGCGACCCCTTGTTCCAGAGATGCTTGACCGATGTGGTCCGCGACCACCCTGAACTGTTCTCCGACAACGCCTCAGCCCCTAAGCAATCTCCCTCATGGTCTGGCTTGCCCGTCATCTTCGATGAGGTGTTCACCGGACTTTACCGCCTCGGTCGCCCGACCTCCGCTTCCTTCCTGGATGTCCACCCCGATATCGCAGTCAACGCCAAGCTCCTCACTGGCGGTCTTATCCCACTCTGCACCACAGTAGCCAGCGAGGAGATCTTCGATGCCTTCTCTAGCCCGGAGAAGAGCGATGCTTTGCTTCATGGCCACAGTTATACCGCCCATGCTGTTGGTTGTACGGTTGCTGTGGACTCCCTGAAGACCATGGCTAAGCTTGACTCCAATGGTTCTTGGGATGCATATCGGGAGGACTGGAGCAACGGCTCTAAGGCGGCTACACATGCATCCACTCCTGAAGTCTGGAGTGTGTGGTCGCAAGGCCTACTTCAGGACTTGTCTTGCGCGGAATCAGTGGAGAGTGTCTTCGCTATTGGAACCGTGTTGAGCATTTCGCTACGTGATGCAGACGGTGGAGGATACACCTCCAATGTTGCCAAGGGGCTGCAGCAGAGTCTGGCGGTTGGAGGTGATCAATTCAATGTCCATTCGCGCGTCCTTGGAAACGTTCTATACTTGATGTCTAGCGTTACATCCAAGTCCGAGTCATTACAAGAGATGGAGAGTTTGCTGCGATCGGCTCTGGTCTAGGGGCATTAGATAAATACACATATGGCCATTTTAATTGCGTCCTATGAATACACCCACAAGAAATTGCTTTGAATCGTATATGCAATTGTTCTCATGGAGAGCAATCTATGAAGGGAAAATCTGTACTGAGTATCCGATATCGATACATGCCATTGACTGCACAACACTAAGATTGAAGAGAGATCACACATTCGATGGGGCAATGGACCTTATGGAGACGGCATAATACTCACCATCTCCATCATCCTCGTTGGTAATATTCCATTGCAGAGAATATGCCCCGTCCTGCGTCTGATTCTCCTTGGCATAGAACAGAGAAGTGTAGTCACCCTCGTCAGTCTCCACCAGCAGGAAGTGTCCATACCAGACAAATTTCTTGGTGACTTGGTCCGAGGATGCATCAGCCGTGAAGCCCACTTGGTGGTCTGTAGAGTTGGCACTTGGGATGAACAATTCCTGGTTGGAAAACGAACCCGAGGTGCGTCTCTTGCCGTCAGATTCGGTGCCGTTGGTTGGGTTGCCGACTAGAGACCCGGAGGATCCAGGGGTGACTGTAATAGGGTTAGAATAAGATAACCACTGCGATTTTATAGTGTGCTTACATGTAACCTGGCCAACATCGGTTGCGTTGGCTGGCGTGTGATTGGCAATGACCGCGATTCCTTGAAGGTTATTGTCAGTCATTGCTTCTATTTGAAAGTACACTTCATTCTCAGTTATTTTCTCACCATGGGCGTAATATAATGGAAGTCCCCCAATGTTTTCGCCATAAGCGTAAAGACTGTACGAGTCCGAGCTGCGTTGGTTGAGAACTCCTGCAGATACCGTGGAGGCAAAGGTAACAAAGCAAAGACCGAATGGCTTTGTCCACATCATGACTTTGATGAGAGATAAGGAGAGGTCAGCTGGTATGTATCAGTGTGAAGAAATGGAAAGTAGTCAATGGAAGAGATAGGCCGAAGTAATAACAGAAAAATGGGCAATTCTAGGTGTCAGCAATGCCATTTTGGTTGTAATTTAGTACACGCAACCTTCACAGGGCTCATACACTATAATCCAACGAGTGCAGTTCATCTAGATCGCTCTAGAGCTCCGCTGACTGCTCTGGGCTCCACCGAGTCCTATCGAGAAGACCGACAGTTTAGATGGAGCTTCAGGTTGAAAGGGTAAATGAGGAATCTCAAGGCAGACAAGAATTTTTCCATGCAACTCGCAACTCACTTGGCAGAGATGGAAATATAAAAATAGAAATACTGCAGAGCACGAAGATGCGTAGCGACCAGGGGTTAATTTGATCTATTTCTATGATACTGTACGCCTTTTTCATCGCTCCATACAAGCATATTGTAACCATTTGTCATATTATAATCCCTTACATCTTTTTACACCTCTTTTTACAAATTCAAGTGCTTTAGTCTTCTACCAGACTTAAGTCAAACATCATAAGGCAGCAGTTCTAGAAATAATTCAAGCCGACCCCTGGCCGCTATGCACCTTCACAGCAGAGCTTGCGTCGGAGCTGACGTTTGCGTGTGATCTTTTTCCCAAAACATCCCGCGATCTTGGCGTGGTGGGGCTAAACTATCTGTGATAACTTTGTTGATCTACTTTATTTTGGTATTTTGCCCTCCATGTTGTGAAGTATTATCATGCATCCGTGGAATATTTCTATCCTTTTTGATTACTGCACTCTTCCAAACTATTAGACATATCCAGCGTTTCACAGCGCACAGCGGGAATATCAAAATCTAGTTGCAAACCGACAATCTCACCTTTAAAGGCACGACTAGAAGAGTTAGGGCTATAGAATGATCCTGTTCCATCTTGGATGTAACATCTGCAGTCAGATGCGCTAATTTAACTCTAATGCACACAAAATTGAGATATGCATGGGTATTAGTGCGGGTGCGGCCCGGCGTTCCCTGTGAGCTTGGTTTGGGGCATCAGGCCGCGTAACCTTAATTGGCTATGCTTTGGTACTCGCAACTCCTCACCAGGAACTCTTCAGAACTATGAAGCATATATAGCTTTCTATAGCGGGAATATAAAACCTAAGTTGTAAACCGAGAACCTCATGTTGACCGGTAAAACTGAAGAGTTAGGGCTAGAGAATTATCCTATTCTATTCTTAGATGCAATATCTATAGTCCGATGAGCTCATCCAACATTAGTGCAAAAAGTCCCTAATATGCATAGTTGTTAGTGCGGGCGCGGTCCAGTGTTCCTTGTAGGCTTGGTATGGAGCCACCAGGCCGCGTAACCTCAGTTAGCTGTGCTTGGATTGGATTCGTCAACTCTTCACCAGGAATCCTTCCGAACTATGAGGCATATACAGCTTTCACAGCGGGAAAATCAAGAAGCGACAAACATGGGTAATCGAATCAGCCTAAGAACGACTACGACATCATCTACTCGTCTAAATAGACGTTTACCCTGTTCACTCGGGCCAATATAGATTCCCATTATCTCTCACACCCGTCCAAGTTTCCTCGTTCATACCGAAGTTTGTCTTTCCTTACATGACAATCCTCCATTTTTGATCACTCAAAGATAGCGGCACTATGAAAGCCGTCTCGGCGATCTCCCTCTTCTGCACTTTGGTTGCAACTGCGTCCGCGAGCATCACCAAGTCATCTTCGATTCTTCCATCCCCCACTTTATCCACCCCTATTCCCTCCTCTTCGAGCAGTGATTCGTCGATATGTTCTGGAAATACAGCAACTACGCGCGATGAGTGGTGTGACTATGATATCAACACGGACTATACCACCACCGTCCCGGAAACAAATGTTACCCGCGTGTACTACTTCAATTTGGAGCAAGTGACAGTTTCCCCCGATGGTCGCTCAAGATCAGCCGTTGCCATCAACGGGTCTATCCCCGGTCCCACAATCGAGGCCAACTGGGGAGATGAGGTCGTTGTGCACTTAACCAACAGTCTTCCCGATTCCCTACAGAATGGGACTAGCATTCACTTCCACGGCATCCGTCAATTCTGGACGAATCAAAACGATGGCGTTGTGTCTATTACCCAGTGCCCTACTGCGCCCAACAACACAATCACCTATAAGTGGCGTGCGATGCAGTATGGCACGACCTGGTATCATTCCCATATTGGCTTGCAGGCTTGGGAAGGTCTTTTTGGTGGTATTATTATTCATGGACCCGCTAGCGCAAACTATGATGAGGACAAGGGCGTTATTATCATGAACGACTGGGATCTCAATACGGTTGATCAGCTCTTCATAACCGCTCAGAAGGATGGCCCCCCAACGCTTGATTCTGGGTTGATCAATGGAACTAATGTCTTCGGATATGATGGCAATGCCAACCAAACTGGTACTCGTTTCAATACCTCCTTCACGGCCGGAACCTCATACAGACTTCGCTTGGTGAATGCAGCGTGTGATACTCACTACAAGTTTTCAATTGATAATCACACCATGACTGTCATCGCCAATGACCTCGTGCCCATCCAGCCATATGAGACAAACGTTCTCAACATCGCCATGGGTAAGCCATACACACTTAATTTCCAACCGTAACGAAACTGACAAGATAGGACAACGGTACGATGTCATCGTTCAAGCAGACCAAGTCTCCGTGGCCAAAAACTTTTGGCTACGAACTATCCCCCAGAATGCCTGTTCGGAAAATGCAAACCCCACGAACATTAAAGGCATTGTGTACTACGGCGACTCACCCTCAACACCATCAACAACAGGCTATGCCTACACGGACAGTTGCGATGATGAGGCAATGTCTGATCTGACACCTATCATCAGCGAATCTGCATCAAGCCCTTTCTACAATAAATCTGAGCCAGTCTCCCTCGGAAAGAACGGGGCTAGCCTTTTCCGATGGAAACTCAATTCAACCTCCATGCACGTCGATTGGGAAGACCCAACTCTTTTGGAAGTCTACGATGGCCACCACAGTTGGGCCAACGTCAGTGGCGTCATAGAAATCCCCCACAAAAATGTGTGGATTTATATTGTCATCGAAACTACCCTGTCTGTGCCACACCCCATTCATCTACACGGACATGACTTTATCATCATTGCCCAGGGAACTGGGACTTACTCAGGCGGTGTGACTACTTTGGCCAACCCGCCGAAACGGGACACGGCTATGCTGCCAGAGAATGGTCACTTGGTCATTGCGTTCAAGACGGATAATCCCGGTGCTTGGTTGATGCATTGTCACATTGGATGGCACACTGCAGAAGGATTCGCTCTGCAGTTTGTGGAACGATACAGTGAGATCAAGCCATTGATTGACTATGACGATCTTCACGATAATTGTAGAACGTGGAGTGCTTTCCAGAATAAGCTGAGTGTGGAGGAGGATGACTCGGGGGTTTAAACTCTGGCTTACGTTTGGATTCCTCACAACCCGGGGTCATCCGGGGAAAGTTTGGAGATATAGGGGCTGGATTGTGTGTGGAGTGATGTACTCCAAGTCCTGTTTCTATTTGTGATATGTTGTCCCAATTCGGAAGCTGTGATATAACTATTTATAATGGATTGTTGGGTGTATGGAGAGGTGTTTATACAATCAACAAACCTTGTGCCAAGTAACTTAACGCACTCATTCAAGCAATCTTTAGTCACTCGGAAAGGCGGCAGCCGCCGCCAAATTCCAGTTTCAATGAGATAAAATCATGCTCAAAATGTATGTACATTGGTGCATTGACCCCTGAACCGGTCCAACGTGTAATCGGCATTAAAATTCCGACATCCGTGTTTGACATAAATGCCGAGTACCTGAATTCAAAATGGTACGGGTAGGGCGTGGGCGTTTCGGCGGTCCCAAGCATAAAGAAACATTGGCAAGGCTTGACAAAGATTTAATTTTTCAGTGGCGAATAACCGCTTCATACCGAAAGGTACCATGGTTTCATGATTCTTTGATTTTCTTTTGGCCACTGGACCCTGAATAATCGACTTGCCATTACATTTTTATTAAAAATCTGAACGTCAAGAAGCATACTGTCCACAGGCTTACAAAGTTGTTTTGTTCGTACTGTACTCGGCTTTCAATAAACAACCTTCAGGATTTCAACGCAAGATCACCCCATGAAAAATGAATATAAGTCTTGGCATTTAGTAACAGCTCCAAATTATACAGACTCGGGATTGGCCATTCATCGAAGTTAGCGGCTACCCTCGGCCAGCCACGCGAGACCGGTGATTCTAATTGTGTAATAGAATTCCGAACCGAGCACATGATTGGTTTAAACGTCGGCGAGTGGATCAAAAGTCCCCACCCTTAAGTCCGGAAGTGGACCGGCCGACGCTTAATTTTTGTCAATGTTCCCTTTTGATGAAAATGAACCTTCAAAGCTTTGCAATTGGAAACCCTGAGCCCCAATTTAAACGTACATAATATGAATATGAAATAGAAATTCGATTGCCACCGATAAGCATGATACCCGCCCCTTCCAGAAGTCCCGGGCCCCAGAATTCCGAGCCCCAACTTCCCATACGCAGGTAAGCTCTCGCGGGGTGTCTCGGTTGACGTTGAGAGATCCACCTCTTGGCTCGAGAATTTTTCACACATAGAAACGCGTTGGCTCGCTCTCTTCTTTCCTCTTCTTATCCCGCTCTTACCTGTTCTTCCTTGTCTGGTATATACGCGTCGGCATCATGATTCTCGATGGAGTGACACCGCAACACGACCGGACCGACTCCGAGTCTGGTTATAATGAGAAAAAGATGGAGCAGGATATGGCTCCTCAGTATCAGGATGCCTTTGGTGACGAGGAAGGCGCGGAGGTCAAATATAAGACTATGAAGTGGTGGCAGACCGGCATGTGTGAGTATATCCACGCGCGACTACATCTACATGGATCACCTCTGACATTGTCTAGTCATGATCGCTGAATCCGTCTCCTTGGGTGTGTTGTCTTTGCCTAAAACTTTGGCCGAGCTGGGTCTCGCGCCTGCTCTTGTCCTCATCATTGGACTGGGCATTCTCGCTACATACACTGGTTACACAATCCACCAATTCCGCGCGCGGTACCCCCACATTCAGAATTTGGCCGACGCTGGTGAGGTCTTATTCGGTGCTTTTGGACGTGAGCTGTTCGGTCTTGGCCAATTGCTCTTCTCGATTTTCATTATGGGTAGTCACATCTTGACTTTCAGTGTTATGATGAACACTGTCACCGAGCACGGCACTTGCACCATGGTTTTCACCACTGTTGGATTCCTGATCTGCTTCGTTTGCTCTCTGCCCCGTACTATGAAGAATATGACTTACATTTCGTGCATGTGTGAGTTAGCCCGACTTCCTACCTGCTGAAATCTCCACTAATCGTCCCATATAGCCTTCTGCAGTATCCTGACTGCCGTGATCATCACCATGGTCGCGGTTGGTGTCCAGAACCAGGGTGGTGTGGACCTTAAGGCCACCATTGATACCGATCTGTTCCGCGCTTTCAGCGCTGTCACCAACATTGTGTTTGCTTACTGCGCTCACGTTGCCTTCTTCGGTCTACTCGCTGAGATGGAAGAGCCCCGGGATTTCCCCAAGGCTTTGATTATGCTCCAGACTTTCGAGATTGTCTTTTACACCGTTGCTGCCGTGGTTATTTACTACTACGTTGGTCAGGAGGTCACTTCTCCCGCTCTTGGATCTGCCGGTCCCGTGCTGAAGAAAGTTGCATATGGAATAGCCATTCCTACTGTACGTTCTCCACTGATTAACTGATTCCTCACGTTCCCCAACTAACATTCGCAGATTATTGGTGCTGGTGTCGTCAACGGCCACATCGGTCTCAAGTACATTTACGTCCGCATGTTCCGCGGCACTGACCGCATGCAAAAGCGTGACGCAGTTGCCATTGGCTCTTGGGTTGGTATTGCTCTTACTTGCTGGGTCATTGCCTGGATCATTGCCGATGCCATTCCCGTTTTCAGCGATCTGCTGAGCCTTATTAGCTCCCTGTTTGCTAGTTGGTTCAGTTACGGTCTTGGTGGTGTGTACTGGCTGCACATCAACAAGGGCAAGTGGTTCTCTTCTCCTCGGAAGATCGCACTCACCATTTTGAACTTTTTGATCATCTTGATTGGTGCTTGCATGTGCGGTCTTGGCCTTTACGTCTCTGGTAAGGCTATCCATGACGATGCCTCCAACAACAGCTTCTCTTGCGCAAGCAATGCCGAGGTTTAAGCGTGCTGTTTGTATAAAACATTCACGATCTATATTGTGTTACGCTGTACGATACTATTCCATCTGTTCATATATTTCTTTTGCATATAGATCTTAGCATTGCTTAAGCATTATTTCCATCTACGACATTTCACTACATAACTACAAAATTATCTATTTTGTGACATAAAACATATGCATAATATCCACCACGCCCCACCACATCAGCTATAGCTGCTTAACGGCCATACCGCATGAGAGAAAGTGTGGTCCACTATGCCTCAATAGGCACAATTCCGTTCGTTAGACTGATCTAAATTTTCGTCGTTGCAATAGATCCGAAAGATAAGCTAGCGCCCTAAGTGGACCAACAAATTCCAACCATTCAGGTGGATTTAAGAACGGTGGGGCAATATTCAAGGGCAGAGAAATCAAATCGATTTTGTGGGAATATGAATCCCCTCCTCAAAGTACACTGGTGATCTTATTACTCTATGGAAAAATGTACACTATTAATGCCTAAATCACTGAATAATATATTTGCATCGCTTATCTGCGTCGCGTCATGAAACATCTCAGAGGTATAGCCCAAATTTGGCTCAAGCACATCACTGGGTCTGGCATTCAGAGCGGCACATGCGACCAGACTCCGAGACAGTCCAGGCATCACTGCCAACAGCCTTCAGCGCGTAGAAGAACGAGGTGGGATCCCACTTTTGCTTTACAGTCAACAGAGGTTTGTAGTTGCTGCCGAAGAAGGTCTCCTTCCAGTTGGGTTGGCGGAAGTCGCCTTCGTTCTGGTAGCAGCCGCTGCCGGGAGTGGCGGCTTCGAGCTGGGGGACGTATTGGTTGGTAATCTTGAACTGGTCATCGACCATCTTGGACCATGGCGCAGTCTCGTTCCAGGGTGTGCCTATCTGCATGGTCACGGCGGCGTTGCGCAGAGCGGGGAAGATGGCGTTGGAGACATTAGCAGGGGCAGAGACATTCATGCCAACACCGACAGCAATCACACCGGACTGAGTGATGTTACGGAGAGCAGCAGCAATGCCGTTGTAGTTCTGCTCCAAGTTCTCGCGCTGGATCAGACGGCCACCATACTGGTAGGAGGCCACAGCCAGGTTGCCCCAGGGCAGAGGACCCATGTACTTGTTGTAGTGGTCATAGTACGAATCGTACTGGGTGTAGGTGGCCTGGTACTGGATGCCCATCTTGGTGAGGGCCGAGGTGAAAGGCTTAAGAATAGATATGACATCATCGGTAGTTTGGTTGTAGGCAGTGATCGGGGCAATGATGAAGACCTTGGAGGTCATCTGGTAGATGACAGTAACACCCTGGTCGACCATGGCAGGCAGCAGAGAGTGGAACTGGGAGACAGCCTCGTAGAAGGTATCGGTGGTGATGTTGGCCGCAGTGAACTCGAGGGCGGCACCAGCGATGGGAGCATCCTGGTGAGCTTTCACGGTCATGGAGACGACAACACCGTAATTACCAGCGCCACCACCGCTCAGAGCCCAGAAGAGATCGGCATTCTCAGTGCGAGAGGCCTTAACCAGCTTTCCAGCAGCGGTAACAACCTCGAACTCCAGAGTGTTATCGGCACCAAGACCAAACTTGGTGCTCAGAGCGGAGTGACCACCACCCTGGGTGTAACCACCTGCGAGACCGACTGTGGGGCACTCACCAGTGACGACAACGAGATCTTTGGCAGAGGCAGCCTCGAGAATCTGGTAGCCGACCACACCGGCAGCGACCTTGAATGCAGGACCCTGGTAGTAAAGTCCAGACCAGTTCTGGTACTCAATATCATTCAAGTGGTGAGTCCAAACAGAAAGGGCGCCAGCACCAGTAGAACGTCCAAGGTAACTAAAGTTGGTTAGCATTGATATAAAGCCTCGTTGAGGCGGTCGAGACTTACTCGTGGCCGGTGTTGCGGATGACAAAACGAATGTTGTGGTGGCGAGCGAAGTTCACAGCAGCAATGACCTGATCGCTAGAAGAAACGTTCACAGCGTAGTTGACGTAGTTACCAAGCTTGCAAGTTTGAGACTTGGCGGTGAAAGGGTCGCAAGACTGATTAGCAAAGAAGGTTTGCATTACCGACGACGAGGAGTCGAGGCTATGTGGCGATTAGTCTCAAATTTACACACACGATAACAATACAATATCACTTACTGAGGTTCTGGCTTAGTCCAGTTGGCCTTGACGACGGCACATGCGGCGGCATCATAATTGGGTGCGTGACAGGGGCTACCAATGGGCACGGTCGCAACCAGACGACCACCAACGGTAGAGTTCAACGAAGCCCAAGCCGAGGGAGCAGGCCAGCAGCTATCGGTCGGCAAACAGTGGCAATCAGACGCAATTGCTGAAGCAGCGAGAGCCACGAGGGAAGCCAATGTCCAGACCTGCATGGTGGGGAGAAAGTGTAAAGAGATAGTTTTGAAAATGGAGTTGGAAATGTCGATCCCTCTCTTTTACTTATATACAAGACCTTCACATTCCTCGGTTCTTTCTCCTGGCTAAGGTGAATAATGTTGACTCTAGATCAATTCGGAGATGTTCCCAAGTGCGTCTAGTCAAATTTGGTTGTGGATGATTTCACCGGAGTTGGAGCCGAGACAAGATCGGGGCCGAGTTGGAAGAGTTCATCGCACGGCCACGCGAGAGCGATCTACGGCAATTAAGGATCGACGGGAACCGAAAGGTAGATACTCTTCCATGGATATTATATCCGTTCGAACACAATATCAGGAACATGACAATCATACAGATTGTCAAGGTGGTTGTTTTTTTAGGGTTTTTTGCCATCAGCATCATAAATTGAACTCAATAATATTGACCGCAATCTAAACCGGAATCCGACGGAAATGGCAGTGAGAGAACCGAGATCCGATCGATCCAATGGCACAAGCAATGCAGATATTATACCTCCAATCAAGTGGCTTCTTGTGGATTTAACGCATAAATGCGCCACCCACAACACCCGGAGGCTCAGCCTTAACCAGAACAATACATATGCAACCTCTCCCCTTAATCAGTTACACTTTGGTGGCTGAAAAGCTTGCATATTACGAGCATGTTCGCATATGACTTTCCCTTTCAAGGCACTTCCGAGAATAAATGGAAGAAATTTGAGAAATGTCTTGGAAAATTTTTAATATAGAGATTAATATGTTAGAATCTGGGTGAGTGGAGCTCTACACCGGATTAAGAAACCTGTTCTTATATTGTGATCCCATTGGTCGAAAATAGCTGAAAAAAGTGAACTTGAACACAAAAAAAGGAAAACAGAGGAGCAAAAGGAGGGCACAAGACGGAAATGGAAATATGAAATTCAAATTCACTTTCTCTTTCACTTTTACTTTCAGCTAAAAGTGGAGTTTGCGTATTTCCAAGGTCGACACAGACCAATCCATGGCCCTTTCCGCATACCATTCTAAGGCTTTCAGGAGAAGCATCCTTTTCATTGGTTGTTCAACAAGTTAATCCAAGGTTCTCAGTACCTGTAAATCACTCTATCCGGGGGTAATAACCGACTGTATGTGGACTCGCCAAAACTTTTGGTCACATTATCTCAAAAGCATAATGTATGTTTCAACTCGGCTTGTGGGCAACTGATTTTCATTTAATTGTTTCTGATCGCCAGAGCTCAGTTTGAAAATGTTCAGCTAGTTTGAAACCATCATGTCAACAAATCTTGGACCACCCTTAGAGAAAGGGATATGGGCCGCGGTGATCATCGCCGCGGTGATCGTTATTTTGCGAGTCTTTGCTAAATTCAAGATCAAACGGTTTGGCATTGACGATGGCCTGATGGTCCTCGCGGAGGTAGATCTTCCCCAGCCTCGAACTAACTAGTTCTTTCCACTAGTTACTTAACTAACATTTTCTCTTCTTTGTTTAGATCCTCGCCATTGTATCAACAGTCTTCTTGACTTTGTCTGTCAAACATGGTTTCGGCAAGGATTTGACCAAATTAGCCCGACATGACCAGGAAGCCGTCCTGAAATACATCGCCATTCAAATTCCAATCGTCACTTTCAGTACTACATTCGCTCGCACCGCTTTCATTATTTACCTCCTTCCTCTACTCGGGACCAACAAATATTACCAGGTGGTCCTATGGGCTTTCCTGGTCATTCAATTCGCCGGCAATACCGTCTCTGCCGTACTACCGCTGAGCATCTGTCGCGATGTTGCTGCGCTGTGGGATCCAGAAGTCGCGTTGACGACCACCTGCGGAAACTTGAAGTCAGTGATCGATTTCGCCTATTATTCTAACACTTTCAACTCCGCCACCGATCTGTTTTTGGCTGTTGTCCCTGCCGTGGTTTTTTGGAATTTGAACCTCAAACTGCGCATCAAAGTCAGTTTGATCGTCCTGCTTAGTCTGGGTATTGTGTATGTACATCCGGATTCTTTCTTCACATCGCAGTATACTGATTGTGTAGCGCAATGGTCGCATCCATCATCAAAACAACCAAACTCACCTCGCTACCAAGCATCACCAATATCGGAGCCAGCGGCGGCATTGAGTTAATCCGCTGGGGTTACATCGAGAACACCATTATCATCATCACCTCCTCCATCCCTTGCATTCGCCCATTGATCATCTCGTCTGTGCGCAAGATCTCCAGCGGAAAGTATTCCCGCTCCTACGAGCTCAGTGGACCTTTCACTGGTCGCAAATCCGGTGCGCACCCAAACGAGACAAATCAGTCGCGGCGCACGCGCAGATTCAAGCCTGATGTTGAGAATGGCAGCGTTGAGCGCATTCTAGATCACAGTCAGAGCGCGCATACTAGTACGTCTGTTGGCGGTCATCCGGATTCACCTACTTTCTCCACACCCGGTATCACGAAGCAGGTCGAGATTTCGGTTATTTCCGACAATGGTCGACCTGCACCGGAGACGAGAAATTACTGATTAGGAATTGTTGAAAGATTCTTGTTTATATATTTGGGTTGTTCTAGAATTTGATGTTTTGAGCTTAGCATATGCCGTCATGAATATACCATTGTTAGGACCGTGTGAACTGAGCTGCGAAGGTGCATAGCGGCTAGGGGTCGGATTGAATTATGTAACTCTTATTAGAAAACAAATAAGAGATGATTAAAAAGTGAAAAGAGGCGTGAAGAGGTATACGTTCAGGCAGCAATCTACAATCAATTCAATTCGACCCCTGGCCACTGCGCACCTTCGTACCGAACACCTCACTAGACGAAACGAGTTAGTATCTATGTTAGACTGACATATCATCGGGACAAACCAATCCATTTTGCTATTACCAGCCCTCGTATTCGGCTTACTGAAAGCTAGAGCGGGCAGGTGGGATTTCACAGGGGGCCGGGGGGGAAGGGTGGTTGTGCAGTTCATTGATATCTAGTGCCGGCAGGCTGGCCTTCATTTGGCCAAAGGTGTAGAAATCTAGAACACACTAGTTCATGTCAACGCCTCTGCATGAACCAACGCTCAGCTCGCATCTGCGGTACTGGTGAGACATCACACAAAAGTGGGCTGCAAAAAGAACGGCACCGGCCTTCCAGAAAATCCTGATGGGGCGGTTCTCACTAGATCTATCCTTAGTCCGGCTCTAAAGGCACACTCGAGCATTTTTAATAAAGCTAAAAAGGGAAACTTGTGTTGATACGGAGTATACTAGAGAACGCCGGCAACACCTGCCTAAACACAAAGAACCAGAGAACAACAACAAGGTGCACACAGAATGTATGTTATTGTATCCAAACCCGACACCAGAAACTAGTACTCGAGACACAAGGCCATATCTAGGTACATACCCCACAGGCTGAAGGGAAGGGCTAAGGGTTCGGAGGTTTGCCGAAGCACAGTCCAACAAAAATCGATAGTTAAGAATAAGCTTCCGGCGTAATGCTGTAAATAGAGCAACGCACAGTTCTTGTCGGAATGTTTGTGTGGATCGCGATCTATTCGGGCTCTTGATATATATATGCACTTTAGATGTTCACATCTATTTGTCAAGAATAAGCTCAAACGCTGGATAACTGACCTGCCTGTTTGGGAAGACCATGCAACTCTCTACCTATGCTTATACATTGAACAAATCCATTATGGCCAGAAATGTCTCACAGATTTTGGCGATATTTTTGATTTTTTGATTTTCCACTGGGGACTATATATCCAAACTAGGAGCAGATTTTGACCGAAAATTTGGCCCTGGAGATGACTGAGCTAAATCAAGCAGGTTGATTGACTCGATTGCAGACTTCCTACTACCGTTGATATCTCGAAGGCGCAGTTTACATGATAAAAGCGCTTTTTGTGGCAGCTATAATCCTTCGATGAGACTCGTCGGAATGTTTGTCGAGGCATTTGGAGGGGTACAAACCACTTGCAAGTCTAGCCTCGAGATTTGTACGCTTTGGTCAACTATCACTCTTTTGTGCGGAGTCAGCGGCCGCCTTTCGCTCATAGACAATGACCCTGATCTTGACCCTTCTCCTATTTAACGGTGTGTAGAATATAGCTGCCATGCAAAGTTTCAGCGTCTATCTTTCGCAGGATTCACCTCGGCATGTGGGTTTGCTATGCTCTCAGTGTGAATCCGACAACCACCGAACACTGCGGGGTGATGGAGCATTCACCACCTTTTGACTTGGCAGTCAAACCAATGAAATGTGTCTATGCATATTCCAAAGCTCAGAAATCTTCCAAGGTTTGTTAGTAGATGTTGTTCGAATTCCTCACTTCATTGCAGCCTCAAAAATTCTAAGGGACAAACAGTTCCAGATGGAATGATAGCCTGGGCAAATTACTTAGACTATAAATCCTCCAGGGCTGGAGGTAAAAAAAAAGACAGAAAAACAACCAGGTGTACTCACGACCCTAGGAAGATCGAGCTCTTCATCAAGTGATCTATATATCGGATGGAAATTAAAGCACCAAGTTAAGTAATTAATCGGTTGAGTTTTGAAAGTGAAGATACATATTCGATCAGGAGCCACAGCAGGCGCCACCTAAACATCCATATTCGACATCCTAAAACCACCGAAAGGTACCTAAAAAGAAAACCAAATTGAAAAAAAGTGACAATATTGTGTATAAAATAAAATTAAAGTCTAGCAACATATTTCATAAAGAGTGGGCTATCCATGGATGTACAGCTACTCAAATCAACAGAGAAATCCCCATCCGACCTCAAAACAACGGCATTGTAGCCGTGTTTTCATAATCCACATTCTCAGCCACAGACTCAATCCTCTCCGTGCAAGTTCCAAAGATCCGATCCCACAACCGTGTCTGCTTGCCATAATTGTGGCTCTTGCGCCAACCCTTACGGTGGTGCAGATCGTGGTCTTCGATGACAATGTCAGCGTCGAACATCTGTAACAGCCAACTCAGCGTAGATGGCACGGTTAGATGCAACCGCAACCCGCTGTGTCCGAACACTTCCGCAAAAGCAACGTAGTTGTGACAGATCCACCATTCGTAGAATCCCATCGGCAGTCCCATTAGCCTCAAACTGAAGTATGTCATCATCGGCACGCCCACCATGTCGAAGAATTCTTGTTCATGGTCTGCGTACGCAGCCAGTAGGGGGTTTGGGTGTTTGGTTAGGTGGTGTGTGCGGTGGTATTTCCACAGATAGCTCACGTCGTGCATGAGCCGGTGATACCAGTAGAACCAGAAGTCGAGGACAATGCCGTATAAGCCGATTTCGAGCGGCAGCCACCTCCATGCCATCTCAGACGGTCTGGATGTTTGAGTGTAGGAGAGGAAGACGGATAGAATCATTCGCGAGCCGGTGGTTTTATACAGCGAGGTTACTACTTTGGCGATACCAACGTCTGGCACTCCATCACGTTCGTGTTTATCGCCGTCAAGAAAACCGTAGATGTGTCCCATACGACGTAGGACATGGACTTGGTAAATGACGATAGCGTTGAACACGAAAAAGTAGAAGTTGAATGCCGTGATAGGACCGACGGTTTTGCCGGTGAATGCCATGTAAGTCTCGTGAAGGAGCAGTGGAACGGCCGAGTAGAACAGAACCCAGCGCTGAAGAGACCACTGAGGCATAAACGGTATTTTCTCATCTTTGCTGTGGACTGGCACCTCCTTATCCAGGTCGATGGGGTGGACATTGAGCGTGTCTAGCAGATAGTGATTGAAATTCCACGTACTGCGAGGGGCTGTACGCCATGTTGATCTCATGGAATCTTTCGATAGTGGTTTTGAGTCCATGATGGGTGGTTTGAAATCTTGCGGGCTTCCATGGTGGTGGGAATTTAGTTTATATCTTTGGCCTAATAAGGGTTACCGGTACATGTGAATAGAGTTCCATGATGTGAAATCTTCGCTGTGGATCATTTCTCCCCCAACAAAACCTACACATCAAATGAACAGGAGATCATAAAGGGCCGTCGCCAAATTAGCGACGATCGGCATCCGCCGCATGTGAATTTCCCCGCACAATGAGGCCTCGGAGGGTCAGATAGACGACTCCTGGACCTTGAAATGGAGTCAGTCGTTGTGGTGTCATTGCAACCGAAAGGGGAATCATTGCGATCTAATGGGTGGATTTTGATCTCTGCCTAACAATGAGTATAGACGACGTGGGCCGAAAGGTTGAATCGACAACGTGCACTCGGCTTGAGCCTCGGTATTGCAGCATTTGATCGTGGAGAGTGGAGTAGATATCATATTCGATTGGTTCAGGTGGTTCTCGGCATTTTTAGGGTGTTCGCTAATGCTTCTGAAATCATGTTTGCTTAACCCGGGGTATGGGGGATAATAACACTAAAGTCGGAGATCGATGAAGAAACGTCAATTGTGTAGAAAGTACTGTACAGTGCATGCAGTGCATAAGCCCTGAATCTTTATGTTATTTGATTGGCCGGATCACATGATCAGGAGCAGGATCTGAAGTGCCCGACTCCTGGAATTGCTGACTTCAATGTTGCTTACATTTGTACTTCATTACTTTCAGTCTAGGGAGACACTTTTATTGAGAAATCAATTCTCCCATGCTTGAAATGATGCTCTACAAAATAATCAATCGTTGACAAATTGCATTTGATGGGATCTACAACATAACTGTTGGCTCAGTCAGATAGACATGACAGATGCTATTTAAAAAAGAAAAATCTAAGAGCTCGCTGCGACCGGCGCAGCTGTTTCTGGCTGCGGAGAAGGTGCCGCAGCATCGGCACTAGCAGTAGCCTTGAGTCCAGGCTTCTCGAAACTCTTCATGGGGTAGTAACCCCAGCGGTCGAACATAACCCGATCCTCGTCCCAGCCGTTGCAGTCGGTTGTCAACATCTTCTCACCGGTGAACACAGCGTTGGCACCCGCTTGGAAACAGGCGACCTGCTGCTCCTCGGAGAGTGCGATGCGACCGGCGGCGAGACGGACAATGGTGCTAGGCATCACGATACGGGCTGTTGCGACGGTGCGGAGCAGTCGGTCGAAGGGGATCATCTTGCGGTCGCCAAGAGGGGTTCCAGGAATGGGGACAAGGGCGTTGACAGGGAAGGATTCCGGGTGGGCGGGCAGGCTGGAGACGGTGTGGAGGAGACCGATACGGTCGGCGTCAGTTTCGCCTAGACCGAGGATACCACCGGAGCAGACATTGATTCCGGCATCGCGGACGTGTGAAAGGGTCTTGAGGCGCTCGTCGTAAGAGCGGGTTGTGATAATGGTGGGGTAGAATTCGCGCGAGGTATCGAGGTTGTGGTTGTATGCGGTCAGACCGGCATCCTTCAGCTCCTTGGCTTGGTGCTCGTCGATCATGCCTAGGGTCACACAGACCTCCATATCCATCTCACGGATGCCGGAGATCATCTGCTTGACGTTTTTGAGACTGGTCTTGCGGCCGCGCATGTCACGCCAAGCTGCACCCATACAAAAGCGAGTGCTGCCGTTTGCTTTGGCATTGCGGGCCTTGGCGAGAACGTCGTCGACAGGGCTCATCTTAGTGGCTTTCAGACCCGTGTTGTGCTTGGATGACTGAGCACAGTATGAGCAGTCTTCACTACATCCTCCGGTCTTGATGTTCATCAAAGTGCACATCTGAATAGCCGCGGGATCATGGAATCGGCGATGAACGGCGGCCTGGATGTTGTCAGTTAGCCTCCCCAGCTGGGAGCAGTAAAGAAAAAAAACCTAATTTCACTTACAGCCGCATATGTGAGTTGGCTCAATGGAGTCTCATAGATCTGCTTGACTTCATCTCGAGTCCAAGTGGTCCGTGGGGCGGTAGCACCCGTAGCGTCGGTCAATGTAAGAGGGATGCGGTTGGACAGTGAAGCAGGACTGGGGGCACCCTGGACAGTCCCGTAGGATCGCACTAGCGTGCGAGGCAATGACCTGATAGGGAGAGACATAGTATAAATGCGATGATAATACTCCTTAGGGTGAAGAGAGGAGAAGGAGAAGAAGATAGAGGACCAAGGCCAAGAGGGGTGATTCACCGGCGCGACGGTTATGACAATCGACAATCGTGTGGGGAAATGATTTACTGCTGATTGGACTTCAAAACGAGTTAAACTGTATGCTCCCTGGCTATTATTCCATAAATATTGTCATGGTGTTATTTTTCTCAGCGGCTAATGATTATTTAGAGCGCCAGACCGAGGGCCTATACCGGGGGAAGTAGGAACTCTGTTGAATTCTCCGTTGAACATCTCCCGTTTCCCCCTCCCAACATTAGTGTAGTTAGCTGTAACCTGGACTCAATTGTTTATTTTCCCTCGGAGATCATTGTTGGACTTGGATAGCCCGTTTATAACCGGAGTGCATTTGCTAATTTCCCCTGTTTCCCCTGTTTCCCCTGTTTCCCCTGAAAATAAGAAAATTATCCCGAGTATTATTTCAAACATGCATAATAATATACAATATTGTAACAATCATAACAATGTAGTCATCGTGTGTGTCAAAATGAAATTCTTCTACCGTTTGCGTCACCGATACCCTATGAATCTCCACTATATCTGTATTGGCCAATAATGACATTGTTATTACTGGTCGATCGGACAAAAGGAAATAGAAAAATCATTGGGGATCAACATTTCTGTGAATCTCAACATAAATAATGTGAATTATAACAGGAATTGATAAGAATATCCATGCATACGTTGTATGTACCTAGGTAGTCATCCATTCTATCCAGATCAGGCCACCTTTATTTAATCTACTTACGTAGTACAACGTATACTTATGGTTTGGAGTACTAGAGCACCAAGTAATGTCTTGTTAAAGCTAGCAAGTCAAGTTGCAAGATGCAAGTTCATAATTCGCTATTCAATTTGTTTGAATGAAGAAGAGAACCATTATGACTACAAGTACGGAGAAACTATCCCTAACTATAATTATACGATCACTTCCAGCTTTGTAACGCCGCATTTGGACCCTTCTGTGAGGCAGTTTTGGAGCGTATCAGAGCAAGTAAATTTTTGTAGCATTGAGTTTCATAAAATCAGCACAACTTCGGCACAATGACTTCTGACTGGTCATAAATATCAAGTTCCAAGTTTCAAACAAGTAAAAAGACTGCTATCGGCGGTATACGCTAGCACACGCGCGTGATATCTGCCCTTGCTTTTTCATGTCAGTAGGTTCGATGAATTCTGTTCTACGAAGTCGGAACACTCACTTCAAGGATGTTCTCAGGGAATTTGAAAGTATATTTGATAGTATGTATGTGTTCCGGGCTCAACGGGACATGGTGTCGATGTATCCTTGAGGAATTTATCGCAGACATCTACACTCACACTGAAAAGTGGTGGGCGATCAAGGCCATCATCACCATTAACCCAGACCTCGTATTGAGCGAATGCCCCCCTAGTGATTGACTTGGTGGTGTTTGCTTCAATTGCGAGGCTCACAGATTTACCCTTGGGGACCTTGGCCAGTAATGGAAACAATGTGCTTAATATGAACCTTTTTGGTAGTAGGCATACGGAACAGGAAGGTCGGGCTCGATATACAAATTTTCAATCTGAGCGCCAACGCTGTCTGGTTTACGTTTGGACCATCAAAATGTTTCCTGAGCCGTATCCTGAGCAGTGGCATAGGTCAATATAGAAGCGAATAAGATAGAAAAATACATATGTGGGTGGCATTCACACGAACATCTGAGACTGCGAGTAGGATATCAAATGAAGAAAAGGAACCTATCGGCTGCGAGGGTAGTTAAATTTTGAAACGAAAGAGTCCGGTTAAAAGACGGTATCATATTGGAGCTGGAATCGATTGGATTGCAAATCTGCTACACATACGACGTGGATATCAAAACGTCATTTGATGGATTTAAAATGGACTCAAAAATGTTTTCTATGGGTTTTTGGTTCCTATGAGAGAATTTGAATACTAAGCGCAGGTGATAGCTAGAAATATTCCAATATACAATCAATAGAGTATGCACCTCGTGCGTTTCAGTTAGACCTTTGCATTGAGAAGCCGCGGGAGCTAATCAACAACACATAAACTAGCAGCGTATGGTTCTTCTGGGGACAGTGTGAATTGTGGTTCAAAACCTTGTGTTTGCAAGCAAGGGATCTTCATTCCGATTAATTAACCATAATCAGGTGTATAGTCGTCGACCAAGCCCAGCTGTACTGAAAATCGAAGACAGGTACCGATTGCCTCTATTCTTCCTTCAAGATTAGATAGATGTCTTTTAAATCCGCTAGTTCATGGTCATTCATATTGTGGATCCCATCAAAGAGTCCAATGAAAAGATAAAATGTTGCCTCTAAAGTTACCCCTTGCATGTACCTCATCAAGGCACCTTTTTATTCCCCAAGTCAGTGAATATTATTTGGCCAGTAGAATTTCCTCAGACAGGAAAGAAGCCTGCTCCAGTAATGGGTTCATCAGCTATATGTGTACTGAGCACGCGCCTCGTAGGGCCCTCGGTGTGAAAAAGCATACTATCATTGCCGCTTTTTATCTAGATCACTACCTAAATGGTAATGTCAAGGGCGTTCGTGTTGAATTTTGGATCATACGAGGTTAAAAAAGAAACCCAATCCAGTAATTACCTGGATAATCGCCCTCTTCCCTACGATGTAGCCGTGCGTTGATCATTGCAGGTCTTACCAACAACGAAGAACATTCATGGCAATGTAACGCACTCAACATTGGACAGCATATGTGAGCATGAATGTATATCGAAATTTATTTATACCACCATAACAACTCAGTTGTGGAGATCACATCTCTAACACAAGCGCTCAGCTCGTAGTGGTTTGTTTGTGTTCCCAACTTATCGGAGTCATGGAATAAGCATGCCGGAGGGCGATCACCAACTCGCATCATCACGCAGAAGCCTCAGACATTCCAAAATACAAAGATTATACCTTATGGATTACATGATGGTGCGAACGATGTGGATTTGGATCATTGTACCGTGTCCGGCATTCAATCAACGAAAAACGCTATTGGGCTTCACTTCGGTGGACTCGGTGGATTCTTTCTAATTTCAAAATCAACCAACATGGATCGGGATATTGCCATCTTTCATCCTCAATAATTTCAGAACCCACAATATTTGGTTGTTCCATTTGAAGCAAAACTATGGCAGGTATGGCAGATATGTTGGATTATAGCTGACATTATGACATGGTGCACAAATATTTACCGAGGCGATGGAAGAGATGATTAGTTTGTAGTTCCCCGCATTTTCCAGACCTCTGTGTCGCCCTAATTTGGCACTAAATTGGTGGACTAACCGGGTCTGGGAGGTCAAATTGTTGAATTTAGTGCGGAGCTTCATGATGTGCCGAGGATGTCCCTGTGGGGGTCCATTAGACTCGGTAAACGGCAATGGCTCCCCTCAACTCCACTTGATTCAAGGTCTTGAGTTATATTTGACATTCTCTTGTTCAAGGTTGCTTGCTCCATTTAGAGGAATTTTGTTTTTCTTGTTCACTTAGTTGAATCTACTTGTTTTCAAGGGTTGATCAAGACTTTCACCTCGATTCCTTCTACAATTTGTCTTCACCTTATTAGTACGGAGTTGAAAGATGGATATAGGTGAGACATGAAGCTAAAGATCTGAACATATTGCTATTTCAGTACTAAGTTCAGTCACTATAGGAACCGCTGCCGCCGCTCTCCTGGGAGGAGCCACGGTCGCAGGATATTTGAACGCTAAATTCCATTTCCAGAAAGATATATCGGGTTTGCTGTCGATGAAGCGAGCGGAACGTGAATATGCCACTGCCGGTGGGTCTGAATATTTGCTGTTTCTCTTTGAAAATGAGATCTGACCAGTCCCAGTCAAACACAACCGGGGGAATCCTTGGTTTGTTCTACTAGAAACGGTGAAACGTTACCCCGATATGATTTGTCTCTGGACCCGGGAAAGATCATACACATACCGCGAAGTGCAAGATCAGGCCTGCCAATATGCGCATTTCTTTTTGTCACAGGGTGTGAAGAAGGGTGATCTCGTTGCTCTATATCTCCAGAACCGCGCGGAGTACATGGTCGCTTGGGTGGCTCTTTGGAGTATCGGTTGTGCTCCAGCAGCTATTAATTACAACCTTACCGGTGATGCATTGATCCATTGCCTGAAGATCAGCAATGCCAAGATTCTTATTGTCGATGAAGATTCCGGCTGTCGTGACCGCGTGGAAGAATCCCGGGATACCATTGTTGGGAACCTGGGAATGAAGCCAATGACTCTGGACGAATCACTCAAGGCGCACATTGGTACTTTCCCATCGACTCTGCCACCAAAGGAGATGGCAAAGCATGTTGAGGGTAACTTCCCTGCTATTCTGTTATACACCTCGGGAACGACGGGTCTACCTAAGGGTTGTGCTTTCACAATGTCCCGGCTATACACTACACTATATATTCGTCGTGCTCTCATTAGAGACACACCAGGACCGGGTGGCGATCGCTGGTATAGTTGTATGCCCTTGTACCACGGCACTGCGGCTATTACTATGGCCACGTGTATGGTGATGGGAGTGAGCATTGCAATCGGCCCGAAGTTCAGCGTCAGTAAGTTCTGGACGGACATCCGGGATTCAGAATCTACTCTTTTCGTCTATGTCGGAGAAACTGCCCGCTACTTGTTGGCACCGCCGCCATCACCCGAAGATCGCAACCACAAGGTCCGCTGCATGTACGGAAATGGTCTTCGACCAGATATATGGGAGAAGTTCCGCGAGCGTTTCGGAGTTCCTGAAGTTGGAGAATTTTTCAACAGCACTGAGGGTGTCTTCAGTCTCTTCAACTACAACCGTGGTCCTTTCACATCTGGCAGCGTCGGCCATCATGGTCTGCTTTTGCGCGGGATCATGCATAATGTCTTTATTCCCGTTGCCATTGACCCGGAGACCGGCGATATCATGCGTGATCCCAAGACGGGCTTTGCAAAGCGTGCATCATACGAAGAAGGCGGAGAGATCATCGTCAATATTCCCGGAAAAGATGCTTTCCAGGGGTATTGGCATAACGATGACGCCACCAATAAGAAGTTTTTGAAGGATGTCTTCAAAAAGGGCGATCTTTACTACCGCTCTGGAGATGCCTTGCGTCGCCAGAGTGATGGTCGTTGGTACTTCCTCGATCGTCTTGGTGATACTTTCCGCTGGAAGAGCGAGAATGTGTAAGTGCTGCAGCGGTCTAGAGATTGGAAAGGAGCTCACAAATAATCCCAACAGTGCTACTGCGGAGGTATCAGAAGTTGTAGGGCAATTCCCGGGCATAACCGAGGCAAATGTGTACGGCGTCCGCCTTCCCAACCACGAGGGACGTGCCGGATGTGCGGCGATTCAAATTAGCCCTGAAGCACGTCAAACATTCGACTACAGCGCGCTTGCCAAATTCGTCCGCTCGAAGCTGCCAAGATATGCCGTTCCGGTTTTCCTTCGGGTTGTCGAGAGCCCTACGCATATCCACAACCATAAGCAGAATAAGGTACCACTCCGTGATGAGGGCGTTGACATTTCACTCACTGGAACTAAAGCACCCGAGGGCAAGGATGACCATTTCCTATGGATTGCCCCTGGGAGTGACACTTACTCGCCATATGGACAGAAAGAGTGGGATCAATTGTCGGGGGGCGGTGCTAGATTGTGAGCGACCACAAGTAGAGCTTGCATTACTATCAATCAAAGATTTCCACGTTCTTATGAAAATTGAGTTAAAAATAGCACAGTTAGAGAGATCTCTCAAAATTCGAAGCTTTGGCCTATAATTACCCATAACGAAGCAAAAACGGCAACTGATCGATGAGGTTCTGTCACGCCGCAGGTTGTCCGACAAGGGTAAGCTCCCGTTTTAGCAGCTCGAAACAGATCATTCCTTCAATACCGTTCATTCTTCTGACGGTTGACGTTCTTCGACTAATGTCCCTTCCTTCCAACGTCGGTCGTGTAGAATCCTTATTCCTCCAAATTTCGAAGGACTGGTGGAGATTTGTATATAATGAGCCCTATCTCTATACGGACGGAGACTGCGTTGAGGACCCTATCATTACACAAATGGAATACGATGGTCTCTGGGTATTCCTAGAGTGAAATATTTGCTCCAAAGCGTTAGTCATCAAGTCAAAGTTTGGATCTTTGCTATGGTCAAGGCAGACATAGCATAAATCCTGCCCAAAGGTTCCAGTCAAGTCTACTGGCTTGATCAAAGCCTGTATCTCCTGATTCTAGCTTGAGAGACAGCGAGAGCGGAGAATGTACACAGCAACACACCCTTCGAGAAAGGCGACGCTCGGCAAAACTCCGCTGAAGAGAATTTCTTCAAAAGGTCATACTTATAGGCAGCTCATTTGGATAACATGATGATGAAGACAATGTACAAATCCTCTGCGAGATACGCCGAGTGCTGAAACCCGGGGTTATATTGGTCATTGATATTTACTGCCTCTCGAAACATTGCTGTGGGACGAAGATCTATCGATTGCGTATTTCAACCTTTTCAAACATGTTACTCTTGAAGGGACGAACCAGAGTTCGGGAGCTTTTCACCTTTTCCTGCCCGTGTCAAAGATACGTGGAGCAAAGCTGAAGTTGGGGAGATTTGATTGATTTTTTCGTGTCTGTATCGCTCTCGATAGCATTTAGGTAAAATATTTCTTTGTTCTTACTTCCAATTCATACAGACGTGGAATGCTCTACAACGTCATAACATATAAACCGATCAGGCGTTTTACTAAACAGCTAGTCTATGGTACTGTCTCTGGTTCTTCAAACAAAAGGACAAACATGAAGGGAGGAAAAGGCCGCGTAGCCACCGAGGGATAATGTGGGAAAACAAGAAGAGAAAGCATCGCTTGACATTGGGATCATCGGAGGTTGCACCAGGCTACCATATCGGAATTTATTTCTTGAGCAGGCCCAGGAGGTTAATGCTCTTAGGACGCTCGATGGGCATGCCCAGAGCACGATCCCAGATCAATTGGACAAGAGGACCAAGGGCACGGCTGACACCGAAAGTAACAGTGTAGTAAAGGGGCTGTTGGAAGCCGTAGTGGTGGAAGAGCACACCACTGGCAGCATCGACGTTGGGGTGGGGGTTCTTAGTCTGTGGGGAAAGATGTCAGTTTAAACCATTTGTATGCTAGGGCACTATTTAACATACCTTTCCGTGCTCGGTAAGCACACCAGGGGCGATTTCAGAGTTTTTCTTCACCAGCTGGAACACTGGGTTGGCCAGAACATCAGGACGAGTAGCGGCAAATTCCATCAAAGCCTCGAAGCGAGGGTCGGGCTTGCGCAGGACACCATGGCCGTAGCCAGGCACAACGCGACCGGACTTAAGAGTGTCCCAGAGATATGTACGGACATCCTCATCGGTGAACTTTGTTCCGATTTTGTCCTGCATAGCGATCACCCAACGGAGAACCTCCTGTGCAGCCAAGCCGTGCAAAGGACCGGCAAGGCCAAGGAGACCAGCACTGTAGCTGAGGAAGGGATCGCTCAGGGCACTGCCAACAAGGTGGGTTGCGTGGGCAGACACATTGCCACCCTCGTGGTCACCGTGCAGCGCGAGGTAAAGACGCAGAAGATCATGGAAGTCACCGTGCTCGGCACCACCCTTGCCGAGCAACTCGGCAAAGTTGTGTGACCAATCTTGAGCGGCGTCCAGCTTCTGGTTACCAACAGCATCGATCTCCTTGGGGCGGAAGACGAGTGCAGCTACTCGGGGGATTTTGGCAAGTAAGGCGATGCTATCATCAAAGGTGGGTTCCCAGTAGTCGGCCTTGCTGATACCCTTCTCATAGGCTTGGGCAAACTTGGATTCGGTGTTCAAGGCTGCCACAGCAATTGAAAGCTGGGTCATGGGGTGCATGTTCGAAGGGAAAGATTTGATCAAGCCGAGAATATGAGGGGGAAGGTCGGACTTCTCGGCTAATTCACGAGAGAATGCGCGGACTTGTCCCGTAGAAGGCACCTGGCCAGTCAATAGAAGCCAAAACATGGCCTCAGGAAGCATCTCGGTACCAGTAGTGCCTTTGGGGAGCTCCTGTTGGCAATCCTTGATTGTCTTGCCGTGGAAACGAATTCCCTCGTCGGCGTCCAAGACAGAACCCTCCCAGAGTATGGCCTTCAAACCACGCATGCCACCGATAACATTGCCTACCTTGACCTCTCCAATTACTTCGTCACTCTGTGCCTTTACCTTTTGAAGGAGTTCCCGCTTAGCCGGAATGACTTCCTTGAGGGTGGTTTTCAGATCCGGCTCCGCGGTCGCATAGTGACGCGAGAGGACTGGCCGTGCTGCCTGTACAGTATCAGACTTGTATTGGGATTTTTATATGAATTGATATGAATTGCAAAATTGCGTTCACTCACCTGGGCGAGCTTGGAAACATGGCGGGTTGATCTCCAGCTGAGAGCCATACTTGGGGTCCGGGGGTGGATTTTGTGGGGTGAATTGCGGGGAGAGCAGAATTGAAGCTGAACAAACCGCAATTGAGGTTATTTTGAGCTTTCTAAGAGGAGAATATAAATGTGTGAATGCGCAAAATAAAACACAACAGTCGGACTTATGCAACGATCGACCATGCAACTCGGTTGAACGCGGGGGTACAGGGGTGCACAGGGGGGTTGTCTCTACCGAGGCCCGGGGCGGTTGCATGCGGCCATATGTCGGTTCAACTTGATCCGCTTGACGCTTTAATTGGTTGGAACCTTGGAGTGATTCTATCTCACGATGTGTGTGGGTTTGAAGACTTATGGCTACAGGGCGGATATTCCTGATCTCTCACTGTTCTTTTTAAAAATCTCTTCTGTAGACATTCCGCGTTGTATAGACTGCAGTCCAACTATTCGGTCTCGGACCCTTTCCGGGTTGATGGAAATAGACCGGTGTTCTCGGATCTATATGTGATGTGTGATATGCAATATATACCGAGATCAAACATCCATTTACCCGTGTAATTCTTCCATTGAGAGTACCTATGTATGTGTGGCAGGTGCCACATGATCTATATGCCGGTGACAATGATGATGACGTGGAATCTGGACACCTGAGGCCTGATTTATGTTGCCTCAGGCTGAAAGATAAGAGTACAGGCAGAAAGTCACCAAGGCAACAAGGCAGCTATCGCCAACCAATCAGAAGCATCGATTGAACCCCCTTGTCATCTTATGGCGGCGAGGCCTCCACTGATTGGCTGACTCAGCCCTAAAAAAAAATCAGCAAAGATAATCAACAGAGAGGCAAAAAAAAAAGTGCATTCGTTTGTTTCTGACAACTCTCCCCTCTTTGTGTTTTGTTCGTGTTTTTGTTCAAGGATTTAGGTGTATACGAAGAGTGTTGTATATACTTGATTCAAAAGTCCTTGAAATTCTTTGTGCGCAGACTTTGCACTTTGCACTTTGAACTTTGCGCGCTTTGATTTAAATTCTTAGGGTCAAATTTGCCCCTCCTGCCCCCTTAGACATTATTTTCTGAGGGTTTCCTTCCTTTACTTTCGATATCTCTTTTGGATATCGATACTCGACCTTCGAGTCTTTGATTCTTTGGACGATGCCACACACTGTCGACCCTGAGTCCGCCATGCCGACCATCGTCGCAAAGGGCCCCTCCGGCGTGCCCCCCACCTCCGAAGAAATTTCCTCCCTTCTCACTACCATTTTCACCTCCGAGTCCTCCCAACAGTCCCTCGATGGAGCTTATGCCTTGGCCAACCTGCTTATCCAGGGTGCTGGAACTGCCGGTCTGTTGAACTACAATGTCTTGGCCGAAACCCGGAAGGCCGCTTCCGACAAAAAGAATGGTGCCAAGCGCGAGAGTGCCATGCTCATTATTGGCGCTTTGTTCGAGCGTTTCCCTCGAGAGTTCCCTCTCAGCGAAACTATCTTCCTCTTGCACGATGGAGGTGTGTTCGACATTGCCCTCGACGGTTTGGCCGACAAGGGCGCCGTCGTCCGCGATGCTGCCCAGTACGCCATCGATGCCCTCTACGGCTGTCTCAGTCCCGAGGCTATGGTCAACGGACTCATCCCGGCCCTTGAGCGCTACCTGAGCAAGGGCTCCGGTAAGTGGCAAGGTTTCGTCGGTGCCTACAAGTTGATCGAGAAGATGGCCGTCAAGGCCCAGCTCGGTACTGGCACCATGGACGAGGAGCGTCAGAAGGATCTGCTGCGTGATGCTATGGGTAAGACTCTCAAGGAGCTCATCCCCATTGTCGAGTCCGGCATGCACGACTTGAAGAGCGAAGTGGCAAAGCAATCTTGCAAGACCATGACCGCCCTTACCACTCTCCTGTCCAACGACGACGTTGCCCCTCGTATTCCTCTTTTGATCCAGACCATGGAGAAGCCCTCTGCCCAGACTCTGCAGAAGGCCATCCACGCCCTCTCCCAGACTACCTTCGTCGCTATCGTTACCTCCCCCGTCCTGGCGATGCTTACCCCTCTGCTCGCTCGTTCCCTCAACACCCCGGCTACTCCCCAAGAAACCCTCCGCCAGACTGTTGTCGTTGTGGAGAACTTGACCAAATTGGTTCACGATCCTGCCGAGGCCCGTACTTTCCTTCCCAACCTCCAGCCCGGTGTCAAGTCCGTTAAGGATGGTGCTTCTCTCCCTGAGGTTCGTGAGCTTGCCACCCGTGCCCTCGATGTTATCGAGACCGCCATGGGAGACAAAGACCTGGCTACTGGAGCCATTTCCAAGACCACATCTGAGGAGGTCTTGGTCGTGCTGAACGCCAAAATTCAGGAGCACGGTGGCCTCAATGCCTCTGTCGATGCCAAGCTCCAGGATCTGGCCAAGAACTTCGTTGCCAGCATGGTCCGCGAGGATATCAACGTTCGCATGCACGACCGTATCACTGGCTCCATTGAGCCCTACCTCCGCGGCCTGATCGCCGACGGAAACGCTGAGGCTGTTGCAGCTGCTGTCCAGGCCCACTACATTGAGCAGGACGAGATTAAGTACGGCAAGCCTCCCCCAGAGGACCCCAACGACGTTGAGATTGTCAACGCCAACTTCTCCCTCGCTTACGGTGGTATGCTTTTGCTCTCCCACACTAACTTGCGCCTGCTCAAGGGCCATCGTTACGGTCTTTGCGGTCGCAACGGTGCCGGAAAATCTACCCTCATGCGCAGTATCGCCAACGACAAGCTCGAGGGCTTCCCTCCTCAAGACCAGGTGCGCACTTGCTTTGTGGAGCACAACCAGGGCGAGGATGCCAACCTTACCATCTTCGAGTACGTGTCCAAGGACCCTAAGATTGCTGAGCAGGGTCAGAAGCACATCTCCGAGGTTCTGATCGAGTTCGGCTTCACTGATGGCCCCGAGGGTCGCCAGTCCCAGCCTGTGGGCTCACTGTCTGGTGGTTGGAAGATGAAGCTGGCTCTTGCCCGTGCTATGCTCCAGAAGGCCGATGTTCTTCTGCTTGACGAGCCTACTAATCACTTGGATGTGGCAAACGTCAAGTGGCTGCAGGAGTACCTGAAGTCTCACACTGAGATCACCAGTTTGATCGTCTCTCACGACTCCGGCTTCCTCGATGAAGTCTGTACCGATATCTACCACTACGAGGGCAAGAAGCTTGTCTGCTACAAGGGTAACCTTGCCGATTTCGTCAAGGTCAAGCCCGAGGGCAAGTCGTACTACACCTTGTCTGCCTCCAACGTGCAGTTCAAGTTCCCCCCTCCCGGTATTTTGTCTGGTATCAAGTCCATGACTCGTGCTATTCTGCGCATGAGCAATGTTTCCTTCACCTACCCGGGCGCTTCCAAGCCCTCTTTGCACGATGCTTCGCTGTCTCTGACTCTTTCTTCCCGTGTCGCTATCATTGGTGGAAACGGTGCCGGAAAGTCTACCTTCATTAAGATCTTGACTGGTGAGACCATTCCCCAGAGCGGCAAGCTTGAGAAGCACCCGAACCTGCGTATCGGTTACATCAAGCAGCACGCCCTGGAGCACGTTGAGATGCACTTGGAGAAAACCCCTAGCCAGTACCTCCAGTGGCGTTACGCCAACGGTGATGACCGTGAGGTTTTCTTGAAGCAGACCCGTATTCTTACCGAGGAGGACAAGGCTCAGCTTGAGAAGCCAATTGACTTGGGTGCCGGCTTCGGTCCTCGTCGCATCGAGGCCCTGATTGGTCGTCAGAAGTGGAAGAAGTCCTTCCAGTACGAGGTCAAGTGGGTGGGTCTTCTGCCCAAGAGCAACACCATGATCTCGCGTGAGACTCTGCTCGAGCTTGGCTTCTTCAAGCTCGTCCAAGAGTTCGATGATCACGAGGCTTCCCGTGAGGGTCTCGGCTTCCGTGTCCTCGACCCCAAGACCATTACCAAGCACTTCGAGGATATTGGTATGGACCCTGAGATCGCCAACCACAACGAGATTTCTGGTCTGTCCGGTGGTCAAAAGGTCAAGGTCGTGCTGGCTGGTGCCATGTGGAACAACCCCCACTTGTTGGTCCTGGACGAGCCGACTAACTTCTTGGACCGTGACTCCCTGGGTGGTCTGGCTGTTGCCATTCGTGATTTCAAGGGTGGTGTTGTTATGATTTCTCACAACGAGGAGTTCGTTGGTGCTCTCTGCCCCGAACAGCTGCACATCGCCGATGGTCGCGTTGTTAGCCGTACCAACAACGCCGTCAGCCTGGACCGCTTCGAGGACAGCGCCACCAACACTCCCTCCGCCCCTGGTACCCCCGCCACTGGATCGGCTAACACCAGCGCTGCCCCATCTGCTGCTCCCTCCGACAATGAAGGCGAACTCAATTTCCGCGCTAAGAAGAAGAAGAAGATGACCCGTGCTCAGCAGAAGGAACGTGAGACCCGCCGTCGTCTGCGCTACATCGAATGGGTGAGTTTTCTTTTGTCTCCTTTCTCTTATATTTCCGGCAACTTGCTAACTCAATATCTTTAGTTGAACTCACCGAAGGGCACCCCCAAGCCCGTGGATTCCGATGATGAATAAACGCACTTGGACAACATTATGATTCGTAATCGCTAGGAGAGGGTTTCCTTTCCTCGCATCATGAGCACCATGTTAATGCTTTGGTCTGCATTCTGATAGACGGTGTTGGGGCGTTTTGTTTTCATTTGTCTGGCATAGATTTTGTTATTCGTCGCCTTCGCGAGTATTGTACATGTTTCGGATAGATACTTCAGTGCATTTACCTTGCGAAAGCAAAAGTTATTTATACTTATCCTTCATTCCACGTTCACTTCCAAGAACACTCTGCCATAAGGATACTTGGCCGTTCGTGTATGAAGTTCTCCGCAAGTTTATTCGTAGATATTTAGCAACAATGTTTACGCCATGTGCAATACCTTATAGTCCTGGTATGAAGTCTACCCTGAGATCTTGAAGACAGGCTTACAAGTACAATGCGCATTTTGCAAATCAAAATTCCACCACAAGTGGTAAATCTCTAGAACTCCGCCCAGCCCAAATTCGGAACTTGCCCTCTGTCGGAAGAATCCAGTTCTGCGAACGAACACTCCAGTAACTGAGATCTTTCCGAGTCAAAGACAACTTGACCGTCCTGGTCTCACCTGGTTGCAGGGCGATTTTCTCAAAGTTCCGTAGAACTCGTTCAGGGAACTCGATCGTCTCCCGGGACCAGCCTAGTCCACGGTGTTCGGCGACGTCTTCGGGGAAAGAGACGTACACCTGCACCACGTCTTGTCCGGTTCGGGAACCGGTGTTGGTGACGTCAATAGAGAGCTCGAGCATCGCTTCGTAGAGTGAGGGATTGCCGCCTGGTCCACCACCTGCAGCAGATGGTTGATGGTGTTTGTTATACCCTTCCGGGTAAGAGTATGGGCCGGGGTCTGTTCCCTCCAACGACTCAAGGTAGGGATAAATGTATGTGCGGAGAGCGCGGAATCCGGCAGGGAACAGACCAGTGAAGGGGTTATCCCGCCTGTTGTCGTATTCTGGGGGCTCGACTTGATTTCCCGGGCGAGCAGAGGGATACTGGGTCTTTTTCTGCAGCCTTTCAATGGTAAGAGTAGAGTAATCGAAGGTTGTGTAAGATAGGCCAAACCCAAACTCGAACCGTGGAGTGATGTTGAACTTGTCAAAATAGCGATAGTCGATATAGAGACCCTGGTTGAGGTCGACTTGTGGCACTGATGAGTCTTCATGTTCATATTTCACTTGAGCTCCTGGGCCATAGTCTTCCAAACTTCGTCCGATGGTATATGGCAGTCGGCCACTGGCGTCAATCTCACCAAACAGCACATCCACAATGGCATTTCCGCTTTCTTGTCCGGGTAAGTTAGCATACAGCACAGCTTGTACCCCAGGAAGGTCAATCCAAGACTCCATAACAACTGGACCGATGGAGTGCACAATGACAACTGTTTTGCCTTGGCCGCCGCCGCAATATTTGGCCACTCCTTCTACCAGCTCAGTGCCATTCTTTTGCAGAGACAGGTTGCTTCGGTCAGCATCGACGCCATCGCTGCGGATGAATCCTTCGCCTCCGTCGGCATTTACGAAAACCAAACAGAGATCCTGCTCTACAAGGTCCTCGCGTCCGACGTTATTGGTCAAGTAGTCTCGAACATCAACAGAGTCCGTCGACCACGCGTCTTTCAATGCCTCCCACGGACTAACCAGGTAGGGGAAGTCTACAGCTCCGCTTCCCCAACCAGAACCCAGAGTGCCTTTGTTGCACCCTCTGTCTGCACAAGCATTTGGGCCTTCCCCTGGGCCTGCATCTTCGCCATAAACACCAATCTTGTATTTCCTAATTGAGACAGGGTGCTCGCGTGAGAGAGGAAGCGTGTTGTTCATGTTCTTTAGGAGAACAGTTCCCTCTGCTGCAACCTGGCGAGCAATACCAGAATGTGCGTGAAGGCCATTACCCTGCGCGTCAACATATTTATTGACCACACCGGTAGCGTCATTATCTGGCGATCCTTCGTGTAGATGTCCAACTCGCTCTTGTGTCCAAGACGAAAAGTTTGGACCGCCATCTCCTTCTGGCGCAGGTCTTTCCCATGAATCTTGTCGTAAGTGATACCAAGCAGCAACGATGCGAGTGACCATATCATTTAACCGCTCCATGGGAACGGAGGTATTCAATGCTGCGCGTGTCAGTTCACTTCCCCACAGTGGAACACCATCAGTCCAATGCAGACCATCACCAGGCATGCTCATATCCAGACCACCAATCGCGCTGTTTACGCCTGAGCGCTGAGCTAGCCAGTCTGACTGGACAAACCCCTGGAAGCCGAGTTCGTCCTTGAGAATACTATTGATCAATTTGCTGTTCTCGCATGCGTAAGTGTTGTTGACCATCTGGTAAGAACACATGATGCTAGCCACGTCGGCCCGTATACTCTCGGCAAATGGCCAGGCGAAGACCTCGTGTAATACACGATCATTGATGTTGGACGACAGTGCATCTGGCAGTCCCCACTCAAAGGACTGTCGGAAGTGCTCTTGCTCATTTCCCACAAAGTGTTTAGCCGTGGCCATGACTCCATTTCGCTGTATACCCCGGATGGTTTCTGCGGCAGCCACACCCTGGAGTACTGGGTCCGATCCGAATGCCTCCCAATTACGACCTCCAGCGGGCATCAGACCGAGTGGCCCCATGGAAGGCCCGAGAATGACGTTCACTCCTTTTAGCCGCGCTTCATTTCCAAGTGCAGAGCCCCGCAGGTGCATCAGCTCTCGGTTCCAGGTAGCCCCTGTGGTAATCCCAGCGGGAAATGCTGTGATTTGTCGCGCGTATCTGAGTCCTAGTGGGCCATCTTGTAGGCAAAGCGAGGGAAATTTGACAAGTTCCGCGGGTCCTATACAAAATTCGAGTTAACGCAAGGTATGAATAGTGAGAACAAATAGGAACCGACCGGTATTTCCAACACAGAGTCCCATTTGCCAGCCCGTCCCGGTTGTAACGTTCACTTTCTCCGCGAGGGACATTGCCCTGACCATTTCTTGAGCCTTCACATAGCTTTTCTTCCACTGTTCGATAGTGCCACCACGGGGTGTGGGGTACCAGGCGTCGGTTTCCTGTGTCTATTAGAGGCCAAATCCTGGCAATATCAAAGGGGAAATCTTGAGCAGAAAGCGACCTACAAATTCACCCTTGGCCGATTCAGCAGAGGACCAAGGTAGACCCTTGATCGAAAGCCACACAACCACTATAGCGATTGCAAGTAGGGCGAGGACGTTCCACCACGAGTGCAGACGAAATAACGACCTCCAATCAAAGCGCTTGGTATCATCTTCACTCTTGCCGCGTTTCAACAACCATCCCTTGTCCGATGGGAGACCGTAGTCGTCGCTGAGAGCAAGAGATGATCTGGTCGAATCCCCGTCTTCCAAATCTGTGTCGAACGCATCGGGGAGGAAGTTGCGATCTGAGGCAAGAAGCTCTTCAATGCGTCTCGAAACGTCGCGTTCGTTCTCGTGTACGTCGATTGAATTGGAGGCTGGGTCATTCGATTTGGAGCTCGAAGGCTGTAGCTCGTCTGTTTTCAATAGCGAAAGTTCCACGTTGGCTTCATTCCCGTTGAATGATTCGTCTCCACTTGGTGTATCACTGCCATCATGTTGCCAGCTTTCGTCAGATGTTGACTGTTCGAGTAACGCGTTATTGGAGAACCTGACTGAGCGCGGGGCTCCCTTGGCGTGTGAGGGAGCCATTCAATGTGCAATACCCATGATCTTGCAATATATCTGAGAATTAATCGCTGTGCAATGTTGTAAGTAGGTATATCGTAATGCTATGAGACTACCTAGGTATCTGCGATGGCAAAAATCTTGGTCACCTGATCTCCATCAATAGACCCCTTTTTTCTATACTATTCACATCTTCTCAATTAACATAATAGCAGAGATGAAGCAATAGTTTGGTATGAAATTGTGGAATTATTAATTGATTACAATGTGAACTGTAGCAGAAAGGTATAAACATGCATGATCTATTATTATTCCAATACTATACAGTATAGTAATTATTCCTACTGCCTAAGTATCAACTCCACATTATTGAAGGGAAAATAGCCACTAACACAGTCTAACATTCTCATGCATACAATATTCTACCCTTACTTCTAGCCGACCTGCTCGTACACTTGATCTTCTGTGAAATCCAAAGCAGGAAAGTCGAAATTTGAGACAATCAAGTGGCAAATCTGTGGCTGTGCTAGTTTTCTCCGAGGAGACATTATGTATATGTTGTAGATTGTATGTATTGACCTCATAGTACATAATTAGATATTATACAGTAAAAATGTAGTTTATGTATGGAGTACCTAGGTAGGAATTCATGTTCTGCAGCAGGTTGACACCACTATCCCAATCAAATAAGCAGAGAGAATGCCAATTATGAGAGCCATGATTGTATGGGATATGTGATTTATATTCAATCAACACCAATGGGTCGTTATCTACATTTGCATAGATAGCCATGTGCAACTGACCTTGACTTCCCAGAAACTCTTGCCATTTACGATATTGAGACCTCGGGATAGAATCGACTTGGACATAAACTAATGATGTCAAGTGTGGTATATCCTGAGACAAAGTGGAGAGCGTGGAGCCCATTCGGGCGCAGCTAAGAGGTTAACATTTCATAAATTTTTTCCCTCGTTCCTGTTATTCTTAGTGACTTTTTAGTGTATCTTAGTCTTCTTTAGCGGAATCCCGTCGAAGTTCCGAAGCCACACGTCGATCTTTACTTGCCCTTGATCTTACCTGATCTCTTTGAAACAACTCTTAAGTGTCTTCCATTGCGATCTTCAGAGCCCTGCCGTGTGTCTGTTTGAGATCGATTAAGGTGGGTTTTCCTGATTCGATATATATACTCCGTGGAAGTAAGTGGATATGTTTTGATCAATCATAATCAAATAATTGGTACATAATGAGTAGGATATGGATTCGTTTACATAGGCCGTTTCCTCCGATCTTCTATTAGTGGAGCTTCTGCAGCTCTCATCCTGTCATATTTCTGAATGTGAGACCCTGAATGGACTATTTACAAACTTGGACCATGTATTAAAAATGTCTACCTAATTTTGGCTATCATTGCTACCTGATTCGGCTTTCAGCCCATCTCCGGAGGTCTCCATCCCCGGGGCCGCATTTACCATGGCTAAGCTTAAACGGGTTCTTCTCCTCTGCTTCTTCCAAGGTTGTTTGCTATGCCGTCCCTACCGGACTTCAGTGATGTCGATCGGAGGATTGCTAGATTTCTCAGGGTCCGCTTGTGGAGTTGTAGCACGCCCCTCTTCCCAACGTTCGCATATATATCTCCCTGATTCCCTCTTCATTGATCCTCTATAGACTCTCTCTCTCTTGTTCTCAATTCCAATTGCTTCCACTCCCGCTCAATATGAAGTTCTCGGCCCTTCTCGCTCTCGCCCCTCTGGTGGCTGCCATCCCTGGCTCCAAGCAGGCCAAGAGCTCTGATGCTTCCTTCAGCGTCATCTCCGCTCGCTCCGCTTCTCCAGTCCACCTTCTGCCCCTTAACGCTGCTGGCAGCTACTTCTGGCTCGGTGGTAATGCCCAGACTTACTCTCCCGTCGAGGGCATTCCCGAGACGAACCAGACTGTGATCACTGGTGGTCACTACCTTGTATGTTTTTTTTTCGCTCAAAGCACGTATACAAGTCTTTGCTAATATATATCCAGGACGTTGTTGTCCCCGGTGGCCAGGCTATCTTCGTCGACCCCAAGGGTGCTCTTCGTTTCACCTCCCCTCACTCCGCCTATGAGCCCGAGGGTTCCTCCGACGGTCCGTTCGACTACACTCCTGGCACCACTTTCGGTCACTGGAGCTACACCGGCCAGGGTGCTTCCGGCTTCATGGCCTGCCCTACCACCAACAGCACTACTACCACCCGCCGTGCTCGTCGCGCTGCTGCCGCCCCCAAGTACCAGGTCTTCGCTGCCCTGCAGAACGCCACTGTCCCCACTGGCAACGTTGCTGACTGCCTCGGCTTCGATGCTCTGGCTGTCTCTGCCAACGGCACCGCCCCCACTTGGGAGTATATCTAAATTATTGAGCCTGGAGCTTAGCGCAGGGATGTACAGTGTGACTGTTTGCCGTCATCATGATTGGGATAGCGAGGAAGAGGCAGTCGATACTTGAGTATTGCTGTTGATCCTACCTTCTGTTAGATTGTATAAAGATTGTGATTACATTGTTTTATTGTTGACCAACCCCTGCCACTCGTTACGACATTGATTATGCGAACAAATCTATTTCTGATTAGACATTTAATCAAACTGATCTTCAAATATAAGCGTCCACTGGATTAAATACAACGGTTCAGTTAGATATACCATGAGCTGTCGGATTGGTCAATGGCCGTCAATGGACTGAACATACTAAGAGATGACTTGCACAGCCAGTTGAGTACTTACGATCTATCTACACAACACAAGGGAAGGTTTGAATGAATGATTGTTATACAACTATGCTAACTCCAATTGATCCAATGAGAAACGAAAAAAAGGAAAGGGTATTCATCATCATAAAGCCACACTCAACTCAAAGCTTAGCAGCGCTACCAGCAGAGGAGATCTCATTGTACAGCAAACTGGTCAAGAAATCCGCATAGTCCTCACCAGTAACCTGGTTCGCGAAGTATCGCGCAGCGAGCTGGAACTTGTTGCCCTTGCCGCCCTTGGCAGCAAGGCTATCGGCCTGCTCTTGCAGCAGACGGAGGGCAAATGCCTTGTCCATCCGCTTGCCCTCGGCTGTGGTAACGTTGTGCTTAGTCCATTGCCACAGCTGGCTTCGGGACACTTCGGCCGTTGCTGCGTCTTCCATGAGGAAGTTGATCGGTACGCAGCCCACGCCGCGGAGCCAGCCTTCCATGTAGCTCAGGCCGATGTTCAAATTTTTGCGGATGCCCTCTTCGGTGATCTTGCCGGGAACGTTGGTGTTGAGAAGATCGTTGGCGGTGATGTTCACTTCCTCGCGGCGGACAAACAGCTGGTTGGGAGTTGGCATGTACTTGTTGAAGACGTCCGAGGCGATGGCGGCCAGAGCTGGGTGAGCCACCCAGGTACCGTCGTGGCCAGCGCGCACCTCGCGCAGCTTGTCGGCGCGGACACTCTCCATGGCCTTGTCGTTAGCGGCCGGGTCGTTCTTGATGGGGATCTGTGCGGCCATGCCGCCCATGGCGTGCACACCACGGCGGTGACAGGTCTTGATGAGGAGCTTCACATAAGCATCCATGAAGGGCACGGTCATAGTGACATCAGAGCGGTCGGGGAGGACAAAGTTGGGGTGCTGGCGGAACTTCTTGATGAAGGAGAAGATGTAATCCCAGCGGCCGCAGTTGAGACCGGAGCTGTGATCGCGGAGCTCGTAGATAATCTCATCCATCTCGAACGCGGCGGTGATGGTCTCAATCAGAACGGTTCCACGAATGGTACCACGCGGAAGACCAATATAATCCTGGGAGAGGTTGAAGACGTCATTCCAGAGACGGGCCTCAAGGTGAGACTCCATCTTGGGCAGGTAGAAGTAAGGTCCGGCACCACGGGCAACCAGCTCCTTGGCGTTGTGGAAGAAGTACAGACCGAAATCGAAGAGACCACCGGAAATGGCCTCACCATCCACGGTGAAGTGCTTCTCATCCAAGTGCCAGCCACGGGCACGGGCAATCAGAGTGGGCAGGGTGCGATCGGTTCGGAGCTTGTACTCCTTGCCAGCCTGCTTGAAATCGACCTGTCGGCGAATAGCATCGTATAGGTTGACCTGACCATTGACCATGTTATCCCAGGTGGGGGCACTTGAATCCTCGAAATCGGCCATGTAGGTCCAGACATCAGAATTCAAGGCGTTCACCACCATCTTGCGGTCGGTAGGACCAGTGATCTCCACACGGCGGTCCACCAGACCAGGAGCTGGGGGAGCACCCTTCCAGGCGTCATTTTCACGGATATGCTTGGTCTCGGGAAGAAAATCGAGGAGGTTGCCCTTGTCAATCTCGGTTTGGCGATCGATACGACGTTGGAGGAGAGACTTGCGAGTAGTGTTGAAGGTGCGGTGTAGAAGAGCCAGGAAGGCACAAGCTTCTTTGGTCAGGATCTTGCGAGCGTCATTATTGATAGAACCGAGGATGGCCACATCCTTAAGCTGTGTCTCGACGTGAGACATATTGAGGAAGGTATATGCGGGGTGAGGTATAGATCGGAGGGGTTATAGATGTGTTATAATAGAGATGTAAGGTACTAGCGATATCCCATAAGAAAGGAAATTCCAAGAGGATATATAAATTGAAGGGAATGAAGAATCGTTTGAAGAACACCAGTAACAGCTATATATGATAACTCATAATTGATAATTATGGAATTTCCCCCTTCAACCGAAAGTAGAATACGTCAGAGAGAGTACAGAGAGACACCGAAATGCCGCGGCTGTTCGAATTGATCCACCGATAAGCGGACTGCCGATGCCCCGTAACAATCTGTTTAACCATTTGACCGCTGAAAGCTCTCTGAACTCCCCCGGCTGCCCCCAGATTTCACTGTGAATCGACTTTTCCTCGGGAAACTCTTCCTCTCGGCCGACATTTTCCGTTTTCCGGGTGATTTTCACTCTTTACTATTGAGTCTTCGGCTTCAAAAAGGTGGTTTCCCCCCCGATTCACTCGGGATACGCCGCATACCGAGTCCTATCATCGGCTTTAGTGTTGGTTTCGTGTCAATTCTCTCGTCCGGAAGACCTCTGTGTTATATAGGATTTACTAAAAATTTATATTATTTGACCGTGACGATAATCACCACGGATATTAAAGTCTGATTGAATACTAAACTCTGAAGTACAGCTATTATCCATGTTGCTTCCTGCTTCACCCGATGGCTGTAAAATGCTCCCCGGAAGTCCAATCAGCCGCGGTAGGGTAATGTCTTTTTTTCTCTTCTATCTACTTACAATTTACACAGTGAGAAGCTCTGAACCGAAGCCGAATTATTCCGCGTATTCTATGAGTTCATAGACATGTGACGGCATGTGATGTTTTCATATTTACATACGGAGTACGGAGTCACTATAACTACTATAGTTAGCTGAAGGACTTTGTTGTATACGGCAAATCTCGATTGATGCTTAGTACATGAAATCATTTATATAACTATATATATCCCGCAGTATTCCAGCTACTGCTGAAATCTTACTAGATCTAGTATGTGACTATGTGCAGATACATTGGAATATATCCGCCATTTACACCGTCTCAATGTATCGCTTCACCTCCCTAATTAAAAAAGGTCAGCATTCAAGGATTCAAACCAAGTCAATCCAACTCGTAGAGAAAAGAAAAATACATACCAATCAGTCACCGCCTCCTCCCACAAGCGAACCTCGTGCTCCCGAGTGCCCGCGAAGTGCTCGACAAATGAATCCCCAAAGACCTCCCGCGCAACACTCTCCGGTCGCAAAAATGTAGCAATGGCTTCCTTCAATGATTTGGCCAATCGCACACCTTGATCACTGGCACCCCCCATGTCTTCGCCGCGGGCGAGGGGCGGCACGGGGATCTCGAGCTTCTGCTCAACTCCTCGCCACCCCAAGGCTAGGATCGCGGCCAGCACAAAATGAGGGTTGGTGTCCGCGCCGGGCACCCGCACCTCAAATCGAGTCGCTTTCGCGCTCGCCGTCGGCGGGGTGATGAGGCGGATGGACGCCGCCCGGTGCTCGAGTCCCCATGAGACCGTGACGGGGGCCCAGAAGTTCTCCACCAGTCGTTTGTAGGAATTGATGGTCGGGGCCAGGATCGGCATGATGTCCGGCAGGCCGATGAGAAGACCCGCCAAGAAGTGTCGCCCCAGATCGGACAGATGAGCGATATCGGGATATTGAGGGGAGGGATCCGGGGTATCGCGGATGAAGGCGTTCTTTCCGTCGGCCGTGACCAGCGAGATGTGCATGTGCCCACTGTTGCCAGGTAGGCCTTGTCGAGGTTTGGCCATGAAGCACGGGGTGATGCCATGTTTGATCCCGAATGCCTTGACGGTATATCTATCCGAACACTATGGTTAGCCCATCAACGCGACCAGGTTGGGAAGGGATCCCTACTTGAACAACCCAGCCTTATCGGCCATATCCTTTGCCTCGCCGAATTGTAATGCCTAACCCGATGTCAACTTCCAACGTGACCCATGTCTTTCTCTCCTACCAACTCACGGCTTCGAACACTCCCGGTCCACTTTCGGTGTGCCACCCCTCAATATCGCAACGGAATTTCTCGCAGGCGTCGAAGATCCCATAGTAGTAGTCTTGGTTATGGAGAGGCCGAGTTATGGAATACCCAAACATGCCTTCTGTTAATGACGGAAGCGCATCGGGAGGATTGGTCTGGAGGAAGGCGGCCGTTGCAGACGCAGCTTGTTCAGGGGTTGAATGGTTCCCCGGTGTGCGAAACTGGTAGAACTCATATTCCGCTGTGAAGATCAAATCCGTTAGCCATTAATTCAAATTAGACACAAGAGGTGGCGGTTGGACATACCACCGGCCATAGCCCGATACCCCGCGGCCTCGGCTTTCGCTGCCGCCGTCTTCAGCAATCCGCGTGGACAGGCGCAGACTGGCTCTCGAGTATCTGGGTCTAGGAAGCTAATGAGGAAGAAGGGCACATTGTTCTCCCATGGAATGCGACGAAAACTGCGTAGATCTGGAACTGCCACGAGATCTCGATATCCGTTCTCCTTGTTGCTGATGGTCAGTTCCTTGTAGTAGGTTGCATCATGTTGGTCCCAGCCGAAGATAACGGAGCAGAACCCGAAGCCTTCGGTGATGATAGACAGAAACTTGTCTTTCTTCATGAGCTTCCCGCGCAGGATCCCATCAACGTCCACTCCTGCCACCTTCACCTTGGTATCATTCTTAAGGATCTCAACAACATTTTCAGGTGTGACCTCAGGTTCTGTTGTTGACATGACTAGAAATGGTATGAAGGGTAAAGAGTGTATGAAAAGATGAATCAGAAAACAGGTCAGAAAAAAGGAAAGTAAGAAAGATAACCTCCAGGGCTTTTCATCACGAGGAACACATTCGAGGGGCCGAAGCTCAGGAGCTTATCGGTTGACGCTATTCCGCTTTAGGACAAATAGATATCGTCACCGCCTACATAATCAATGGATGGGATTCAGGACATGCCCCGCGTATACTTTTGAAACTTGATATTGACACATATATACGGTTTTCTTTACATACCGAATTTCCTCATATCTGGTAAGTATTGGAAGTCTAAACCAATGTCGATGTGTATTCCCTTGAAACATTTCTAACTAACCCCTTACTACCCACTACCCCAGGCATAACTACAGCTCCCACAATAGTTCAACAATGGCTGCAACTACTCCCCAAGGACGCCTTCAAGGCAAAAATGCTATCATTACCGGTGCAGGCGGGTATGTACCATCTCCTTTTTCTCAACAGTCTCCCAGCATTTATTCTATTCTATTGATTATAGAAAAACGTCGCTGACCCTGTAATCTCCATTAGCGGCATTGGTCTCGAAACCAGTATCCTCTTCGCCCGCGAGGGCGCCAATGTTCTCATGGCCGATGTCTCGGAGGCCGCTCTCGAAAAAGCATTGGCCAAGGTAAAGGAAGTCGTTCCCGCCGCCCCTCGCGTTGAATCGATCCGCTGTGATGTGTCCAAGGAGTCGGATGTGCAGGCAATGGTCGAGTCACAGGACAGCTGGGGAGGCACCGATGTGATCTTCAACAACGCTGGAATCATGCATGCCAATGATGCCGATGCCATCGATACCCCCGAGAAGATTTGGGATCTTACACACAACATCAATGTCAAGGGTGTCTGGTTTGGCAGCAAGCATGCCGTTCTCAGTCTGCGTCGTCACAAGAAGGCCCGTGGTAGCATCATCAACACGGCCAGTGTGGTGGCGCTAGTTGGTGCTGCTACTCCTCAGTTGGCGTACACTGCTAGTAAGGGTGCAGTGCTGGCGATGACTCGGGAGTTGGCTATTGTTCACGCTCGTGAGGGATTCCGTTTCAATGCTTTGTGTCCCGCCCCCCTCAAGTGAGTTTCCCCCAATTGTACAGATATATCACTGGCAACTCACACAATCTTTTCTAAGCACACCCCTTTTGCAAGACTGGTTGGGTGACGACAAGGATAAGCGGTTCCGTCGTGAGGTGCACTTCCCCACCGGTCGGTTCGGCGAACCCATTGAGCAGGCCCACGCCGTGGTATTCCTCGCCAGCGACGAGAGCAGCTTCGTGAATGGAACTGACTTTGTGGTTGATGGTGGAATGACTAAGGTAAGTGTGTTGGAAATTTTCCCGTGTTATGTCTGAAGCTGACAAATATTACCCCTAGGCCTACGTGACCCCGGAGGGTCCGGCCACTCCTGCGCCTCAGAACAATGGCCACTAAATTAATGGAAGTGGTCGAATTTATTTTACTCTCATATTCTAGTTTTCGGGGTTTAGGCATTATATAAATGATTTTATGAAGATCCACGGATGCCAAGATTGAAGGTTGATTCTTGCTATACGACACGACGATTCAATTATGATCAGATTTTCGATACTAACTATCCACACTATTACATATGTATAGTTAGGTAATATTTAAGTAATATCTAAGTAAAATTTCACATCCGAAAAATCATGCTAGTTTTGCATCAAAAATGTTGGATGATTGTAGATGTATATTGTATGATGCTACTACTATGGTATGATCACACAACACTACGGTATATAGAAGACACCCCCGACCTTCCCCACGTCATTTTCCCCTCCCCGCATTCCGCCCCCTTCCGCTCAAACGCCTTCACACAACTCTTAACTTGATCTTTAAATCTTAAACCAAGTACAATCGCACGCACATTATATACACACCATGTCTCAATTCGCTCTCGGTTCCAAGCCATATGGCAACCATTCCGGTCCGAGCTTGAAGCTGAAGCCCAGGAACGCCCGGGTGTAAGTTTAACCAACCCCTTTTTTTGGCCATTTACTGACACTTTTCAAGACTGATTCCTCTAATGGCCACTGCCGGTCTCGGTATGTTATTTCCAGGTTTGTGTATATATGCATATTACTGACATGCACACTAGGATTTGGTGCTTACAAGTATTACATCGAGGCCAAGTCACGGAGAGAAATGTCCATTCTGGAAGAAGAGAAACGCCTGGCACGAAACCAACAGTTGATGGACGCATACGGCGACAAAAACAGTCTACATGACGTTCAACAAGCCCTCGATACATATAACGTTCAATGAACGAGATCCCACCTGACCGACGCTTCACAATGCTGGTAGTTTTGAAGTGAAGGATGTTCACATTGGTTTATCTGCTCGACTTGCGCTCCATGGAGTTTGGGAACTGCCTATTGGTTTTTTCTTTCGTTTTCTTCCGGTGGACTGGTGCGCCGTCCCCATTCGGCGTCGAGATTGTATGGGCTTGCTTTTCATCATCATCATCTTTTTTTCAAGGAGTCAATGTTGTATCAACAATAGGAACTTGTATTTCGTGATTGAGATTCAGATTGAAATCAAATGAGTCAGTCAAACTATTTCCCGCTGTGCACTTTGCACATTTTCTCGAGTGCGCTTTTCTCGGGTGCGCCCACGGTAGTGCAGTGTCAGCGGTGGCTCAAGCCCTGGAGGATGCTGGCCATCGCTTAACTAGCTTATGGGCTTGTTGTTGATAATAGAAGACTGAGATACATTGCTTTGGAGTAATATATAACTAATATACAAAACAATAACAAGTTATCAATTCTTATCTTAAACCGCCTGTCCACACCCCGCTGATATCTTTTGCTCCGTTCCCAGTGGCTTTTAGTGTCAGGAAAACCCCATAGTGGAGACATACATAGTATAGAGATGCAGTTGACAGCGAGATAAGGATTATTATTGAAGTGAACCATCAATTTGAACTACCTAGGTAGCTAGGTAGACACCGGAGTTGACCAATAACCGATATAGTTTTTACTCTCAAAGTATCTCGCCAAGGGTAGAAGCATGTTAGCTCAATGTTCCAAATGAAAATATCCTGGTTCTGATTTGATTCACACTTCAAGCTATGTAATGTCGGGCAAGTCCATGCGAAGATCGACGAATACAGACGAACTAATCAACTTAGCGTTTAAAGGAACACATGCGATAAGCGAAACAGACCGATAAGGTATTTGCTCGGATTGCCATCCGCCTCCAATTGTTCTGATGTCCTCGATATCCGGTCCTAATCACTTCCCCGCATACAACTGCAACCTTGTCCGGAGCTATCCGTAAGGGGAATTGTCTGGCAATGCCTTCCTATTACGTTTGGATGGAAAATACTTAGATCGCACCTCTCCCCTGGTGATTTTGGCCAAAATTCTCCGCAAATTTGATGGACTCCACAATGAAGGACGGCCCACTCGAAGGCGATGATGCTCGGTTGGCAGCTATGGGCCATCGGCCTGAGCTTCAACGTAGCCATTCCACTTGGTATGATCATAGAACGATACAGCAGAGCCTCATTCTAATCGGGTTATAGGTCTATGCTGGGGTTGGCCTTTGCAGTTCTTAACGTTAGTACAAGATGGATTGCGACCGGATCATCTAGCTTACCAAGAAAATAGTCATGGACCGCTCTTTCGGCCAGTTTGTCAATCAGTCTCACATCTGGTGGAAGCACCAGTGTAATATGGGGTAAGGTCAAGCAAGTCACTTCCCTTTTGGACTTCATTGACCCATAGATTTTAGGCTTGGTGACAGCTGGATTCTGCAATCTTTGTATTGCATGCTCATTGGCTGAATTTCTTTCGGCATACCCTACGTATGTTTACAAAATCTTTGTATCATACCCACCAATTAATGTCTTTGCAGGGCTGGTGGACAGTATCATTGGGTTGCAGGTGAGTCTCCCCCAACTTGTCATCCTGGACCAATACTAATCCCAATCCCAGCTAGTATGTTGAAACAACGCCTCGTTGGGAGTCAAGCTAATATATGAGAAGTTGCATGGCCAAGAACTGTACCAATTCTATCGTGGATTACTGGCTGGATTAATGTGGCTGGCTGGGTACGTAGACCAACTCTTCGATCTGACACCCAAGCTAATGAATCTCAAGGTTGCCCTTGTTGCGACAAATTCGCTTCTTTCCAGCCAGTTGATTGTTGGCATCATTTCTGTTCTCCACGAGGCAAGAAAGCCCACTCCGTAACATTGGCTTGCACTAATTTTGAATGCAGAGTTATGTTCCCCAACGCTGGCATCAATTCCTGATCTATATTGGATTGACTTTAGGATCATTCATCATCAATGCATTTATGAACTCCATATTACCGGTCATTTACCGCGGTGCTTGTACGTTTTTCTCTACCTGAACTTAAGTTCATTTCTCACAAAATATAGTCATGTGGTCCATTGGAGGCTTTGTGGTTGTGTCGATTGCTGTTCTTGCATGCGCCTCTCCTAACTATAATTCAGCCTAGTATGAGCCCCCTCTGGGAGTCGGACACTGATACGATCATCAACTGACATATATAGTTTCGTGTTCTGTGACTTTATCAATACAACAGGATGTACGTTTGCTAAAATATCATATGATGATAGTTGCTAACCAGCATCAGGGCCCGATGGAGTCGCATGGCTTCTAGGAGTATGTTGTCGGAATTGAGACCCTTTGAACGACTGAAGTCATATACTAACAAACTCCCAGCTGCTTCAAGGAGGCCTTGGAGTAACGGCCTTTGTAAGTCCATGAAGATTGTTGTCAAGTTGATAACAACCCCACTAACTGTGTCTAGGATGCGGTAGCACACATGATCGAAGGTGAATGACTCCCTGGCATTTCGGACATTCTTAAACTAATGCAAAACAAACTCAGAGGTACCAAATGCTGATATCGAAGGACCGAAAATTATGGTTTCTTGTGTGGGCATTGGAACTGTTACAGGCTCCATATTTTTGATAGTCCTTCTATTTGTCGCAGGGAACATGGAACAGGTCACAACATCTGCGGCCGGTCCTCTCTTGCAAATTCTCATCGACGCTACTAAAAGTAACGCGGGAGCCATCTGTCTTTTGATGTGAGTGAGGAAAATTCCCATCTTGCACTGAGATTCTAATTCAATCTTAGGCTGCCTCTTGTCTGCTTGGTCTTCGCAATTATCAGTGTTATGACAACCAGCAGCCGAATGATCTTTGCTTTCGCCAGGTAATACCAAGCCCGCTACAAATCGTAACTGAAAAACAAACACTCACACATCTTCCATAGAGACGGTGGTCTTCCTGCCTCTCGATTCTTTGCGACTGTCCACCCGACCCTCAAATTACCACTCAATGCGTTGATCCTGAGCGTCATCGTGGTTATCGCGTTTGGGTGCATCTTCTTGGGCTCATCGAGGTAAGACTTCATCCGTCAGAAACCACTCAGCTATACTGACCGAAACCAGTGCCTTCAACGCTATCATTTCTGCTTCAGTTGTCGCACTTGACATATCCTATGGGATACCAATTGCCATTAATTGTCTCCAGGGGCGCAGATCGCTTCCCGAAAGAAAATGGAAATTGCCCAACGCCGTCGGGTGGTTTGCTGACTTGGTATGTTCTGCTGAGAGCCCTCAAACCTGATTGTAAAATTTTCTCTGATTATCCTTAGGTTGGATTAACCTACATCATCTTGACCACCGTCTTGTTTGTTTTTCCTCCTTCGAGAACCGTTACAGGGAGTAGCATGAGTGAGTCTTTTGCTTGAACGAATTTCCTCCGCAAGCATGTCACTAATCCACTTCTGCTTCAGATTATTGTATTGCCGCATTTGCAGTAATTGTCATTATATCCGTGTTTCAGTGGATGGTAGATGGGAGGAAGAATTTCGCGGGGCCGCGTATCGATATGAATATCGATGCACTGGATAGTGTATCTATGAGGGAAGAGACTGAGCCCAACATCCATGAGAAAGGACGTATCGGGCCAGTATAACCCCCTGCAAGGATGAGCGAGCGTTGCGAATGTAGCGCAATATCGATCTTCAAGATTAATTTCGGCTAGTATTTAGTCTTTTTTTATATCTATTACTTCTTTAAAACTAAATGATTCAAAATTGTATTAACTTAGATACCAATTGTTAGACTGACCGAAGATCTCCAACATCTCCGACCCTCTTGAACAAAGGTAATCGATTGGATCATTCCAAACCAGTCTCCTCCGCGGCTTGCTGCAGGATGATGGTTTTCAGGACCGCAAATAGGCCAACCAGACTATCAGGTAATGGTTCCACCCGTCATACGTGGCATCGAGCTGACTGTAATGGCGGAGAAATGGCTCTTAAACTGGCCGTGTGGGTGCGAAGAGCACAAGAAAGATGACATGAGGAGCTTCTTGCGTGAGCACGGATTGGACTAGAGACTTGGATGAGATAAGATAGATGCGGCGCTTTTCTTTCCCACTGAGAATCATTCATACCGCATTGACGCAACGCAGGCGTGCCGTCTTCGGACGAATGATGGACGGCCACAATATATAGTTACTAGAGCTGCAACCAACCTTGGAACCTTTATCCACACTTCCTGTGCAGGTCGCTAGATCGAAAATTGTGAGTACGTGGCGTCCTTGTTGCGTGCCACTATTTCTCGCATCGTTCATAGCTTACCAGATATTGCATCGATCGAACACAGCCAGAGCTCTTTGGACGTGTACATATCAACTGCAAAGAATAGGAAAATCGGCTCTTGGAAACTCTATAACCACCTATAATTTATAAATTCCTCCATGGTATATGTGTGCACTTTATATAGCAAGCCGGTCTACTAAAATTCTAAGTAGGTTTCAAAATTTGACTGCAATCTTTTCTTTCAAGATGTGCTGGTGTAAACACCCCGCACCTATGTACTTTTCCAGATGCAAACATTCAGTGAACCTGCCGCCGGAGTCCACTCGTTACATGTGCACAGAAGCCATGAGCCGCTCACCCCGGAATGGTGCGATTTTGTTCAAAACACCAGCAAAGCTTCCAGTATAACTCGTCTGAATCTTGCCCCAATTGTCGGGGCAAACCCGGGGCCGGAATGGACAGCTCAGCCCCTATTGATGGTAGGCAATTTAGTGCTATTCTGGTTGGCGCTTAGGCAAGGCTTAGGTGGCAAGGTCGTTACAGATAACTATGCTGCATAACTGCTATTGGGATGAGTAGATGATTGTCGAAAGTCATATACCCACCTGAGATGTCTGAACCAATATTGAGATAAATTCTTTCCAAAAATATATACAATACCTAGCCGTGTCTGTCACAACAACAACCGTAACTTTGCAATGAAAAATGGGGGGCTTCTTCATTCAAGGCCGCCATACTAGCATGTTCTCCATGCCAAATTTCTCGATGATACAGCTGCAGAGAAGACTTTCTACCAAAGGAAGCGCTTGCAAGTTCGGCCAATGTAAATTTGCCCGATCAAAGAATTAATACTCATGAACGCTCCATATAGTAATTGAGTGGACGATGCAACCAAGATGAAGAATCTCAATTTGCGCAGTCAAATCATTTTCACATACGGTATCCACTTCGGCCATTGACGGTAACAAGACAGACTGACCGAAGCCCACAAGCTTCAGTTCGTCTTCAATTGCCAGGATCTTGCGGAGAGCGATATCATCTACGAGTATAACTCGAGAGTGCACATAAAATACAGACTTGATGAGAGAAAAATTCAATCAATCTTGAGGAACTCTTGCAGCTCCGAATGAGTCTCGACGTAATGCTCAAGATTGCCTTGTCTCGCGAAGGCAGCTCAGTCCCATATTGAGATGCGCAGGACCGCGTGATGATTCCTTTGTAGCTACTTAGGCGTTCGTAGACCCGTATCTCATGCATCAATGTTTCTCGGTTAATGTTGTTTATATTTTGTATCGATGCGGTTGAGTTCAGAGACCTGCTTGAAAAAATGGTATTTGCTTTCTTAATTACACGCTGCTCATCGATTTTAAGAACTTTTCCGACTAACCCATACCTACTACGCCAAGCCCGACGTAGCGATCATGGATAAACTGTGTACGCAGGTTTGTTGCTCCAGAAACCCCAGTTCGAGAAGATTGAGCTTCCTGTGACATGTCAGAGCAAAATTCGCAATAGATTGGAGCAAACACACCTTGGGTGTTGACGTTTCGTGGTATCTATTGACCTTTCCGTGTTTTGAGACCCTGGCTTTCAGCTGGCAACAGTAGACGGTAAACGCCGCGAAGAGAATAGACCAAATACAGGGCTGAATATAAGACAGCATCTATGAGGGATATACCAGGCAAATAGGCTTCGTTGCCAGTACTTCCATGGCGTTTCGAAAAAAATAAGAAGCAGTGTTATACGCCCTTGGAAACTCTTCGGCGCCACGTTGTCTAATCACATGCCAAGGTGGACGCGAAGCTTGTGCTTCCAAGATGGAAATCCAAGCTAAAGCACAACTAGGAGTTCTGATGGAAGCATGTGGATGATATGATGATCTCCTGCAAAAGTCTCAGGTCCAAGTGCGGGTGATGGGGGTGAACCACCTCTGCGTGGTTGGCACCATCCAGGGGTGTCAATGATCCGATATACTAGTGTGACATACATATGTACAATATCTCGCTGTTAAGTCAATTTAAATCAGACCGGGAACGAATCTCTTTGTTGATCGGTGCCAATTATTCCACTCTTGTCCAAACTTTTGTCTTAGCATGTCTTCCTCATCCAATACCCTCAGTCCGATACCCCCAAAAGTGGCTAATATGAGTGCCACAGTCGTGGTCAGCCCCCACCCTTGTAAATGACTAAGGGCCAAGTCAGGGATCCAGCAAGCTGGTGTTGCATCCCATCTCATAAATAGAGCAGAAGTTCCAATGAACACCAACCCTGCCCCAGTGTAGCTGGGATGCTGGACCCAGCTATACACGCCTGTGGTCACTAAATTTTCCGGCGACGCTAAATGGAACGTAAAGTATTTTCCAAGCCCGCCGTAGGCTGACAAACGTATATATGCTCCAATGTAAATGAAGAGGAGAGACGTGATGGACAATCTATTCCACACGAAAAGTTCCGGGCTAATGTTTTGAGATTGAGGGCACACTTGCATCGTGTCGACAGGGGTGTGGCGAACCACCGTCAGAAGGGCGTGGTATATAATAATACCGAGGGTAATTCGGCGCGCAACAGCGGGGAATGTCCCAGCCATAAATCTCAGGCGATCACTCCGGTGGCGATCATTCCGTTCTGGAGAGGGGTTGGGCGGCGTGGCGCAGAGGACGCTGAAATAACCCGCCGCCACCATGGCAATCGCAAGCAGGATTGAGGTTACTTGCCTCATGCCCAGGTGTTCGAGGGTAAGGAAGGGTTCAAGTAAATGGATGGAAATGTATTATTTGAGGGGTGCGTTTATTTGTACACCACACTAAGCCCTACTAAGCCATCACATGACAGCCACTTGTACCCTGTTTTTTATATGGTAATCCTGCGTTCCTGTTTCTTAGTAATCCCCATAGTAATGAGAACACACCCGCGCCACTGAATTAAATCTCCATTTTGAAGCTATATACATGCCTTTTAATGATCTGTTTCGGTGGTACAAGGATAAGACTAGTTCTTACAACAGTCTTTCTTACCCAGTAGATTAAACCCTCTCTGCCATAAGACCGAGATGGCGTCAACGAGCATTCTGCCCTTCCCCTATCCACTCAGTCCCGGGACCGACATATGCCACATTCCCAGAATCCGGCGAATTCTTGAAAAGGATCAGAAACACGTTGAGAGATTCGGCCAACGGATGTTCAGTCGGGCTGAACTGCCCGGTTTCCAAGAGCGTTATGACAAAGTGCTACAACAAAGACAAACGATGTCGGCTCATGCCCCCATCCAAGGAACTGATGATAGATCCAATATCATCAGTGATGTCCAATATTCTCCATATGACCGGGAGCTTTTGAAATTGTCAAATTGGATGGCTGGTCGGTAAAGCGCCCCCTGTCCAAAAAAAATGACAAGAAAGCAAGCTAAAAGCCACTAGTTTCGCAGCCAAAGAAGCGGCCAAGAAGGCAATGTTTCCTCACCGCCTTGCTTGGCATAAAGCTGAGGTGTTGACGTTGCCCGGGAGGAGAAAGCCAGTACTGGTTATCCATACATCGTCTCCGAAGGCAGACAGTCATGAGAACGAGGATAGAGACCATCAACAGCTGAGAAGACAAGCCGCGCAACATTCGATCAGTCATGACGGGGATTATGCCACTGCCAATGTGTTGGCGGTCAATTGCTTCTCAGTGTTCTCGGCTATTGAGACATTAGAAGACAGAGAGGAGGTTTAATATTATATACTTAACTTTAGAGTTAGCACAAATGTTTGGGTACGCAATCAGGGGATGACTTTATACTGAATACTCCTACTGGCAATAAAAACGATTGATGAAAGTTTATAATGCATGTTCAATTGTTCAACATCTTTTACAGAATGGAATGAAAGCGATGAGGATCTTTGCTGCGATTGAGGAAAGGAATGCCTTATCATATAATCTGGTAGTGAATAGAGATTATATTTTCAGCCTTGTTGGAGTTGTGTAAATCCATAGGACGAGAACTGGGTTTTCCTCAACTAGCCAAGCACAGATTCATGCTTTTCAAAGTCCAACAAGGAATTTTCTTCGGTGATGTTTAGACTTTTGAAGAACATCTACTCTGCTATACGCAAGAGATTTTTAGCAAGCTTGGATTTTTTAAATTCTTCTTTGATCTCCAAAGCCTGCGTGGCCTGCAGTTTCAATGGCGTTAGTTGTTACACGCCATTGAACTTGCCCTGCGCTATCGTTCTTTCAATGTACTTCGAAATCCATGCTAGATTATCTCTAGATACTCTTTGTTTCTGCTATAAGTGAATCAGCTATTAGAAGCATTTCTGTAAGACGTAATGGCCTCTGACATAGTGTAGCGCCGATAAAATTCTACTAGAAGCTACCAGGACATGGTGTAGTATTGTGTCATACAGTGAGACCGACCTCCATTGCTTGGTGACCAGACCCCAATCCTGATCAAATGATTGTTGTAGCTCTTCGTAATTGGCAGTTGCCACTGCGCCCGTCCTTTGCTTAAGTATTTTGGATACCAAGTTTACCTTTATTCTCTCTCGCATTGTTTCCCAGCGCCCCATCTGAACCACACCATTCCGAGTTGGGCAATAGTTCCACCCAGCTTTTTCCTGCCGGTGTATCGCTGATGAGCCATGATAAATCGCGTAATTATCATTCTTAACATCTAGGATATTCCTTATGTTAGGAACTTTTGGATCGGGTTTAGATCAGGCGAATACGGTAGCAAGCACAGTAACTTGACCCCGGCATTTAAGCGTGGCTCTTTATCTTAGTCAGTATGGTGAGCAGACAGATAAAGGCATTGATGAGTAGAGTCAACATACACTCCTTGCGCAAGTGGTTAGGTTGCTTGTGCTCACTGCGTTCGATTCGATTGATGGGATCAATGGCAAATGGGTTAAATTTATCACAGACTGGGGGATGATCGTCGACGATGTTGAGTTTGATTTGGTTGCTATCATGTTGGGAACCGGCTACAGTCTTGGAGGTAGTGCTGACCGCGGGAGCATCGCCATATCTGGGCGTGGCAGCAAAACGTTACAACAAAAGTGGCAGAGTGGACTGGCATCCTTCCAAGGAGTATCTCTAAAGGGCTTTCCTAATCTGTTCTTTCCAGGTCCGTACTAGACTGGTGTCTCTGCGAACCAAGTTTATGCACTAAACCAACTTGCCGTCCATGTCGCCTATATCATATCGGAAGCAGGGAAGGTCCACCAGAAACCTCGAAGCCTGGGCAAACCGGTTTTCGGGTTTAAAGTTGAGCCTAGTATTGCCGCAGAGGAAGAATGGACGTTGAAATATTGTCAATGGCCGGAGCACTTAGAGGAAGTCTCAATTGCACCCCGGGATATTTGAATCGCAAGGGACTTCAGTTGGATGAAGTCCAAAGCGGTCTGGCGACGTGATTCAGCGTTTGGGGACAGGTTATCAATATTTACGTCCAAGAAATCGAGCCTTGGCAAGCGCAGGGTGAACTGATCGGTCTCGAGATGTGGTCTCTCGCAAATGTTAACCTTCACTTCCACTGTGAAAATGAAAAATTTTTAGAATGATCGAGGCAGTCAAAATGGTTCAGTCTTTTCACAAACGAACACCCGACAGCTGTACCTACGTAAATGTGGCGAGACACAGGTAGGGTAGCATTCTCAATAAGAATTGACTTGGTCAAAAACATCCAGGTTTGACTGACATTTTATCGTCTTTTCTGGGCCTGTAAGAATCGACCAATAGAATGACGGAAGGAACGACAAAAAGAAAGTGTTTCATTGACGACTCATAGTCCGCAACCCGAATTGTGAGCCAAAAAGAGTTTACATAACAAAGAGTGTGCTGGATTCAGCAGCAATCCCATCTGGCTATAGATGCTTTCCCTTTGTCAGTCATGATCCTTTATGCTTTTATGACTTTGTCTTCAGGGATCATGCATGATCGCATTCCTTTGATGATCCATTAGATAGATAGATACGAGAGGCCTAAGCCCAAGATATATCACCTCTATTAAAATTCACTTCTCTGAAAAAATGAGTATTACCTATTCTGCAGCTGTAGTGTAACCTCATCAAGAAGAAAACTCATTGAAATTAAGGGAGGTTCACCGGGTGCTTAATGCGGCCCTCGGCGTTCGGCGAGACCAAATTCTGGGGTAGTATTCCCCGGGAATAAAAAACCCGTGGGAACCGGAGACTACTCCAGAAAATCCTATACTCCCCAAGATATCTCGGGAACAACCGAATCCTCGTTGGTCAACAAAAAACCAGTAAAGTATAATATAGACCACCCGCGATTGAACAATCTTCTAACGGAAAGTGTTCACCGGCATGTTGAGAAATCCGGAGAAGGGACCCTCGGCTCTTGACAGGAGCCGTTTCTCGGTCGGAATGCCCAAGACTTTGTCCAGAACATCGGGCCATATGATCGTACCGTACTGTGCCCACTGTTTCATTTCAAAGGAACATGGCATGTTCCCACGTAACAAAAAGTAATAGACCGCAGCATTTACTGCATTTGGCTGCTGGAGAGTGTCAGGGGGCGGAGGTTTCGGTGGCTTATAATAGAAATGTTCGAGTTTGTGTGCTCGAATAGGATGCCACAATCAAAACTTGTAGATGGCAAGTATAGTTCAAGAGCACATCCGATAATAGCCCGGTATTGTGGCGATACATAACTTCGCATATGTATCAGTGAGAAAAAAAAACTTCGGATCCACGTGAGAGCCAAGAAGAAACGCGGAGATGAAAAGGTTTGACGGCTAAAGTTTCCTTGGAAAGTGGTCACCTCCGCGTGTGACTGGCTCCTTTCCCCGGAGCGAAAGCCATGAGAAATCTTGTATTTCTGGGGTTTGGTGGAACTCCCTTGGCACTGAAGACTGGTTCGGTTATGCCCGAGCTGCGCGAGCCATAGTCAAGTCGACATGTTGATCGATCAGATTTAGGTTGACCTTGTACTTTTTATTTTCTCTCTTTTGTTTCTCACATACATGTACGTATTCTGTAACAAGAACATGCTCATGGAAAGTAAATCGCTCGGAACACAGAAAATTTTGACTCACTTTTATGACAAGGTTACTACTGCATACGCCGTAGTCAGCCCGCCTTATGCCAAGACCCTTTTTTTCTTACTAGAAAAGAATGGACAGTGTGATTTCGTGGCGTTCATGAAAGTCTGTGCTTTACACGGCTTGCCTTCAATGTGACATTGGTAAATTACTAGGATAGGATTCCGAGTCCTATCATCAGGTTCCATGTTTACGTATGAATTGTCCTAGGTCAGCAGAGAGACTCACGCGACGAAGTGAAGCCGAGCCATTATGAAAATAACCTTGGACTCATAGAGTCTAGTATGTACATATTTAGAAAAAAGGGACTAGTAGTACAAGATGTATGGAAAAGAAAGGTAGAAAATTCAAATAATACCAGGGAAAAACACGGGGAAAATCGAACAAAGTAAAGGAAAAAAAAAAGAAAAGCAGACAATTCTTTCGAGGCACGTGGCGTACGGCCCTAACTCAAATAAGCCAATCATAACTGATGTCCCCGCGGACTCGAGTCCCGAAGTGGCCATCTCCGGAGCCGAGTAGTGAGGGTTCGGGTTAGACCCGAGGCTCTGTTTGGCTATTGTTTGGCGGTTTTTTTGGTTACGGTGGATTATCCATGGTTCTAGATGTGGACTTCTGGCCAATGATCGTTAGAAATATCTACCACACAGGGTCTTTCTTCCCCCAGACACTTAAAAACCACACGCGAACCAATCAGAGTCTGCTTAAGCGATTCACGGCTTGAGCCGTGCAGTAACTTCCCCGGTTTCCCACTGCCGTGTATTAGTCGCGTGGTATTCAATAAGCGATGACATTTCCAGGGCCGACTTGGCTACACAGGCCCCGTTCAATGCCATTCCAGCCGATTTTGGTACTTCAATTCTTGCCGACAATAATAGACCAACCAGTCTCGGACTAGGTGTGTTTATACTTTTTGGTATTTTTGGGGGTTTCTTTGGACATGGAATGCTCTTGGGATTAACCTCAAGCGGCACTTCTCCTCAGGATATAAACCTCCCTTTCTCCCCCCGTCAGTCTCAATTTCTTTCCTTCACCAACTTTCAACTTACTTCCTTTCATCTTACTGTCAACGTTCCTCACTCGTCCTGTTGCTAGATCTCTTAAGATCCAACCACCTGATTCCTATTGGCCAAGGTTTCGAACACACTTCATTTGAATAAATCAAATCGACTAGCTACCATGCCTGGTGGTGCAGTCATTTCCGCGCCTGCGGACACTCTGCGTGTCGAGGCCCCGGTCACCTTCAAGGCTTACTTGCTTTGTGCCTTTGCTGCTTTCGGTGGTATCTTCTTCGGATATGACTCCGGTTATATCAGTGGTGTTTTGGGAATGGAGAAATTCATTCGCCAGTATGAGGGTCTTGTTAGTATCGCCTTCATCATGGATGCCTCTCGACTCTCACTGATTCTCGTTGGTTTAGGACCCTGCTACCACCCCGGAGTCGCTTTTCGTCGTCCCTGCTTCCCGAAAGTCCTTGATCGTCTCTATTCTCTCTGCTGGTACCTTCTTCGGTGCTTTGATTGCCGGTGACCTGGCTGATTGGTTTGGTCGTCGGACTACCATTATCTCTGGCTGTCTTGTCTTCATTATTGGTGTTGTGCTGCAAACCGCCGCCAGCAGCCTGGGACTTCTGGTCGCGGGTCGTTTGATTGCCGGATTCGGTATTGGTTTTGTCTCCGCTGTCATCGTTCTCTATATGTCTGAGATTGCACCCCGTAAGGTTCGTGGGGCCATTGTCTCTGGCTACCAGTTCTGCATCACTATTGGATTGATGTTGGCATCATGCGTGGATTACGGTACCCAAAACCGAACCGACACTGGCGCCTATCGTATCCCCATTGCTCTCCAGATGCTCTGGGCCATCATTCTCGCTATTGGTCTCTTCCTGCTCCCCGAATCCCCTCGCTTCTACATTCGCAAGGGCCAGATGGACAAGGCTCGCGAGGCTTTGGCTCGTATCCGCGGTCAACCCGCAGATTCTGAGTTTGTGGAGCTGGAACTGAATGAAATCGACGCCAACAACCAATACGAGCTCCTGGCAATCCCCCAGGGCGGCTACTTCACTAGTTGGTTCAACTGCTTCCGTGGCAGCCTGTGGCACCCCAACAGCAACATTCGCCGCACTATCTTGGGCACCTCGCTTCAGATGATGCAGCAGTAAGTCTACTCCACCTATTCTTTCCTTTATGTAGCTGGAAACTAACCATCTACAGGTGGACTGGTGTTAACTTCATCTTTTACTTCGGAACTACTTTCTTCAAGCAGCTTGGAACAATTCAGGATCCTTTCTTGTTGAGCATGATCACCACCATTGTTAATGTCCTTTCCACCCCCCTATCCTTCTATGCCATCGAGAAGTTCGGTCGTCGCCCTCTCCTTCTTTGGGGTGCCTTGGGAATGGTCATCTGCCAATTCATCGTCGCCATCATCGGTGTCACCGATGGCAGCAACCCGAAGGCTGTCAGCGCGATGATCGCTTTCATTTGCATTTACATCTTCTTCTTTGCCAGCACATGGGGTCCCGGTGCTTGGGTTGTGATCGGTGAAATTTTCCCTCTGCCTATCCGGTCTCGTGGTGTTGCGCTCTCCACATCTTCCAACTGGCTCTGGAACTGCATCATCGCCGTTATTACACCTTACATGGTGGATGCGGACAAGGGTAACCTCGGTGCCAAGGTCTTCTTTATCTGGGGTGCGCTGTGCACCTGTGCCTTTATTTACACCTACTTCCTCATCCCTGAGACTAAGGGCCTCACCCTGGAGCAAGTCGACAAGATGATGGAGGAGACCACTCCTCGTACCTCAGCCAAGTGGAAGCCCCATTCCACCTTTGCCGCCGAGATTGGTATGGTCGACGAGAAGGCTGGTGTTGCACCGACCGTCACCCAGCAGGAAGTCTAATCTATCACCGTGGTTTTCTTCCCATGACACTTTCTAAGGCTGTTGCCCACCTTAGCTTTGGCTCACTGTAGACAGTGACTCTTGCTGCTATTGCCTCTATCATGCGTTGACGCTTTCTATGTGACATTTCTCTGATATCCACGAAGTTACATGTACCATAATCTTCTAATAACTTTCCTTTGGATTTCTCCCTTCATGTGCTTCCAGCAATATAAAATAGTGTCGCCACCGTGACCTTGTAAGCCGCCCAACTAGAGAGGAAAATAGAGAATAGTGGGACAATTATCAGCAGTCAAAACATACCGCCCTTCCCAAAAGTTTTGACAGCCTTAAGCACCGGCAGATCTTTGGTACAGCAAGCAATAGCAAGGCCTCGTGATACCAATAAGTCAGCGCCTTGGTAAAATCTTTACTTTTGCTTTGCACACAGATTTTGACAAGCGTTTGGGCGCATGGTTATAATTTCGACTGGCTTGCATGGAAAACTTCAGATAATGTTTATTTAGGTCTATAAAACTGGCTCCGAGGCTGCTCATTTATATGGCATAGTGGCAGATTTACCGTTGGCCAAGGTTCGGGAGCCAAGATTTCGGAGTTGGATTCTCCGCTGACTGTTATGCAGGGGACGGGGCCGCCAAGACCCTTGAATACGTATACCACACACTTTAACATCAAGCGTCCACGAAGCCCCTGCCTGATTGTTACAGTGCATATTAATTTTATTTGAAGTTTGATTGGAGCATATCCACAAGGAATTTACCTGTCACTCTGTTCACCCTATCCGTGCTGAGTTAGGAATAGAGTAGTTACCTTTTTACCCAGATACGATAGTGCACCGCCACCAACGGACAAAAAAGGGCATCATATTGATTGCTAAATGACCATGTAGCCATTCCTGAGTGCATTTGGCTTCAAACGGTCGTTCCCAAGTTTCATATCAGTGACCGAACCAAAGCTTGCCATCTTTGTCGATCGCTTGAGCCGAGGCCCACTCAGCCCAAGCCTTGTTATCGAGCATCAGACTCGGTACGGCCCATGATTTGCTTCGGTTGAAAACAGCCCAAACATGAATGGCTCTTTTCCGCTTGGCAGGGGGCACTAGTAATAGCATGATCGACGGTGTATTCATCATAATTTGGCTCAAATCCCTACCGAACCATGGCATGGCCCCTTTCGCCATCGATCGTCGACATTACTCCGCAGAACGCCTTCAATTCATTGATGGACTGTTAGAACTCCGCTGCGGGGCCTGCAGCTTCTACAAAGCCTGTCCGCTGAGAAATCTTCCATGTTTCATTTGTCAAAGCAGACAGAGATTCGTCAGCTTCATAACGAGACTGTTTAGGACAAGAGGAGCTATTCTAAATGGGGCTTGCCTCCGCTGTGGATATCTTCCGTAGAGCGACGGAGAAGACATAAAAGGCTTCCACGCTGCCCAGCTATGGTGTTTTTGATTTCATTCAATTCACTCTACCTTCCTTTGCAGACTTTCACCAGGCTTCGAACATCTTTCGCTCTCATTGACACACCAATCATGGTTTATCTCGCATCAGTTTTTGCCGTTGGTCTTGCTGGACTGGCAAGCCTTGTTTCCGCTCATCCTGGACACGATGTCAAGTCCGAAGCTGCTGAGCGGGCTGCCTTCCTCAAAAAGGCTCCTTTTCAATCGCGCAGCCTTGCCCAATGTGCTTCAAAGCTCAAGGCTAGAGGCCATGAAAGCCGAAGCGTTGCTCGCCGTCAGCATGCTGTCAAAAACTTACGTGCCAGTCGCGGCCTTGCATCTAGTAAGCTCCGAAGCCCTAAAGCCTGAGCACGAGCTAGCACTAACAAACATATAGCTGGTCATTATCTCAAGGCACGAAGTCTCAATAGCACTTTGAGTACCTCGCACCACTCTAGTTTGACCGGAGTGGACTCGTCTACCGATCCGAATGTCTTGTTCGGCTCCGAGGCTACGTGTATCCTTGGACCCGATGTGACCCAAGGGCCTTACTGTGAGATATAGTGTTCTTCTTTGGGATATTAGCTTATACTAACGTTGTTTAGATGTCACTGGTGAACTCGTTCGCGAGAACATCGCGGAGACTCAAGAAGGTGTTCCACTCTATATGAACATCCAGTTGATCAACACCAACACCTGCGAGCCTATTCCGGAGATCTATGTGGATCTGTGGCACTGCAACTCTACTGTGAGTGAACACGGGTTATCTCTATTGTTTACTGGCACAAAGCGCGTATTATTGACTCTCATAGGGTGTCTACTCGGGCATTGTCTCCAGCGGCAATGGTGACTCTTCCGATGAGCTGAATATCAACTCGACTTTCCTTCGGGGTATTCAGGAGAGTGATGAAAATGGAGTAGTTCATTTCCAGTCTACCTTCCCTGGCCATTACACCAGCCGTGCCACTCACATCCATGGTATGGCCCGAACCCAGCATCCTTTTTCTATCTCCAACGCCACTTTTTTCAGATGTGGTCTTTAAGAGTAACTAGAACATTTGCTTACTATAGTCACAGTTCTCACCCACCCTGCTAATGAGACTGAAGTTCTTGCGAATGGGACCATCTCTGGACTGTACACCTCGCACTCGTCCTATGTTGGCCAGCTTTTCTTCGACCAGGATCTCATTGCTGCCGTCGAGGAGACTTCGCCATACTCTACCAATACCCAGGACTTGACTACTAACGCAAACGACTCAATTCTAGCCGAGGAGGCTGACACCATTGATCCCTTTATGGAGTATGTCTATCTGGGCGATGATGTTTCTGACGGAATCTTTGCGTGGATCTCTGTTGGTATCGACCCAACCAAGGATAGTAGTGTTACCCCTGCAGCCTACTACACTGAGCAGGGTGGTGTTGAGAACGAGAGTTCTGGTGGCATGGGTGGTGGCGGCGGCAGCGGCGGCAGTCCCCCTGGCGCTTCCGCCACCCGCGGTTTCGCCTAAACTAGGATTTGTTTCGCTTTACGCGACTATTGGCTGGGACAATATTGGTTTGCTCTTTGTGTTTTGGAGAGCTCTCTGACTCAGTAATTGCCCATATCATATATTGCTGTACGTTGCGTCTATGTTACAATGAGAGATTATTTATGCGAGACTATTTATATCTACACATGAAACAAGTTCATCATTAGCTCTCTTTTAGAACAATGCAATGGTCTAATTGAGTTAAGGTAAAACATTCGCTCTTTAGCAAGAGATTAAAAACGTTGTCTAGTAAGGTTAAATCGGAATACCCTAGTAAGCTGGGCCGTTCTATTGCCAAAGGTGATTCGAAGATAGATGTATATGCAACAACCCATCGATGGATCCACTCCTTTTTAACACCTTCCAACTGAATCTCCTCTCTGCCACTTCTTGGTCTTCTGTTTACCGTTTAGTGTTACAATAGTCCGAGTTATTTGGAGGAGGTGAGTCGGCTCTTGAGTTTCTCCAAGATTTCATGACTAACGGAAGCTGGCCCTCTGATCGGTCGGAAGGGGAATCACGGATGGAAAGCGATCTGGCCGTGCTATTTGGCCTTCCAGCGTTTTGGAGGGTAAGAAGAGGGCATTTGGGAATCCTGGAGATGAGAATATCAGTGCCATAATTCTAGGAGAGTAGGAGCAGAGCAGGAGCGACCCAGGCTGTACATGCGGAAAGATTTCCAATGTTGGAAATGTCAAAGTGTTGATACAGTTCTTTGGCCCCGCTCGATTTTCTGGCTGCCATAACTCGAGAGATATGGTGAGTGAGGTCGACTGGTGGTGCTGGGGTGGTCAGACTTGCACTCTCTCGCAGCCCAAGAGAGTTAGGCTCTACATTTGCTTATCGTTCTTTCTCTGGTGTACTCCAAGAATTCTTATCTAATATTTAAATGTTTCGATAACTCTCCTCATTCCCTTCAAGATCAATCATCTTTTTTGGTCTATACGTCAATTTATTCGTCAGAATCTTACGATCCGCACAATCTAGGAGAACGAGCTACAATCCAGCCAGCCATCTGGATCGCCTCCATGTCCTTAAAGGCTACCGACCATTCCAGTCCTCAGCGCAGTCTCTGATTGCCTTACTGGCTGGAGCTCTGTTTGCCAATATCACCACCGCCATCCCCGTTGGGACTAGACAACCTATCTAGCGTCGCCACGGGCCGAAATTCGCAAATTGAGCTGAATTCTGACCTTGTCCTCTGTAACAGTCCTGCAAACCTAGCTTGGTATTTGATATGAAGCGCTTCGAAGATTGCGTCGCGGAAGACCGACCGCTGGAAGTGGGAGAGGAGCTCACTCTACTTTAGACCAGTCCGGAGTGGGAGATGGTGCATTCCTTTCAGTTCTAGTGTAATGCCAGCGTCAGCCATTGCCGGGAGCTTATTTCGGTGGCTTCTCAGATCGAGCCCTCGGCATAGCATCGATACTGGTTGCATGACCACATTCGACAGTTGGTGTAGAAGCGGGGGGAGGTGATGGAGTGCAGATCTCGCACATATCCAGCCAGTCCCTCGCTTTTGACCAAACATCCCAGTTATCATATAAGGAGTTTCTTTAATTTCTAGAGGTCAAATTTTTGGTAATGGTGGCAGTCACTTTGAAGCTTGAGTGTATCCTATCTAATAAGATACAAGCAAGGGACCAATTTAGTCACATAATATGACTGATTGAACAGAAAAGCGTATCTGCATGTATTCATATTCTGTCGCTACTCCTACTGGAGAGGGGTTCTTTGCGCAAGGAATTCCGAATGAATCAGAATCGATAGACAAAATCATGCTTCCTGAGGGTTCGGGGATGATGGTTGGGGGGTATAGGGCAGTCAGCGCGCAGTCCCATCGATATCGCCTGGCAGATCTCGTATTTCATCCGCTAGCAAAAACCTACGATTCGAGGATTTGCAATTGGACTTGGCAGACTTTGTGCAACATTGTGAAGTGAAGTCAAGCCTACCATCTGCATCAACATCAATTAAGGATTACGTTTTGCGTTGCATGTATCAAAGTGCATCGCTTGTTTTGTAGCCAGAATTAAAACGCATATCAATGCGGCAGAAATGTGTAAAAGTAGCAGCTCATGTTCATCCGCCAAAGGGGCGATCCAACCAATATAAGCAGACTCAGACCTCCCATTTTCTGATTTTCCTGTACTTACTTTTTGTACATACATGTCACACTATATACCATCCACCAAGATTTAGCCACCTCGAACATATATCATAATATCATCACCGTGGACAAGGATAGCCCGTAGTCCACCCATCCATAGAATAGGTAGTTCTTAGCTCGCCCAAGGCTTTGATCAGAAGATATCATGTTCTACAAAACCATTTAGGAATGCTTATACTAAGCTTCCTGACCTAGTGCTGCGGGATTTTACCCTTGGATCGTGAATATGCTGCCGTCTCAGTTTCAGTAGTGATCTGATAGGCGGAACACTTAGAGCGATTAGTGCCACAGAAATCTCCACCATGGAGCAATAGTATATGGGAATAACATCCCAGGAAGCATTGTGGCCTTTATAAAGTAAGACCACATAGGCCAGTCGCACAGCGGCCGCAACACAAGCCCTGGACCAATGTGAGTTTTGATGCCCACCCCCGCCCACGTTCATATTAGAATTTAAAAACTTACACAAATCCAGCCGAGGAAAGGAAAACGATGATAGTCAACTTCTTGGACCAAGCGAGGTGGAGACCTATCTGACGAGTCAATCAATGGTATTGTAAGTCTTTATTTGGCTCTTGATGGGACAACTGACCGTAAATGCTCTTGAGAGGGAGACATACGACCCAAATATTCGTAACAAGATACACAACAGCAACGTCACACCAAAAGGCCAGAGTTGCAATGCAGGATATCCCCCCCTGATCGGAGGGGCCCCAGAGCCTTCCCACCGGTTTGCACTGAAATATTGCAGCACATATGAATGCAATACTTAGTGCGACGATAATAGCAATTGAGATCGTAGTCCACATGCGAAGGTTGGGAAATATGCGGCGATAAAGAAACAATATTGAAAGTTTAATTAGCCCGCTAGACGTTGTGTATAGAACCTGAACCGCTAGTCGTATCTTCATATGTGTTGACTATAGTCCTTAATGAAACGAGGAATAAAGAATTGCATACCTTCCCCAGGGTGTCATCATCGAAGTTTTCACTGGACTCAGGTGCCCCTAATCCATGTAGCACTCCTCCGGGTACTGTTAGCATCATGCTCTTTCTATCGAGTAGGTTCTTGCTGACCTATTGCAATGGATGCGAGGGTTGCAATGGAAGTAGTTAAAGCCGCCAGAACACACCAATCATCCTTCCCAGAAGTCTGTAGAATGAGGAATCGTCCAATAAGTCTGATTAACACCGAGGTCGTGGCGACGAAAATTAAGGTAGTTGACACGGCAACGAGAGGTACCCCTCGACTTTTAGTTTCCTTGAAAAGATTTTAGCAATCTCATGCCTGACAAAGCCTACTTACTGGGTAAGTTACCATATCAGAAGCTGACATTTATGAAAACTTTGGTCAGAACAAAGATAGCGGACGCCGATCGGAAGAGGCTTATCAATGTATATTTCGCACGAAGGTCAGATATGGACCACCGATCGGTGGTCATGACGTCACGATAAAATCAACTCCAAAATTTCCCATGGAGCTTATTAGCTAGCTGCCCAGAGGTATGTCTAATCAATTCTAAGTGGTCTCAAAGCGGCCATTGGTGAGCATGTGAAAAAAAGAAAAGAAGTCTAGACGTACCAGATGTAATTTGGCCTATATCTGACTATCCGTGATCCACTTGCTTGTTTGATCAAGCCCTAATACGGCAGCACGTAAATGAAGGATAATTCAGAATTATAGGCAAGTAAACAGGGGTTTGAGCATTTTATGAGTGATCTGAGGATGTTGAGTCTGCAGCTATCTTCGCTTTCCCAAGCTTTTGAGTCAGCTCGGCCACCTGCTCTTCGAGCAGGTTATACTGGATTGTCAGCTCATCCAAAATTTTGTTAAGTGTTTCGGCAAGCCCTGTAAGCTCGTCTGTCATACAATGCTTTCGCTCCCTAACCCTGTCTGGAATCTGGACAGTACGAATATATAAGTCCTTCCGGATGCTGGGAGAGCTCATGAGCCTTGCCAGAGGGCATCGGCGGAGTTTCTATCAAGGAGCAGGGGAACCTTTCTTCTTCGTATTTTGTTGGATATACTCGGCTATATCTGTGTGACAACCTTGCGCTTTTATTCCCGGCTGGTCGAAGTCTTCGTTGAGCATACGGCATGCACTAAAATATTCCTCTTCTAATGCACAGATCCACGGTTACTTTGCCTGTAACTCCTATTCTTGACAGTATGACACTGGAAGACGCGCGCTTTTCGCGCATCAGCCCTAAAAGAAGGACTGAAAGATAGAAGAAGCATTCATCTTGCTGATTGATCATGAGATGCAAGGTAGAACAATAACGACCAATGAGAGAGGAAAAGCCAGACGACTGGGAGCCACGATATGGAGGAAGTCAATCAACCTAAGTTGCAAATTAATTGCTATATTTCAAATACATGAGTATATCAACTTATTAGGACGTTACGTACGGACTAGCCGTAACCCGAGGCGGCATTTTTACCATCAGCATTATTAAAAAGCCATGACGCCATGACGCCGATTGTTTTGGCAGACTTTATAAAATCATTGTTAGAGCAGGAGACGGGAGCCAGGGCAATATAACACAACATCCCGGTTTCAAATGAAATCCGACGTAAGCTCGAATCGTGGTGGCAAGGATCTTTCTTGGCTTTGGCCCGGCTAATGGATATCCCTGAACTACACTTCTAAAATATTTCACGGTTGATTTTACAACTTCGCTTTGGCACCAAAAAGCTTTAGGAAATTTCGAGTTGGAACATTTCTATGAGTGATCCCTCCGGTATCTTTTGGCGAAGGGAAAATTGACGTAAGGATGACGACGCGAACCACTTTGGTTTTGACGTCACCAACAAGCCGTAACAAGTATATATCTTGGGCTTATAATTCATGAACAATTGAATTTTTTCAACACAGTTTCGCGAAAAAAGGCACAAAATGTCTGCTCACGAAAATACCTTCAAGCCACCTCAGGCAAGCCAGAGTCAAAACAAGCCTGGGTATCTAGATTTTTCGTTCTTTTTGGTTTTTACTGTTTCAAAATGCGAATTATACTGACCACCATCACCCCGAAGATTGGAACAAAAGATGGCACCATCCAGCGAGGTCACAAAGCTGGATGGGAGCGATGGGCCCACTGAATATATTGGCGCGAATAAGCTTAAAGATAAGAAGGTCCTCATCACTGGCGGAGAGTATGTTCCATATTCAAGCCCTAAGTCTCCAATGTTTCATTTGCTCTGACATATTCTAGCTCGGGCATCGGCCGATCAGTGGCAATCTTGATGGCGAGAGAAGGCGCCGACATCACTATTGTTTATCTACCGCAAGAGCAACGCGACGCGGAAGACACGAAGAAAATGGTTGAAGCTGAAAACAAAAAATGTCACCTCATTCCTGGAGACTTAAGGAAATATGAATTTTGTCGTCAAGCAGTGGAGGAACACCTTCAGCAGTATGTGCTGCGCGTTACTTTTTGCTGAGTAGAATGCTGATCTGCCGCGCAACAGGCACGGAGCCCTCAATGTGCTTGTTAATAATGCGTCTAAGCAGTATTCGTGCAGCAACTTTGCTGAGATTGACCTCGCGAAAGTCGAGGATACGTTTCAATCGAACATTTTGCAGATGATTGCGATCACAAAATACGCCCTTCCGCACATGTCCAAGGGCGATTCGTATGACATCTTACTTGATACTATTTGCAATTCCCGCTCGACTAACTCTTCCAACCCAGAATCATCAATAATACTTCTGTGGTGACATTTCGTGGCACTAGCGGCATGGTAGATTACGCCGCGACAAAAGGTGCTATTGTTGGGTTTACACGATCCCTGGCCAAGCAGCTCATGCCCAAGGGCATTCGCGTCAATGCGGTCGCGTAAGTGCCCAATAAGATTTCCTTTCTGGTGCCATTCTGCTAACACGGATAAGCCCTGGAGTCATTTATACTCCTATCCAGGCCGACACACGCGATGCCGAGTCAATGAAAGACTTGGGCGCAGGTAAAAGCTTAGGTCGCCCTGGTCAAGCGAGCGAAGTTGCCACGAGCTTCGTTTTTTTGGCCACCCCAGATTCCTCTTTCTACTGTAGGTTTTGCTTGATTGAAATGGCACTGATACAACAACGAGGCTCACTAATCACTGCTCATAGATGGGCAAATTTTGCACTGCTATCCGCTAGGCGACTAGGCCTTTTAAATAGCTCAAGATATGTTGTGGGGGCCGTTGGCCGCCAAGCTTATCAGCTTATCAGAGCGCAGCCACTTGTTAGTCTGAGACAGTTTCTTTCCTCTCTTTCTTATGATTTGAACCACATTTTCTAGATATCTTCTTTGTAGCAATTCAACATTTCTAAAGTAAAACTCATTCATCATCCTCATTTTCACCGCTTGCATTGTAAACAGTATCCTTTCCCGGACCGGAAACTGACTGACAAATCTCATCCATGGAGAAGTAAGTGAGCTGCCGAGCCCTCAGCTCATAGAGACTGTTGATTGGCACTTCCATGAATCCCCGATACAGATTGAAGCAATAGCTGCTACCCTGGATGTAGGTCGGATCAATCATCCCTGCCAGCCCCATCCTGCTACGCATGCCGATCTTACTAACACCCCGCCGGTCTGTGGACATAGCTTGAATTGGTAATGAGCTGGCAAGTCTAGTCCAGATCCACCAGACCTATGAGCTCTTCCGGACTTTAGGCATGGTTGAATACAGGATGTGCAAAATGTATGTGGGAACCTAAAAGTTAAATTTGCAAATATAGAACTATCAAAGGTATCTATGAGCAGCAATATAGCTATTAAATCCTTTTTTACTCAAGTTCCTCTCGCGTGGAAGTGTAAAAACGCTCGCGTAACCTTAATTCTTCGCATTCCAATTTTTCATAGTGTAACGGAGTGGATCCTGAATCTTCAGAGTCCTGTCATAGAGACGGGTTATCGCCAGCGTGTCACTGTCGATCACAGAGCGTACTTTGACCGCCACTCTACCCCGCTCCTATCAATGATAAATAGTCCATTCTTGGGAACTTGGAAGTTCCCCAAGAATCAGTCTCTGTACTATTCACATAATACATCTGTTCCGGAGCCATCTTCGTCTTACCTAGTTGACAGGCCCTATCCTGTAAACACTAGAACCCCCCTATACTTTACACATAGCATTCACTCGGCACATTTTGGCGCCTTCGTGCGTAAAGTGCTGCACCCCGCGCTGCTGCAAAAGTTAGATCTATCGCGAGTTAAATTTGGCTGTGGCAGGGACAAGCGAGAGTTCCGATATAGACTCTCTGAGGGAAGCTAGGAAGCGAGGGTGCGTGACGCTTTCGTTAGCTAGCAGGAGATGCGTGATAGTATATTCGGACCCCCGAGGAAGGATCTGGACTTATGAATGGACACAATCCTAAAATTAGACCTGGCTAGGAACCGCGGGTGAACCTCACGAACCTCAAGGAGGTTCACCCACCCGGAGGTTAAGGTTCCATGACCTAGAACCTCCGGGCGGTTCTATCTTGGACCGAACCTCATGGAGGTTACCCGCGGGTGAACCTGAGGTTCAACAAGCATGACAAATAGGTAAAAAACGTGACTTAGGGTCAACTACATAAATTATATAGAAATAGGCTGTATTCTCTCGTAATTATAAAACAGAAGTTCATTAATGTATGCCCTTATAGGAGGATTTAGTGCATATCATGGATTCAGCTTCGAATTAGGGTTTCAACTTTCAATTATCAATGGTTTATATTATATCTATAGTGCAGTGTCTGGTTATAGTTCTAAAGAGTCAAGATTCAAGTAATCAAGCTATATACCTATCCAGTAGTCTCGACTTCTTCCGTATTCTACCGGATGCACGATGCTGCGTATCAGGGAAGTCAGGTAAGGGTGATGCCCTGTTCTTATCTAGTTCCGCAAATTCATCGGCATCAGAGTCTTCCTCATCGTCAGAATTAACTATAGGCCGCTTTCTAGCGGCGACTACTAAGAGTAGCGGTGCGTCTAGAGTTGCTTGCGTAATTGATATAGTAGCCGGTGTATCAAGACGTATCTCAATATCCTCCTTATCATCACTAATTGCCTCGAAAGCATATGTCTAGACATCAAGTGCTTCGGCCGAAGCGGCTATCTCATAGTCTAAAAGATACTCTTAGAGAATCAGCCGCTACTCCTCCTTAATATCGAATCTTGTTATACATATATATAACATAATATCGCGAACAGTCTCTAGGTTTAACGACCCCCGGCGGTAGTGGCATACATCCCGGGCAGAGTTAAAAAGACGCTCAACTCCGGCACCAGTCGCTAGAATTAACATAATATCACGGGCAATACTTATAAGAATAGGGAATTCCCTCTAATGATCTTTCCAGAAAATCCGAATAGATCCTTTAATAGTATCTAATTAGATAAGGTTAGTTATATAATTTACAAAGTAGGCTTACTTACTTACCACTCTAGAGATATTTAGTGAGCTCGTCGTACTACGGAGTAGTTAATCGTTATAAAGAATCGCCGTTAAGGGCCTTCTTAAGCTCCGATTTAGTTGTGAATAACTGGCTATTAGATTATATCATCTCTAATGGTATACGTTGGCTATATCTCTTAAAAAAAGACTAAAGACTCTCGCGGTATTCCTTTCTATAGTCCTTTCCTGTCTTAGGATCTAGGTCCTAATCACTTGTTAAAAAGAACTCTATCTTACTCGACGGCGCTAGGATCGTCCTAATTATATAGAGATTACCTTCGATACTATCTATCTCGGCGTAGTATTTCTTTAGTTTCTCTTTCGTAGTATCGAGGGAGGAAAGTATTAACTGTTTCTAGGGAACCTTCTTTCGACGAAGCTAACTTATCGATCTTTTAAGATAATCGAAGAGCTTATTATAAATCCTAAAGACAAGGTAGATACTCGAGTCTTTAGTACGATAAACTAGCATAGTAAGCGTGAAAAAGGGCTAAAGAATATAAAGCAGATAGTCAATCTATCGCTACCCCTCTACACTTAATGTAAAATAGTGTTGATTATAGTCGGAACAGAACTTATTAAATACGATATGAAGCCTCTTCGCCCGTCGGAGCATTAGAAATGTCGAATTCCACCGTATACGAACATCCTAGATTAGAAGAAGCCGTAGCGTATTACTAGGCTAGGTATTTAGGAAGGCTTCCTTACGTTAAGGGCTTCCGTTAATATAAACCGTAAGACCTCGGACCTATTAGGAATTAGAATAGTTAGTATTATTAAATCATAATTTATAATTCATAAATAGAAGCATACCTTGTTTAGAGTATCGGCGATCTCATGTTTCTACTAGCGCGCACGAAGTAAACGTACACGATCATTAGACCATTCTATCTCGGCGTTATTATTCTTTAGCGAAGCCTTGATTTTACTAAGCAAATCAACTAGACTTAATTGAATAACATACGTAAGGCAGGGCACTTAGATAATCGTAGATTCCGTCTCTATATATAACTTCTTAATTAAATCATTCACTGCTACGATAAGTGTCTTATTGTTAGACGCATTATCAGTTGTCACCGCGAGCACTCGGTCAGCGATTTAGTGCTTTTATAGGATCTAGAGAACTACGTCCCTAAGGTTCACGCCAGTATAAGATCTAGAAATTGGCTTAAACCCAAGTAGGACCTCACGATACTCCTATTCCTAGTCTAGGAAGTATCCTATAATAGCTATAAATACGTGCTTAAATAGGGATGTCTAGCAGTTAAGCGCAATCGACATTTTTGTACTAGATAAGAGCTATTATAGTGTCTCTTGTTAATACTCTATAACGAAACCCCGGAGGCGGTCGCGAATCACCTTTCTTAATAGAACGCTCGGTGATATAGGTGCTAGCCGTGCGTAGGAAATAAGGTTATAGAATTCTTGGTGCTCGACGAAGAGGAAGGGTAAATGTGATACAGTGATTAGGTTTAGAATCTTCTATTCCTATATTTATTAGGTAAAGAGAGGCGCTAGTCTTCTCTCGGCCTAAAATATAGTGAATTCATAATTAGTATTAATATTGAATATAGGCTATTTCGAATATACCGCGTCGCTAAGTAGTTGCTAGATATTACCCTTCTTCGTAATTCGCTATCGACTGTAAGACCCCGTTACGAGGGTCTTGGGACTTAGGTGGATTCGGGCAATAGAATGGAGAAAGCAGTAGACAGGTTCAATGCTGAACTAATCGCTGGAGTCCAAGACTCCAGCCTCTGAACTGTTTATATACAAATGTGGGGTCATGTGAGGTCATGAGCCCTCGCATTGCGGGTCTCAGCCCTGGGTCCAGTTCGCAGGTGCGAACTGGCCATCTCGCAGTCTCACATAGACTGCGAGATATATATCGTCAGACCTGCTTAGTACTTGGGTCCTGACAATATCCCCCTCCTTCACAGGGCGCGGCCCGCGACCGTTGTGGTCATGTGCAGGCGGCTAGAGTGGTCCATTAAAACCATGTGTTAGATGGAAAACCTCACTGCGTCAGTGAGGAAAACCACCATCATGGGAAAAGGTTTTCCACTTCCCTGTGCGTGGCCTGCATCTCGCAGGTTCGCCACACTCATGGGTTAGCCTAGATTTCCAGGCTCGCAGGCAGACTTGGGATGGATGCCTCGTCAATGTTGAGGTGTTGTGCGCGTGCGCGCGCGTCCTTCGTTATCAGGCGAGAGGGTTGATAAGATCAGAGGGAAAGTGCGCTGTTTGTTAACAAACAAGGAGACACCCAATTTGATGTCAACAATGTGTTCTCCAACTTCTTTCTTCTTCTCTCCTCATCACCACCATCATCATCGTCATGTAAGTTGTTGGTCCTGCATCCCCATTTTCTAGTTTTGTCATCTCTTGTGACCTTTTGGCATCACGGCGAGCCATAGTTCTCGCAGCTGCGCGTTTTTTGGGCACAGTTTGTACGCATCTTGCGTTTGTTGACGTTGCTGGGTGGCTCGTGACGCGCGCATGCGCGCCACTTAGTCCCATCTTGGTACTTGCCACGTGTTTTGGCGCCGATCTTTGGCGCGGGTCACCCCTTTTTTCTCAGGCACCGACCCGGTGCGTGTTTTGGTTCGCAGTAGTTAATGAAGTGGTCTTTTTGGCAGGTCTTCCTCTGAGGAGGATTTTGTTTCGCCTTCGCGCCCCCGGCTTCGCCGGCTCAGTCTGGCTTCGCAGCTAACCCCACCCTGCGACAATGTCCGGGTGGTGGTCCCACAACGCCTCCGTCGGGAGGGTGGTACAAATGTGCCTCCCGATGGGAATGAGACCGATTGGTCCCAGTCCGATGATGGGTTCCATTGGGTCGCTCCCTGCCGTCGCTGCTTGCGAGCGATAGTGAGGGATAGTCCCCGTCGTTCAAAATCAATGTCTCTTGCGCTTCGCGCGCTCACCATTAATTTCCTTCGTAGGTTGCGAACCTTTCTTCGCACGTGGCGAAGTTTTCCTCGCGTCCTGCGAGTTCCGTTTCTCGTATACATCCAGTGCTTCGGTGTTCTCGAGACTCTCTCTCGGTTCCCAGGTTGCCTCCGCATCCTCGTATCCTCGCCACTTAACCAAGTAAGTGCGGGTCTTCGCACCTCTGTGCGTAAGGATCTTGTCGATCTCATATTCGACATTTCCGTCAACATTGA